AAATGACAAAAAGTGCGACTCATTGCTTGAACAGTTTCTTCCACATAAACCTCCTTTGGTGTTTATATAAAAAAGATAGAGCACACTCGATTACATAAGTTACCAAATTTTCAGGAAGATCCCTCCAACCGTTTACTCTAGATGACAGTTTATCGATTTTGTGAAAAAATGATCCTTTGTTGAGTTGAGGCGCTGTTTGAGTTCTCTTTTAAATATTATTTTGTAGAGAATTAGTTACCCTTCTACGGATATCAAACGCATATCATTTGACAAAGTCTGCTATAAGTTTTAGAAATTTCTTTCATTTTCGGCGCCGACTCATTCTCCCCAACCCAATATTATCGTAAAAAGTATTGAAAAATCACTTTCTTTTGAAAAACGATGAAGATAAATTGAATCTTTTTCTTTAAAACTGCTTAATTTCTAAGCAATTTTTATTATTTAAAGCTTTAAGCTTAAAAGAAGATTTTTTAAAGGTAAAAGATGAAGCTCGACGGTTTGGTGAACATGTTTGGGGAATTTGTCGGCATTCAGGTAGTTTTAAAGGGTTTTATTTGAAGAATTTAAGTCATAAATTATAAAAAGCAAAGGTTTTTAGTTGAATTGTAAGAAATTTTCAAAGAATTTCCTCTTTCAGAAATCCCCAGATTTCAAGCTTTCCAAGGAAAGCGAGGCGAATCTCGGTGAGGCACAGAAAAGGGAATTCGCCGAATATTTGAACAAATTGAAGGTTGGCAAAGAGATTTGTTAAAGATCTGATGAGTTTAATATTTAAATCAATATTTAAATCAATATTTAAAACAATATTTAAATCAAAATTCAAATCAATATTTGGGAGTGGGACAAATGCGACCTTTTTTTTGCGCACCCGGACATTTGCGCACCTTTTTTTCCGCACCTTGCCCATTAGCGCACCTTTTTTCGCGTTTTAAAAAAGCTCTAAAAGCTAATATTAACGAATTTCTATTCCAAAAGTTGTTTTTCTAGGTAATTTTAGGGCGTAGAATCGAAATTTTGACATATCAGAGCTTGTGGAACCAATTTGAAAGACAAAACGGCTAGGTCAAATTACAGAAAATTGTCGATCTTTCTCTTTGTATAACTCCGTCCGTTTGTTTCCACAAGCTCTGATATGTCAAAATTTCGATTCTACGCCCTAAAATTACCTAGAAAAACAACTTTTGGAATAGAAATTGGTTAATATTAGCTTTTTAGAGCTTTTTTAAAACGCGAAAAAAGGTGCGCTAATGGGCAAGGTGCGGAAAAAAAGGTGCGCAAATGTCCGGGCGCGCAAAAAAAGGTCGCATTTGTCCCACTCCCCAATATTTAAAACAATATTTAAATCAATATTAAAGATATTCAGACATCTAAATCCACTCAAAGACGGCATTTCTTTTCCCTTCGCGAGGTACAACGGGAGGATGTCGACCTAAAGGTCTAACACTTTTTCTAAAACACTTCTAACACAAAAGTTTAAAAGTTTAATAAATAAATAAATCTAGAAATCAAATATTGTATAATTAAATCTATTTAATAGCAAAAGATTTAGAAAAAGCGGCGTCAAAGCGCTCCCGTTTTGAGCGCCGGCAAGGAAAGGAGAACGATTTTTGGGAGAATTCGAGCGAAAATCTCTCTTCAACACAATGGAACAGAAATGGTCAAAAACTTAGTTTAAAATTGCTTAATTTAAAACAAAAACACATTAAACAACTTTAACTTTATTGAGAAAAGTGAAGAGGGAATCGTGGCTTATGATTTGATTGTTTATTGTGATTAATTCTTTGCTTTTTTAAAGATCTCTTTTTAGATTCTAGAAAACAATTCCTTTACTGATACAAAAGAAGCTTTAAATAAGCAAAGAAGAAGTAGAAGAAGTAGAAGAAGTAGAAGAAGTAGAAGAAGTAAGAGAAGTAGATGAAGTAAAAGAAGTAGAAGAAGTAGAGAAGGAAGAGTAGAAGAAGGAAGAAGAGAAGAAGAGGAGAAGAGAGAGGAAGAGGAAGGGAAGAAGGAAGAAGTAGGAGAAGTAGATGAAGAGAAGAAGGAAGAAGAGAAGTAGAAGAAGAGAAGAAGTAGGAGAAGTAGATGAAGTAGAAGAAGTAGAAGAAGTAGATGAAGTAAAAGAAGTAGAAGAAGTAGAAGAAGCAAAAAGAAGAACTATTTTTAAATTTCTTAGTGTTTAAAGAAGACTAACTATTTGGGTGATGGAAATGAAAGCAACGCTCGCATATCTTTTCAAAAATAAAAAAGATTTCAAGCATCAGCCAATAAGTTTTGTAGACTGTTCGAAAGCCCAGAATCTCTTCTACAAAATAGTACAAAAAGATTTTGAATTGAATTGATTATTGAGGACTTGGGTGTTAAAAAGTAACCGCACGTCGAGTCTCAACCTGGGCACCTGCGCCTGCTGGCAACTATCGCTTCCACGAATTTTTTTGCTTGAAAATTTTTTTTGTATATTAAGGAAATAGATTATTCAATATTTATCCTAAAAATCAAATGATAAGCTTAGATTCTATCGAGAATTCACAGTTGAAAGCAGCCGTTCTTCGCCTAAAACGGGGCTCTTTCGAAAAACAAAGCTTTAACTCTATAAGACGAACAAACAAAAAGGAGTTCTTTTCTTTTAGGTTATTTTGAAACTTTAATTAGCGATATTTTTTAACGAAAAACCCGAACATGGCTATTACCAGAAACACATTTTCCAGAAAATCGTCATTTTTGATCTTTCAAATTAAAGTGACCCAAGTCCTCAATAATCAATTCAATTCAAAACTTTTTCCTTAATATACAGAAAGATCTTCAAGCAAAAAAATAGTTGCCAGCAGCAAGCGATAGTTGCCAGCAGGCGCAGGTGCCCAGGTTGAGACTCGACGTGCGGTTACTTTTTAACACCCAAGTCCTCAATAATCAATTCAATTCAAAATCTTTTTACACGATTTTGTAGAGGAAATTCAGGGCTTTCGAACAGTCTACAACACTTATTGACTGAGGCTTGAGATCTTTTTTATTTTTGAAAAGATATGCGAGCGCTGCTTTCATTTCCATCACCCTAATACCGTATTTTTTCTAATAGTAGTGCACCCTGAGCGTCGCCTAAATTCCTCGAAATCTCGAGAACCGCTAATCAGCACCTATCGATGTGGGGTCGGAAAATGTAGCTGACGATGAGATCTAGTGGGGGATTAGAGAGTTGAGCTTCTGCAAAAGCTTGGAAACCGTAAAATATTCACCAACTCGGCTCGCCGGGGTGCACTACGATTAGGGAAAATACGGTGTTATTGCTGATCATCAGAAATTTGCCAATCGGGCCCTAAGATCAGTCAGCCAGGTCAGAAGCCATCCTCAAGACTGTCTGACTATCTTGAGCTTTGGGGGATTAGAGTATTGAGCTTCTGCAAAAGCTTGGAAACCGTCAAATAGTCACCAACTCGGCTCGCCGGGGTGCACTATTATTGCAAAAAAGTTTTTAAAAAATATATCAAGGGGACTTTAAAACTAAAACACGAACTTTTCGTAAGAGCTAAGTAGCTAAGAAGCTAAGAAGCTAAGTAGCGCAAGAGCTTAGTTTCCAGAAAAGAGCATTATTTCAAGTTGATTCAAATTGTGTTCATTGAATCGAAAATTTTCTCATCATTAGTTGATTGCGAACATCTATGATGTCCCCTAGGGCATTGCCTTCTTCTCGTTTGGCTGGGTGTCAAGATCTTTGCATACCATGTTTTCCCTGCTTCGCCTAAATTCCAAAATGTGGATACCGTATTTTCTCTAATAGTCGTGCTCTCTGAGCGTCGCCTAAATTGCTCGAAATCTCGAGAACCGCTAATCAGAACCTATCGATGTGGGATCGGGAAATGTAGCTGACGATGAGATCTAGTGGGGGATTCGAGTGTTGAGCTTCTGCAAAAGCTTGCAAAACCGTAAAATAGTCACCAACTCGGCTCGCCGGGGTGCACTATTATTAGAGAAAATACGTTAGTTAAATTTCCAAAACATTTTGTAAACTTTCAGGAACGAAAAGCAGAAGAATTGCTTTGGAAACGAAAGATGGGATCTTCTCGATTGTCGAGGAAAATCTCTTCATGAAAATGGAAAAATTTTCTCTTTTAAAACTTTGAATTTTGTACATATTTTTGTAAATTGTAAATGAAAAATTGAATACCGTATTTCTTCGAATAGAAGACCGGATAAAGAGTATCATCGCGTACTCCTGCGTAGCAGCCCTTTTTAAAATTTCTTTTCTGCATAAAAGCTTTCAATGAAGTGCTATAGAGCTGGAAAATGACTCAAAAATACGACATGAGCTAACAGATTTTTGAGCCATTTTCCAGCTCTATAGCACTTGATTGAAAGCTTTTATGCAGAGAAGAAATTTTAAAAAGGGCCGCTAGGCAGAAGTACGCGATGATACTCTTTACCCGGTCTTCTATTCGAAGAAATACGGTAGTTCTATGATAGTTTCTTTATAGCTCCTTTATAGTTCCTTTATAGTTAACTTGAAGAAGTTGAAAGAAGTTTTTTAACGTTCACAAATGATCTAGAATGATCTTTTATTTTCTTTTTTTCTTTTTTTCTTTTTTGAGATCTCTTTTTAGCTTCAAAAAACAATTCCTTTAAACTACTTTCGATTTTTTTCGATTTTTTTTGATTTTTGAGATTTTATCTTTGACAATTTAAATTCAAAATAAAGAACATATTGTATAAAGATGTTTTACAAAAAATATATGTTACGTCCGAATCTGAGGAGACGTCCGGATCGGAGATGGACGTCCGAATCTGAGGAGATTCATTCTCCTCTGAAACGGACGTCCGATTAAGAGTCGGACGTCCATCTCTGAGCCGGACGTCCGTTTCAGAGGAGAATGAATCTCCTCAGATTCGGATGTCCGGATCGGAGATGGACGTCTCCTCAGATTCGGACCTAACATGTACATTAAAAGAAATGTTATGCAGTGTTAAAAATTGGACTTTTGAAACTAAAAATTTGTAATAGATGAAAGCTATAGAATAAATCTAGACAAGAAAGACACGGAGAGACAAGTAAAGAAAGAGATTGTGGAAGAAGATTTGGTGCTTTGTTCCGCAGGGGGTTGAGTGGAATTGGGATCGGGGGAAATCGAGGATTGAAGAGGGGATTGTGGTGAGGACGGGATTGGAGGGACCACGGTGCTCGAGATGACGGCATCGATCTGAAATTCGGTGAAATGAAAAGCTCGATAGACTAGACTTAGATACCGTAAATACTGCAATAGTACCCCATCCCCCTCGTACAGTCGCGTAGTCGCAAAAGTTTTTTAGTATTTCTTCTTTTTCAAAGCGCCCATACTTTCAAAAAATGCGTCTTTGGTATCAAAAAATAGCCCTGAATTTCAGCTATTTTTTGATACCTAAGCGAGCATTGTAGCATAAACCAGTGTCGAGAAAAACTCGTCCAAAGCTAGACTACGCAACGCTCCGAACCGTCCTTATGGGAGTGGGGTACTATTACAGTATTTACGGTAGATCTTCGCATATCTTCGCTTATCATGATCCAATCTTTCTCAAACCAAATTGTCTAATGAAACGTTAGAAATTTGAGTAAATGTTTAACTTGAAATTGAAATTGAAGTTGAAAGAAGTTTTTTAACGTTCACAAATGATCTAGAATGATCTTTTATTTTCGAATTCCTAAATCAATTTGACAAGTTGAGAATCTACTATATAAAAGCCGTATTGGAACCGAAATAATCTTATAATCTTATAATAATTTTATAATCATAATAGTCTTATAATAATTCTCAATACAACTCAAATTTGCATACTTTATCACCAGCCACGCCACCATAAACCCTTGTATTTTATTGAGAATTTGCCTGTACCCATACACTATCACTATACAGGGTGTCTCATAAAAAAAAAGGTTTTCAAATCAAATTTCAATTTCAAATTCCAATGAAATTTGATTTGAATTTGAAATATGGTTCCAATATGGTTTATATTTTGATCTAATACGGTTCCAATATTCCAATACGGTTCCTATTCTGATCTAATACGGTTCCAATAAGTTTCCTATTTTGATCCAATACGGTACAGTTCCAATACGGTTCCAATACGGCTCCTATTTTGATCTAGCACGGTTCCAATACGGCTCCTTTTCTGATCTAACACGGTTCCAATACGGTTCCTATTCTGATCTAGCACGGTTCCAATACGGCTCCTATTTTGATCTAGCACGGTTCCAATACGGCTCCTTTTCTGATCTAACACGGATCCAATACGGTTCCAATACGGTTCCAATACGGTTCCAATGCGGCTCCAATACGGTTCCAATAAGTTTCCTATTTTGATCCAATACGGTTCCAATACGGTTCCAATACGATTCAAATTTCAATTTCAAATTTCAAAACAAATTTCAAGTCAAATCAAATCTCAAATCAAATCAAATCTCAAATCAAATCAAATTTCAAATGAAAGCAGATTATCGTGTTTGCTGAATGAATTGAGCAGATTATCGTGTTTGCTAAAACCGTAATACTGCTTCTATTCCTTTTTAAACTACCAGAATCCAGATTTGATTTGATTTGAAATTTGTTTTGAATGATTTTTGTACCCAATAACCCAATTTTTGTACCCAATAAATTTGAAACTCGTTTCCCTCACCTCAAAATCTTCATTGAGAACAGCCGCTGAATAGATGGCAATAAAGAAAAGGCTAAAATTTCGATAAACATTTAAAAAGCTAGCTTTTTACCTAAAAAAAACGATTGTCCTTGTCATTGCTTCACAAAAAAAATTTGTTAGAGATCGATTTCGAAAGAAAATTTCAGCTCAAAAAAATCTGATTCTTTTCAAAATGGCCGTTTGTTCTTAAATACTAAAATTTAATGGCGATTTTTTGAGTCGGATAAAATTCCACGCCCAGAAAAGCGTAAAATTATCAAAAATCTCGACATATTGATAAAACAGAGAGAATTCACGTAGAATTCTTTTGAATTCTGTTGAATTCTTTTGTCCTTTGTCTGTGTCATCGGCTGTGATGTGTTTTGAGATAAGGGGAATTTTTTTTTTTTTTTGGAAGACCGTGAGATTTCATGTTTGTTTTGCACTGTCACTGGGAGACGGTAGGTGGCTGTCGAAATTGGGAACAACGAGAGTTGTACTTTGACTCGCTTTTTGTCATTGCTGCACATCGTTAAGACTGCGTAGATCCCTTAAATTCGGTGTTTTCTATAGTGCGCTATTTTTAATGCATTCTAAAAAACACTTGTTTTTAAAGTGTGTCAAATTAACACAGTTAACATCAGCATGAAACACATGGCAGTGGTTAGTAGGCTTGTATCCTAGTCGGGAGGTCACGGGTTTGATCCCAGCGCCTAGAAAATTGAATAAACATTGAATTCGGTGTTTGCAAACAAGTTGAAGCGCAGTTTTTAAGCTTTGGCTCTGAAATTTTGGATTAATTAAAAGCCCAACTCACGAGGAACGGGTTTAAGCTCGCCGTGGAATCTCAAGATGCGATATAGCACATCTTGTAGAGTTTGGAAAGACGAGGAGAATCATGTAAAAAATTAGCTACTTATGAGCATTGTAAACACTCTAAAATTAGCTTACATGTTTTTGCTATATGGTCTTAGGGCGTTTTCAAAGATCTAGTCACGATGGCTTGACGGTCTAGTGGCTAGTGCAGTGGTTTTCCAAGCAAAGAGTCAGGGCTTCAATTCCTTTCTCCAAGATATTCAAAAAGCTTAAAAAGCTTGAAACAAGTCCAAAATTGAAACACAAAACTTTACTTCCAAATTTCTTCATTTTCCAAAAAAATTTCCTTTCACAATAAGAAATTTTCGTTTGAAAGTAAATCTTTGTTTCAAATTGAATAGTAAATATTGACTTTCCGCAAGCTTTAACGTGAATGGAAAGAGTGATTCATCGTTGTTTATCGCTTTCATTCGAATCGTTTATTTACAAAGACAAATCCCTATTTTGTGAATGAATAAATAACAGGAAAGAGCAGGAAAATGATGTAATTTAGAGAAGTGGCTGATTTATGAGTGGTTGTGGTTGGGGGTGTTGTTGTGGGTGTTGTGGTTGAATTCATTGGATTTGTTGATGTTGTTGCAGTTGAGGTATTTGTCAGTGCACTTGTTGATGTCATGTTCGTTGATGGGTTGCTTGTGGCGAGTGGGCCATCGCCTTGCTCCTAAAAATAAAACGATATAAAATGTCATATCACTTTAGCTTCTCCCTTCTTATGTTTCCTTCTTTCACTTGAGGAGTTAAGGTACCGGATAGCTCAGTGGTTAGAGCCGGAAACCCGGAAAGCAAAAGGTCGATCTCCTCTCCAGAAATTTGCTTTTGCTTGCCGATTCTTTCGCTTCTTTCTTAAAGATGGGGTTCGGATTAGGACCCTTGGGCTTCGAATCGATCGATCTGCTTCGAATCGATCGATCTGCTTCGAATCGATCGATCTGCTTCGAATCGATCGATCTGCTTCGAATCGATCGATCTGCTTCGAATCGATCGATCTGCTTCGAATCGATCGATCTGCTTCGAATCGATCGATCTGCTTCGAATCGATCGATCTGCTTCGAATCGATCGATCTGCTTCGAATCGATCGATCTGCTTCGAATCGATCGATCTGCTTCGAATCGAGGGAACACCTATCTATCTGGCGCATGTCCCAGGTTGCGAGCGGTTACGTGCGCGCACAAAGAACCCACGCAAGTCATTAATTTGTATTTATAGCTGAATATCTTTTTGTATCATCTACAAAGCAAAAGAGAAATCTCTGTAAATGACTGGCGAGGTATTCTTTGTGCGCGCATGTAACCGCTCGCAACCTGGGACATGCGCCCGATAGATAGGTGTTTCCTTTTGGATTCGGTCAAGATGAAGGAACGATGAGCGATTGCGGGGGCTTCCTTTTCCGTTTCGGCGTCACTATGCTCAAATTCCGTGGGATAAATTTTTCCCCTAGATTGACTGTATTTTTGCTATAAATTGCACATGCCTCCAAAGCTAAACTAGTCGAAATACTCAAGGTCGAAATGATCTCATAAAGCTGTTTTCAGCTTTCAATACCTGATAAATGATTGATAAAGCGATTTACTTTAGTCATTTCTACATAAAACTCATTCAAAAATAGCACCCAGTAGCTGCCGATAATTTGGTTTTATTGAGAATTGGTCACAGTTTTGATGTCTTTCGAGTTGTAAATTTTCGAGATTAACAGAATCGATTGTTATTTTCTATTTGCTAGACGAAGGGGGCAAATTTGAAAGCTTGAATTCACTGATTTTTCCCCAAAACTTCAACAGAGTAGTCAAGGATTTTTTACAAAAAAACCTGCTTTTGAAAAAAAAACTTCACTCAATTTTTTTTGTTGATTCTGCTAAAATCGAAAAATTCCCAAATTCGCACCACAATTCTTCTAACCCATTATGTGAGAAATGTCGCAAGATAAGCCCCTTTCAAACGTTTTATCAGAATTTCCGCACCCCTCTATCCAAGCAGACTTTAATGGGCAATTTCTAGCATTTAATTCTCAAATCAAGCTCTCCAAAAAAGATTTCTTGAATTTTGAGAAATATTTTCTGAAAAATAATACCATAAATTGTTGGAGAAGGGGTTGACGGACGAGTGGAAAGGGGACAAGGGAGTTGTACGTGGAATCGTCTTTCAGGAAATTGTATAAAACCTTGAAATGAATGAATGAATGAATGATTGAATGAATGATTGAATGAATGATTAAATCTATCAGAAAATGCTATTCTCTTTCTTATATTTGATAAGTTTGTTGATAAATCTACAGTTATAAAAAGGAAAACAAGCAGATAGTTGAAAGCTAGCTGTCACCACAAAGACTTAGCTGTCACCACAACTGTAGGACAAATGATTTATTTGTCCTACAGTTGTGGTGACAGCTCATTCATAATCGAAAGGTAGAAAGAGTTCTTTTTTCAATATTTTCGCTTTAATTCTCGAAATATTAGGTTAATTAGTTTTGTTATTTTGTAAAAACAAAGAATTTGTGATTTCATTTTTTTTTATAAAACCTGTAGCGCGGGTCCGGGTCGATCCATAGGCACATTGTGGCCGGAACCCTGGAAATTTTTGGAAAATTCTTTTCTTAATACCAAAAATAAAGGGGAAAAAAGTAGAAATTTTTAAAAAAATTTTAATTTTTTTTTTTTTTTTTTTTTTTTTTTAAAAAAAATTAAAAAAAAAAAAAAAAAAATAAAAAAAAAAAAAAAAAAAAAAAAAAAAAAAAAAAAAAAATAAAAAAAAAATTTTTTTGTGTTGTTTTAAAAAAAAAAAAAAATAAAATAAAATAAAGTAAAAATTTTATTTATTTAAAAAAAAAAAAAAAAAAAAAAAAAAAAAAAAAAAAAAAAAAAAAAAAAAAAAAAAAAAATTAAAAAAAAAAAAAAGGGGAAAAGGAAAGGGGAAAGGGTTTTTTAAAATTTTATTATTAAAAAAAATTATTAATAAAAAAAAAATTTAAAGGTTTGGGGTTTAAAAAAAAAAAGGTTTAAAAAAAAAAAAAAAAAAAAAAAATAAAAAAAAATAATTATACCAATAATTTATAATTTTGATAGTCCAACACCAAGAAATTTGAGCTCAAAGTTGGATTGCCAATGGCAAAGGAACGAGGGTATTAAAGGTGCCACAATCTCTCAAGGTGTTTAACTTGAAACGCGCACTTTTCAAACGGTTTTTTAGGTGAGGGGACTTCGTTGGAAATTTGAGTGTTTTTGGAAATTTTCGAAAATTTATTAAACATTCCCAACCTTAACCGTCAACAGATCGATTTTCATCTTTGCCGTCTCGAATCTTTTTGTGTATCCGGCGATCGTTTGCTGGTATTGATCACCGAGATTGTAAAGCCATTCTTTTCGTTTGTAGGTCGTCTGAAAAGCAATTTCTTTGGTGATAACAGATATTCAGTTGAAAAGCTGAATCTTTAAAATCTCTGACATTGAATTTGTTGATCGAAGTGAAGGCCTCGATGAAGTATTCAGCTTGAAACATCGAGCATTCGGTGTCCACATCACCGTTATAGAAAACGAGTCTAGAAAGTCGAATTTCTCAATGTTCAATCGAATTTTAACTTTTAGATAAGAGATATTCAGCTGACTAGGAAGCATCAAAGAAGTCACAAAGATACTCAAGAATCACCAGAGGACTCGGGCACATCGCCCAAGCTCTTCACCACGGTTCTCCAGTATGCAAGAACTCGAGTGGGAAGACTACGACATCCCGGTAGACGGCAGGAGCATCACCAACCTACACTTCGCAGACGACATCGTGCTCTGCGCCAAGACACCAGAAGAAGCCCAACGGATGCTAGAAGGCCTCGACCGAGCCAGCAAGAAGATTGGCCTTGAGATGAACAAGAAAAAGACTCAGATCATGAGGAACGCATGGTGCCCACCTGGAGCGATCAAGCTGGAAGGTCAACCACTAGAAGAAGTCACCTCCTACACCTACCTCGGAAGAAGCATCAACATGGAGGGAGACCTAAGACCAGAAGACGCAGCTCGACCAAGACCTAAGAAGTACGGATATGCGCCAGCTCTCGGGACTCAGAGATCCAGTGGAAGTGATCGAGAGAAAAAGACTCAGATGGGCCGACCACGTAGCCAGAAGAACAGACGACAGATGGACGATACGGATCACAGAGTGGCTACCACGAGACCAGAAGAGGCCCATCGGAAGACCAGCAACGAGGTGGAGCACAAGAGTGGCAGAGACGGTCAGAGAAAGGATGGCTAGAGTGCAACCACCACCAGCACAGGCAAGTCGAAGACTTCGAACCAGGAACAACCCAGATAGGAAACACTGAATGACAATAGCAATGGATAGAGAAATGTGGAAGCAGGTTGTAATCTGCGCAAATAGGAACCCCTAAGTGCGAAGACAGATCAAAAAAATATTCAGCTGAATATTTGTAAATCTCTCAAAGTTCTCACCTCAACGGATATCCACTGTTGAATATTTTCTGAAAGACCTCACTCGTGTCATTGTATTGCAAATTATAGTCATGACCGCCGAAATCACTAAAGTTTAAGGTTTAAAGTGTGAATTGAAGTTTTTTTAGGATCCTATAAAGGCTTTATACATTTCGGGGGAGTGGGACAAATGCGACCTTTTTTTTGCGCACCCGGACATTTGCGCACCCGGACATTTGCGCACCCGGACATTTACCCACCTTTTTTTCCGCACCTTGCCCATTAGCGCACCCTTTTTCGCGTTTTAAAAAAGCTCTAAAAAGCTAATATTAACCAATTTCTATTCCAAAAGTTGTTTTTCTAGGTAATTTTAGGGCGTCGAATTCAAATTTTGACATAACAGAGCGTGTGGAACCAATTTGAAAGACAAAACGGCTAGATCAAATTACAGAAAATTGATTTTTCTCTTTGTATAACTCCGTCCGTTTGTTTCCACAAGTTCGCATTTGTCCCACTCCCCATTTCGGTAACCTTTTAGAAAGTCTTCTTTCAAAAGAAGCGCTTCAAAAGCCGAAAAGATTTCTTAATTATTCCTTTCTTATTTAATGATTTAATTTTAGACTATTAGACTAAATTCGATTAAATTCTATTATTTTCAATTTTCAAGCAACTCCTTTTTGAAACCCACGTGCAAAATTGCCATCCTTGAACAAACTCCGGCACATGGATCGCGTCACGGACGTGGCTCTAAAACGGGCTTTTGAAATTCATTGACAAGCAGGATTGTGCTGTCTTAAAGTTTAAATAAATCATAAACAAGTATTTTCAAAAGTTTTCTAAAAAAAGCAAAAAATTTGGCGGCAACCCGCAAGCTGGTTTTGCCAGGTTTTGCAGGCTAGCACGCTACCCTCTAGGCCACTACTGCTTTTCCCTCCACTCGGCGTGGCGTCCTCTTATAGGTTCTTGGTGTTTCAAAAATTACAAAAATGATCTATCATAGATCATTTTTGATCTGATTCTTCTCACAAACCTTTTGAAAATATCTCATCAACGCGGCGGACATCCAACATTGGAACGAGCCCTGATTGTCGGTGGTGATCGGGTCGAAATACGACTGGAAATGGAGAAATTTCGAAAATTCTTTATTTTTAGCGATAAACCATAAGTAAATAAAGTGTGAATGAGGGGTATATGTAACTGATTTCCGCTCGCCGAATGGTCGTCCATGGCCGGCTGGCTGAGAACCTTGTATCTTAGCCGGGAGGTCAAGGGATCAATCTCGCCGGCTAGGTTATTGGTTCTTTTTTTCCAAAAAAAGAATTACTTTTACCGGGCCTTTCAAAGTGAAGCCTAGACCATTCTTTGAACTTTATTCTTTAGCAATTTTTACTATTCATCCATAATAGTGAGTCCAATTCTAGCTTTAAAAAAGAGAAACGCGTTTATCGAACAGTTTTGGTTGAAAAGCTAAAAGTTAAGCTGAAAGTTATTGAGTTTTCACTTTTGATGGGATTACAAATGTAGAGTTTTTCACAGAGAATCTGAATCTGTTTCCAAAATCTACGGAACGAAATAGAAACGCGAGATATTTGGCAAAGAATTTCCAAAATCTTGAAGAAATATTGGGTTTTTTATTTTTTCTTTTTTTTTTTTTTTTTTTTTTTTTTTTTTTTTTTTTAAAATTTTTTTTTTTTTTTTTTTTTTTTTTTTTTTTTGTAAATTTTTTTTTTTTTTTTTTTTTAAAATTTTTTTTTTTTTTTTTTTTTTTTTTTTTTTTTTTTTAAAAAAGGAGGTGGTTTTTGGTTTTTTTTTTTTTTCCTTTTTTTTTTTTTTTTTTTTTTTTTTTTTTTTTTTAAAAAAAAAAAAAAAAAAGGGTAAAAAATTTTTTTTTTTTTTTTTTTTTTTTTTTTTTTTTTTTTTTTTTTTTTTTTTTTTATTTTAAAACCATTTTATTATTTTTTTAGTTTTCATAAATGCTGCCCCTTCTTTTTTTTTTTTTTTTTTTTCTTTTTTTTTTTTTTTTTCTTTTTTTTTGGGTTTTTAAAATTTTTAAAATCAAAAATTTTAAAAATATATTTTTTTTGAAAGGGAAAATCTTTAAAATTTTTTTTTTTTTTTTTTTTTTTTTTTTTTTTTTTTTAAAGGGAGAAAAAGGAAAATAAAAAAAGGATAATATAATAGTAAAAGAAGAAATTAAAATTAAATTAAATTAAAAGTTAAAACATGAAAATAAATGTAAAACAAAAGATTTCCTTGGAGAAGGGATTGAACCCAAGGAAAAAGTGGATAGCTTGTTCTACAAGCTATCCCTTTATACAAGCCTCTTCTCCACTGTACCAACCGGTCAGCTGGTTAGCGAATGTTGGCGAATTGGTTAGCGAATAGCCAAAAACGTGCGAAAAAAGATTTTGTGCCAAATATCTCGCGTTTTGAGGTGATTCTGTAGATTTTGAAAACGGATTCAGATTCTCCGTGCAAAACTCTACATTTGTAATCCCATCAAAAGTGAAAACTCAATAGCTTTCAGCTTAACTTTTAGCTTTTCAAACAAAACTGTTCGATAAACGCGTTTCTCTTTTTTAAAGCTAGAATTAGACTCACTATTATGGATGAATCGTAAAAATCCTCAGCCTTTGAACAATTGCTAAAGCATAAAGTTCAAAGAATGCCAGCACTTACCAGTAAATCATTGACAGCTCCCCTCACATTCACCGTACTCCCATATTTGAAGCGTTGATTGACTCGAGAGAAGACGTCAGCTTGGGACATCCATGAGCCGAAAACATGCTCGGTTTGTTGATAGCAATCTTGATACAAATTGTAGACGTCATTGTTTCTGAAAGAAAAAGAAACTGTTAGATAAACGCGTTCCACTTTTTTAAAGCTAAAATTAGTGAAAATACTGAAGGAAATTTTTAAACGATAACGATTTCTAAAACTTTTAATCGAGATTATTTCTTTTATATCTTTTAAATCGAGATTTGATTGATAAAATTTAGTTAAAAGCTACACTACTGGACAATGAAATATGATATTTGAAAAAAGATCGTCACTTCGGCGCTGTAACCCCCGTCTTTGAGTTTAAACTATTAGTGTTATACATTTTCTGAAAGCTCTTTTCAAGGGCTACACAATGGTAATACTAATATTTAGACAATTGTCAATACTTTAAATATTTAGCATTTACACTATGGAAAGATGATATTTGATTCGCCTTTCGCGCGTCTGTAACTCCCTTGTCTTTACCGTTATTCTAAATATTAATATTACCATTGTGTAGCCCTTGAAAAGAGCTTTCAGAAAATGTATAACACTAATAGTTTAAACTCAAAGACAAGGAAGTTACAGACGTGCGAAAGTGACGATCGTTTTTTCAAATATGACATGTCATTGTCCAGTACTGTAAAAAAGGTTTTCGATAATTTTCATCGAATGGGAAAGAGGTGGAAAAAAAAAGAAAATCCTCGACGGTCTATTATATTCTTTGCTACTCATGACAAATTCTGGCACCCTTTATAAACCAAAAACAATCAAAATAGCTAACAAGTTTAGTGGGAATCGGCGTCTAACGCGTTTAACTCGTCGAACGACGGTCTCCACCACTTTTCGCCGTTGCACAGTCGGGAGCGCGCTTGTCTACGGTGCCTTGTCGCCCCTGTCTGCCCGGGTACGACCCCTCTAGTGCCACTCTTTGACTTTTAAATTAAATTTTAATTTTAAATTGAAATACGGTAAAGACAAGGGAGTTACAGACGCGCGAAAGTGACGATTTTTTTTCAAATATCATATTTCATTGTCCAATACTGTAGCTATAAACTTAAAACTTTTCTTTTAAATCTAACTTTAAAAGATATAGAAATGTTTTTTCAATATTTTAAGTGTCAATTGATTTCTTTAGGCCTCATTTTCTTTGATAATCTTCGGGAAAACAAGGAAAATGAATCAATTAGAGTTTAGCTTTAAGTTGGGAAAGTTGAAATTTCTTTTCTCTCACTTATTGTCAGCTTAAAAACTTTTCATTTCCATTTTCAATGGTAGAAAATGGAAGTTGTTATTTGTTTTCTTTGTGAAAACTTACGTTTTTCAATGGTAAACATTTTGGTGTGTTGATAAAATTGTTTAAAATTTGAAAAAGTCAGAAAGAAGTCTATGGAAATTCGTTTCAGAGTTACAAAAATTGAAATTTTTGCCTTTTTTAGTACAATTTCTCCAAATTTACAATGATTTTTGGAAGCCGCTTTCAATGGAAATGGTTTTAAAATGATTCTCAGATGCCCAGTGGTCAATCTCCAATGGCCGAGTGTTTAGGAGTCTTGTACCCTAGCCTGGAGCTGACGGGAGCCTGGAGCTGACTAACCTGGAGCTGCTGAGCTCGATCCCAGTCACGAGAAAACTTCACTCTTTTTTTCCAAAATTTGGCTCTTTGTCTCTCTTTTTCTTTTTCATATTAAATCAAATGGATACTTGAAATCCTGAAAGCTTTCACTCACGCAATATTCTGCACTTTATCCCCAGCCATCAGTGCAACGAAATTCGCGCAATTCTGCTGTTGAGTATCGGTGAAATTCTTTGCCAAGATTGAACCTAAAATTGTCTTTCTTGTAATTGATATGAAAATTTTTTTGACTTGGAGCTCTCATTTGTTGATATTGAACGACTTTGAAGAAAGTTGGCTGGTAAAAATTTCTTTTCAAGTTGATTTACCGTATTCTCTCTAATGATAGTGCACCCCGGCGAGCCGAGTTGATCACTATTTTACGGTTTCCAAGTTTTCCCAGAAGCTCAACACTTTAATCAGCTTCAAGATCTCATCGTCAGCTACATTTTCGATAGGTTCTGATGCCCCACCTCGATTGGTTCTGATAAGCGGTTCTCGAGATTTCGAGCAATTTAGGCAACGCTCTCGGCAACGGTAATTGAAACTTTGTTTTTCACTTCAAAACACAAATAGTTGAACAAATTTGAAACAAAAACAAACTAAAATCTTCTCAATTCTCACCATCAGCTGCAATCTGTGTGAATTGCGCATAGTCACATTGTTTGTAATCGGCTGGCGCAAATTTGCTACAACAATCACGGAGTTGATCCCATTCACTGGAAAGATTGACTGGTTTTTGAATAGTTATTTTTTTTTGCTTATAATTAGCCTTCTGTAATGTCTAGAGACTATTTTTATATAAAATTTTAATCGAAAAAACCGCAAAAATCATTCCATTAGTTTTTATTTTTCGATCAACCTTGAAACAAGCTTGCTTTCTGTAAATTTCAAGCCGGATTTGATTGAAATTTCGAAGATAAGCTTTAAAAAGGGCGCTTTTCAATCGCTCCATGCTTTTCAATCGCTTTTAGCTTTAATCCAAAATGGGCATCGGTGGCCTAGTGGATAGTGAAACGGCATCTCCAGAATTATTTCGGGGTTCAGTCTCTCTCTTGGTTTTTGGTTTTTTGGTCCTTAGGTCCCTAATCACCGTTCAAAAGCCCTTTAAAGTTTTTCTTCGAAATTTCAACTCAATTTTTACTCCTTTGAAAGCTGATTTGGTAGATTTTGATTCCAGATTATGATCTCCATACTCGATTTAGCAAGTTGGTTCGGAAATGAAAGCTCGCGGAAAATTCGTGCCTAGTTAAATTTAAATATCTCTGATTGTGAGTATCACAGACCCACAGAGAAATTAGCTTACGGATTCGGTGCTTTAGCAAGCTCAATTTGAAAGCTCTATCTGAAAACTAATGGAAAAGAAATCTAAAAAAAAAAAAATAGTCTGATTCAATAATTTTACGGTCAAGAAAAGACGAAAAAGACGTAATTATAAAATGTTTTTTTTAATTTTTTTTATATTTTTTTTTTTTTTTTTTTAAAATTAATAAAAGTTGTTTTTATAATTTTTTTTTTTAAAAAAAAAAAAAAATATTTATATTTGTGTTTTTTTTTTTGTCGCGTGTCAATAAAAAAAAATTTTAAATATTTAGAAAAGATAATAAAAAAAAAAAATTGTCAGCTCCGAGCCAAACTGATATTTTAGTTACTATTGTTATTATTGAATGATTTGTCTATTCTTATGCAAATGTGCTCTCCCCTGTGCTTATCCCTTTTATTGCCGAGAAGGGGCGGTCCTTGGGATTGCCTAGGAGGACAAGAGGGACTCTCATTTGGAGTCCCCCCTTCCCCTTACACTCATTTGTAATCTATTCATGATGTACTACTGTAAATAAAGATGCATATCTTCCGGGTCTATGCAACTGCAGTACAGGTCGGTCATTTCACAGGGACTCCCCTCTAATACGTTGGAGGAGTTGAGTTGGGTTGTCGGGGTGTTAGAGGTGGCGGGATATCAAAAGGGATCCACTCTCTTTAACTTAACCCAAATTCTAGTCCACATCCGTTTATACCTAAGAACGAATACGATAATTGATAAATTGTTTTGTGTATTATTGATTTTGGAAACTCTTTTCAAACAAACCTTTTATCAGACATTCCATGAAAATACATAAAATCCGGGATCGTGTTTACCTGAATTCGAGAATTCTAATCAAATTTCAAAGTCGTATTAATGATTTGAAAGATTTGAAAGATTTAGAAGATTTAGAAGATTTTAAATGGGTTCACGTACATCTTGTGTCGGTGAAACATAGCCATTTCCGATGATAAGACCTTTCAGGTTAAGGTTTAGGGTTTTTGCCTGAGAAATTTTTGGGATTTACTGTTAACTTTTAACAATTACAATACCTGAATTTTATCGATTAACACAGCGGTGAGTGTTGGGATGTAGATTCCGGCATATGATTCGCCTAAAGCAATTCGTGAGTCTCAAAATTGAGAAAGAAAAATGCAAAAATTTCATTTCAATCATTTCTTCTCATATTTCCTTTCTTTTCAGACAATACGATTTCTTTTTTCTGCCTTTTAGGCATTCTTTTGGAATATTTTGAACTGTCATTTGATTTGATTGGATGACTCTGTCATTTGATTGCATCAATTTGACAATTTGACTAGTAAACATTAGTAAATCAAATTCTAAGTCATTCAAATTCTAAGTGATTCGAATTCTAAGTGAATCAAATTCTAAGTGATCCAAATTCTAAGTGATTCAAGTTCTAAGTGAATCAAATTCTAAGTCATTCAAGTTCTAAGTGATTCAAATTCGAATTCAAATCAAAGCAAATTCAGAGTTTAGACTCTGAAAGCATCGAGTCTTTTTTCGGAAACATCTGACAATCTTTCCCTTTTCAACACCACTTCCTAGCATCTTCCTTAGAATTTGAATCACTTAGAATTTGATTTACTAATGTTTACTAGTCAAATTGTCAAATTCATCCAATCAAATGACAGAGTTTAATTCAAAATATTCCAAAACAATATTCCAAAACATCTGACAATCTTTCCCTTTTCAACACCACTTCCTAGCATCATTCTTTACAAATTTCAAGCTAACCTTTATCTTTTTTTCTGAACATAAACCCCATTTACAATCATTTCTTATAAAGTATTAAAAACTTACCAGCAATGTAGAAATCATTGTTCTTGTATTGTGGATGAGTTTTGAAGAATTGCGCAATTGCCTCAGCGTTGTCGGTGGCTGTCTGAAATGAGGGAAATTTGGGTAAACGTGAGAAGAAGAAATGCGAAATTTGAATCGTTAAAATGAATAAAATGTTGATTTAAAAAGCCGAGTAGTTGGTTGCTTATGATCGCCATGCTTATGATCGCCATGCTTATGATCGCCATGCTTATGATCGCCATGCTTATGATCGCCATGCTTATGATCGCCATGCTTATGATCGCCATGCTTATGATCGCCAATAAGTCGTTCAATGAATTGGTGCAAAAAAAGAAAGTACACATGGGTGCTATAGTAGTTGAGGAGGGGAGGGCAATTTGGTTTGGGCGTTTAGAGGCGCAGGGCTGAATTAAGAGGCTTAAAACCTCAATTTGAGCAAACTTTTTTCTTTTTCGAACTTGCCACTAGTTTTAAAAACTTTTTCTGGGCTAATTCATTGCACTGGATCCTATGGAAGCCACAATCTAAAGCCACAATTATAAGCCACAATCTGAGCAACATTCATGCAAAATGACCGCCTTTTTGTGAATCGTGAAGAAATTTTTTAAAATGAAAATTTTAAGACACTATTTTCATGGCTTTTGAAAGATTTAATTTAAAGTTGAAGCTTACTTTCGCGTCATTCCACACCGTATCGTTGGTGATTGATGGATCTTGATACGAGAAACCGACAATACGAGGCGAATCCAAGTAGATTACGGTAGCAAACTGAAGTTTTCGAATAAGGCCTAGCGAGATATTCTTATCGATAGATATCGATCTATCGATTTATATATCGATCGATATCGATCTATTCTTATCCATAGATATATTTATCAGTTTTATATTCAATTTTAATCATATTGGGTTGGTGAATTGAAGGCTGCGGGCTATGGTCATATGTGACAGTTTGAGCACTTTCTTCAAAAGAAACCCATTTTGGTGTCAATGGAAAAGTTGTAGAGAATCAAAAATTAGGCTTACAACCAAATTTCCAGAAAGATACACTTGGTAGTTTCGCTTAAAATGCAAGTTTTGTGAAAATTCGTAAATTTGGCGTTTCTTGAAAACCAGTTTTTGAATCGTTCTGAAAATTTGTATATAACCTTGATTTTTGATTCTCTACCACTTTTCCATTGACACCAAAATGGGTTTCTTTTGAAGAAAGTGCTCAAACTGGGACATCTCCAGTCCTCGATTTTTGAGTCTCACACTTGTCTCACACACAAACCAAAATCCTACTACGAAAGAGGAATCCGCAAATTGCCTGTAAAATGGGCAGAAGTCGTCAATAATAATGGAAATTATTTGGAATGAATTGATGTTGAATAAATTTGAGTTCAAAGTCCCGCAGTTTTCAATGCACCAACCCAAAAGCTTACCTTATTCCACGCAAACGTGTTCTCCCAAATCGTCGCACCATCAGAATTTGGATGAAATGGACCACATTCTGCAAACATTCCTGAAAATGAAATGTTGAATCGAAATTGGAAACGAGATTTTGTACCAGCAAGTGATGAGCATCCCGGTCCGCCTGTTAACCACAAAATTATCGGATCATTTTGTGGATTGTTTTGCGATTCGACTAACCTAAACAACAAAAAAAGCCTACAATTCTTTCTAAAAATATCACTACCAATAAAAAAGGAATTTCCCGGGTTCTACAGTGAGATATCCGCTGAATTGTTGAAATGGAGGGTTGAATGTTAAACCGGGCAATTGATAGATACGATCGGCTTCTCGCTGGGAAACTGGGAATTTGGATTAGTTCTGAAAAATGATGAAAAACTCACTGAAATCTGGTTGTGGTGGTTGATATTGTGATTGAAGAGGTTTACGGGTGAATTCTTGGGGAAGAGTCGATGAGAAATCATTGTCTTGAATGAAATTGTAGATGATTTGAAGGAGAGGACCGCTCCGGTCGAGCCCCGCTTTCTCACCAGCACCCTGAAGATTCATTTTTTATGAATTGAATTGAATATAAAAGCCGATGCAGTCTCGTTGCAGCCGATGCAGTCTTTCCACAAAGCCGCATCTGGCTTACTACTCGCGCACGCGCCAACCATCACGTTATGAAGCTATCGCTCAATCAGAATCCTCGATCGAGGATCGAGATGGCCGACCGCTCGGCCAAGACCCTATTGGAAGGGATGATTGAACACATCGAGCCGGGAACCCAAATTTACTCCGATTGTTGGCGAGGATACAACACTCAACAGCGACGGTCTCCACCAGTTGTCGCCGTTGCACAGTCGGGAGCGCGCTTGTCTACGGTCCCTTGTCGCCCCTGTCTGCCCGGGTTCGACGCCCTCTAGTGCCACTCTTTGACTTTTAAATTATTTTATTTTAAATTGCACAACTATCTTATAATTTTTTCAAACTAATCCCACGGTTAATTCAAGAAGAGGTTCTTTCATTTTAGAAATTCCAGTCACCTCCAATAGGTTTGTGTATAACTCTTTTCCAATAGGAACTGCTAGAATTTGGAATCAACTCTCCAGAGTTTTGAGAGAGTCCAATAGTCTCGAAACTTTGAAATTATCTGTAGATGATCTTGCTCTTGAAGGTCTAGTGGATTCTTGACGTGGATCTGTGCTATCTGTGCTATCTGTGCTGCCCATATATTACATAAATTATGTCGTGTTGCTTTTTATCGGCCCTTTTTGTGTTATGTGTATGAGTTCATGTGTTTTAATCTTAAATCTAGCGCACTTTATCTCAGGTCTGAATACCTGAATAATAGATGTCCTGAATATCTATATAATGTGAATCAATTCTCTTTTAAATCTTCAATCCTCTTTTAAACCTTCAATCCTTCATTCTTTTTGATATCTCGTTATTTTAATATCTTTTTGATACCTTTATCGTCAAATAATGTATCATCTTGTGATCTTCCACTTTATAATAGCTCATCACATAACCGCCAAGAGTTGGCATTAGACTGAAAATCGTGGTTTTAAATTGAAAGTGAATAGCAAACGGTTGATCGCTGGCCATCGTGTAATTCCATGGGATTCTTTCCGTTGATCCTAAACCCATCGTTTTCGCTAATCCATCGATAAACCATTGAGTGCCCAAGAAATTATTCGATAGAGACGCATCGCCATTGTAGATTAAAATTCGAGGAGTGCCTGATTAAATTAAATTTAAATTAAATCAAAATCAGACGCTCGATTTCGATTGAAATCTCAATCTCAAGCGCTACAATCACGTCTTTTCACTGTTTTCTTGAGTTTTTCTTCATTTTTATGACTCTATAAAAGGTTTTGCTTAAGTAAAATAGCATTATCGAGCACTTATACCTACTTTTTTCGATTTTTTGACATATTTTGGGGTGAGGAAGGGCTTGAAATGATTCATTTTTACTTTTTTTCTTCTCCAGTTGGCCTAAATGATAAAAAAAATCCCGAAAAATGACAAAAGTTTGGTTAAAAGCTTAAACCAAAAGGACTCTAGTGAAAATCTGCAAAACTCAATTCAAATCGGGCACAATGTTGTGCCCGATTTGAATTGTATATATAAATTTTATTATATAAATTTTATTATATAAATTTCTATATATGTCGTAGCCGCTTACGAAATTCAGCCGCTAACGATTGAGGGTATTTCCGGGCATCCAATCAAAAAGTCACCCACATAAAAAATGTTCATCACCCACATAAATAATAATAAATTTTTGAAATTAGCTCATTTGGTTCAGTGGAAAAATTTTTTTGAGCCCCCAAAGTTTAGGTTCAAAAATGCCCTAAAATGGCTATAAAAAATTTTCTACTCAGCCAAAAAACTTGCCTAATAGCTCATTTTGTAGCCAATTTGATGTAGATTCTTAAAGTAAAGCTACATTGAACCTTTGTTTTTCAAAGCTAGGAGAAAGAGGGCGAGGAACGACTTCATTCAATTCAATCATTACCTGCTTGCAAAACACTCGAAAGCACCGGGGTGAGATCCGGATTTTGTTGGAGATAGTTTGTTTGGATGTCAGAGCTGAAATCGGAGTTGCGATCATTGGGATCATTGGTAAAGTGTTCGTTTTCTGATTAGATAATGGGTTTTTTTAAAAACTCTTTCAAATTTCAAGAATAATCCGTTAATTTCTACGATATTTCTACGAAAATTGACGGATTAACTTTGATTTTTAAAAAAATCTCTGTTGAAATTTAAACTTTATAAATCTTTAATCAAAAGTGTTCTCTAATAATTGCTCTGTAAATTAAAAAGATCTTTTTCTAAAGATTCTTATTTGAAAACAGATTCTGGCATTAGATTAAATTCTTTAGCAACTTCAAGCCGCAGCCATTGAAACTTGAAATCTTCAACGTTGCCAATTCGACTCACCTGCACAATTGCCAATTCGTTAACTCCTTTGTTATATGCAACGCTTCTCTAACATCTCCTCGATTCATATACGTTTCAATGATTGTTTTGTAATAACAATTGAAACCACCATTTGTGTCCGTTGAATCGTAGTTGATTTTTGTCTAAATGTTCGTCAATTTGCTCGACGTTTCTCAAAGTTTTCTCACCGCATGATTCACAAATGATTTCCTGTTCATCAATGGCTGTGCAGCGTATCGTTTTCTCCGGCTTTTTCGCTGGTTCAAATTCGAAATCTGAAATTCGATCTGAATTTATTGAAAGTTTTTCTTACCGAATTTGCCTGATTCGACGATCCGAAAGCAGCGTAGCAAGCTTGATAGGGATTGTAGGGACCCATTCTGTAAAATTGTACAAATATTTGCTTATTATTATAATGGGAATAGCTGATCAAAGCTCATTATTTTTCCCATTGTCAATCCAACTTTGAGCTCAAATTTCTTCGTGTTGAGCTGTTCAATTTAGAAACTATTGGTATCATTAGATGCGCCTAGTCTTTCTCTATCGATTGGTATAAAAACGATTTAAATTATTGGACAATCCAACACCAAGAAATTTGAGCTGAAAGTTAATGAGAAAAGGGGCGGGGTGCGTATAAAAGGTCCATCGTCCCGCCCCTTTGCCATTGGCATTGGCAAACCGTTTTTATACCAATCGATAGAGAAAGACCTGGCGCATCTAATGATACCAATAAGTTATAACTTTGACAGCCCAACACCAAGCAACTTGAGCTCAAAGTTCAGGGGAAAAGGGGCGGGGTGCGTATAAAAGGTCCATCGCTCCTCCCCTTTGCCATTGGCAACTTTGGGCTCAAATTTCTGGGTGTTGGGATGTTCAATTCATAAATTATTCGTATCATTAGATGCGCCAAGTCTTTCGCTATCGATTGGTATAAAAACGGTTTGCCAATGCTAATGGCAAAGGGGCGGGACGATGGACCTTTTATACGCGCCCCGCCCCTTTTCCCATTAACTTTCAGGTCAAATTTCTTGGTGTTGGATTGTCCAATTTAAATGGTTTTTATACCAATCGATAGAGAAAGACTTGGCGCAACTAATGATACCAATAGTTTCTAAATTGAAAAGCCCAACACCAAGAAATTTGGGCTCAAAGTTAGATTGCTAATGGGAAAAGGGGCGGGGCGCTGGATCAAATGTTCGATAGCTTTTCCAACTCACCCACTGTTCCAAATACTCGATACGCCCTGTGAGATGATATTTTTCGCACAATTCGTCGCATTCAAATCGTTTGAAGCCCGAAATTCTTTGGTAAAATTTGAATGATTTTCCAATACCTTTGGCAAAATTTGTCCGCCTTTTTGTTGAAAGGTGACGAATTGCGAGAAATCGAAATATGTCATCGGATCGTTTGTGGAAGAACAACATTGTGAGAGTTGTTTGTAGACACTGAAAGGAAAAAGGAAATTAATTCAGAATTTCGCAAGATAAGACTATAACTCAAATCACGAAATGACCTCAAATCGGTGAATCCCTTGAAATAATTGATTGAAATGGCCGAGTTTAGTTGTTGAACCGTTGAGAGATGGCCATTTCCGAGAATCAATCCTTGGAAATTGATGTGGGCGAGTTTTTTGGGCTAAAAGGGAACATAATATAGAGTTTTTGATTGACGACTTGATATTATTATTATTCGTACAGATTTTGCTATGTAGCTGCTCTACTCTGTTCTGAAAATACTCTTCTACGTAAATACGTCTTCCTATTAGTCTTTTTCGACTGTTTTGCTTATAAGATTCAGCTTATAAGATTCAGCTTATAAGGTCCAGTTACGCCAGCATCCATGAGCTCTTCATAACCTAGTGGTTGGTGTGATTGTTTCACGCTCTGGGTTGTCTCTGCTCTCCCTGGTTCGATCCCTGGTTCGGTCCCTGGTTCGGTCCCTGGTTTGATCCCTGGTTCGGTCCCTGGTTCGATTCGATCGAACGAATGTTTTTGCTTTTTGGTAAAATGATTGAAAAGAGTTTTTAGGTTGCTTTGCGCGCTCTGTTTCATCTTTTTTCAGCTCCAAAGGATTTTGGTTCTGATAATTTCTTCCTCGCTAGTCAATCACCTCTTGTTCCATGAGCGCTTTGCCAAGAAGTGACGCCAGCACAGCTCCATATCCTTCACCTAAACAATTCTCCACTTAATTACTTAAGTACTTAAAGCTAAAAATTTAAATACAGTTAATTTCTCATATATTTCTAAGTTTTTACCAGCAATATAGAATTCCACATATTTATAATCATCAGAAAAGCGATTAAAGAAATCGAGAAGAGCGGCCAAATTGTCGGCGGTTGCCTAGAAGTTAAAAAAACATTTTTAGAGATAAAGATTTCGTTTTTTTTTTGTTTTTTACCTTAAAAATGTTCTAATCTTCAAATTACGCTTAAATCTTAAACCTGTTGATCATTGAGATCCGTTGGTTGATCATTCGATCGATACGAATATCCAGTGGTAATCGGCGATTCGAAAAATAGCACTGTTGCGTACTAAAATGGAAAGTTTTCGAAGATTTTTCAAAGATTTTCCTTCATCATTTCACTCACTTTATTCCACGACATCGGATTTTCATAAAGCGTTTGACCATCCGGGTTTAATCTAGAAAATGAAATAGAAATTTCAACTTGTGCAAGTGATCAAAGTCAAAGTCAAAGATCAAAGCTTAGCCGACAAGTTTTATCGAGTATTTTTTCTTATGGAGTGTTTCGTAATAAATCGATTAAATCGATTAAATCGATTAAATCAATTAAAAACTTTCTAATATTTTTCTCATCTATTAAAAATGAATATTTTAAAAAAAGTAATTTAAGAATTCTACAAGATTTTACTTGAAGGGTCCGATTTCAGCAAAAAGTCCCTCGATTGATGAACAACCCGGTCCACTGGATAACCAAAGAATCAATGGAGGAGCGTCAGTGGCTGGAGTTTGCGAATTGAGGAGGCTGAAGTGAGATTTCAATGCTAAAGATTTTCGACAAACAAATAATGAATCCAATTGTCGGTTGTTGCGCTCAAAAAACCCGAGTACATCTCAAAGGGATAATCGAAAGTGAGACCGGGAAGTGCGGAGATCTTGTCGGATGCTTTACTGCCGACTGGTGGTGGCGGTGGGGCTGTCTGAAAGATTGTCGCACATTTCATACCCTCGCTCCTTTGCTATTGCCAATCTAACTTTGAGCTTAAATTTCTTGGTGTTGGGCTGTTCAATTTATAAATTATTGGTATCATTAGATGGGCCAAGTCTTTCTCTATCGGTTGGTATAAAAACTATTTAAATTGGACAATCCAACACCAAGAAATTTGAGCTGAAAGTTAATGGGAAAGGGGCGGGGCGCGTATAAAAGGGTCCATCGTCCCGTGCCTTTGCCATTGGCATTGGCAAACCGTTTTTATACCAAACGATAGAGAAAGACTTGACGCATCTAATGATACCAATAATTTATAAATTGAACAGCTCAACCCGAAGAAATTTGAGCTCAAAGTTAGATTGCTAATGGCAAAAGGAGCGTATCAAATCTCCGAAGTATAATAGAGTAAAGAGGAAGTTTTCTTGAATTTCTGGAGAATTGATTATCTTTTTAAACTCTTACATCTAGTCAGGTTACTTGAAACAACAAAAGAATTGTTGATTGGCAATAGCTAGGCTTTATAGCTTCGTAGCTTGAAATACGTCATTGGGCTTGAGAAAAATTCTTCTTTTGATATATTTTTTGCAAGTTACCAAGGCTTAGGCTATTTTAGGTCAAAATAACAAAAATTCAAGCAAATTCTGATTTTTCAGTAGGTCTTCGAAAACCGAGAAATTCAGATTCGGTTTTAGCTAAAACCTGATTTACTTTTGAATGGCTTGCATTGTTAATAGCGAACTTGTTTTTCACTTAAATGAAAATTTTGAGAATTTACCACAGTATCCCGCTTAGCTCTTTGATGGTCACTGGGCGGAGTGGCGGTAATCGAAAGGAGAGCAGCTATCTGAAAAAAAAGTATCCAAAGAGTTACAGTGGCTGTAACCGTTTGTAATCCTTATCAACTTTGTTGCATTACGATTGAAACAAATCCACTATACTGTTCTTTTTCAGCCACCTGTTCTTGAACTTCGAATTCTTTCGACAACGATTGTAGGCCGGTGTCAAAAATGAGGGAATTTCCATAGTCTTGTTGTCGTATGAAATTGAGAATCATTTGTTGCGAAGAACTTGGACGATCGATTGGCACAACGTGGCCGGCTCCCTAAGCACAATTTGTTCCTAACCTTCTCCTAAAAGCCGAGAGAAAAACGAAAAAGTTTCGGCAATTTTTGGCAAACCGCCACCTATAAGAGGGCGTCAAGCCAGGGGCCAGTACAAGCAGAGGTGGCCTAGTGGATAGTGTGCTTGGGTCCAAAACCTATCCCAGTCGTGCGCGCGGGTTCGATTCCGTTTGCCGCCAATCTTTTTTGAAAATCTTTAAGCCAAACCAAATATTCCAAAAGGGAACCACCATCAAAATATAGCCCTTCAACTGGGCTACACGATGGTATAAAAACTTTTAGAAAAACTGTTGTTTGGTACAAGAAAAATGGCCGCAAAGTGAGGACCGACTCACAACAACGACGTGCTGTACATCTGACTGTACATCGCAATACTAACAACAACCTAAATTTAGAATAACGGTAAAGACAAGGGAGTTACAGACGCGCGAAAAGGCGAAAGTGTTTTTTCAAATATCATATTTCGTTGTCCAGTAGTGTAAATGACTTTAAATATTAAAAGTATTGACAACTGTCTAAATATTAATATTACCATTGTGTAGCCCTTGAAAAGAGCTTTCAGAAAATGTATAACACTAATAGTTTAAACTCAAAGACAAGGGAGTTACAGACGCGCGAAAGTGACGATCTTTTTTCAAATATCATATTTCATTGTCCAGTAGTGTAGATTGGCTATATTTAGATCTATATTTAGCTTCATTAGATAGTAGATTTTCTATTTTAAAGATGTGAATGGGTTGAAATGAATTAGGAATCCATTTTGTTCAGTATTTACACATTTGGCTTGAAAAGAAGCCGATTTCCCCCCGTCAGAAGGCAAATATTCATTCACAAAAGCCTTTTTTAGTTTAGTGTACCTACCTTGACCGTCAAAACATCGAGTGTCCCTTTGCCAAAAGAGAATCGTTTCGTGAAACCCGCCACTTGGTTACGGTATCTGAAGTGAGCATTAAAGAAAAAAAAATCACTTTTCCGACATTAGATTCTATCTAAAAACAACGAACTTCCATGCTTTTCTCGGCGAGATCGTCGTGAGTTGATTTTTCTTTGCAAAATCTTCCGCAAACCATTGATCACCAAGGAAATTGCAAATCGTATCCAAATCCCCATTGTATAGCAAGACGCGGAGTGGGTAATTTGAGCTGAAAGTTTCAATTGAAATGTTGCTTCGCGTTTTACTTCAAAAGACTCTCGAAGATCGGTGACGTGTCGTTGTATTGCCATTGATAGACGCCGTTTATTGTGTAACTGAATTGGCAAAAATGTTCTTAGATGATTAAAATCTCCTAAAATACGTGGAGAGATATTAGGTTGGTGCAAAAGAAATTTCGGTCGATATAAAATGTTCTTATTTTTTTAATCTGAAGAGCTTATTTGATGTTCTTTTGTGCATTTGTACTCTTGGATATTTACTTTATTTTCGCATTTTTTCAAAGTTAGAGCTTTCACTTTTTAATTGATTTTTGCTTTAGATCATGGTGGATCAAAAGTATGTTCTGCGCACGTGTCTTCTCTATGACTTCAAAATGGGCAAAAACGCTGCTGATTCACATCGTGATCTCTGTTCCGCCTTTGGAGAACAGGTTATCACCGAAAGATCATGCCAGCTCTGGTTTGCCCAATTCCGAGATGGTAATGAATCCTTTGAAGACGAATCGCATGGACATCGTGCCACAGCCATCGACAACAATGAATTGGAACAATTAATTGAAGCTGACCAATGCAAACAACACGAGAACTTGCCAAACATCTCCAATGTGATCATTCAACAATTGTACGCCATTTGGAAATAATTGGAAAGACAAATCGTAATGGACAATGGGTTCCACATCAATTGAGTGTTGAAAATCTGGGAGCACGCGTTTCGATCAGCCATATCTTGCCCATAAGTCGAAAAGAAGCCATTTTTTTGAGAATATCTTGACGATGGATGAGAAGTGGATTCACTTTGATAATACTTCTCGAAAAAGACAATGGCTGAGCAAAGGTCAAGCGCCAATTCCAACCCAAAGCCGGATTACATGGGCGCAAAGTGATGTTGTCTTGCTGGCGGAATATCAATGGACTTGTTCATTTTGAATTATTAGAGCCCGGAAAAACAGTCGATTCATCTTTATTTTATTCAACAACTCAAGAAGGTTGACGAAATTTTGCGTGAAAAAGGCCTAAATCCCTCAACTATCAACTTTCTCCGTGATAATGCTCCAGCTCACACGGCAAAAACCTCTTGTAAGGAACTAGAGAAGCTAGGATGGAAGGTCTTACCACATGCGCCGTATAGTCCAGACTTAGCACCCTCCGATTTTCACCTTTTCAGATCGATGCAACATTGCCTTGAGAATTGCCAGTTTAAGAATGCAAAAGAAGTCGAAAATTGGGTGACCAACTACTTTGCATCACAGAATCAAGCGTTCTTTGAGAAGGGGATCCGCAATCTGAAGCAACGTTGGAGGGATGTCATAGATAATAATGGTGCTTATTGTTTTAAATAAATTGTTATCTAAAAAAATTTTGGATGACTTTAATGTTTGTAAAAAAACGAAATTTCATTTGCACCAACCTAGTAGATAAAAGTTGAGATAGGAATGTCAAATGGATGTGCTGGCCAAACTGGACATATGCCACGGGTTATTCAATGCAACATTCAACGCAGAATTCAACGCCGATTCCGAATCTGCCTTCTGCTTCTGCAAATCCAAAAAAGCTAGCGATCATTTGACTTGTATTCCAACGCACTACCACTCGGCCACCACCGCCTGCTCAAGCCCCCTGGGAAATCCGCTTATAAACTCAGGATGAGTTTTTTGAAATCCTGTACAAAACAGGCATATAACTTTTGACAGAGTGCTCCATATCAAACGGAAAGCAGATTCGGAATCAGCGAGAAATTCTGCGTTGAATATTCTAATGGCAAATGTCATTCGGTTGACAGTTGACATTCCCTTGTGCATTTTTTGTGCTCACTTGCAATCGTGCCAATTTTGAAAGTAGTCCGGCACATGGAGGGCTTCTTGCACATCTTTTTGATTCAAATATCTAAAGTTTATCGTTAAAAATCAACTTAAAAAGAGGATAATTGAAATCTGGACTTGAAATAGATTGAAGAAACAATAGCTGAATGAAAAATTCTAGCGTTACAAGTAAAGTTTTAAAAAGTAAACCGGCTCTAGGAGAATTCTCGGTACAATCTTTTCTTCAAAACCACTTTTCCTGGGGTAGTTTTATGCGTAGATTCCGAAAAACACAACGAGAGCTGAAGAAAAAGCGTTTTAAGCCATGTTTCCCATGTTTCGGGGTCCAAAGTGTTCTATAGTGTACTTCTAAATGGAGTCGAAGCTATCGCTAGAAGGGGCGCAAGACGGGCACACTTTGAAGCCCCAAAACTTGGCTTAAAACGCTTTTTCTTCAGCTCTCGTTGTGTTTTTCGGAATCTACGCATAAAACTACCCTAGAAAAAGTGGTTTTGAAGAAAAAAAATGGTGACTAGGTTAGTACCGAATTCTCTAACAAAGCGTACTTGTACTTGAAATTTCAAACATGACTTTATCGTGTGCATAGCTGAATTTGAAACTTTACCCTTCACTCTTTATTGCACGCATAGCCGAATTTACCGCATTGCCGTATTGCTTATGCTTATGCCGTATTGCCGTATTGCTTATGCCGAATTTACCGTATTGCTTCTTGTTTTTTTGAGAATAATTTCATAATTTCATAGAAATTTGATCATTTCAATTTTGCAGAGCTAAACTCACTGATACGCAGCGGCTCCACCGAAACACGGATATCCACCTTGATTATCCGTTGAATAGGGCCATTCTTTTACCTGAAAATTCCTTGTTTCAAAGGTTAAAAGGGGGAAATTTGTCGATTTTTGTCTGTCTGTTTGTCTGATTTGTCGAAAATTTGTCTAAAGCGATTACGCGGCCGCACAAAGAACAAGGGGCAAAGCATATTGATTTCTCGGGACCATGAAGGTTGCGCCGAATGGAATTCGCATTTACCGCCGAATGGAATTGCCAGATTGCGCCGAATGGAATTCGCATTAAAATTTTCACTTTTTCAATCTCGTTTAACAGTTTTTTGGTTTTAAAGGGCTTTAAAAATCGCATTGAAAATGTTTTGAAGAAAATGAATTCAATCTTTTTGACTGAAAGTAGAAATTGTTTTAGAAAAACAAACAAAAGAAACCCCTTGATCGACGAAGAATCTTTTCATTTTCTCTTGCATATTCTTTTGATTTCTTCTTAAACCGGCCATCACTTTTGCTCGTTGATAGCAATCGGAATAGATCGAGTAGTAGTTGGTTCTAGGAATTTGGGATTAATCGAAATGATTCTTATTTATTATTATTAAATTTTTAAATTGAAATTATTTATCGAAAAGAAATTAGAAATTGAAAGTATTAAACTCGAAATTATTCGAAATTTGGCTCTTGTCAATTTTCCGGATCTTTTTAACGAGGCGTCACACTTTGAAGGCCTATAACTTCATCCAGAGATGATATTTTTCTGAACTTTTTATTAGGTTGATGCAAAAGTCTTTTTCATTTTTTTCGTACTTCTTTTGAAAAATAACAAAGTCATCAATTAACCTATGGTTTGCTCTAAATGAAAAGTGTTTATTGTTCAATTTCCCATCTTTTTAAGTCAATTTGGGTTCACTTTCAAGCAAATTCGAGAGTGAAAACGGGTTTTTCATAAAAATCTATAAAAACCTCTATAAAGAAATTGGCTGAATCAATTTCTTTGAAAATCTGAAAAAATATTTAACTTTTTGTGCTCTATCTTTTATTTATTAACATCAAGATTGGTTCCCTTAACTAAAGCGTCTAAAATGCATCATCGAGCCGCCGCCTTTTTTGACTACCCGACTTCAGGCTCTCAAAAAAAATCTAGACATAAGACATTTTAAACTCGTTTTAATGTCATTTTGCAGAAAAATAATTGGCCTTTCCAATGCAATAAACCGTTGTTCAATTGGTGCATTTGTTACTTTTTAACGGAAGTACGAAAAAAATGAAAAAGACTTTTGCATCAACCTAATATATCATTGTATAGAGGACATTTCAGGCTTTCAAATGATACTAAAAAGAGCTTGACTGAATTTTGTCATTCCCATTAAAACAAGGCGACACGACACCCGAGTTGGATAGGCCTCATGGCTCAGAGTTGGCTCTGATTTTCTTGGACTGAATTATCCAATCAAGCTTTTTTGGTATCATTTGAAAGCCTGAAATGCCCTCTATTCAATGATATAAAAAGTTTAGAAAAATATCATCTCTGGATGAAGCTATAGGTCTTCAAAGTGTGACGACTCTCTAAGACAAAGCCTAAGCTTCTACATAGCATCCCATTGTGAATATTGTCCAAGTTTCGCGATTTCTTGCCCACAAAATGAATTATTTTCTTTTGGATAGACGCCTCCATCAGTACCAATCTAAAATTTTCATTTAAACTTTCACTTTGATCACTTTTGAAACTCACAAAAATGTGCGTCGAGAAGTCACATCTCTCGAACCACATCGGATCGCTTGTCTTTGTACAGCATTGTTGAAGGGAATCCCATTCGCTAAATGGTTTAATCTATCAGTTTTCCAAGAAATATTCTGTTTGTTTAATCTATTCCTAGAAATATTCGGCTTTCCAAGAAATATTATGACCAATTTTAAAAATCAATTTATTCCTGAGAAACTTTGAGGCAGAATTGCTATTCAAAACAAGTATAAAAACCATTCAAACAATTCGATTACTCAAATAATTTCCCAAAAAAGACCTAAGAGCTAACTTTTCTCAGCACAGAAGTCAGACCGCCCGTCGTTAGCTATCTCTTCATCGGCCGCATCGAGTTCCCCCTTTCCCGCAACTGCCCTTTTTATGACCCCCTATCGCGGCGTGTGCCAGAAAGCGCGCGATTGTGCGCGCGCACAAAGAACAAGACGGTGACGAGGAAACGACGATAAGAGAAGATTAAATTGAATAAAGATTTTTAAACAAAGCTATGCAGCATTGCATTCAGGCATACTGTAACAGAAATTCAGAAACCAACTGAAAATTCATGCAAATTCCTGAGAATTTCTAGTTTTCTTTAAGTTTAGCTAATTTTTAATAAAAACATTATCTCCTTTAGAAGTTTTTAAATGCAAAAATGCTTAAAAGTGAGCCTCCGTGCTACATTTCGTCCACATGAGGTTTTACTCGGACCGCCGTAGTAGCTAAATCGTCATTGGGCAGAACGGAATGGGTTGAAAGAGGGCTCTTTTATGAACCCCCTCTCGCGGCGTGTGCCAGAAAGCGCGCAATTACTTGTGAGCACAAAGAACACCGCAGACAAGACTGTACAGGGTCAATTGGGACTGTGTTTTTGCTACAATTTTTGGCTATATTATGTTAAAATTAATATATAAAGCTGGAATTGTTCTTCTTTTTTGTTAAATAACCGCTAGTATTCGCATAATAAACGGTATAAACAAGAAAATGCCTGAAAAAGCAAGCAAAAGCAAAAGTAACAGAAAAGCAAAAGAAAAGAGAAGAAAAAGCCAGCAAATATAATTGGAAAGTAGCATTTTTTGGGGGTGGGACAAATGCGACCTTTTTTTTGCGCACCTGGATATTTACGCACCTTTTTTTTACTGAAAAAGGCCTTAGGAAAGGTCGTAGAGCTTCAAAAATGTTTCCATAGAAGGGAATCGTATGCGTAGATTCCGAATTTCGACAAATCAGACCTCGCTGACACGTCAAATTTGGGCTAAAAGGCAAAAACTACGCAACTTAACGCTTTTCCGCAGTTTTTGCCTTTCAGCCCAAATTTGACGTGTCAGCGAGGTCTGATTTGTCGAAATTCGGAATCTACGCATACGATTCCCTTCTATGGAAACATTTTTGAAGCTCTACGACCTTTCCTAAGGCCTTTTTCAGTTAAAAAAAAGGTGCGTAAATGTCCAGGTGCGCAAAAAAAAGGTCGCATTTGTCCCATCCCCCATTTTTTAGCTTTTGAGCTATAGCTTTTCGAATCACTTTACCTTTTCGCAATCATTCCGTGAAAGTACAAAAGATGAATCTCGGAATTGACTTGTTGAACGGCGGAAATGATTCCGTTTCCGATGGCGATTCCTTTCAAGTTTAAACCAGTCAATTCACCGGACTAAAATCATAGAAATTTTATGTAAAAAAAATAAGAAACAAGTTTAAAAATGTATAAATACATAAAAAAAGGCTGAAATCTTTTACCTGAATCTTATCAACGATCAGTTTTGTCAGCGTCGGGATGTAGACACCGGCATAGGACTCGCCTGGAATTTCACTAATATATTCCTATAATATTCTCGTAGACTTTAATAAAGTAATTCTTTCTTTACCCGTTATATAGAATGATCGGCTTTGATACTCGGGGAAAATCGTCAAAAAGTCGACCAAAGCCATGTAGAAATCGTTGGCCGTCTGAAAGTATACAGGATGGGCAAGAATTATCGTGACAGGGTTTTTGAAATCAATACAGTGCTTCATTTACATTAATATTAGATTATATTTTAGTTATTTTAAAACTAAAGACTCTTAGCTATACCTTAATTGTAAAAATTTTTGAAAAGATATTTGAGCTCTGCTTTCATTTCCATCACCCTAATACCGTATTTTCTCTAATAGTAGTGCACCCAGAGCCTCACCTAAATTCCTCGAAATCTCGAAAAGCGCTTATCAGAACCTATCGATGTGGGGTTGGAAAATGTAGCTGACGATGAAATCTAGTGAGGGATTTGAGTGTTGAGCTTCTGCAAAAGCTTGGAAACCGTCAAATACTCATCAGCTCGGCTCAGCGGGGCACTACGATTAGGGAAAATACGGTGTTATTGCTGATCATCAGAAATTTGCCAATCGGGCCCTAAGATCAGTCAGCCAGGTCAGAAGCCAGCCTCAAGACTGTCTGACTATCTTGAGCTTTGGGGGATTAGAGTATTGAGCTTCTGCAAAAGCTTGCGAAACCGTAAAATAGTCACCAACTCGGCTCAGCGGGGTGCACTACGATTAGAGAAAATACGGTATATGGATTTTTTCTTTCCTATATTTAGGGCTTGCTTTTGTATGGTTTTTACAAACATTATTTATGTTAATAAATGTATTTTTCATTGAACAAACCTTCTCATCATTGTACGTTTGATCGGGGTTGATCGTCAAATTTTGCAGCGAAAAGCCGACACCCCGTGGTCCCTCAATAAACAACAAGTTGGCTCCCTGAACAACAAGTTAAAGATTATCTTTTAACTTACAAGCTAAAAGTTTTCGATCTAAACTTTTCTAAAAACTAACTAGACATCAAAAAAAACTGGCCTTATTCCACGAGTAAACATTCTCAAAAAGCGTTTTCCCATCGGGATTCACTCGAAATGGACCGACTTCTGTTAGAAGACCTGAAAATTAAATCATAGCTTTATACTATTGTAAAATAAAAGTTTAAAAATAATGTTTATTTTTAATTTTTAACCTCCAAGCGCTGAGCACCCAGGTCCTCCATTCAGCCAGAGAACAAGCGGATCAGTTGATGGATTTCCTTGTGATTCTTGTAACCTAAAGAGAATTTGATGATGAACACTGCGGAAAGTTTAAATAATCTTTAGCTAAATGGAAAATAGGCTCAAATTTTAACTGAGCTATCAATGGTGATGCCAAAAGCTGGATTAAAGTTTCATTTTGCTGAAATCCAAGTTAAAAAGAGTTAGAAAGAGGTAAAAGCGAAAATGAGGAAAGCAAAAAATCCTAATTTTTCACTCTTCGGGGTAAAGAGTTTTGGCAGAAAAAAAAGAGCTCAAATAGGTTTAAAAGGTTTAAATTGAAGGTTTAAAAGAGGATTGATTCACATTATATAGATATTCAGGACATATCTAGGTACTAGGTACTTGTGGAGTATCCGGGGGGGGGGGGTCTTTCAATATCCGGGGTGGTAAAATTTTAAGATCCGGTGGGGTAAAATTTTATATACGTTATACACGACACCTTCTAAAGATATTCAGCCACTTAAGTGATTTGGTGGCAAATTCCCATCAAATGTAAAGATATTCAATTTATTCGAGGTGATTACTTGATTACGTGATATTCGAGGTCATACTCCCCGAATATTAAAAGCCCCCCCCCCTCTGGATACTCCACAAGTACCGGAAATACGACTCACCAATAATGCAAATAATTGCCATTAATCGCGTTTAAATAACCCGAATACTGTTTGAAATTGATATTGTAAGTGAGTCCTAAAGTTTTTCTGTTTAAAAGCAAAAAAAAAAATTCAAGTTACCAGGCAATGTCCAGATTCGGTCAGCTTGCTTCCGAGTCCCTAAAATCATATCAAAATCAATCATATGAATCATAAGATCATATGAATTCATAAATATATCTACATTGTTTCTTTGGCGGCATTTGGTAATCGGGTAAAAGGGGTTTGCTGTTGAGGTCGGATTCGGCGATTGCTGAGTAGTTACTCTTGCGGAGGAAATTGAAAATCATCTGAAAAGCGGGACCGGGACGATCGGTGGGAACTTGATGCGATGCACCCTGAAAAGATAAGAAAGATCATTATCCAAAAAGCCCATCAAGAAAGCCAGTCGACGGCCTGGAAAAGGATCTTAGTGCACACAGATGGTTGCAAAAAATGAAAAAGTTTAAAGTCTTTTTTTTTTTGCTTGAGACTTTAGGAATTTCTGGTTACAGATTCGGAATCCCCGTGGAATTCTGCATCAGGAACACTCTGTTTTCAGCCAAACAATGTTAGGGTTCTGGTGGGGTTTCCTTGCCAGCTCACCTTCACCGTCAACAAATCGATAGTCAAATTTTTGGCGGTAAAACTTTTCGCAAATCCCCCAACTCGATTCACGTATTCGACGGCTCGTGTGTAATTCCAGAGATCTCGAGAGGAGAATTGCATCTAAAAAGGAAGAGTTTCAAAGAAAACAGCAGGGCAAATTTTGTTCAATGCACTGCAGCTATCTAAATAATAGATTAGTTGACAAAAAAAGATACCATACCAAAAAAAGGATACTATATGTTAATATTTCTCATGTTTCCCTCAACTTTTCTTTTCTTTTTACCTGATTTTTCGTGGCAAATCTCTCGATAAACCACTGATCACCCAAGAATTGACATGCCATATCCACATCTCCATTATAAATCAAGATTCGTAGATTGAAACCTAAAATAGTCCTTATCAGCAAAAAGCTTAAGCAAAAAAAAGAAAATCCTTCATTACCTGTATCGAAAACCTTTTGAAAAACGGGCATCATATCAGCGTTTTGCTGAATGTAGAGCTCGCTGTTGATCTTGTCACTGAAAATTTCCAGGATCACTTTTTGTTAAGAGCTGAAACGAAAAAACTCACTTGCACAATTGCCATTGTTGAACAAAATCGGGTATATGTAGCGCTTGTCGGACTTCTTTTCGATTCAGATAATTTGCGGCTCCTTCAGGCGCCCAACAAGAATATCCGCCCACTGCATCGGTTTCCCAGTTTCGCACGAGACTCTGCAAATGTTTTAAATGATCTATCTAATTTTAATGTTGTCTAATGTTGTCTAACACTTGTTTTTCACTATTTACAATATTAGTGAGACATTGTGTACGTTAAAAGAAAGTATTTGTCGGGAACGCGCTTGTCTACGGCCCACACGACCTGGGTTCAATCCCTGTATCTCTTGTCTTCCTTGTTCTTTGTGCTCACACGTAATGGCGCGCCTTCTGGCACACGCCGCTAGAGGGGGTCATAAAAAGAGCGCTCTTTGGTCCCGTTTCTTTGGTGTTTGTGTTGTGTTATATCAAGAAAATATCTACTCTCATTATTTCAGGCTCAAAAAGTTTAGGTTAATTTAAGATTTCATAAATTAAATCCTACAATACTGTTCGTTTTATTGGTTTAATAAAATAGTTTAGTTGTTTTTTCACCCCTTGATCGACGAAAGGATTCGCTCCATTCGAGAACATTTGATAGTCAAGATTGGCGGAGAACCTGAAATCAAGAAAGGTTGTGAGGCATTTGCCATTAGCAATCTAACTTTGAGCGCAAATTTCTTGGTTTCAAGAAAGGCTGTCGAATTTCTAAACTATTGGTATCATTAGATGCACCAAGTCTTGCTCTATCGATTGGTGTAAAAACCATTTAAATTGGACAACCCAATACCAAGGAATTTGAGCTCAAAGTTCGATTGCTAATGGGAAAAGGGGCGTATCAAATGTCCGATAATCAAGAAAAGTTAGTCCAAAAGTAACCAACATTTGAAAATGGCGATTTGATCGTATTTGATTTCTTAGGTGAACTTTGAGATTCTCTGAATCAGCCGCCTCATTGTAACAATCCGAATAAGTGCTGTAGACGTTGTTTAGTCTAAAAAGTTGATCGTAATTAAATGTGAATAAAATTTTACGTGTTCCAAACGAGATCCTGTCCATACTTTACCGTTCGTTGCGCACATGAATTTGATAAATCATCAGTGAAATTCTTGGGCACAGCGTTTCCTAGAAATTTTTTTCACTTGTAAACGAAAGTTTAGTTTAGTCTTTATTTGCGTTTGCGTTTCTTATATTGTTCCTTATATTGTTACAGTACAGTAGCCGAGCCATGCTTTAGCGTATAATCTACTATATATAAAGCAGAAGAAATGTCGGTCCGTCTGTCGGTCCGTCTGTCTGCCCGTCTATCTGCCCGTCTGTCCGTCTATCTGCCCGTCTGTCCGTCTGTCCGTCTGTCTGTCCGTCTGTCTGCCCGTCTGCCCGTCCGTCTGTCCGTCTGTTGGCAATTGGCAAAACGGGGCGGGGCTTAGATTGCGTGAAAAACGCAAACGTTAGCGAGTGTTTTCCGCCGGTCATAATCATAATTTCAATTTCTTATCAATTTTCTCGCTCGAAGATTAACTAGTTGGTATTAAAAGAATAGATTTTGATTATAGAATCCAAAAAGGATGAGGAGACAAAACTCTTGGGTCAAATCGCATTCTCGCATCGCAGTTTAGCCACTGTTTAAGCAACAAATCGGCTTAAAAGGTTGGAATTTGTACAAAAATAAGCCAAAACGATTCCCAAAAAAAGGGAAGCCCTTTATACCAGAGTCCTATGCCAGATCATAAGCTATTTTGCGCGCGCACAAAGAACCCCTCGTCATTTACTCGATTTTTCCTTTGCATTGTAAATTGTATAATAAAGAAGATATTTAGCTGGAAAATTTGTCCTCTAGGGTTTTCAGGGACGGCGAATCGATTGGAGCTATTCATTTTTATTGATCTATCAATTGGAATTCGGATTTTATTCGTTCAAAGTTCTCGATCTTCAAAGCATCAAAAGCTCTCTTTAACGAACAAACTTCTAATTTTAACAAATCTTTTCTCAAATCAAAAATGTCCGGCACGTTTACTTTAAATCAAAATCTCTTCTAAGCTTACCAAATGAATCAATGTCGATGTATCGAGAGAAATCACAATATTCTAGCGGTTTCTTCTTATCCTCATCACTTCCACAGCACTCTTTCATCGCTTCGAATTCGCTGAAATTGAAATGAAGCTTGAAAAATGAGTGTTTCAAAGGAAAAAAAAGAGAGATTAGATCTTGTAAAATCTAATCGACGAAAGGATTGAGAGCTAAATTTCTTTCAAATCCTCACATCTTCCCGATAAATCCCCGATAGTAAACGAGATCGATGGCGGAATTGATGAGATCTCGACGATTCAAGGCACCATTTCCCACAGCCATTCCAACGAGTTTCACATTTGGAAGAGATGCATTCTAAAAAAACATCTCTTTAAAACATCTTTTGAACAAAACTTAAGCAAAAGTCGCATTGTCTAAGTTTACTCTCAAACAAACGTTCAGATCTTGTCACGAGTGCGTTTGTTTTAACGCGTTTACGTATCAAATTAAAGTAGAGAGGATGAGTGATTTTTTGAGATATAACACATATTTTTAGCATTAACCAGCGCTTAGAAAAAATTATTGAAAAATGATGAAAAATCGGCTCTTTTTCGCCGATTTTCAATCATTTTTTTTCTAAATGCTGGTTAATGCTAAAAATATGTGTTATATCTCAAAAAATCACTCATCCTTTCTACTTTAATTTGATACCAAGGCGCGCAAAAACTAAAGTATTGGTGCTGAGATATAAGCTTTTGTTTTGAGAGCAAATTTAGACTACGCGACGCTTCTATAGGGGGTGCTTCTATTAGAGCTTTTACTTAAAATGATCCTAAATCGGGCGCAATTTTGTACTCTATAGCTTGGAAACGCGAAGCCGGAGTCGAACCCGAACCAATTTGGTAAAAAAACTTTTGACCTCTTATTCTAAAGCTTACACGCCAACTACGTGTTGCTTTGATTTACCATTGTGCAGCAAATTGCTTTTAGGAGACGACTAAAGCCAAAAGAAGCTTTACGGTATTGAATTTCAATGTGTTTTGAGAAATTTAAAGGTGGGGAAATATGGATCTCTGATTTCAAGATCTCTGATGATCTCTGATGATTCTGATGATCTCTTTGAACTCCAAGATCTCTTTGCCAATCCTGTTTAGTCCTGTGAAACTGATTTTCATGGGGAAAATAGCATTTCTAGTGGAAAAATGATGAGATTTCGTAGATGCTGAAGCTATTTTCCAAGTTTGGCACCATTTTTCAACCAGATCAAGATCTGACATGGCCTCTCTTAAAGAAGTAAAAGCAGAAAATAGACTTCTAAGACTTCTATGCTACTTACATTGTTAGGTTTAATTTTTAAATCTTTTAAACTTTTACTTTGATCATCTCGATGATAATTTGAGTCAACATTGGCACGTAGACGCCCGCGTATGATTCACCTGAATAGCAATAGAAAACACTTTCATGTTCGTCAAAAGATTGTGTTCGTCATTTAATTGTACATCTATTATGCGAACTTCAAAATCTACCCATTATGTAAAAGTCTCGATTGTTGTACTCGGGGAAACGAGTAAAGAAGTTCTTCAAGGCGATCGAGTTATCCAAAGTTGTCTGGAAAAGTTTGAAAGCTACAAAAAGCATTGGGAACACTATTTTTACCTTATCATCATTGTACAAAGTGTCTGTTGGAGCTGAGGTATCACGATAGGAAAAACCGACATCGCGAGGGGATTCCAAGTATAAAACATTAGCAAACTGAAAGAAGCTTAAGCTTTAGCATAATGATTGGGGTAGGCTAATTTCCGCAATTTCTTTTGCGCAACAGGGTCATTTGTGCAACGGGGTCGTTTGCGCAACTCGCCATAACTTTCTTCTAAGCCGGTCAATCTTTATCGTTTTGGTGTCATTTTGTAGATCTCAATAAGTGCAACAAAATGAAACCAAAATCATAAAGATTGGCTGACTTAGAAGAAAGTTATGGCGAGTTGTGCAAACGACCCTATTGCGCAAATGACCCTATCCCTAATAATTTCATCGCTACCCCTTAGCCTACCTTTAATAGCTACTTTCTAATACCTTAGCCTCAAAATTAAGCTTTAAAAATGAAGATTTGACTAAGTTTAACGTTGATCAAATATTCCCCAATTTCCTAGATGTTCAAATGTTTGCTAATTTTCTTGAACCTTATTCCACGAAAAGACATTCTCGACAAGCGTTGACCCGTCTCGACTCGCGCTAAATTCAATGATTTCAAGACTTGATCAGCACTTGAGAACCCGTTTTATCGTCAGCCAATAAGTGTATGATTTTTTACGAATACACTGATTGTCTACAAAAGCTATAAAAATGCAGAAATCTTTCAGCAAACCGTAAGGGTCCATTCTCACTGAGGAGTCCGATCAGTGAGGCACAACCAGGTCCACCATTCAACCAGAGAATCAATGGAGAGCTCGATGGAGAGTTTTGTGATTCGACAAGCCTGAAAACTTAACGAAATGAAGCTATTTTTGATGAAATGAAGATCCCTACCAGTAATGCAAATGATTTCCATCAGTTGCATTCAAAAAACCGGAGTATTGCTTGAAATTCGGGGTGAACGAAAGACCGGGAAGTGACTGGATCAAATCATCGTCTTTTGTGGCAGCTCTAGCATTGTGGAGGAATAATAAAAGAAATATCGAGCCGAGTCGATAGTGGTTCATACCTGAAATCGAATCTTTAGGTCTTTAGGTTATCGAATGACACCAATTAACTAACTGAAGCAAGCCCGGCAAACTCTGAGCCCAAAATTACCGTGAAGTCAACAGTCAATTAAGTCTTCTAGTCAACAATTCTTGAAAAGAAGCAAAAGAAGAAACCAAGGCGGGGACCGAACTTGTGAGTTCTCAACCTGGAAATGAACGCTTTACCACTCCGCCACGGCTTCACATGATTCGGTCCGCAAGGATACTGTTAAGACCCCCGCTAAAACCCTCGCTAAGACCCAAATGAACACATTTTCAGAGTCCTAACAAACCTTTAAACGCTTATAACTCCTAACAGATTGTCATTTAGCAAAAATGGAATATCTATTCGGAATCAGTATCAAATTCTGCGTCGAATGGTATAGGTCGCATAGCATTTCGCCGGCTCACCTTTCCCTTATAAGTAAAAAAAAGAAAAAACCGACATTCCCAGACATATCAATGCTTTTTATTTATGAAACTTTGCAAAAGGATGGATAAACAAGACTCTAAAAATGTCTAGTTTCAATTTGAACATAGACATAAATTAGTTTAACAATATAATCGTTCATAAGCGTCTCAAAAGCCTAAAGTTATGCCAGGCTAAGCCAAAGTCAATCAAAAACGAAAACTTGTGCCAATAAATATGCTAAATTCTGACCGTAAAGATCAGTTAACATACAAAATTGTAACAAAAATAGATTAAGCTTTGAATCTGATTGTGATTTTAGTTTGATTTTAGCTTACCGTAAATACTGTAATAGTACCCCACCGCCATAATGATGGTGCGGAGCGTTGCGTAGTCTAGCTTTGAACGAGTTTTTCTCGGCACTGGTTTATGCTACAATGCGCGCTTAGGTATCAAAAAATAGCCCTGAATTTCAGCTATTTTTTGATACCAAAGACACATTTTTTGAAAGTACGAGCGCTTTGAAAAAAAATGAAAGACTAAAAAACTTTTGCGACTACGCGACTGTACGAGAGGGGTGGGGTACTATTACAGTATTTACGGTAAGTCTATTAAAGTTAAAACTATTAAGTCTATTTATTAGGTTGATGCAAAAGTCTTTTTCATTTTTTTCGTACTTCCGTTAAAAAGTAACAAATGCACCAATTGAACAACGGTTTATTGCATTGGAAAGGCCAATTATTTTTCTGCAAAATAACATTAAAACGAGTTTAAAATGTCTTATGTCTAGATTTCTAGAGCTCTAGTCAAGCTATTGAATTAAGCTTATTGAAAGTTTGATCTTTATAAAAATGTCTAATAAAATGCAAAAGTCTCCTTTTTAGCCTGTTAGGTACAGTAAAAATGATTATGTTTCAAAGTTGATGGGGTTGGTTTGATTGAAAAGTGCAGAGCTGTTCTTAGTTTAGAAGTTAATATCGGAACGAATTAATAAGTCGGTGAAAGTAGCCATCAAGACAAACTACAGTATTTACGGTATCTCTAAACTAAGAACAGCTCTGCACTTTTATTCTTTTACCAAAAAAGAAGAACAGCTCTGCATACATAAAAATAAAGAAATGAGTGCCTCAGACAAAGTAAAGACAAAGTAAAGACAAACCAAAAACAAAGTAATAACTCAAAAATGAATCCTCCAACTTCTCCGATCTCAAACTAAACTGAATTCTTTTACAATAAAACGTAAATAAGAAAGCGGACGAAAGAATCTTATCTTTGCTTTGCCTCTTTCCAATCCCTTTTTACCTTTCCCCCAAAAATATACACCAAGAAAAAATTGTTGGAATCGGCTCATCTCTCCAGTAGCCAACCCAGAAGGAATTTGTCATTTTCCCAATTTTTTTTGTCTTCACTTCTTCAAATAAGATAACAAATCTTCAAATAGATAACAAATCTTAAACTACGGGAATGACTTACGGCTTTACCAGACAATCAAGCTTATGCAATTTGGGATGATTTCTCGGCGAGTACATAAAACGTTTTTTTGTTTTTTGTGCTTCTTAAACTTTATCTACTTATTTATAATACTTTAAAGGCTTTAAAGGCTTATGATAATACTTATTTATACCGTACTTTCTGTAATAGTATTGCGCACTACTATTTTTTCAAGCCCCCTCCTGCCTGCACTACTATTATAGACTGCACTACTATTACAGAAAATACGGTACTACTTTAAAGATATGGTTGGTGATTTAAAAAGTCATTTTTACCATTTTCATTTACACAGAATATCAGGTTGACCGGAAAATCTTGTCCGCTTTTTTTAAAATATTACTTTTTAAAATGAATAATGAGCCTATCGATTTATGATTTCTTTTATCAGAAACTTCTATTATTTATTTGACAAATTGCTCTTTGACAAAATTGACAAAGAAATTCTGAAAAGCTTTATTAGTTCATTTTTTTAAACAATTTGATAATGTACCAAAATCAGTCTTATCCGTTTTTTTTAACGATTACTTTTTGAAATGAAACAATGAACCAATCGATCTAGAGTTTATTTTATTAGAAAATTCCTTATATTTATTTACAAACTTCCATTTACATTCTCAAAAGCTCGCGTTGGGCATTTTCTTTAAAGACATAAAGTCGAGGAATCAAAAACGATGAAATTCAAAGTTTTGAAGCACTTTTTGTCACAGAAAACTCTTTTTGGTATTAGTCTTCTTTTTTGGTAAAAGATAGAGAATGAAAAGTTAGGTAGATAAACAAAGTTTCAAAACATTTCATCAAACCATTTCCATTCTACACTGCTTTGCAAAACTTTAAACTTTAGCCCTACTTTTTGTCAAAAAATTTTAACAATTTTATTGAAATAATGGGTATATAATTAAAAAGCATAACAATTAATGATCATTTTGACTCTCGTACTTCATTCTCACACTCAAAAAAACGATGAGGAACCGGGTCAAGCAGTGACTTCAAGTACGTAGTAGGAATATCAAGCCAGGCTCGTGAAATTGCAACTTTAGATCGTAAATCAATGTGAATTGGCGTGAATTTTTATAGATTTGCCATATTGCTGGATTGGTGAATTGAAAACTGCTATTGTCATATGTGACAGTTTGAGCACTTTCTTCAAAAGAAACCCATTTTGGCATCAATAGAAAAGTTGTAGAGAATCAAAAATGAGGCTTATAGCCAAATTTCCAAAAAGATACACTTAGTAGTTTCGCTTAAAATGCAAGTTTTGTGAAAATTCGTAAATTTGGCATTTCTTGAAAACCAGTTTTTGAATCGTTCTGAAAATTTGGATATAAGCTTGATTTTTGATTCTCTACAACTTTTCCATTGACACCAAAATGGGTTTCTTTTGAGGAAAGTGCTTAAACTATCATATGACAATAGCCCGCAGTTTTCAATTCACCAATCCAATATTACAATTTCTTTATCATCTTCTTGAAAAATGATATTTTCATTAAACTCGTTCGAGATTCGAAAGTTCGAAAGTTCTTTTTTCTCATTTCCATTTTTACTTTGATAAGCAATACACGAATTTCTTGTAGCGTAAACCATAAAAAGCCCGAAAGCAACTACCGCCGTGATAAGGAAGAAATTTTTCAAAAACGATCGAATTCAAGCGAATGCAAAACGTGCAAAAATCTACTGTTTTAAAGGGAAATGCACTGCTTACGGGCGACCTCTACCACTGAGTTATTGGGATCTTGTTAACTGCATTGAGGGGTGCCAGAAAAACAAAGTTTAACAGTAAAACATGGCAACCCCTGGCACTCCTTAATGCAGTTAACAAGGCCCCAATAACTCAGTGGTAGAGCATTTCCTGAAGTGGTAGAGGTAGAGCATCAGTGGTAGAGGTAGAGCATTTCCGTAAGCAGTGCATTTCCTTTTAAAACAAAAGTAATGTAGTATGCTCAAAACTCATTGAAAGTCTGTAGTAAAGAGGTAGCTATCAGATTTTCTCGTGTTACCTTTAAATACCCTTTTACATTCCTCAAATTTCGGTGGTCTCAAGCAATGAGCGTAGAGGGCGATCTATTCCAATCTACCAAGTTAAGCAACATCGGCTAGTCGATGGTTCAAGTCCTTTTGGCTCAGCTCGAGAGAAAAAGATAGTGGTTTAAAGCTTTGCATATTTCTTTTACGGTAACGAATTCTTCCGTCCTGTCTGCACATACTCAAATATTTCGTCGATTCTTTCAAATTGTTCCTTTCTTAAAATGGTCAGTCTGATCTAGACTTTCCCCTCTTCAAAAACTTCTTCTTTATCTATTCTCCCAATTCATTTTTCTTCAAAAAGGAGGCACACTTATCACCGAATTATTTGAGAGGCTTTTCCAGTGAAAATCCCTTTAGGAAAAAGTCGGCTTATTCGAGTTTTCCACAAAACCAAGGATTGCTACTATTTTTTGATAAAAAAAATTGAATCTTACTTGAATTTCTTGAAAAATTGAAACTTGAAAAACTTTTAGATCAAAAAAAGGAACATCGTCTCTTTGTCCCCAAAAGAGAGATGATTTCATTTGATTTTTGGGTTCTCTTGGGGACTTTCCTTTTCATTTCCCGCGTTGAATCTGCGACAAAGGATGATGATTTGATCACGAATCTTCCCGGTTTAACATTCACTCCGACTTTTAAACAATATTCCGGATATCTCGACACAACACAGGGAAATCATTTGCATTACTGGTGAGTGTGGATGATTTGATGGGCAAACTTTGATGGGAAAACTTTGATGGGAAAACTTTGATGGGGAAGCTTTGATGGGCAAACTCAAATCCCATTTTCTGCATTTAGCAATTGATAGGAGAATGGGAAATGTTTTAAATTTCTCTTAAGGTTTGTCGAAGCTCAAACAAATCCCACAAGCGCTCCACTTTTATTGTGGCTAAATGGTGGACCGGGATGCTCGTCGATGGATGGTTTTCTGACTGAAATGGGACCATTCAGGTGATTTTTCGAGGAATTCTTCATTCGATTTCGATGTTAAAATAAAAGTCTTTTGAATAAAAGATCTAGAAAGCTATCTACTACATAAAAGAGCAGTGTCTGTCTATCTGTCTGTCTGTCTGTCTGTCTGTCTGTCTATCTATCCGTCTGTCTATCCGTCTGTCTATCTGTCTGTTTGTCTGTCTATCTGTCTATCTGTCTATCTGTCTGTCTGTCTATCTGCCTGTCTGTCTGTCTATCTGTCAGTCTCTACAGGCATTTTCTCGATCGTGTTTTGCCCAGTAAAGCTAAAACTCCTTTAGAAAACCTTAGAATGCATTGTAGTTGCACTGTTTAAAATAAAAAATTCAAAAACACAAGATTGAGTGGCACTACGGGGGTCGACCCGAATCATCTGGGTGGTAGAAATGCATGCTCTCAACTACGCCACGGAGACATGGATACCGGGGAGAAAACCAGCAGTTAAACTGTTTTCTCGTCGACCCCCGTCCAGCTACTGTTAAGCTTTTAAGCGGATTTTTCTCGTTAGGTGTCTAGGTTGGCATGGCGCAGTAGAGAACATGCTTTTCTACAGCTCTTCTCTACAGCTCATGTGAGCTGTTTTCTACAACTCACACGATCCGGGTTCGATCCCCGTCGTACCACTCCACTGACTTAAGCCAGAAAACATTCAGCTAGAAAAACCCATCGGATTTCTTAGCTGGTTATTAAGAATAAGAAGATTTTATCCATTTGATTTGACCAATTTGACCACGACCAATCTATCAAAACCATTTCCAGACCAACGCGTGACGGATCAGCTTTAGTGGAGAATGTCTACTCTTGGAATAAGGTTTTCTTATTATATAATAATATTTTTTTTTGGTCTAAAACATTTAAGCTTTAATTTATTGTATATTTTACAGTTAGCCAACATGTTGTATCTGGAATCTCCGCGTGATATCGGGTACTCATATCGAGACAAAAACGCCACAAAGGACACCCTTTACAATGATGATAAGGTGAGAAATTTGTGTTAAAATTTTCAATAAAGTTTTGAAAAATTTCAGACCGCCATCGACAATGTCTTAGCATTGCAAGCATTTTTCGCTCGTTTCCCCGAATACAATCAACGACCATTTTATGTCACTGGTGAGTATTAATTTTTGCTTTAAAAATCGGATTTCAAATTGAAATCTCTTCTTTTTTAAAATAGGTTTTATTTAGGATTTATTTAGGATTTATTTAGGATTTAATATTTAGCAATTTAGCAATCTATTGGGTTGGTGAATTGAAAACTGCGGGACTTTGAAGTGCCGGACTTTGAACTAAAATTTATTCAACATAAAACCATGAATTTATTCCAAATAATCTCCATTATTATTGACGACATCTGCCCATTTTACAGGCAATTTGTGGATTCCTTTTTCGTAGTAGGATTTTGGTTTGTGTGTGAGACAAGTGTAAGACTCAAAAATGGAGGACTGGAGATGTCCTGGAGATGATCAGTTTGAGCACTTTCTTCAAAAGAAACCCATTTTGGTGTCAATAGAAAAGTTGTAGAGAATCAAAAATTAGGCTTATAGCCAAATTTTCAAAAAGATACACTTGGTAGTTTCGCTTAAAATGCAAGTTTTGTGAAAATTCGTGAATTTGGCATTTCTTGAAAACCAGTTTTTGAATCGTTCTGAAAATTTGGATATAAGCTTGATTTTTGATTCTCTACAACTTTTCCATTGACACCAAAATGGGTTTCTTTTGAAGAAAGTGCTCAAACTGTCACATACGACAATAGCCGTTTTCAATTCACCAACCCAATAGTTTGTGCTTTAAAAACCGGATTTCAAATTGAAATCTCTTCTTTTTTAAATAGGTTTTATTTAGGATTTAGCAATTTAGCAATCTAGTAACTTAATAAACTATTTTTAGATAATTCTTATCAATCATTTTTTTAGGAGAATCCTATGGTGGTGTCTATGTACCAACACTGACGAATTTATTGGTAAAGATGATTCAGGTAAATATTTTGAAAGTTTTGATTGAATTGGCATTGAATTGACATTGAATTTGCATTGAATTGACATTGGATTGGCATTGAATCGACATTGGATTTGCATTGGATTGACATTGGATTGGCATTGAATTATCATTTATTTCTCATAAATTAAGCCAATTTTTAGAATGGATCTATTCCAAATATCAATTTGGTTGGGATGGCTGTGGGAAATGGTGCGCTGAATCGAGTGGATCTCGTCAATTCGGGCCTCGATCTTGTTTATTATCGAGGAATCATCGGGAAAACGTTTGAGCGAATTTGAATTTTGCTAACTGAATGATTTTAGTGAATTCGACGCAATGCAACAGTGTTGTATGTCAAATGATGAGATGAAAACCCCGCTGCAGTATTGCAATTTCTCACAATGGGTTCACATCGATGATTACGGTAAGAAAGAGCGTTGAAATCGTCCTGAGATCAGGATTGTTTCTGGTTTTGATCAGACAGCTTCAGACAAGATCAGTTTTTGATCTGGCTTTCTGTAGCGCTTGACTAGGAAGCCGATTCTGGATTCTGGCTTGAATCCAGCCTGGCCTGGCCCGGCTATTTCCCTCTCTTTCTTCCTTGTCTTTCCTATTTCTTCTTGCGTGAACAAGGCCCCAATAGCTCAGTGGTAGAGGTCGCCTGTATGCTGGAGGTCAACGCTTCAATTCCCCCTCGTTTCCAAAATCTTTCCCATTCATTTCCGGGCTTTTACAAGCCCTTAAGCTCAGTTAGACTATCTCTAAGCCAAACGTTTTAGGGTGGATAATCTTAGGTTGTTCGGATATAAACAAGCGTTTGCACTGCTTAACTCGTGAGGAAGCCATTTCCCGCATCTGATCGCTTTTCCAATGGCGTGGAGATGCTCATCAATGGTAGAATTTGAACATAGAAACTGTTGAGCAAGTTCACGCGTCGTTTGGCATGGATTCGATTCGATTGCAGCCCACAAAATATCGTTGTCTACCGCTTGAGGTCGACGAGAGTGTTCATCATCCTCGAGACTTTCATCACCATTCCGAAAGCGTTGGAACCAGGCTCGGCATCGGCTTTCGCACAATACATTATTCCGAAAGGCTTGGTCCAAAGGCTTAGTCCAAAGGTTTGGTCGAAAGGCTTGGTCCAAAGGCTTGGTCCAAAGGCTTGGTCCAAAGGCTTAGTCCAAAGGCTTAGTCCAAAGGCTTGGTCCAAAGGCTTGGCCCAAAGGCTTGGTCGATGGGATTCCGCGGCTGTTTTGCCCAGTTTGAAGTCGTAAAGTAGGCAGACGCGAACTTGATAGAATTTGAAGTCGATCATCTAAAGCAAGAAAAAAAATCTTAAAAATAAGAAATTATCCGTTTAAAAATATTCTAAATATGCACAAGATAACGTACTTTTAAATACAGAAAGACATGTTTTAAAAGCTTCCCCACACAACAATAAGTTTAGTAACGCTTGTTTATATCCGAACAATCTAATAATGTATACTTTATTTCAGTAATAAAGCTTAACAAAAAGATCCAGATTCAAAAATTAAAAATTAAAAAATTTACAATGAATCAAAAGAAAGGAAAAAAAAACAATGCCATTTACAAATCTAGTAATGGATGAATTGAGCGAAGAAATTGCGGATTTAAACCTGAATCTTTTCAGTATTCAATTCAAATTCAGTATTTAGACTTACTGTACTTTCTAGGGATATTCCGTACCTCCCAGGTATCTTACTGTACTTTCTAGGTATCTTACTGCACTTTCTAGGTAATTATCGTACCTTCTAGTGATATTACCGTACTTGTCCCCCACCTTTAACTCAAAACTTTCATTCTCATCGGTGTGCACACGTCCAAGCATATCATCTGTGTCTTGTCCTGAAATCAAATGAAATTTCTACACCCAAAATCTTTTCTACACCAAAATAATGTTTCTACTTTTCTGAAATTTCTACACCCAAAATTTCCCAAATTTCTTGAATAAGATTCTGTTCAAAACGAATATCCCAATGAGAAATCTAATAGGTTGATGCATAAGTGTTTTTGTTCCTTTTCGTCTGCCGTTTCAAGCCAACAAATGCACCAATTAAACTACGGTTGATTTCATTAGAAAAACCAATTATTTTTCTGCAAAATAACATTAAAACGGGTTTAAAAATATTGAATGCCTGGATTTTCTTGAGAGTATGAAGTCGGGTAGTCAAAAAGGGCTAACTCGATGATGCGGTTTAGACACCTTAGCTAAAGAAAACCTATCTTCGTGTCAATAGATAAAAGATAAAGAAAAAAAACGTTTGATATTTCGCCAAAATTTCAGAGAAATTCATTCAGCCAATTTTTCCGTAGAGTTTTTTATAGATTTTTACGAAAAAGGCGTTTTTCACTCTCGAATTTGCTTCAAAGTGAACCGAAATTCATTTAAAAAGATGCAAATTGAACAAAAAAACACTTTTTTTATAGAGCAAACTATAGATTAATTGGTGAATTTGTTACTTTTTAACAGAAGTACGAAAAAAACGAAAAGACTTATGCATCAACCTAATAGTTTATTAAACAAATAATGAAATTATTGAACCTTCAGGGAATGCTGTGCCAAACAATTACAACGATGCGAGTCAACAATCGTGTGCGAATCGAACCGTCAAATACGGACAACAACTCGTCTGGGAAACGTGCGTTTTTAAGCTAAAATTTTGAAAAAAAAACTACAAAGCAATTAAAGAATCATTATTTTCACTACGTAATAAACATAAAGAATCAAATTTTATTCAATTATGACATACTATACATGAGCTTTTTATAGAAAATGAGTCAGTTCCACGTTTTAGCAAACAGTTTTCTTGTTTTCTTGTTTTCTGGTGGATACAATGCGCTTTCGAGCTTTAGAAAACAAAAACTGTTTGCTAATGATTCGTTTTCTACAAAAAAAGCCCATTTATAGTATGTTATAATTGAATAATATTTGACTTTTAGTGCAAACAATGTTTATAACACGTGGTCTGATTGTTATGATGCGCCCATGCAACCGGCATTGGGGGAAAAGATCAAGAAAATGGTGAAAAGACATCCGTATCTCAAGTTGTGAGTGAAATTTGTATATGTATAAAAATTAGAATAAATTTAAATAGCTAAATGCAATAGCTAAATGAATATTATATTTTATATTTTTCAGATTCTCAAGCTCATTGGACTATCAAATGTTTTCGAATGGCCAGAATCCTTTCGTCGATCAAGGAGTCAGTGAATTTCAAATTGAAAACCTTGAACAACACTAGAAATCGCTAAATTTTAAACTTTAACAGATCAGATAAAACAGATCAGTTCCTTAACTTGTATCAGATCATTTCCATAACTTGTGTCAGATCATTTCCTTAACTTGTATCAGATCATTTCCTTAGCTTGTGTCAGATCAGTTCCTTAACTTGTGTCAGATCATTTCCTTAACTGGTGTCACATCAGTTCCTTAACTTGTGTCAGGTCATTTCCTTAGCTTGTGTCAGATCATTTCCTTAACTTGTATCAGATCAGTTCCTTAACTCAAAAGTCTTGTGGACTTGCTTGGCTCTAAAGCAACGATTGACTACAAAAATACGCAAAGATGGATTCTAAAAGATTGACAAATTGACAAATACTCAAAGATCGTATGGCAAAAAAGAAAAAAATCATCTAGCCGATGGGATTAAACCCTTGACCCCTTGATTAGCATACAGGGCTCTTAGCCAGTCATCCATGACGGCCATAATGAATTCACATCGATAATTACGATAAGAAAGAACGCTGAAATCATCCTGAAATCAGGTCAGGTCAAAAGAGTCAGCTCAAATATTTCTGATCGAAGTTCTTTCAGAGCAAGGGCAGCCAAGCATCAACAGACGCAGTTGGTGGCTTCTCGTGTTACGCAGCCGATGCAGCGACTGCGTACATGAATCGAGATGATGTGAAGAAAGCATTGCACATTCCCGGATGGGCTTCCTCCATGGCAATTGTGCAAGTGCGATCACTCTTTATCTCAATCTCTTGCCTCAAACTTGTTTCTTCTTTCAGTGACGACATCAATGCAATCTACTACATTCAACAATATCCCGATATGTCCCCAATCTTCCAGAGCATGTTTGATTCAGGTAAAAGATTTGAGGTTCAACTTTAAACTATACCTACCGTAAATACTGTAATAGTACCCCACCCCCATAATGACGGTGCGGAGTGTTGCGTAGTCTAGCTTTGAACGAGCTTTTCTCGACACTGGTTTATGCTACAGTGTTCGTTTTGGTTTCAAAAAATAGCCCTGAATTTCAGCTATTTTTTGATACCAAAGACGTATTTTTTGGAAGTACGGGTGCTTTGGAAAAAAATGAAATACTAAAAAACTTTTGCGACTACGTGACTGTACGAGGGGGATGCGGGGAATATTACAGTATTTACGGTATCTTCAATTTCCTCTTCAGGCTATCCACTCCGTTTCTTGATTTACAATGGAGATGCTGATATGGCTTGCCAAGTAAGAAAATAAGAAAATCTAAAAATTAATCAAATTTTTAGTTTATGGGCGATCAATGGTTTATTGAGCGATTCGTGGCAAATAATAAAGTAAAAGAATTAGAGAATTCGTTGAATTTGAGTTTTTAGATGCCTGTGACTTCTCCCCGACAAATCTGGAACTACACCCGATCCACCGATTTCCTTCCAAGAGTTGGCGGTTTTGCGAAAACGTTCGCGAAGAGCAAAATGAGTATTGATTTGTTGACGGTTCGGGTGAGTGCTGGATTTGGGGAAATCTAGGGAACTATCCAAAGATGGTGTCCTTTTAAACAGCCGAGAAAACGCCTATCCAGGCATCACGAATCCGATGCTGTGTTTATTTTTTCTCCAAAGGCCCTGGCTTTCGAGAAAAACGCATGCAAAGTTTTAGCCAATTTTGGCAAACTCTCATCTATAAGAGGGCGTCACGAGGCATGCAGAAAAAGCAGCGGTGGTCTAGGGGATAGTGCGATGGGCTATCAAACTAGTCCCGTCTTTCCTACCCCAGTTCGATTCCTCTCGCGGCCCTACTTTTGCCTTTTTTGTAAAACTTTCGCAAAACATTTTACAAAACAAACTTGATTCAAATTTCTCTAGGGTGCCGGCCACATGGTACCCACCGATCGACCGGGTCCCGGCTATCAAATGATTGCGAATTTCATCCAATCAATCAACTACACCAAACTCGTCACTCTCGATCTCACCCCTCAACCGCTTCTCCCGCAATATCAACCAACACCACAAAAGAGCTGTGAGTTTGGGAAGGAATTCTGAGGCCATTAGACCAGAGCGTAAGACCCAATGGCAATGGGTCCTTGCGGCAATGGGTCCTTGCAGCAATGGGACACGTGTCGGTGTAACTCTTTGGTAGAGCGTTTGTCCGGTAAGCGAGAGGTCGCGGGTTCGAGTCCGCCTCCGTCATCCGTCATCTTTTGCCTGCCCAGCTATAAAAAGGCCGTCGTGTCCAAGTCCTGCTATAAAATTTGTACACTTACGTCTAAATAAAGTTAAAATAAATGTGTTTTAAAGTGTATTCATTAGTCTATTCATCAGCTTTTTTTCAATTTTAGGGACTCGCAAGCAAGCTGATCGAATTTGGACTCTTCCTGGTCAGTTTTCCGTTCACTCAAAATTATCTCACAATATTTTCACTTTTCCAGGATTAACCTACAATCTCAACTTCAAGCAATACTCTGGATATTTGAAAGGAATCGATGGGAATTATTTGCATTATTGGTGAGTGGTTTAAAGTAGACTTCGGAAAACAAAACTTAACCAAAACCAAAACAAACCAAAACCAAAACCACCAAAACCAAAACAGACCAAAACCAAAACCAAAACAAACCAAAACCAAAACTCGCCAATATCTCGCGATTGGGAGGAGCTAGCGAAAATCTGTTTGCAGATTTGAAATCAGCGTCCAAAAATCTATCCCATAGGCTATTTTTTGTTTCGAAATTTCGAGGTCGTGTTTTTTTTCGGCCGCGAGATTTTGTGGAGTGAGAAAAAGTGAAAGGCAAATTTGCATTTTACATTAAAATTTGCATTTTACAATTTTAAATTTACATGTTAATTTATATGCAAATTGAGTTTTGGTTTTGTTTTGGTTTTGTTTTGGTTTTGTTTGTCGAACTCTAGTTTAAAGTACTAATTCTAAGCCATCAAAAGTGAGAAATTAAAAGTTTTTCTCTCGTTAACTTATAATATTGTTGAAATCAAATAACTTAATAGGAGTTATAAAGTAACCAAATAGGAATACAGTAACCAAATCGGAACTAAATAGGAACTAAAAAGGAACTAAATAGGAACTAAATAGGAACTAAATAGCAGCTATAAAGTAACCAAATGGGAATTGTAAGGGAACTAAATAGGAACTAAATAGGAACTAGACAGTAACCAAATAAACCAAATAAACCAAATAAACATTTGAAAGCTAAGCTTTTAAATGTGAATTACGAAAAGTTGATTTCGATTTCTTTAGGTTCTTGGAATCTCAAGGAAACCCCACCACGGATCCCCTTGTTTTGTGGTTGAATGGAGGACCCGGATGCTCATCTTTGGGAGGTATTTTTTTCGCCATTTTGGCTTTAATATAATATATAACTTTTTAAAAGTTCTAAGCTTTTAAAACAAGAAGTTTCAATCGGGTTCTAGGGTCTAAAAGGTGAAACAGAACCAAGAAAAAGTGAGCCAAGACCAGGCAAGACCAAAAGTCAAATCAAGGACCTGGCTTAGGCTTTGGCCTGGGAAAATACCCCTTTGGAACAACTCACAATCAGAATACAAGGCCATTTTTGAGATGAGCTTTACTGAGATGAGAAAGCTTCCCATAGACATGGGAAGATTCCAAGCCGAACCTAATTCCACCTACGTTTTCTTGGCTGATTCTTGGCCGTTACTTGCCGATTCTTGGCCGTTTCTTAACGAATTGCTCTAAAATTTTGTCTACAGATAGGAATCGATATTTTCAATTTGTAGACAAAATTTCAGAGGAATCGTTCAAGAAACGGCCGAGAAAACGAAGGTGGAATTAGGTTCGGCTTGAAATTTTCCCATGTCTATGGGAAGCTTTCTCATCTCAGTAAAGCTCATCTCAAAAATGGCCTTGTCAAAAAAGCTTCGCATCGGCCATCTGTCATTCTAAGTCTAGGACGTAAGCGTAGAATTTTAAAAAGAGTAAGGAGAGTTTTGTTTTTGAAAGAAAATTCATTAAAATTATCATAAAACAAGCGAAATTTTCAAAAAGTTAACAAAAAAGAAAGAAAGAAAGAAAAAGGATCTTATTTTTTTGTTTTCAGGTCTTCTCACCGAACTGGGTCCATTCCATCCGAATCCCGATGGAAAGACATTGTACGAGAATGTCTACTCGTGGAACAAGGTTTGTTGATGGTGATTAAAGGATTTCTGTCGTACACTACTGGACAATGAAATATGATATTTGAAAAACGTTCGTCACTTTCGCGCGTCTGTAACTCCCTTGTCTTTACCGTATTTTTAAATATTAATATTACCATTGTGTAGCCCTTGAAAAGAGCTTTCAGAAAATGTATAACACTAATAGTTTAAACTCAAAGACAAGGGAGTTACAGACGCGCGAAAGTGACGATCGTTTTTCAAATATCATATTTCATTGTCCAGTACTGTATATTATCTTCATTTGTTATCCGAAAATGAAATTCCAGGTTGCTAACATGTTATTCTTGGAGGGACCGAGGAATGTCGGATTTTCAGTGCAAAATGTCTCCATCAATCCCGATTCAACGTACAATGATGAGAAGGTGAAAAAGAAAATTATAGAAAGTTTCGATTGTTTTTTTTTTTGCAACTCCAACATTTTCAGACAGCTCAAGACAACTATTTGGCGTTGAAAGACTTTTTGACGATTTTCCCTGAGTTCGTTAATCGACCATTCTATGTGACTGGTGAGTTAATCGATTAATCGACGATTTTTACATTTTATGGAGAGAAATTTGAACGAATCGACGAAGAAAAGAACGGTTCACTTATAAGGTTTAAAAACGGTCTTTTATAAGTACAACTTTCAAGATAAAGTTAGTAATTTTGATGGAAACAAGAGTAAAAACTTTGTGAAAGTTCAATTTGCTAAAATATCTACCGTAAATACTGTAATATTCCCCCATCCCCCTCGTACAGTCGCGTAGTCGCAAAAGTTTTTTAGTATTTCATTTTTTTTCAAAGCGCTCGTACTTTCAAAAAGTACGTCTTTGGTATCAAAAAATAGCCCTGAATTTCAGCTATTTTTTGATATTTAAACGCGCATTGTAGCGTAAACCAGTGTCGAGAAAAACTCGTTCAAAGCTAGACTACGCAACGCTCCGCACCGTCATTATGGGCGTGGGGTACTATTACAGTATTTACGGTAGGTTTTTAGTTCGTGAATCTACTTCTAATTCTAGCGCTGCCTTTAGTACTTTTCTTTTCTTTTCTAATCTTTAAAAATGAAAACTTTGAAAACTTAATGCTTTAAACGATAATAAAATGACGATTTGCCAAAATTTCATTGTTTTGTTGTAAATTGAGTAAAGTAAAAGAGAATTAGAAACGATTACAGTCAAAATCTGGTTAAAATTGACTTAAAATTGACTTAGAATCCTGCTTAAAATCAGATTAAATTCAATTAAAATTGAGATTTCTAAAAATTACTCAAAAAAATGACCGTAATGGAGTTGATTCCCAGCAAAGCTTGATTTCAATATGATTTCAGGTGAATCCTATGGAGGAGTTTACGTGCCGACATTGACGAGCTTATTGATCGACAAAATTCAGGTAAAATTGAATCTACCATATGTAAAGGGGAAAATTAAAAAAGTAAAAATTAAACGGCACCACGGGGAGTCGAACCCCGGTCGTGTGGGTTGTAGAGAATCGCGCTGCCGACTGCGCTACTGGCGACACTGGCCGCAGCAAGCATTTTACGGGAAAAACCCGTCGTTAGGCTTTTCGGCTGGTTAGAAAGAAATCCATACAATGAAACTAAACCTGGGAATTCTCGGTGTGAACGTCAATATGTATCCAACGGAAAAAGAAAAGGCATATCTTGTCAATTTCATTCTAATCTTTCATTTCAAAATGAAATTCTGCATCAAATGATCTCAAAATCAAAAAGATTAAAGTAAAATTGGCCAAGATATGCCATTTTTCCGTTGCACACCTATTGGCACACCGAAAATTCCCAGAAGCAATCCAGATTTTGGTTTTTCTTTTAGTCAGGTGAATTGCAAGGGCTGAACCTCGTGGGAATGGCTGTTGGAAATGGAGAACTCTCGGCGATTCAACAGATCAATTCCGCCATTCATCTCCTTTATTTCCATGGATTGTATGGAAAAAAGTAAACGATTTTAACCTTCAATTAGTCAAGTTTTATATCCAATTTTTCCAATTTTTTTGTTATTAGTCAAGTTTTATATTCAATTTCAGAGAATGGGATTCCCTTCTTCAATGCTGTGATTCAAGCAGCAATGATCCGACTTGGTTTGAGTATTGTGATTTCACTAAGCATATCTATGTGAGTTGAAAATCTCTGCTAGTGAAAAAGAAAGAGAAAGAAGGAAAGGAAAGAAGAAAGAGAAAGAAAAGCTTTCTAAAAGGGACTTCAAAGCTACCGTAACTCAGCCAATATATTTTATGAAAACAGGTTGAAGACAGCCATACTTGAGTCTTGTTTGTCAAAAATAAAGTAAAGAAATGATTGGCAAGAGGCAATGGGAATTGAGCCACCGTTCTTCCGCTTACCGGGCAGGCAACTTCTACCACTGAGTTATTGACGTCTTCCTTGCCAAAGAAGAAATAGGAAAGACAAGGAAGAAGAAAGGAAGACGAAAGGAAGAAAGAAGAAAGAGAAAGAAGGAAAGAAGAAAGAGAAAGAAGAAACGAAAAGAAAAGGTTAAGAAAAAGAAAGAGAAAGAAGAAGAAGAAAGGAAAAATTTAAGAATAGGAACCAAAAGAAAGATTCTAAGTTAAAATTGAAATTGAAAACATGACAAACAAGTTGAAAGCTCAGAAAAACCGAAATTCTACATCATTTTCAGATCGATTCGGCTGGAAACGCTTTCCCGAAAGACAACAATTCCTATTGTGGACCACTTGTCGCTCAATTGGGACAATGGAGAGTTTGGAATACGATGTGAGGATTTATTTTTAATCTAGAAATATCTTTCAAAAAGATTGACTAAATAAATTTCAATCAAAAAGATTCCATTTTATCAGCTGCCATATTTTCTTATTCTAACCGTTTAACAGCCTAAAAGATTCTTCAAATTTTCAGCAACGATGTCTACAATATTTATCAAGATTGTTATCAACAAACGTCGATTGTTTTCGGATCAAGAAATCTTAACAAACATAAGGAGAAGATTCGAGCTCATTTGGAGCAACTTTTCATCGATCAAGGAGTCAGTTAAGAATAGAATACTAAATAGGGTACTATTTCAATATCGGGGGAGCAGAAGGATTATCGGGAGAGCAAATTTTGCCCCCTCAAAAATGCATTTCCGGGACTGTATTTTAACTGCAACGTTTTTTTTAAACTTGAACGACGATGCGCTTCTCCGACATTTTTGCGTTCAAGGAATCGACAAAACTACAAAGAGCTAAATAGGAATCAAATAGGAATCAAATGGGAACCAAATGGGAACCAAATGGGAACCAAATGGGAACCAAATGGGAACCAAATGGGAACCGAATGGGAACCAAATGGGAACCAAATGGGAACCGAATGGGAACCGAATTGGAACTAAATCGGACCGGGAGGGGAGCCAAATTGGAACCTAATAAAAGCCAAAAGAAAACCAAATGGGAACCAAATGGGAAACAAATAGGAACCAAATGAGAGCCAAACGGAACCCGAATAGGAACCAAATTAAAACCTAATAAACGCCAAACGGGAACCAAGTGGGAACCAAATTGGAACTACAAAACTACAAAGAGCTAAATAGGAATCAAATAGGAATCAAATAGGAACCAAATAGGAACCAAATAGGAACTACAAAGAGCTAAATAGGAACCAAATAGCAACCAAATAGCAACCAAATAGCAACCAAATAGCGACCAAATAGGAACTACAAAAAGCTAAATTATTTCGTCACCAAAGGAGTCATCCAGTCGTGGATTTGCAATTGTGGCGAATCGATGAAAGTCCGCTCAAAGGGAAAAGATCTATTTCGCTGGGTGTTAGATATTTAAGTCACTTTTGTGATCTAATATAAAAGTTGTGAGAATAACGGGTAATTCGCGGATTTTATGGCGATAATTTGTATAATATAGGACATATATAGCGCTGCCAAAATTTGCTCGCCCGATTTTCCTTTCGCTCCCTCGATATTGGAAAAGTACCCTAAATAGAAATCGAAAAACGAATAGAAAAACTGGTATCAAATCCAGATATACTTTGTGTTTTTGTAAACGCATCCTTCCTTAGCGCATACTTATTTTAAACTGACATTTACAGGCTAAAATCTCCACTTATTCCACAGACAATCAAGGCGGATTCCCGTGTTTTGCCTCAGCTGCAGCTGCCAAGTGAGCATTCTTTGATGTAAAAGAGTAAAGAGTCGTACTTTACTTAAACTTAAACTTTTATTGAAGTTTAGTCAGTAGTTTCCTTATGCTTAAGTCCAATAATAGAAAATTTGGTACTTTTCCGTTATAAATCCGCAAAAATAACCCCCTAATCATTTAATAATCAAAAAAAATAAACATCAAAAATAAGATGAATGAGGAGTCCATGCTGTAGCAATTTGTTGCAACACTCATTCATAGAAATCGTCCTTTCCCACTTCTTGTTGGACCATGAATTCAGCAAGATAGCTCGATAGGAAATGCTGTGTCGCGATGCTTCTTGTTTCTCCATTTGACAGATCCCCATAAAGGCTCGATCGTCTGCGTGTGAATGACAGGGTCATCCGGATTCAGGAAGTTGTATTTGTGGTTGACTTGAGCGTGGGTAAAGCCGGCTTCCTTCATCTGTTGAGTGTTGTATCCTCGCCAACAATCGGAGTAAATTTGGGTTCCCGGCTCGATGTGTTCAATCGTCGCTTCCAATAGGGTCTTGGCCGAGTGGTCGATCTCGATCCTCGATCGAGGATTCTGATTGAGCGATAGCTTCATAACGTGATGGTTGGCGCGTTAGTAAGCGAGATTAGTAAGCGAGATGCGGCGTTGTTGAAAGAACCCAATTTCTGTGGTTGTTGAAAGAACGAGATTGCACGGCCTCGGTAGTCGGTAAGCGAAACATGAATCCACGTCAGGAAATAGCAAAAAAAATGACTTTTCTGTGGTCTTCCTTGTTCATTTTCGTGAAAGGATTGAAATTTGGCGGATTTCTAACGGAAAAGAATCGAAAATTTAGCGGATTTCTAATGGAAAAGAATCGAAAATTCTCTTACTCTTTCAGCTATTTGAATTCAAATGATGTCCGCAATGCTCTCCATATTTCTCCAATGGCCGGCGATTGGGCTGATTGCAAGTAAGCTTTGGAAAAATCTATTCAAAGATTTCCAATCATATTTGAATATAACTCAAATTTCTCTTTTAAGTGACACGATCAACGCCATTTACCTTCAACAGCACAACGACACAGGAGCTGTTTTTGATCATATTGTGAAGTGGGGAAAAGGGGAAAATGATTTGACTATTATGAATCATTAAATTTATCCATTGCGATTTCAGATCCCGTTACCCATTGCGCATGTTGATTTATAATGGAGATGTTGATCAGGTATAAAAGAATACTAACGAAAAATAGAAGATGAAAACCGTAAATACTTTAACAAATAGACGACCGCTTGACTCGATGCCGAGTCACGGCTGTTTCTTTTGAATGGCTGGACCAAATGAGCTGAAAATTTGTCTGGACATGTAGTTCTGGGACCTCTTTTCGAATCCGGCATTAGTTTTATTAGGAAGTTGTGTGATTTTTCGTAAAAAGCGGAAAAAACGGGTGTTACCTCGGATTCCATGGTCGAGTGGTCCAAGGCGCGCGTCCTATTCGAATAAGTCGAAGATGTCGAAGTTAGTGTCGAATAAGTCGAAGAAGATGCCGTTTTCTTACTTGGCTACCATTTAAGATCAAATTTTATTACTCAAGGGTAAATGAAGCATCTAAGATTTAGGCTTGCAATTTCCTTGGCGATCAATGGTTTGTCGACTCGTTGGCAAAAAGACAAGATATGAAAGTGGCAAAAAAGAGAAAAGAATGGAGGTGAGATGGGGAAGGAAAGCTTGTTGTTTGAGAATTGAAAAATTAAATCTAAACTTGTTAGTTAAAAGTTTTGAACTAAACTTTCAACAAGCAAGTTTATTTCGAAGCTAAACTTTCCATCAATCAGTTTATCTCTGAACTTTCAACTTTGCCAGTTTACAGATACATGAATCAAATCGCCGGCTACAACAAGCAGTACTCGTACGGCCAAGGAACAATCGATGTGCTCACTGTTAAAGTAAAGATTTTTAAGACATAAATAGCTATCTTAGCTAAAAGATAGATCCATCTATTTAAAAATAAGTTTTTCTTTTTAAATAAACGACTTCAGGGAGCCGGCCACTTGGTGCCCACGGATCGTCCAGGGCCAGCGCTGCAAATGTTCGCGAATTTCTTGCGAGCTCAAGATTACAGTAAGTATAGAAAGCAATACGAAAAGCTGAATCTCTTCTAATTAAATCAATTTCCCTTTCGCAGGCAACAATCTCATTTACACATCGAATCTCTCACCGCTCACTGATGATTTCCGAATTGCTGAGAGGGTTGGCTTTAAAAGAAAAACAAGTCTATTAATTGGTTTTTTTTTTCAATTTTAGCATATAAAATTGTTATTAATGATTAAAAGCCTAGTTTTCTTGTTGATTTTGCTGATAAAAATCTTTTCAAATTGATCAAGACAAAATTGATCAAGAAAGTTTCAATCAATAAATCGATGCTCGAAAAGCTATTGATCATATTGATAAAAACTGGATTTTAAGCTTACTAGTTAGTTTAGACTTAATAAAAACCAATTTCCAGGTCGCATTCGCGTCAAATTATATTCCGATGCCTCAATCGAAAGCAAAAGGTCCATCCGTTTCGGAGCATTACGGAAAAGCCCAGAGAAACCTCAAAAAGGAGAGAAATTTGAACGAATCGACGAAGAAGAGAACGGTTAGCTTTAGAGGATTTAAAAACGGTCTTTTATGAGCACAAAATCTGGCCCCGATGGCCGGCTGGATAAGAGCCTTGTAGCCTAGTCGGGCTCAATCACATCATGGTCACGGGTTCAATCCAGCCGGTTCAATCCAGCCGGTTCAATCCCGCCGGTTCAATCCAGCCGGTTCAATCCAGCCGGTTCAATCCAGCCGGTTCAATCCAGCCGGTTCCAATCCAGCCGGTTCAATCCAGCCGGTTCAATCCAAATTCCAAACCCGGCTAGATTATTGGTTGAGGAATCATGTATTTTAAAAAATCTAGACCTTTGCTTCCCTTCCCCCACCTCCACCCGGCAACAAGACAACCGATGCGATCGATTTGAGCAAATTACCCGGATTGACATTCACCCCGAATTTCAAGATGTACTCTGGATATCTGAAAGCATCTCCTGGAAATAATCTATTCTATTGGTTTGTTTTAAGAGCCTTTTATTTGATTGCATAGAATCATTCAAGAATTGCTAACATCTTTAATCTTTAAAAATTTTGTTAACTGTAGACTTTACTGAAATTATGCTAATGATGATATTTGATGAATAATTTGAGCTATATTCGTTAACATCTGTCCTTTCCAGGTTTGTCGAATCTCAAACGAATCCCACAACCGATCCACTTGTCTTGTGGCTGAATGGAGGTTTGCTTTGAATAAAATCCAAATAGGTTGGCAAGAAAGTTTTTTAAAAAAAAGATATAAAATGGAGGAAGGGGGGAGGCGGATGAGAGGGACCAGAAGAACCGCCCAACCGCCAAGCGAGCGCCCACGACGGCAAGCGCACTAAAGCAAGAGGAAGCGCCGCTCGAGCCGTTGTTCCGGACGGAAGGGCGGTTGCCAAGAAGGGCGGCGAGATGGAGGAGAGGGGGAGGAAGGGCCGCAAAAATTGACAATTTATTGATTCGATGCCAAATCGTTGCGCAGCTGTTATAAAGCAAAGGGATACGCACAAAAAGAATTGCCGGTAGAAAGGTGTTATTTTGGTAACCCAAATGGGCGTTCAAGAAATAGAGCAAGGAAAAGATAAATACAAATAAAAAAAAAAAAAAAAAAAAAAAAAAAAAAAAAAAAAAAAAAAAGGGGATTTTCCGTTTTTGACCCTACTTAGATTCTTTTATTTAGATAACAATAAAGGATTTAGTTATTAAAGTAAAAAGTATTTTTTATGAATACCTATGATTTTCCCCGACTTTTGGCTAGCAAGTCGAATCTAGAAAGCCAGAGTCGAATCTAGAGAGCTAGAGTCGAATCTAGAGAGCTAGAGCCTAGAACCTAGAAAAAAACTAGAGCCTAGAGAAATCGAAAACTAGAGCCTAGAGGTAGTCGCCGACTTCGGAGAATCTTTGCATGACTACAACCTTGTTTAGATTTAGAATAAGAGATTTAGAATTAGAATAGAATAAGCGATAGTTAGATAGGCAAATATCTGGGATATACAACAAATGTGGATTTCTACCGAAGCCTCTCTACATCCCTAGAGTTTTTGTACAATCCTAGGACGAACATAGTTGTTGTAGGTAGTTTATTTTGTGTGGATTATGTGTAGACCAATTCGTAACACAATTATAATCAAAAGCGTTCTTGGATTTGTTTAAAGTTTGGCCAGAAAAAGATTTGTGACACGGAAAAGTGTTTCTTGTCAACTTAATAGATAAATATTGATTGTATTTGATGAAAAAGGAGGCTTATCTATATTTTCCAGGTCCCGGCTGCTCATCACTTGGCGGTTTCTTCCAAGAGCTCGGCCCATTAAGGTTTGGAAGTGTTTTTTGAATCTAAAGTTTATTACTTTTGAAATAAAGATTAAATTAATTTAAGGTAAAGGTTTAAAAAGCTTTAGAAAATGTTTAAAAAAACTAGAAAACTTGAATTGAGTAAATTTGAAAAATTCCAGGAACAATCCCGACGGAACGACGATTTTCGAGAACATTTATGCATGGAATAAGGTTATAAAAAAAACAATCAAAAATTAATAAAAGATAAAAGAAAATTGGCAAAGATCGGAAAGAATTTAATAATAGATTCATTTTATTAAATGAAAATTGATTATAGTATGCAAATGTGTTATTCATGGAGGCTCCAAGGGGCGTCGGTTTTTCTTATCGATCCAATGATGTGCCGGAAGATAACAATTACAATGATCAATATGTAAGTTGATTAAAAAGAAGATGAAAAGAATTAAAAAATTAAAGATACTGTAAAGTTTCCTGAATCCTGAACTTTCTGGACTCTTACAAGTTTTCTAATGAAAGTCCTGGAGCAAACTTGCCTTATTTCCCTCTCTTTCTTCCTTTCTTCTTCCTTTCTTCTTCCTTTCTTCTTCCTTGTCTTTCCTATTTCTTCTTTGGCAAAGAAGACGTCAATAACTCAGTGGTAGAAGTTAAAATTTTCGATTCTATCCTGAAATCGTGACTCAATGAGCCCGGTAAGCGGAAGATCCGGAAGATCCGGAAGATCGATGGTTCAATTCCCCTTGCCTCTTGTCAATCATTTCTTTACTTTATTTTTGACAAACAAGACTCAAGTATGGCTGTCTTCAGCCTGTTTTCATAAAATATATTGGCTGAGTTACGGTAGCTTTGAAGTCCCTTTTAGAAAGCTTTTCTTTCTCTTTCTTCTTTTCTTCTTTCTCTTTCTTCTTTCCTTTCTTCTTCCTTGTCTTTCCTATTTCTTCTTTGGCAAGGAAGACGTCAATAACTCAGTGGTAGAAGTTGCCTGCCCGGTAAGCGGAAGATCGCTGGTTTAACTCCCATTGCCTTTTGCCAATCATTTCTTTACTTTATTTTTGACAAACAAGACTCAAGTATGGCTGTCTTCAACCTGTTTTCATAAAATATATTGGCTGAGTTACGGTAACTTTGAAGTACATTTTAGAAAGCGTCAAGAAAAAAGCAATCTTGAAATTCCTTTTCTTTTCTTTCTTTCTTTTCTTTCTTTCTTTCTTTTCTTTTCCTTCTTTCTTCCTTTTCTTCAAAAACTTCTAAAAGCTATGCTTGTTTAGTTTCAGAGTACTTCCCGAAGTTTACAAAAACATGTTTTCTAGAAGTGTTAAATCTAGATTTCAGACCGCATCCGACAACGTGCTTGGATTGGCCTCGTTCTTCCAACGATTCCCCGAGTACAATGGACGAGACTTTTACATTACTGGTTTGAAATTTGTGACGATTTCAATGTCCAGGGTGTTTAATTATTACCCGGATTCGGTATTTTAAATAGTGTAACTGAGCACTCAGATTTGCAAACATCTCACGCTTTGTTTTAATAGAAAATTTAAATATTTTTCTACCTTGGAATCTTTGGTTTGCCGCAAAAAAAAAGATTTTTCTGCCTTTTTTATAGAAGCTCAAAGTTGGCAGTGGCTTTTCATTTCGAGAAAACGCCAAAGATTGAGCATTTCTGTGAATGCTTTTGTTTTCTACGTTTTTGCAATAAGCTTTAAACATTATACAAATCAGAAGGTAACCTGACACTCAATTAGGGAAAATTTTGCTATTTTAAGAATCTTGGTTTCCCATGAGCTGTTGGTTTGTCAAAAGATGCATAGAGAAAATTTTCATTTTTTATTTCTTGTTAAATGTGAATCGTTAGCCTTTAGCTAAACCTAATAAAACGAAATTTAGGGCTGAAAAAGTCCATGAGCAGTTCATGAGAAGTTCATGAGCAGTTCCTAAGCAGTTCATGAGCAGTTCATGAGCAGTTCATGAGCAGTTAACGATTTCCAATTTTTAGGTGAATCATATGGTGGAGTTTACATTCCGACACTCACCGACGCGCTTATCAAGAAAATTCAAGTAAAACGCAGATCTAGATTTGAAAATTATTGGATTGGTGAATTGAAAACTGCGGGCTATTGTCATATGTGACAGTTTGAGCACTTTCTTCAAAAGAAACCCATTTTGGTGTCAATGGAAAAGTTGTAGAGAATCAAAAATCAAGCTTATATCCAAATTTTCAGAACGATTCAAAAACTGGTTTTCAAGAAATGCAAAATTTACGAATTTTCACCAAATTTGCATTTTAAGCGAAACTATTAAGTGTATCTTTTTGGAAATTTGGCTATAAGCCTCATTTTTGATTCTCTACAACTTTTCTATTGACACCAAAATGGGTTTCTTTTGAAGAAAGTGCTCAAACTGGGACACTGGGACATCTCCAGTCCTCCATGTTTGAGTCTCACTCTTGTCTCACACACAAACCAAAATCCTACTACGAAAGAGGAATCCGCAAATTGCCTGTAAAATGGGCAGAAGTCTTCAATAATAATGGAAATTATTTCGAATGAATTCATGATTTTATGTTGAATAAATTTTAGTTCAAAGTCCGGCAGTTTTCAACTCACCAACCCAATAGATTTCTAACTTTTGTGAGCTTGTTTTTTTGATAGAATTCTTTTAGGATAAAACCTATCCAAACATCAAATTGGCTGGCATTGGTATTGGAAATGGAGAGCTCTCCGAGATTCAGCAAATCAACTCCGCCATTTCACTCACATATTTTAAGGGATTGCACGACAAAGAGTTTGTCGTTTAACAAATAGAAACATTGTTTTAAATATTAATTTTTAAGTTTAAATCACTTCTTTAAATCACTAATTACTTCATTACTTGATCTAAAATTCATTTTCAAGTAAGTAAGCGTAAATTTTAGCGATTTCGACTCACTAAAGCCTTGCTGTCAGAATCTTGGTGCAACGCCGATGTCATACTGCAATTTCATGCAATATGTCACACTAGATACGTCCGGAAATGCCTGGCCAACGGTAAAATGGGTTTCAAAATGAAACTCCACAAAATCTTTTTCAGAAAAATGACAATTCGACGGCGGCCATGTGCGGCAATGCGATTGTTCAACAAGGATTTTTGGATATTTGGACAACCGAGTGAGTTTTCGAGGCTTTATCGCTTATGCTGATCAATTTTCATTTCAGCAATGATGTCTACAATACATATCAAGATTGTTATTCAACATCGAGCGACATCAACACTCTTTTCGATGTCAAGAAAGCGAGAAAAGCGTCGAGTTTCGAGAGAAGACGCGCGAAAAGAGCCGCCATTCAACCACTCAGCAATGCCAAGCTTTTCGTCGATCAAGCTGTGAGTTTCGACGTTTACTGATATAAAGCAGATTTGAGCATTTCAAAAAGGTTAAGACATTTGATTTGATTTGATATTTGATTGATATTTGATTGACGTTCAGACCGGCTCCTTTTCCCATTAGCAATCTAACTTTGAGCTCGAATTTCTTCGTGTTGAGCTGTTCAATTTATAAATTATTAATATCATTAGATGCGCCAAGTCTTTCTCTATCGATTGGTATAAAAACTATTTCAATTGAACAGCCCAATACCAAGAAATTTTAGCTTAAAGTTAGATTGCAATAGCAAAAGGGGCAGAGCGACGGACCTTTTAGACGCGCCCCGCCCCCTTTGCCATTAGTAATCCAACTTTGAGCTCAAATCTCTTGGTGTTGGGCTGTTCTATTTATAAATTATTGGTATCATTAGATGCGGCCAAGTCCTTCTCTATCGATTGGTATAAAAACTATTTAAATTGGACAACCCAACACCAAGAAATTTGAGCTTAAAGCTGAATTTTCTTTGGCAAAAAAGCTGGAAGCGTATCAAATGTCCCACAATTTTTCAAAAACACTTACTAATGACTTTGCTTTGCTTACTAATAACTTTACTAATACTAATAACTTCTAAAGTAATACGGTAATATTAAAGAAAGTTTTTGATTTGATGAGCTTTTGATTACTTCATCAGAATGTCGTTTAAAGCTTTAAGTTTTCAAAGTGCTGATCGATTTTTAACACATTTGCGACAGTCGCTTTGTTGTTACTGTTTTACTGTTCATTTTTTTGTTAAATTCGAAGATAAATTAAACTATTATTAGTGATTCGATAGCTCTGAATCTCGCTTGAAAACTAGTACAAAGTTACAAAAGAGAAACTTTCTGCAAAATCAAGAACAAAAGTCCTTAAAAACTTGATTTTACACGAAAAGAATCGTCATTATTACGGCCTGGCATGGCTAGTAGGTCGTAAATGAGTTAAAATATATTTTTTTCTTTTCAGAAACAAGTCAACTATGCGTCAACAGATGCTGGCCAAGGATTCACTTGTTATAATGGAGATGCTGCTGACCAATATCTCAACAATCCTGATGTAGATTTTGCAAAGAAAAATCAATAGTGCTTTTCTTTTAAAAAAAGATATTCAATTGAATAAGTAAAGCTTTACAAAAATCGTACTTTCAGGTCCGTAAAGCTCTCCACATTGTCGAGAATTTCGGTCGATGGGATGGATGCAAGTGAGGCGATTTTGAAGATTAAATTAAAGATTACATTAAAGATTAAATTAAAGATTAGATTAAAGATTAAATTAGAGATTGTAAAAGGAAAACATCAAAATCTTTTTCGACTAAACTCGAGGCTTTTGGCGACTAGGCGTGGCTCTTTTATCTTGCATCCCGAATCTGCTTTCTCTAAATCCTCTAGAGCTTTTTTCGTAAATCGTGTGACTAAAGTTTGGAATGCCCCTCTCCGACAAGTTGCGTTTGATCTCCACCGTGTCTGATTTTAAAAGGGCTATTCCGTTGCATTTTAAGTGACTTTGTCATCTTTTATCTAGTACATTTTTCATGTCGTTTTCGCACTTTATTTCTTTCGGAATAAATTATTTATTTATATAAAGATTAAATTAAAGATTAGATTTAGATTCAATTAAAGATTAAATTAAAGATTAAACTAAAGATTAAACTAAAGATTAAGTTAAAGATCAAATCAAAGATTCAATTAAAGTTTAAATTAAAGATTCAATTAAAGATCAAATTAAAGATCAAATTTAAGCCCAAAATAGATTGATCTTGTTTTTCTTAATTATCTATTAGTTAAAACTAGATAAATTTAGCTACGACATGAACGCGAACTACGTGCAACAACACAATGACACCACCGCTGTTTTCGATTCAATTTTGGCCTCAAGTAGGGGGAAATCAGCTAGGAATAGCAAAAGCATAGCTTAAACTATTTTCGATTTCTATTTCATTTTCTATTTAACTTAAACTATTTTCAAAACTCTAGAATACCCGCTGAACATCTTGATCTACAATGGAGACGCCGATATGGCCTGTCAGGTGAGCTTTCATTGTGGGAAATTCGGCTTTATACTGATAACGATCATTTCAAAAACCGTTTCCCAATTAATTTCCGATTCGAATACCGTATTGTGCACTCCGTCGAGCCGAGTTGATGAATAAATTTTAGTTCAAAGTCCCGCAGTTTTCAATTCACCAACCTAATAGTTACCCAGTAATTTGAAAAGATCCCGTTATCAGTATAGCGCTGGAAATTCTTGGTTTTGATTAGAAGCAGGCCTGTGAACCATCATAGAAAAATCTGGAGACTATTTTATCCTTAAAAATCGAGTTCAGTTCCTCGGTGATGAGTGGTTTATCGAGGCGTTGGCGGAGAAGTACAAAATGGTATCGACAGCGAGAAACTCATGGAATTATACAACTCCCGGAAATAATAGGTGAGCAAGATAGATATTGATCATGATACAAAATCATGATCTTTTAAGAATATTATTAAGAAACAAAGAATCAATTACCCTACAATGAAAGGCTTATCTGAACAGACAGACAACGGACAGACAACGGACAGACAACGGACAGACAACGGACAGACAACAGACAGACAACAGACAGACAACAGACAGACAACAGACAGACAACAGACAGACAACAGACAGACAACGGACAGACAACGGACAGACAACAGACAGACAACAGACAGACAACAGACAGACAACAGACTTCATCTCAACATCTCCCCCTTTATTTGAAACATTGTTTTTAAACAATTTTAGAAGATTGCAGATTGGAAATTGTCGAAAAATGATTGAATTAATTTCTAGTTAATCAAGAGACAAAGTGCTGTAATGAATAGAATCTTTCCCAAACCAAATATTCAGCTTTTTACCTCAAATCGGCGGCTACTTCAAGACATTCACCTATTCACCGCAAGTGAAGATCGATTTGCTCACCGTAAAGGTTTGTTCAGAAAAACTCGTATGAACTTAAGTGAATTACCGTCGAAAATTCGACTATATTTCGAAGTGACAAGAAAAAATTCAGGGTGGCGGTCACTTTGTGCCCACCGATCGTCCCGGACCAGCGCTACAAATGCTCTACAATTTCATGAACAAGAGAGATTATTCGAAGAGTGTCCCCGACACTATCACTCGTCTCCCACTTTTGCCTCAATATCAACCAAATTTGCCGAAAGGTTTGCGCAAAATTTGGCTCATCGATCGCTTCACTTTAGTAAGGTTGTTCAAAGCAACTTTTTCATAGCTAGAACATGGTGCTTTTCTGGCTAGATGTCTTTTCGGCTAAATAATAGATCGGCCAGGAAAAACTAGGTAGTAGGTGTCAATGTTTAGGACTATTTTGACTACCGTAACACTTGCAATAGTCACGCCTTCCCCGTACAGTCGCGTAGTCCCAAAAAATTCTTATTAAATCGTTTTTTCTAAGCGTCCATAAATTCTAAAAATACATATTTGGTATCAAAAAATAGCCTTGAATTTCAACTTTCATTTGATACTTAAACGAACACTGTAGCATAAATGGGTGGCGAGAAAAATGCGTTTGAAGCTAGACTACGCGACGCTCCGACCGTCATTATGGGGGGCGGGGGCAGTGTTACTATTAAAAGAATTACGATAATGGTCTGTCATCTAATCAAGTCAGGCTTTTTTTGCAAAAGTCTCTGAACTTGTCAGAAGCCAGGTCTGGACTTAACTTCTAGCTGTCCATCTGATTTTGCTCCAGATCCAGACCCACAGTTGATCCAGACCCAGATCCAGACCCACAGTTGATCCAGACCCAGATCCAGACCCACAGTTGATCCAGACCCAGATCCAGACCCACAGTTGATCCAGACCCAGATCCAGACCCACAGTTGATCCAGACCCAGATCCAGACCAGATCCCACTTTGGGACATCCACGATTATCATCTAAAGTTGCACGTTTTACGCTATTTACAATTTGTAATATTTGCAACTTGTAACAATTCCTTAAAGCTTTTATATTTTAGCATAAAATTTTAGTTTCTTTTCTAAACTTTTCCCTTTTCAGTTCCGCAACGTTTGGCCGATCGAATCTTTTCATTGCCCGGTCTCACCTATGTGCCCAACTTTGCGCAACACTCGGGCTATTTGAATGTGAACAATGGAAACTATTTACATTATTGGTAAGTGGATAGAAATCAAGAAGAAAATCAAGAAGAAAATCAAGAAGAAAAAAAAGAACTTTATCACAAAAATTCTCAGGTTTGTCGAAAGCCAGGGTGATCCGTCAGTTGATCCGATCATTTTGTGGCTAAATGGAGGACCAGGATGCTCATCGCTTGGAGGTTAGACATCAAAGAAATCTATAAAATATCTAAGTATCAACGTTATTTATCAAAAAAGATAAAATATCGATAATTTCAGTAAAATTACCATAATCTTTTCACTTTAGGCCACTTGCGACCTTTTTCTGAGAAAAATCTTGGGTTGGCGCTTTAAAGCTTTGTAAAACTACCGTACCCCTCCTAGTTTGTGTGAAATTTCTTTTTTTTTCATTCTTGTTCATTTCATTTTATTCTTTTTGCATTTTTTTCAACGTTTCAACGTTTTTTCAACTAAAAAGTGACAAAAACAAAGCTTTCGCCTTAGAAAATGATAAAAACCACTTAACTTAACATTAGTTGGCATCAAGTTCGTGAAGCAGATCGTCGGAAAGTAAGTGAGTCTAAAAAACTCGGTACTACACTAGTTGGGGGGACCCAGTGAGCGGGGCTTAATTTTCTCGCAATGTCTCATTTTATCAATTGCACTGAATCTGATTTTGATGAAAATTTTCCTTACAAAAATTTATCAATAGAGCAACAATAATAACAACAAAAGGTAACAAAGATAATTCATTTAAAGGATACTTCTTGGCAACTAATTTAGCAGCAACAGCTAATCCACTTATATCTTAAAGAAGTCGATTAGAAAGATAATTTTGTGCATGTCGAAGCAAAATAAAACAACAAAAAAAGCGGTATAGGTAAATGGGCAAATTTTGTAAGGAAAATTTTCATCAAAATAGGATTCAGTGTAACTTAAAATGAGAAATTGCCAACGGCAAAATTAAGCCTCGCCCACTGGGTCCCCTCAACTAGTATAGCACCAAAAACTCTACAAACAAAGCTTTCGCCACAGAAAATGCTGTTAAAAACATAACTTAGCTTTATTTTCTTTGTTTCCTACAAAAACAAGCGCGAGCACGCCAGAATAAAATGAAATGAACAAGAATGAAATACTTGATGCCAACTAATGTTAAGTTAAGTGGTTTTTATCATTTTCTATGGCGAAAGCTTTGTTTTTGTCACTTTTTAGTTGAAAAAACGTTGAAACGTTGAAAAAAATGCAAAAAGAATAAAATGAAATGAACAAGAATGAAAAAAAAAGAAATTTCACACAAACTAGGAGGGGTACGGTAGTTTTACCACGCTTTAAAGCACCAACCCAAGATTTTTCTCGGAAAAAGGTCTTAAAAAGGAAAAAAAAAGTCTTTAGGCCTCTTCACTGAGCTTGGTCCATTCCGACCGAATCCCGACGGACAGACGCTCTTCGAGAACGTTTATTCGTGGAATAAGGTTGAAACTTTAATCTTTTCAGAATTTAATATAAAGAATATAGATATTTTTAGCTAAAAACAGTATAATATACTTGTTTTCATGAAAACTTTTTAAGGCAGCCAGCATTCTTTTCTTGGAATCACCTCGTCAAGTCGGTTTCTCCTATCAAGATCACTCTGTCTCAAACGATACGCTTTGGAACGATGAAAAGGTGATGGTTTTGAAAAAGCAATTATCTATATGTCGTAGCCGATTATGAATGAGTGGGTCCGGACGCGTCCAACCATCAAGTATTTAGTATCATTCAACGCAGAATCATTAATAATTATGTTAAATTTTTAAATTAGAAAGATTGGATAAAAAGAAAAAAAATTATGGGGCCTCGAAGTTTTCTCTTGAACAAACAGTTTTTTTGCTCTAATTTTATTTCTTTTTATCAAATCTTGCTAATTTTAAAAAGTTAACATAATTATCAATGATGCTGCGTTGAATGATACCAGATACTTGATGGTTGGACGCGTCCGGACCCACTCATTCATAATCGGCTGAAATTCATAATCGGCTACGGGGGTCCCGCCGATTTTGAATGAAACGTTGTAGCGCCGGCAATTTTTAACCTAAACTCACAAATTTGGTATCAATCGACGCAGAATTGAATTCGCTACAAGATCATATAATATTGTCCTCATACATTAAAGGGTTGCTCTACTAGAAAGATTTGCCAAAAAATTTCATTCATAATCGGCTACGACATATATAATCTACCAATCTTAAATTTAATTTTATAATCCATTTAGACAGCCAATGACAATGTGGCCGCTATCGTTGAGTTCTTCAAGCAATACCCACCATTCGGCGATTACATGAATGAGTTCTATGTGGCTGGTGAGTGCAAAAAGTGGACTTAAGCTAAAATCTCAAGCCTTTATTATTTTTATTTTGTTTTTTATTAAGTTTTTGACTTATTTTCTAAAGTTAGCTTTTAAAATCAAAGATTCAAAGTCTACAGAAAGACTCTTCAATTCCAGGGTGACCAAAAATCACTTGTCCTTTTTTCTAGGCTCATATTTCTGTCATTTATAGACGAAAACGATTCATTTCTTTTTAAAAATGAAAATTCATATTATTTTCTGTATATATTCAAGATTTTATAACCATTGCATCAATCAATAATTTTTTATGAACGCTTAAAAATGGCTGGTCAATTTTTTGGTTCAAGATTTTTTTGACTAGCCATTTTTAAGTGTTCATAAAAAATTATTTATCGATGCAATGGTTATAAAATCTTGAACAGATACAGAAAATGATGTGTATTTTCATTTTTAAAAAGAAATTAATCGTTTTTGTTTATAAATGACAGAAATATGAGGCTAGAACGGACGATTAGGATTATCAGGCTGTATTTTACTTGGATACAGTAAATGAAAGTTCTTAGATAGTCGTAAATTCTTTCAGCTTTACATACAAGCTGTTTTTCTTTAAGAAATTGAAAATCTCTATGGCTAACCGTTTTTTTTTTTTGCTTAGGTGAATCATATGGTGGAGTTTATGTGCCGACACTCACCGCAAAACTCATTGAAAAGATTCAGGTTTGAAGATCAATGGAAATTCTTTTGATCTAATTTATTTAATTAAGAAAATATTAGATTTAAACATCTAAATAAGGTTTTCGATTGTAATAAAGTGAAAAAATTTCAGTCAAAAGAGCTGAACTTGAATTTGAAAGGAATGCTTGTTGGAAACGGAATGATCTCCACACTCCAAGATGTAAGTTTCAAAATTGAGCAAATTTCCCTATAATAGTTGAATTATTTAGTTGAATTTCGTTAGCTTTAAACAAAATTTAGTTCACTTTTAAAATAACTGAGCTTTTTTTGAGAAAATGCCCTTTCTAACTATTGGGTTGGTGAATTGAAAACTGCGAGACTTTGAACTCAAATTTATTCAACATAAAACCATGAATTTATTCCAAATAATCTCCATTATTATTGACGACTTCTGCCCATTTTACAGGCAATTTGCGGATTCCTCTTTCGTAGTAGGATTTTGGTTTGTGTGTGAGACAGGCGTGAGACTCAAAAATGGAGGACTGGAGATGTCCCAGTGTCCCAGTTTGAGCACTTTCTTCAAAAGAAACCCATTTTGGTGTCAATAGAAAAGTTGTAGAGAATCAAAAATGAGTCTTATAGCCAAATTTCCAAAAAGATACACTTAGTAGTTTCGCTTAAAATGCAAGTTTTGTGAAAATTCGTAAATTTCGCATTTCTTGAAAACCAGTTTTTGAATCGTTCTGAAAATTTGGATATAAGCTTGATTTTTGATTCTCTACAACTTTTCCATTGACACCAAAATGGGTTTCTTTTGAAGAAAGTGCTCAAACTATCACAAATGACAATAGCCCGCAGTTTTCAATTCACCAACCCAATAGAATCAAGCCGATCACTCTAAATCTAAGTCTGGATCGGACGTCTGATTTAGAGTGATCGATTTGATTCTAGATCGGTCGTTTGACCTTACTCCACTCTAGATCAAACTGTGACATCTGACAATAGCCCGCAGTTTTCCAATTCACCAACCCAATCGTAAGAATGGGATTTTCAGATTCGCTCTTTGCCGGACTTCATGTACTTTCACGGAATGTACGACAAAAGGCATTGAAAATTTCTTTGGATTTTATGAAATGCTATTATTTAGTGATTGGGACAATTTGCGTGCTTGCTGCCTCAAATACTATCCGCAAAGCAACTATGCTCAGTGTGATTACACAAATTTCGTCTATGTCGGAAATGATGGTTAGTGTGGTGATGAAAGGAAAGATGAATTGCAAAAAAGAAAAAAACACAAGATAACACTGGCCATCAATCCTTCAAAGTTCCAGTCATTTTAGGAGGAGTGTACGCACGAAATTTCACCGATCCAGACCAACAAGCTTGCGCGAATCAAGTCGAACAGTTGGCCTATGACAGAACGTGGAATATTATGTGAGTGGGAGAATGAAAACTTCTTGGAGGAAGGATTGAACTTGGAGGAAAACTTGAACTTGTATCCAGTTACAACCTAGTTACAATCTGTAACTGTATCCAGTTACAATCTGGTTACAGTAATCCTGCGATTCCTAAACGCCAAAGCTATAGTATTAAAGAAGAAATCCGTTGCCAGATTACTATAGCTTCAGTAGCCCTACAATGTCTGAACTGTTGACAGTTATAGTACTATAACTGTCAACAGTTCAGACATTTTAGTTCCTTATAATATAACACTTAATCCTACAGTACTAACAATGCAAATTTCTCAAAGTGCTAAAGAGTTAAAGACTTTTTAGCTTTTCAGTTTAAGCTGCCTTATTGGGAAGACGATTTACAATATAAAAATCAATGCTATTTCTTTCAGAAACAACGATGTCTACAACTTGTACCAAGATTGTTATACACAGACAACACCGGTGAGTTTTTTCAAGAAAGATTTAAAGATAAGAGCCTAGAAGTGATAGTTGTTTATCCTTGACAACTACGATAGTTTACTAATCGTTTATACTAATCATTCAAATCATTTCCTACTTTTTAGGTATTCGGTTCCGCAATGGACTCTAGCCGGCATTTCTCCTTTGAGGAAATCATCGCTCAATACAAAATGGGTCCAAAGATTCACGTTCAAGCGGCAATCACCGATTTCTTGGTAAAAAAACTATTTAAATAAGCTGCTCTTTAGGCGAATAATCTAAAAAATATTAGTCTTGTTGCCTAAATACTAATCTAAACAAGAGAATTGAACTTTACAGTCAACGTTTCTTTTGACTGTTTTCTAAAATGAAGAAAAGAACTACCATAAGCTCAATGTCTTTCGGTGAAAGTATTAAGCTTTCGTTTACTTCCTGGCGGCCGCCCGCCCGCAGTTCTGGCCTCCTCCGGCGGCCTGGCCGCTCCCGCCCCTGGCCGTCGCTTCCTGGCGCAGCCGCCGGGGGGGGTCAGCTTCCTGGCCGTCAGCTTCCTGGCCGGCTAAGAGCCTTGTATCTTAGTCGTGAGAGTAGGGAGGTCAAGGGTTCAATCCCGGCTAGTTTATTGGTTCTTTTTGCATCGATTTTTTTCCCCTTACAGTTAGGGCTTAGAGATTGTACTTGTGTATTTTTTGTACCATATTATTCGGGTGAATAAATGTATTTTCTTAACATTATCAATTCCAGTCTCAACTCGATCCGATATCCACCGATTCCCAAGGCAGTTTCCAATGTTACATGACTGCAGCACTCACAAAATATCTCAATCAATCACATGTTAGAGACACGATGAATATTCCTGATTTTGTTCAAGAATGGTCATTCTGCACGTGGGTTTTCAAATCTTTTTCCTAGTTACGGGACTTTTACAGAAACAATCCGGATTTCAACTACGTGCTTCAATACAATGACACTGGATCAGTGTTCAAGAAGATTGTCGATAGTGGATATCCGATGAGGTTTGTGATTTTCGGTTATAAATTTAATGAAAGAGCTGATTAAACTCTAGAATTCTCGTCTACAACGGCGACCTTGATACAGCTTGCTCAATGTTTGAGGCCGAGTATTTCTTAGAGGATTTAGCACAAACGAATCAATTCACTGTGAGTTTTGGTTTATTTGTCTTCAACGCAAGAACAGACTTGAAAGATTAGACTGCCAGCTTGTCGAGTGAATAACTTTTGCTTCAGACTGCCTACAATCGTCAAGAATGGAACTACAATCTCGGCGACAACTATGCCCAATCGATTGCTGGTTACACGAAACGTTTCCAGAAAGGGCAAACCACCATCGATCTATTGACTGTTAAGGTAAGGGTTTCAGAGCGTTGATGGCTTAGTGGATAACGACGTCAGGATCCGGGTTCGATCCCTGATGCAGCTTTTCTGTTTTTGTTTTTCTTTTGAAGCAACTTCTAGCATTTTACAGCTAATTGCATTATGGTTTTTCCTTTCATTTCTTCAATCGTTTACACAATTTCCATTGTTTACACTCTGTAAAGTGTCCAAACAAAAGCTCATACCATTCTCTAGTTAACCGCACACAAAAACAGTCAATAACTTTAAAAAAAGCTGTTTTTGAAGTAAATATTGTTGGTTTTGACTTGTCTTGGCCTTCCATGGCTTTTAATTTTTTGGAAAAACCTGCTCGTACTGTTGTTAGAAGTATCCTGGACACGGAATTGCAGAACAGACAAAAATACTGTAATCCTAGGCTCCTTTTTTTGTGCCAAAGGATAACGTTATGATTCTGATTCAATTTCCATAAAGCGTTGTTTAGAAAAACTCATATAAACTTGATCAATGAAGTTACTGGAGTATCGAAAATTTGACCATATTTTGAGTAACGAAAAAATCTAGGGTGCTGGTCACTTTGTGCCCACCGATCGTCCCGGTCCGGCTCTTCAAATGCTCTACAATTTCCTGCAAAACGATCAGGTTGAAAAAGATGAAAAATATATATTGAGATGTTTAGACATACAACAAGCGAGTACCGTATGATATGAGCCGACAACCATTATTGCCGCAATTCACCGTGAGTTTTAGCAAAATGAATCCCCTTTCCGGAAATTTAAAGTAGATTGCCAATTCTTTCACTTCTTTATTATAAAAATCTCGGTTTAGGAGGGCGGAAATGGAGAAGCTTTCACAACGACTTGTGAGTTTTTGGTCGATTTTGAATTTCATTCGGCTTTCGAATACATTGAGCTCGAAGTTTCAATGTGTCTTCTACTTGTGCTTTGTTCAGCAATTAGATTTCTGAACAAATCTTGTTACAAATCTTGTTTACGTGTAAAGCAAATCCCAACACGAAGAAATTTGAGCTCAAATTTAGATTGTCAATGGCAAAAGGGCGGGGCGCACATACAGTACTGGACAATGAAATATGATATTTGAAAAACGATCGTCACTTTCGCGCGTCTGTAACTCCCTTGTCTTTGAGTTTAAACTATTAGTGTTATACATTTTCTGAAAGCTCTTTTCAAGGGCTACACAATGGTAATATTAATATTTAGAAATACGGTAAAGACAAGGGAGTTATAGACGCGCGAAAGGGACGATCGTTTTTCAAATATCATATTTCATTGTCCAGTACTGTAGGTAACAAAAGTAATCGTCTTTAAATCAAAAATTTGAACACTACAAATTTTAAGTTGGGCCCAAAAATGAACGGAGAAAATAAAATAATCCAGAAACTATCTTCCAAAATTTCAGAATTAAAGGCGGCGACTTTGATGTTGTTTCATATTTCATCAAACTATAAAGTGTTATATGTCATTTGATAACTCTTACGACGCTCTTTCAGAATACTGAATTGTGGATTTCTATTTTCCCATGAGATTTTTTCAATATTCTGCGCCGAAAAGTGAAAATAATCTCTTTATCATTATCAGCTAGATTTTCGTGAAAATAATTTTTTTTCACGAAAATCTAGCTGATAAACTAGGCTCAAAAAGAAAATTTCTGAATTCTACGCAAAAAGTTAGTCGGGAGCTGTTTTTTAATTTTGTGTTTTGGTCAATGGAAACGCGAGCTCTGAAAGCTAGGTTTTTTGGAAGCGCGCGGTTACATGGCCTGCGCGCACCGTTGGTGTTGGTAAAATTTTTCTTTTGTGTCAAATCAGCAAGTGTTATCTATCATTCGAAAGTTATATATTATTTTCGAGACTTCGAACTTCGAGAAACATTTAATAGATTTTCTTTTTTTTCCTGCAGACCTTTTGAACTTTTGAAATCATCGCTTCCACCGAAGGGTCACTCCGATCAGCATATTGTTGAAAATCAATTGAATCCTTATCAGCGGCTGGTTTTTTGTCAAACCTCTTGTTGCATCATAATCATCCAAACGTCATCGCACAGGAAAGACCAAAATTGGTGTTCGAGAAAGATAGATCTCCACCAAGAAAAACCATATATCCGGAAACCTATATATACCAATTTTACCAACACCAACGGTGCGCGCAGGCCATGTAACCGCGCGCTTCCAAAAAACCTAGCTTTCAGAGCTCGCGTTTCCATTGACCAAAACACAAAATTAAAAAACAGCTCCCGACTAACTTTTTGCGTAGAATTCAGAAAGTTTCTTTTTGAGCCTAGTTTATCAGCTAGATTTTCGTGAAAAATATTTTTTTTGACGAAAATCTAGCTGATAATGATAAAGAGATTATTTTCACTTTTCGGCGCAGAATATTGAAAAAAATCTCATGGGAAAATAGAAATCCACAATTCAGTATTTTGAAAGAGCGTCGTAAGAGTTATCAAATGACATATAACACTTTATAGTTTGATGAAATATGAAACAACATCAAAGTCGCCGCCTTTAATTCTGTAATTTTGGAAGATAGTTTCTGGATTATTTTATTTTCTCCGTTCATTTTTGGGCCCCAACTTAAAATTTGTAGTGTTCAAATTTTTGATTTAAAGACGATTACTTTTGTCACCTATGTGCACTGCTTCCGTTAACCCATCAGCTACCACAATCCCGGATTCAAATCCGACAAGTGTCAACACGGTTTCAGTGAATCCATCATCGACAACGACATCGACATCATCGACAACCACCACCACAACCACAACGGCCACTCCGAAAACGAATCCAACAACGCAGGGGGGGAAATCTTCCTCATCCCTTCATCACCTCTTCTCAATCTTTGTTGCACTTCTTCTTTTAGTTAAACCCTATCTTTTCTGAATGTAGTCATGAATCTATAGAAATCTTTGCAATAAATTGAATACTTTATTTCCAATGAGAATCACAATGCCTAAAAAAATTGAGAAAAATAACCTAGTGAAATAACCCGCCTATTCGGATGCTTTCAGCATTTAGACCCAAATAAAAAACATTATTTTTTTGGAGAAACTTTTCTTTTCTCCAAAAGTTTCCGAAAACGTCAGAACGTTGTCGTTAAGACTTTCACCGTCGTGCGGAGGCTTTTCTTTCGGCCAAGCGCACGCGATGATTTCTGAATGAGAACACGACGGTAATCGGTGACGAAATAGATTGTGGCGAGTGGTTCGACAAAGGAATAAATACCTGAAATGATAAAATAAGATGATGTTTGGGAATTGTGAAAGTTGACATTTTTAACGACAACGTTCTGTATTCCTGGACCGACGGTCCAGGAATACAGAATCGTCGACGATTCCGTATTCCCAAGTCAATGACTTGGTCCCCAAAGGAAGGTCCAGGAATACGGCCGTGTATTTTAACTTCCTATTCCTCGAACTGCTTTCTTACCGCCGGAGGCCGCGGCGAAGCCGCCTCCAAGCGCAGCTACTCTGATAGGCGAAGCCTATCTGGGAGCGGGAACCGGGTGGGTGTGAAAGTTCTGCTCACTTTCTTATTATTTTCCTAATAGTTAAAGTGGGTTTCACAAATGAAACACATTCTTTTGTGACGAAAATCCTTGGTTTTTCGTTTGACGTAATGGTTTGGTGTTATTAGTTGTAAGTTTTACACAGAACTAGACAGATTGCTGTCTATTATTAAACTTTAATACTATTTTTGACAATTCTTGGGATGTGATTTGAAACTTCTCTCTTATAAACCCACCAAAGGCAATAGTGACAAAGGTAGTGTCCATTGAGAAGCCAAAGATTGGACAGAACAATATGATACCCGATGGGCCGTACTCACAAGCCACCGGGATCAAGGTCTGAAGTTGAAATGAAATATTGAAATATTGGATTTAATTTGTAAAGCCTGTATTGATCCGTTTACCTGGATGACGAGTGCTCGGAAGATGCCCATTTGTGCCCTTTTTGTCTTCTCACTTCCCGCTGATTCAAGAATCGCGTGATAGATGTTTCGACCACAATAAACAATGAGAACAAAGGTGGATGAGATCACCGTCATGCAGATAAGAAAACCGACCCACGAACGAAGGTAGATACTTCCATCTTCTAGCTGAAACTTGATACATAAAGCTGATGCAGATGTTTCGTACGTTAGCTATTCGGTCCGTTTCCTTCCTATTTACATTTAATTTGCGTCGCTTTTTCGTCGCATTCTCGTCTCTTTTTTCTTCTTTTTCTTTACTTTTTCTTTCTTTTTCTTTCCTTTTTCTTTTCTTTTTCTTTTCTTTTTCTTTTCTTTTTCTTCTTTTTGGTTTTGTGTGTGTGTGTGTGTGTTTTGTGTGTTTAGGTTTGGAGTTTTGCCCTCGTTCTTTCGGGATTTGATGTTTCTCTTCACGCGCTTTGTAATGCGTATCGTTGCCTTTTGTTTTCTATACGAATAAACCATAAAATTATAAATCCAATCTACTTTAAACAACCCTTAAGGTTCTGAATTCTGTTTAGATAGCTGGTCTAACATTTGTAATAACATGCTTTCTAATGATAGAAAGAATTTGCTAATATTTGTGTTACCATCGATGAAGCGTCAATCCGTTGTGTACTCGTACCACGAGCGGTAACCTTATGCTGAATTTTGCCTGTTCTTGCTATCGTGTGAGCGTTTTGGATAAACCCGTTTAATCTTTTGTGCTATTCGGTTATTCTAAAACAAAATCACTCGCGATAGGGTTAAAGCGGGTCTTACTGTTCCCCGAGCTGTTCAGCTAATCTTTCCAGACCGATAGACTGATAGACTGATCAGTAAGAGCAAAACCAACGACTTAAACTTAACATCTAACATTTAGCCATAAAAGACCGTCTTTTTAAACTTTAATAACCAGGCGAGGCAAGGTTAGAAGCTGGTTCAGAGCCCTGGCTTAGTCTGGTCTAAAAAACAACCTCCGTTCTACTAATCTTTTAAATTTTTTACACTTAACTTTTAAACGTAAACTTAAGCCGTAAACTTTAACATTCAGGCACTCTTTTTTTTCCTTTTTTTAACTTTAAAACTTTTTTTGAAACCCACAAAATAAACAGCTCCAACGGTGACAAAAGCGGTGATATTGTCCCCGAAATCACTTTGAAATGCGTCAGCGAAGTAGTTTTGGATGACGGGATTTTCCATCAAAAAGATATACGCATTGAGGCAATATCCACAAGCCATCGCCAAATAGAGACCAATCAGCCAACACCACGCGTGAGCCGCTTCCATCTCTTTGATGAAGCGGATCCTCAAGTCAAATGGGTTAGGAGCTTTTTTTTATCAGTTATAACATTCTTGACATTCTTTAAAACTTTCCGTCAAGAGGAACACCAAATATAAACTCAAGCATGAGCTTTTGGATTAACTTTCATTGAACTCACTTGCAAACGAGCGAGAAACGATAGAGAAAATGGAAAGTGAGCAAGGCAAGCGATTGAGCATAAGCCGAGACATACATTAACATGCCGAAGAACGAGAGGAAAACCGAATCACGAATGATTCCCGTTGGAACCATCAGGAAACCGTTTCCCCAGGCGTACAGAAGCTAAAGCAAGTTTGTTTTTCAAGTTTGACGCATTCTAGTTGATTTTTTTGAAGTTTGATGTGAAGTTCTATCAACTTCGCCTCAAACAATTTGATATTTAGGCTTCATTTTTGATCCAAAACTAGTAATTGAGAGCTCACCGGCGAAACGAAGAAACAAATGAGCGGATAGATGAAATTGAAAAGCGCGAAACTGAGCATGAATCTCGAATAGACTTTCATGTGGGATTTTGTGTGAAAAAGGATCAAATATAATAAGAGACCGTTCGCGAAAATCGCAGCAATCGTGGTGGCGGTGACGATGATCGGTTGGAATTCGGGGACGATCATTTTCAAGAGAAATGGAGATCTAAAAACAAAGCTAATAATCAGCTAAAGTATCAGCGCAAAGTGCACACAAATTAAAGAGGGTTTTGATCGTGATAAAAGAAAAATTGCGATCCATGTCAGAACCATTAAAAATTGAAGCTTTACGCTTTACGCTTTACGCTCTGAAACTAGAGCCAAAAGCTTCAATTAAAGTGGATTTTGATAACTGAATTTGAATGTTGAAAATTCGAACTTCTACCGATTCTTTATAGCTCTAAAATCAGGGTTTTACTCACTTATTCACTGAAAATTTGGTAAAATAAACTGCAAATTAGCATATTTTCTTTATAAAAACTGTAAAAAAGTAAAAAAAAAAAGCAAAAATTTAAGGTAAATCTCTTTGAAAACCCATCAAATTCTGAAGAAAAGAATTTCAAAGCACAAAAAATCAATGACTTCACAGGAAAATGCTACAGAACCGCTAGAAAAATGAAATAAATTAAGTTTACGGAAAAGTGTTTCGAGAAATCAGAAGGAATTCAGGGAAAATGTTTGTGTGGAGAAGAAAAAAAAAATAATAATAATGGAGTTCAACAATTTCTCCTCCAATTTTCGATCGCCTCTTTTTTCTCTTCGCAGCGGTTCCCCGCTCGAATCTCATTTCATTTTCTCATCGAATCATCTTAATATTTGGCCAAATAGTCTTCATTGATCATTTGCACATTCAAGTTTTCAAGATCGGGAGGAAAAAAATGCCTGATTACCGCAAAAAAAATGCGATTTCTTGGAGGATTTGTAGCGAAGAAAAGAGAATGATCTCATCGTTTTGAGGGGAAATTTCAGGAAGAGAACGGTATAAATAAAGAATAAAGATAAAGATTTGCACCTTTGCACCAACTCCGGATATCATTTATTCGGCACGATACATTCCGAGTGTCCCCCCACCTTCTGCCCCTCTGAGTACCCCCTTGTCAGAGGCATTTCGCGTTTTTCTCGACCCACAATTTACCAATTGGCCTGTTTTTGATTTCATTGGATAGAGGAGAGTTAGACGCATCGAATGAAACCAAAAACAGCCCAATTGGTAAATTGTGCGTCGAGAAAAACGCGAAATGCCTCTGGCAAGGGAGCACTTAGGGGGTACTCGGGCAAAAGGGGGACTTTCGACACACACAATTCGACACACACAATTCGACACACACAATTCGACACACACAATTCGACACACACAATTCGACACACACAATTCGACACACACAATTCGACACACACAATTCGACACACACAATTCGACACACACAATTCGACACACACAATTCGACACACACAATTCGGCACACACAATTCGACACACACAATTCGACACACACAATTCGACACACACAATTCGACACACACAATTCGACACACATAAGACTAGGCTATGTCTTAACTTAACCCACGCCTACATTCTCCCAAATCCCTACTCTTATTGGGCGATCTCTAGATAGCTTGTTCTGGCGGTGAAGAGAAGGTAAAGACGGTTGGATAGGCTTCTCGCATTAAGCAGCTGGGCCATGAACGGGATCGAACCTGGATCTCTAATCCCAGAGACAGCCACACTGAAGTTGCGCCCATCCCGGCGCTTTTGGGCAAAAGGTAAGGCTGGGGAAGGCTTTAGCTTATGAACAATATTTGAGAGCATAAAAAACTTAAGTTTAAATTCACGTTCACATTTCCGGCATTTTATTGGTACTGAGAAATCAATAAAGTCTAAAATCTGTAATTCTCGAATAGTACTCATTGTCAGCCACAAAAACTTTAAAAAAAACGAAGAACATGCAAAGAATTGAGTTAATGCATATGAAATGGCTAAATCTCTTCAGATTTCTCCAGCTTACAAAAAGTTCTTTTATGATTTATTGCTAGTGAAAAGTTCTGCAATAATCAGCTGCAATAAAGCTAATTCATTAAGAAATCCCAGGCTTTATCGCTTCAAATTGTTCTCAAAACTCAAAAAAACATTCACTGAAATCTTTGAATAGAAGCATTTTGATTAAAAAAATATCGAGCTAATAGAACTTTGGCTCAAAAGAACATCAAAGTTGAGTTGCCTCGAATGATCGAAAAGTTTCTCCGTCATTTCATCTCAAACAAAGTTTCCCGCTGTTATTCGCTTAAAATTATGACTTTTCATTCTAACCACACAGTTATCTATTGGGTTGATGAATTTTCACCAACCTAACGGCTGCTCTGGTGGAGAAATTTACATCCGTTAGCCATTTCATATGCAATCACCCAATATTCAGCCATAACTCTTTCACTTCAGCATCCACTTTGTTGTGCAATAAATTTTGAAGGGACAAGACTGGTTCAAGGGTTTGAAAAAACGATAATTTTTCGGGTTTAGTCTGTTGATTTTTGCAATTTTACACGGGGCACAAGCCAGGATCAGGCAAATCTTGGCCTATCTTGGCATAACTTCTAAACGTTTCTGGACCTGGACCGTTTCTGGACGCTTCTGGACCTTCTGGAGAAGCTCAAACCCAGGCCTGGCCTGGCTTACAGACTCTAGATATTTTATTCATAAAAAAGCGTAACAAATCACTGAGCTTATCAATGTAAAGTGTACCTCAGATGGGTCAAAGTACGAAAAAATCATAGCCTATTTTTATCGGAAAAATTCTCGAGAAATCGCATTTTCGGTGATTATTTTCTCGAGTGGCCGAACTGTCTTTTAATCAAAAATCGGAAAAATGAAAAATGAGAGCGATTTGCGAGAAATGATGGCTTTTTAAATAGGATTTTAACGATTTCAATCTTTCTTATTTGGATCTATGATTTGCAGCAGTAAAAAAAATACTCTAAAATCTATTTTTTGCTCTTCTTGGTTAGATCGTTTTCTAAAAGGAGCGGCTAGGAAAAGCCGTAACCATGTCTTTACTTACACTACTGGACAATGAAATATGATATTTGAAAAACGATCGTCCCTTTCGCGCGTCTATAACTCCCTTGTCTTTACCGTATTTCTAAATATTAATATTACCATTGTGTAGCCGTTGAAAAGAGCTTTCAGAAAATGTATAACACTAATAGTTTAAACTCAAAGACAAGGGAGTTACAGACGCGCGAAAGTGACGATCGTTTTTCAAATATCATATTTCATTGTCCAGTACTGTATCTCTTTCGAAAACGTTGAACAAGAGAAGCTAAATTTAAAAAAAGTGATCAATGTACAACAAACAACAAGCAACAAACATGCTTTTTAAATAGGATTTTAACGATTTCAATCTTTCTTATTTGGATCTATGATTTGCAGCAGTAAAAAAATACTCTAAAATCGATTTGTTTGCTCTTCTTGGTTAGATCGTTTTCTAAAACGAGCGGTTAGGAAAAGCCGTAACCCTGTCTTTACTTATCTCTTTCGAAAACGTTGAACAAGAGAAGCTAAATTTTAAAAAAAGGTGAACAATGTACAACAAACAACAAGCAACAAACAATAAAGTAACAAAGATGGCAACAAAGTACAGCAGTAAAACTCATGTTTTTCATGAAGTTTTGTATTTTTACAAGTGTTTACTCAAAAAAAAGCCTCGAAAGCACAGGATTAGGGTCTTTTTTGGATTACGTTTTCAAAAACTTTCAAAAACTTTTAAAACCTCCACTCTAAAACGCTCTATTTTTGGAGTGGAGGTTTTAGAGTATTTTTACTGCTTTTAGAGTCTGTTTTAGAGTCTGTCTTCCAAAAAAGAAAGTCGCTTAACGCGATTTTTCTCAGAATTTCTAGTGGCTTTTGGTGGTTTTTGTGATGTGAATATTTTGGGCGGGTAAATTTTTGATATTTTTTCACTTTTTCCCGATTTCATGACTTCCTACCGTAGTACGAGGTGGAGCACAAGAGTGGCAGAGACGGTCAGAGAAAGGATGTGGCTAGAGTGCAACCACCACCAGCACAAGCAAGTCGAAGACTTCGAACCAGGAACAACCAAGATAGGAAACACTGGATGACAATAGCAATGGATAGAGAAATGTGGAAGCAGGCAAATAGGCACCCCTAAGTGCGAAGACAGATCAAAATAAAAATAAAACCCCTAATAGTAGCGCCCTTCCTATAATGGCGGGCGGAGGGTCGCGTAGTCTAACTTCAAACGCATTTTTCTCGCCACCCGTTTATGCTACAGTGTTCTCTTAAGTATCAAATGAACGCTGAAATTCAAGGCTATTTTTTGATACCAAATATGTATTTTTAGAATTTATGGGCGCTTAGAAAAGAATGATTTAGTAAAAAACTTTTTGCGACTACGCGACTGTACGCGGGAGGGCGCTATGAAATTTCTGAGCCACCATGGTTGCCACCACTGAGGTTTTTGCCATAAAATTGAAACTTTCTACTGGCATCGTGGTGTCATATTAGGGTTAAAATGTAAACTAAGATTTTCAACCAAGCACTTTATTGATTCGTAGCTCGTGAGTGGAAAATGGCTGCCTCTTTGAAAATTGCGAGTTAAAAGAGTTCTATGAGAGATTACTGGATGAGATTACTGGGCAAGAGATTACTGGATGTTCTAAACCGATAAAGTGTTTGATTGAAAATCTTAGTTTACATTTTAACCCTAATATGACACCACGATGCCAGTAGAAAGTTTCAATTTTATGGCAAAAACCTCATAGTGGTGGCAACCATGGTGGCTCAGAAATTTCATAGCGCCCTCCCGCGTACAGTCACGTAGTCGCAAAAAGTTTTTTACGGAATCATTCTTTTCTAAGCGCCCATAAATTCTAAAAATACGTATTTGGTATCAAAAAATAGCCTTGAATTTCAGCGTTCATTTGATACTTAAGAGAACACTGTAGCATAAACGGGTGGCGAGAAAGATGCGTTTGAAGTTAGACTACGCGACCCTCCGCCCGCCATTATAGGGGGGCGCTACTATTAGGGGTTTTATTTTTATTTTGATCTGTCATCTGTCTCTGTCTCTCAATCTGTCAAAAAAATCTCATGTTGGTAGCAGCCATGATGGCTCAGAGATTTCATGTATAGGAAAGTCATGAAAACGGGAAAAAGTGAAAAAGATCAACCATTTGCCCACCCAAAATATTCACAACAGCCACCAACTTTTATTTTTGGAAAACCCTGTAGTTTAAAATAGGATTACAGCCGGAAAAATCGGAAATCTGCACTCAACTTTCTGTTTTCATTGAATTCTTTCCAAAAAACGTCAGAATCTAATTGAAAATTTGTTTTTTAAAAGCAAATAGCCATTGATTATAGCTCAAAAATCATTCCCAATTTTATGAATGACAAAATTAGTGAGCTTGACACGTTTTAGTACCAAATAAGTGAAAAAACAACAACTAGAGAGTTCTCCACCTTCAACAAAGAAACACGTGGGTCTTGTACAAAAGTTGATGTCTAAATTTTTGCATTCATGGGACACTTTCCCACTATTTTTCCCTTGCAATTCTCAGCTTTGGGTTCTGCTCATAAAAAAGACTTGTCAAGCTCATTGACGAGAGAAAAGAAAGGAATAATTTTAGAAAATGGCTACAAATTGTGTGAAGTTCACAATTAGATGCACTGATCTTTTCCTTTCACAAAAATCTCCATTCAATCGTGTGAACGAAAACTGTAGTTACAGGAGTTAGCTAGTTAACTAGAAAACTGTAGTTACAGGAGTTAGCTAGTTAACTAGAAAACTGTAGTTACAGGAGTTAGCTAGTTAACTAGAAAACTGTATTTACAGGAGTTAGCTGGTTAACTAGAAAGCTGTAGTTAGATGAGTTGGCTCATTAACTAGAAAGCTGTAGTTACAGGAGTCAGCTAGTTAACTAGTTAACTAGAAAACTGTAGTTACAGGAATAAATCGCCATTTCTATAAAAAGTTTCTTGTAAGCTATTTGAATAAAATGGGAATTAGGTTAATTTTTTAAAAAATAGGTACACCATTTTTCCCTTATTTCTAAAATGTCTATTTTCTTCGTTACTCTAATCCGCATCATCTTATCATCCAATCTATCCTCGTTTGTATCATTTGTGAACCCTTATAGGATCAAACGAAACATAGTAGATTTGACGATATACCGTACCTAGAGAGAAAATAGCAATATACCGTACCGCGGTACTTTTCAAGATTACGGTAACTTATACAAAAAAAAAATGTCAAATTGATAAACTTTAAAAAGTGGCTTTGCACGGCCCAAAAAAAACGCATTGAAAACTTTCCTGCAAAAAGTGAATCTAATTCCATTCAGGTACATTACCGTACACCCGTCGTCTTTAATCAAGTCGTGTGAACAAAAGCTTGATTCCCGCCACCGCAAAATTTCGAGGGCTTATTTTTTTCAAAATCTGTTTTCGAAAATGTTCTCCTAAAAAGGAACATTGTGCATTCGATAATTTGGCGTTCTCATATGTTCGAATTTGGAGTTGAAAATTGGAAAAAACTCCAGACACAAATTTGATCATCATCACCACAAAGCATGAAAGCAGAAAAATTTTTAGATTTCATGTCTGCGAAATTTTCAAAAACGGAATTTTTTCAAAGAGCTTGGCAGAGGACTGCTTTGACATCAGAAAATCTAACGCCTTAAGTTCTTATCCCAACTAAAATTAATAGCAATAGAGTTGTTTCAAATAATCAATAAATAATCAATAAATAATCAATAAATAAACGAATAAACAAAGAACTGTAGTCTTGAGAACATTTCGATGTCCCGCAATTCATTTACGCAAATTCAATTGCAAAATTCGCCTTTCAATTCGACAGTTCAACGTTGGGGATCAAAGCTCAAATTGAGTTCGACGGGCATTGCCGGGAAAATGTTAACTTCATTACAAAAAAAACTGAATGCAATTTTCTACATAGCAGAAAGTTTACCGCACAAAAATCTAGATAAACGATCACAAATACGATAATGAATAAACCCTAGTCCAAAGATATTAACACACATAAATAGGGAAACGAGCGAATCAAAAAGAAAAATGAAACAGGAGGGCATAGACATTCAGGAACAAAAATCACAGGTAATTGACATAATAAATTGGACTCTATAAAAATCGAGCAAGAGAGTGATGCTTTACTCACACAGAAAATTGTCACCAAGAGGTATTCTTTTGAGAAGGTCATTTATGTAGATGACGAACTGGCCAACTTCTTTAAGTGCTCCATGAACACCTAAAAATTGATGTTTGATACGAATTTCTCAATGTTTAGCTAAAAGGCAACCAAGTAAAGTGAAAATGCAATAAACACGAACCTGGAGCGAAACATCATCGGTTAGCACAGCTGCTCCTCCATCGGTTGCATACGGATTGTTGTGAGTTGTCGATGGGTTCACTTTTGATAACAAAAATCGAGCCTAAATAAAAAGTATTAAGACTATTCAAAGATAATTTACCTGCGATCCCTCATACTCGGTAACAATGTAACGGGGCATTGGGAAACGTTCTTGCAGAATCGAGGTGGCATCAGCAACGGGAGCCTGAACAAAATATTTCATTTCAAAATCATTATATGTACCTCCAACAGTTGCTTAAACGAGGCGTATTGAGGATCTTCGTCGTATTTAGCTTTCTTCCATGCAGCAATAGTCTAAATCAAAATAAGCTAATTTTTTCAATAAAGATTTTGCCTGTCCGTGATAGATGAGAACGTGGAAATAATCATCCATTAACAAAATTCGATCGGGAAGAATAGATGACGAATCCAGTAACACGGGCTCAGGTGGTCCACTAAAAGAATAAACTATTGTTACAAATTTTCAACTTACTTGAATGAATAACTGAAGAGCACAGGTTGAATCATAGTTGTCGACTCGAGGACATTTTCGGAGAACAAGATGTGTCGATAATATGCTGTCTCGTCGGGTGAGTTGTTGAAGACTTGTAAGAATTGAGACCTAAACAACCAAATAAAATTAATTGTATGTTTAAAGTCAAAAACCTCCTCAAGTGGAACATAAATTGTGGAAACATTGAGAACTTTTCTGACAAGCGGAACGAGGCGGGGTCATCTTTGTGGTACTCTCCGAATTTTTGGCACTAAAAAGCAATATCAAAGAATTTATAGTAGCCAAATTTTTTGGTTGAAGTTGGCTGATTTGAGTTCTTGTTGCCTTGTTTATTACATACCAGTCTAATCAAAGTTCGATCGAGCCAACGCAACGCTTCGGGAGTGTCGTTTTCGTTGATCGCTCGCCATGAAGCCAATCGTCCAATTATCACGGCCGCCGCTTCCTAAAATCCATCAATATAAAAACAATGTAGATCATCACATACTTGATCAAATCCATAAGCAATGTTTGCATGTTGACTCTGCATATCCGCCCAAGACCGGCATGTTGTCGTCACTCGGATTCTCTTCCTTCTAAAAAACAATTTCAACTGTATCGCAAAACTCTTCAAACCCATCAGCGTGCTGATATTGTGTGACAAATTGAACAACTCCTCGACTGCCTTGAGCCACCGCAGCTCCATGCTAAACACCAATGATACATAAAGTTGGATATTTGCAAACAACCTGAGCCGTGATCTCATACAATATCGCAACGGTCGTGCGAGGAGACAGGGCGCCAAACTTCCATTGACATGTCCCGCCTGAAAGTTACCTTTTAAAGAAACCAAACCAAAAGCGTACCGATCCCCATTTCTTGATCAGAGACGTTTGCATTCTTCACATTTCCACTAGAGCAGCACCCGAGGAGTCCTTCAATTTTCAATCCCGATCCCACTTTCACTTCCATTGTTGCGTTGAATCCCATCTTCAGTTGTCCATAACCGTCTTTGTCGAAAACCCGTTGATACGTCTGTTTGAACAACGAAGAGTTGAAGGAATCACCCATCACAACGTGTCCTAAACATAAAACAATATTCAATAGCTGCCAATATTTAATTTTAAAGCAGCCTTATCAAATTAAACAGTTTTTACCTCCCGTAGAATTGTAGAGGTTTTTCATCTCTGCTAGTCCCGTTTGATCCAAGGCACACGAGTAGAGATCGACAACGTGCCCATTCTTCACCAATCGAGCTGACAGCGTATCGTAGAATTTTGTAGCCTAAATATTAACAATAACCATTAAGCGAACCCTGTGCTATTACCTTCTTCATCAAATTAGCATTATCTTCTTTGATCGTATGCCATGAACGGATGGGATTCTAAAACATATGGTAAAACATTTTACAACCAAATATATAAACCTTCAGCTCTTCTCCAACTACCATTCCAGGTCCATGTGTGCAAGCGCCTCCAATAAACGTCATAATCCTAGCACCAGTGTTCGGGAAACAAGTCTAAAACAAACATGTAAAATAACAAGGCCTGTTTCTGTTTATGACTCTACAAACTTAATATTCACCTCTAAGAGTGTAACAGCAACCGAAAGAGCAGCACCAGTAGCTCTCAACGGACGATGTCCCTGTGGAACAGGCCAGCGATCAACCACAACGCCGTCAATGAGATCGTTAATCGATTCATCACATTCAGAGATAGGCTATAAGTGTAAAGATAGATTGATAACAACATCGGTTCCTACTTGAAGGAACTTGTTGTAAGTGTTGTGGGCGGGTGCTCCAGGTGGTCCTCCAGGCGCCGCTGCTGGATTTGGTCCAGGACCTCCGGGCATATTTGGTCCTCCTTGCGGTCCAGCTGGCATTCCAGGTCGTCCGGCACCGGGTAATCCTGTAAAAATAGGTCGTCTATCAGCCAAGCTATCCGTTTTGAATAAGCCTTTAGTTTAAAGAATCGGTGCAATATTGTATATCGTGTCACTTGAAAAACTAATTTAAAGGCAATCCATGTTATAGAATACATAAGACTTAAGCAAAGATAAGTAAAACAGCCGTTATACATGGAATAGTTGAGTCCTTTAACTTGCGTAAATGTAATTGCTTTGTAACAACCAAACATATCAACCTCCAGGCATTCCAGGAGCTGGTCCAGGTCCACCGGGAACTCCACCCATTGGCGCTCCTGGCGCTCCTTGCATTGCTTGTGCTGGTCCACTTGGTCGGCCTCCAATTTGCATTGCCAAGATGTCACGAATTTGCTTTGCGGTCACTTCTTTCGTTCCCTGAATAACAACTCATAACTTATTAATGCTGCTCGAGTTACCTTGAAGACAAAACTGCGAGTGATTCCTTTAACATTCAACTCATGAAGCTGCACCATTCGTCCGTATGTAATGAGTCCAACAAGTGCATCAGCTGGGAGAAGAGCCATCGCCGTCTAAAACAAACTTGGGAAGTTTTAATGCAAAATCTTCCTATCAGCTTTATAAGAGCTAACTAGTAAGTTTACCTGAATGCTTTCCTTCAAAGCTTTCAACTCCTCTTGTGTCAAGCATGTGTCGATCACAAACATGAAAATCGGGGGCATAGTGGTTGCTTTCTAAATAAATACTATTAAATACCTTTTCACATTAATAGCGAACCTTCAAAGTGTATTCGATAGTCGAGAATTGTGGGTAAAGCTCGGGCGGCATGTTCTGTTCGCTGATTGCAGCATAGTGAGCCGGGAAAGAGTTCCGATTCGCACAAAGCGCACACACCCACGTCTTTGCTCGGTAGTCGACCATACTAAACAAACGATTGATTGAGTTATGTTTGTGATGCGATAATATCTTACTATTTTGCTAACAAACAGGCATAAAAATTACCAGAAACAGTTGAGCACAGCTTTGCATTGTTGCTTTGAGCACAACACCGGATCATATTCAAGTGGAGGCTGTTGAGGATGTTCAGCTGGACGTTCCTAAAGGAAAATTAAACTAACCAAAGAAAATTAGCGGATACTTTTAATGGAGTGAAGAAAGAAGCAAGTGGAATGACGAGTCGTTGAGCATCGGCACGAGAATGTGGCCATCTTAAAAAAGAAAATTGTAAATTTCAAAAGCTTTTTTTACTTAAGCAGCTTTTCGATCTTTAGATTAAAATTTAAGTCTTTCATTCTCAAATCATTCAACTCAAGCTTGGTAATAAAAATAAAAAGCTTACAAATTCCAGGTGAATTGCAAGCCGTCGATCGCCTGCTGATTAGCCAAATACTCCTCCCACGTGCTCATCTAAAATAAAAACATTAACGGTAATGGTGATGATTAAAAGAAAATGAAACAAAATCGAACTAATAAACGTTGGCAAAAGCTTAAAAAAGGCAATCTGTCAAGGGCGAACACGTCGACCGAAATTTGACGTCATTTTATATTGCGGACAAAAGTGAAAAGAGTATCGCCGCGTTTTTCTATTGGACGAGTCTTGTAATACCTTTCGTAAGCGCGTGAGAGAATCGCTCGGATCATTTCTGCTAAATCAAAGCTGCAGTAACTTTACTAACTTTAAAATTTAATCCTTTGTAGTTAAGGGAATTCTGATACTCTTTAAAAATAGCAAAACTTCTTATTATTCATTTCAAACCCAATAAACAAGCAATTTAGATCGAATTTCTATGGGAAAAAGCAAAACGCGAGCCGCAAACGAAAATTTTTGCCAGGAAAATGAGGAACAAATGGAAAGCCAAGCAGGTACCGCATTTTTCGCCAAAAAATACGCGGTTGTGGGGGTAATTGTGGCCTTTTTTTGCTCAACCAGTCAAAAGCGCAACTTTTTTAAAAAGTTTTAGTTTTAAGTTTAAACTGTTTAAAAAAACTCCCTAAAGCTAATTGAACATTTTTGTCTAAAAAGTTGATTTTCTGAATAATTTGGGGGCGTAGAATCCGAATATCGACATTTCAGAGCGTTTAGAAGCTATCTGGTAAATGCGCAAAGGGGTAGGTTTGTTAGGAGACCCTAAATTCCGATCACCCTTGCGCATTTTTACCTCGCTTCTAAACGCTCTGAAGTGCCGTTATTCAGATTCTACGCCCTCAAATTACCCAGAAAATCAACTTTTTAAACAAAAATATTGAATATTTAGTTTTAGTGAGCCTTTTTAAAACTCCGAAAAAGTTGCGAAAATGACTTTTCTTGGGGATGGTTACTTTTCGCCTTTAAATTTTTTGCGCAAAGTACATTTGCGCAACTTTTTAAAAGTTTTAGGTTTGAGTTTAAAATGTTGAGGTCTGTAAAAGTATTTCAACGTGTTTTCTAATTGAAAACAGTGAGAACTAAAATTGTGAAGCAGAAAACAGAAAACTGGTTAGAAGTTGGGGAAAATGATTTTCCTAAGCGTAAATTTGGCACAAATGAAATTGGCGCAAAAACGCGGCGCTTTTGCTAGCACTTCAATTTTTCATTTGAAAGCTTTTAGTGGTTGTTCATGCGATGAATCAACCTGAAAGTTCGTCACCTCATTCACAATCATCGACATCGAGTAGTCAGGTTTGAAAATCAAACACCAAACATGAGTTGTGCCTGATCGCTACTAGACTGAAGCATTAAGTAAGGAATGAAACGCAAAAAGCTCCAAAGTATCATACTACTGATGCTTTGGCCTGGCGCCATAGAAATATTTTAACAATTGAAAGCCTTTGCTTACACGAATAAGACAAGATTTCAGGCAGAATTGGCCGAAGAGGCTTTATGTCTCTCATGCGGGGACAATCTTCAATCAATCACCGCCGATAAACGAAAACAATCACGCAGTATGGTGGTGCCAATTTCTGGGACGTTGAGTCGACCGCTCAACAAAAGATTTTGTGGGTTTTAATGAGGAGAATTTATCTAGACAATATCTGCTACAAAATGTCGAAAAATTCCCACTGTTCTCGGCTCTTTGAAAAACTTTTAGATGGTTCAAGCTTTATTTTTAAACAAGTTTCACAAAGTAAACTTTGTTATTAGTTTACTTATTCGAGACTAAAAGGTATATTTTGCCTACATTTTGTATTTTTATATATTTCCACCCCATTACTCTTTTCGCTTTTCCCAGCGTCTTTGCGCCATTCTCGAAAAAAAAGATAAGGAATGAGAAAAATTCGATGAAACGTTTTCTCACAAAAAGCGAAAATGTTTTGAGAAAGAGAAAGAAAGAGAAATTTTTGATTTTTTGCACCGAAATCACGTGGGGATTTCTTTTTTGGGTAACGGAAAGATTGGATAGTCTGCGCTCAACTTGATCTTCCACGAGAGAAATCAACATTTTCTGCGACGTTTCACTAACTTTTCCTGCATTAATTTGCCTTCTTAAAGTACTATACACATTTTCTTTATCAATACGTTTTCGATTTTTGCTTTCAACTCCGATTTCCACATGAATTTCTCGACTTTCAGTAAAAATCCCGAAAATTCCTCAAAATAAGCGTCTCTTTGAGCCACGTTGCGTGGCCTTTATTGGTGTTCTTTGCACTGGTGAAATTCATAGAAGAGATTTCATCGATATTCCATGAAATATTCAACAATGATGAGAGGAAATTGGTGAAATCTCAATCGACACAAATTGATCGAGAAATTACAGGTTTTACTATTGTAGGAATTGTAGGAAGCCGTTAGATAAATAAGTGCTTAAAAAGAGCTGTAAAAAGATTTCGATTTTGAGCTGTAGAGCTGTAGAAAAGAGCTGTAGAGCTGTAGATTTCGATTTTGAGATAGAGTATTCCGTTCCGATGAAATCTTTACAATAAGGCCAAAATTTTCAGCTATTTTTCAGCTATTTTTCAGCTATTTCGTCAACAAAAGCCGATAAACCGATTCCAAAAACGGTTCGCGAGCGGATCGCCTCAACGTTTCTGAAAGAGGAATGGGCTGATGTGCATTTCGTTTTTCACACTCAACAAGTAAGCGTCGATATTTGATTATGATAACTTTTAAAAGTATGTCTTAAAAACATCTTTCCAAAGGATCTTTAGGGAATCGAGAGAGTCCCATCGAATTCCTACATTCTTTCCGTTTCGTCGTGCGTCTTTTGCGCTCAATTTTCCGGGAATTTCAAAATCGAAAACGAGATTGAATTAGAAAATGTCGATTGTGAAGCATTCAAGATTATGTTACGGTGAGGGATCTGCTTTTATAATCTACAAATTTTATAATCTATAATCTACAAACATTTGACGGTACTTTTCCGTTATGAGGGCCCCATTTCTCATGACAGAAAAGTACCCTCGTCCTTCGTTATGAGGGCTCAAATCCATACATGCCTTCCTTACTTCCTTACTTCCTTGCTCTCCCATTTCCGTTAGGAGCGCCCATTTTTTGAATTAAAAAAAGCTTTATATTTCTTTATATATGTAAATCACAAAACGTTTGCTAGTGGCTTAAACACTTTGAGGCGGGTAAGCACTTGAAATAAGAGACAAGATACAATCGTGTCTCCAACTTCTTGTCGCATCTCGGCCAAATAGCTTAAAAGGAAGTGTTCTTTGTGGTGCTACTTTTAAATGTAAATACATGTATGAGGACAAAATGAGAAATGGACTCTAATAACGGAAAATTACCCTTTTGACTTTTGACTTTTGATCACTTTTGACTTGTAGAACGCTTTTGATTGACTTTTGCAGTTTTCATGTCCTCGAGATTCTCAAAATCTCTAATAAATCTATTTCTTAGCCAAAATATAGCAAAAATGTCATTAGAAAAATAGTAATACAAATGTAAAATCTGAATAAATGTCAAAGATGTCAAAGATGTTAAAGATGCCAAAGATGTCAAAGATCTAAAAGAATTCAGTTACCTCTACACGGATGAGTTACATTTGACTCTCGACAGTGGTCTCAATGTGCTTTATCTTGCTCGAAGGTGATTTTATCAATGATATATCTAGATAGGCTCAAATCCAAATCAAAAATTGAAGAGCTATCTCATTTTTCAGATACTTGATCGAACCGTTAATCGATGCAACTCTCGACTTTTTATCCACCCAATTAACCGCATCAAATGTGTGTCTCTTTCTTCCGCAAAAGAATCTTTTCGATGAAGAATTTCTAATGAAACGGTGAAGCCTTTAATTTATTTCTATTATTGATTTATTGATTTATTGATTTATTGATTTATTGATTTATTGATTGATTTATTTATTTATTTTTAATTTCAGCTGTTGGATGGTGGTAGATGCTCAAGCGGAGATCGTACTGAAAAGTGATGCATTCAAGGAATTGCCTCTGGATATGGTTTATTTCAGAAGATATTAAATTCAGAAGATTTAAAGATTCAGAAGATAAAGATATAAAGATCCTATTCTATTTGAAGCAAAAATATCTATTCAAATCGATTTCCAGGTTCGATCAATTGTGTCAAGAGATGAGTTGAATGTCAGCGAACAAACGGTCTTCGAAGCACTCGTTGAATGGGCTCGAGTTGAATGTGATAGGTCGGTTCAAATGCAAAGTCGATGAAATGCAAGATGAAATCACATGCAAGGCCACCTGATAGGGCATAAGCTGTAGCGTTACCACTACATAAAAGTGCCTCCCGACACCGAGAGAGCAAAGTTATCATTGCCTTGACTAGGTGGGATTCTAACTTAGAGGCGTTCAGTTATAATCCCGCAGATGTTAGCTTTGCACCATTGACCGATCCGGCCAAGTGCATGAACCAAATGTCTGAACCTGCGGTTCCTCTCGTACTAAGCAGGATTACTATCGCAACAACTAGTCAACAGTAGGGTAAAACTAGCCTGTCTCACGACGGTCTAAACGCAGCTCACGTTCCCTATTGGTGGGTGAACAATCCAACGCTTGGCGAATTCTGCTTCGCAATGATAGGAAGAGCCGACATCTCAAAAAAAATCTATAGACAAGACCTAACACCAACAAATGAATGTATCCGATCGATTCTCGGGGATCTCTTCTACGAAATTCGTTTCTCAACGATGCGACTTGAAGCCTTTGCAGATGGGCCAGCGGACACGGATTTTCTGACTGCTGAGGTGATTTTGAGTCAACTATGAGACAAAATTCACCTAGAATTCGGAGATTTCAATGCTAATTTATTCATTTATTCTCTTGAAATTGTTTTCTTTAGGAAAAGTCGAACATCTTCCTCAACTTGACAGCAAAAAAGAAGCCGACACTTCGCTTCAAGTCAAATTGTCGAAGTGGACTCCCACAACTTGTTTGTCGGCGCTTCCAAACGAGTGCCAGCAGGTGAAAAAAAGAAACACTCTACATAGTCAAAGATATTGTAACTCAGTAGTTACAGTAGTAGCCACTACTTTGTGACAAATTTTTTGCTCAATTTACCATAACTTTCTTTTAAGTGGGTCAATCTTTATGATTTTGATGTGATTTTGTAGAGCTCAACAAGCGCAACAAAATGACATCAAAATCATAAAGATTAGCCCATTAAAAAAAGTTATGGCAAGTTGCGCAAAAAAAAGTTGGCGCAAAGTTGCTACCCCTGTAGTTAATTCACTACAGTATCTAAATGGATATTCAATGGGTAAAAGAAAAGAAAAAAGAAATCGATTTAACAGTAATTTTCAAAAACAAATCGCCACGAATAAACTTTATCAATTTCCGGCTAAACCAGTGGCGTTACCGTGGCCTTTGCGACGCCATTCAATTCTCGGTCGATCAACGCATTTTCCTCACCGGCGTCGGTCTTTACGGAAGCACTGGGCAAGGAAATTACGACTATGCGGTAAAATCAATCACTACAGAATTCGAAAAGCAAGTTCCAGGTTCAAATGGAAGTGAAACAAGTTGGTGTATCCACTCCATTAACCGAAATTCAAACGCAATTCAACTGTGACGGGATAAGCCGAGTGTTTCCGGTTCTTTTCAAAGAGTCTGTACAGGTGATTTGATCAGAAATGAATATCCAAAATCTAATTTCAAAAAAAAGTTTCAGATTGAAGCAGATATACCATACACAATTATCGTCACAATTGATGGCAAACGATTGTCTTTCTTTGGACAAGAGGGAATGCCAGAGGTGAGTACGGTGAAGCAATAGATAAAAGTATTGGCTTGATATTCGAAAATCTATCGCTGATTTAACTCTTTTACCGTCGCTCTTTTCTACTTTGACAGTAATTAGTCTAATCAGGGTTAAATTCAAAATTTTAGGTCCAAGTTTCAATCTCGAATTCATCGACAATCACTTTTTCATTCGAAGCTTCACCGGAATCCAAAAACGGCACGGGAATTCAAGGAGGACAAATCCCCGAATTGCTCTTTTATGCGTAGAACATAATGTACTTATTAAAATGCATATATTTAGATAGGCAAAGTCTTAAACTTTTAAAAGACAGATGGTCTTACGAAAACTCTACCACGTATACATATTCTTGTGATGAAAATTTTCTTTGTTTCAAATTTGTTGCCTTGAATTGTTAGTCCATTGCTTTCTTTGAAAAGGAATAAACTTTTCCTTTTTAGACCCCGATAAACAATTTACTTATTATTGTACCAAAAATGTGAAACAGAACTCAATCAGTGAAATCACATCGAAATACATCGATAAAGAGAACAACCCGTCACACGAATGCACATAGAAAAAAGCGGAAATAAAATGTTACATTTTTCTTTACTCATCTTTACATTTTTCTTTTTCTTTATTTCTTTTTATTTCTTTATTTAAGTCGAGTGCAGAGTGATTCTCATGGGCCACCTGAATAAAAATAGGGAATTTATTTTCAAAAACAAACCTTTTTGAGATAATAGTTGATGTAACCAATAGCTGCCGTTGAGAAAAGAAGAATCATCGACTAAAAATAAAATTACGTGATGATAGAATAGAAAATCTATGAAGGATAGAGCCTTCCTGGCTAGAAAGCAAAACCAAATCCGTTACCGCGATTTGAATTCTGTCAGATTTCACCGGCGTGGTTCGGGTTTCCATTTCGACTCGGGCCTCCTCAATGAGATTCCAATTGACCAGATTGATACATACGTGGAACAACTAAAAGAATAAAATTTGGAATAAAATATTCTTCGTGTTGTTCGTGTCATGCAGAACAAAATCTCCACCTGATGTCCGTATCCCAAAAGATCGAATCGTCCTGGAAACCAACGCTCCGGAACGCCAGCTCCTAAAAACAAAGTAGTTAAGTAAATACGTAAATTTATCTTATCTTATATTTGTAAATATATCTTTTCTATTTGTAAATAGATGTCTAAAAATGCCGATCGGCTGATGTTTAACATTCAAATTCAGAAGCAAACAGTAAGTGTTAAAAATAAAACTATAACACTCACCCATAAAAACCCCTGATGCAGCCAACCAAATAATCGCTTGCCATTGTAACCACTCACGCGGGGTGAACGTCCACTCAAACAATGCTTTCTAAAGAAAATCCATTAGAAACATAAAATATTTTAAGATTTTAAACTAACAAAATATCATCCACGTTTATTATATTAACCAATACATTAACTAAAGTTCATTAAACACTCGCAAATAGCTGTAGAGCACCCGGTAAATGCACATAGATGGCAACCACTAAACACGTCAACATCCGAGTGAGTTGTCTAAAAAAGTCACATTGAAAATATATAACACTTTATAGAGAAGTAACTAGAGAAGCTTCTAATAGAATAAATAATGTTTGTAAAAACTCACAACCTGTACTTCCAATGTGGGAATGCGACAAATAAGAAAGACGTTGAGATGAATTGGATACCCACAAGAACGACGAGAAGCACCGGGAACACCTAAAAAGATAAAAAAAGAAGGCTCAGATTTATAGAAGGAGCTACAACTTGAAAAAGATTAAATGTTACCCAATCAAAAAATTCTCCTCGATGATCTTCAAGTTGCCATCTTGTGATCCCTGCGCTCATTGACCTGAAAAGCAAAGAATCAGTTAGATGCTATTCTTAGATAATTTTAAGACCTTACCAAATGGCGATTCCCGAGAAATCGATGCACCACCAGAAAAAATGATCCAAATAAGAGCGTGAGTGCTAAATGACATATAAAGAAGTTTATATAGCAATTTAATATATTTTGATCCTAAGTAACCGTAAACGATGTGATTGTTATACGTTGGTAGAGTTAAAGGTAAACGATAAATAGCGAAATTGGTAAACATGCATTGCACCAAACACATGGTTCTTTCGTGAGCAAGTTGCCCATATTGGTTGTTTTGTTTTGTTTATTTATTTGGATCTATTTCTCCGTTTACTACATGCTATTTACCGTTACAAGTCTTAGTTTAGAACGCAATACTTAAAAAAAACTAACCATCGTGTGAGCCACGGTACTACATCCAACAAGTGTGGCAATCCCAAAGTAGAGCAATAATAGTGTAGGCCTAAAAAATAAGATTAGCACCAGTTATAACAAACAATATATCGGTTAGTAATGAGAATGTGTTATCAAAATAGCTTACGCAGGTATTGGCAACATTTTAAAGTATCAAAAACGAACCTTGGATCTGTGGATTGAAGTTCAGGCAAAATGTAGATGAAGAGCATCATCAGAAACGGAACAAAATGCGTCCAAATGTTGACCTAAACAAGAACAAAGTTAAAGCACCAAAAAAATTCCACGAACCACTTCATTGTGCACACCGAACGCACTCCGACAATAGTAGAGATGGGATCGATTCAGCGGGCGATAGCCTGGAAAGTGGAAAGTTAAAATTGATGAATAAAAACTCAAAAAACATAAATTTAATGAAATGGGGGTAGGCTACTTTGCTAACCGATCATGCTCGAGGACATGACCAAAATCATCGACATAGAATTCAACTCGTGCGAGACAAACGACGATGACGGCTCGACTGTGTGTCTCAGAAGCGGTCGCTCTTCAAACATTGGATCTTCAAAAGCAACGACCGCAAGTCGGGAAGATCCGAATCAGAAAGGCGAAGAATGATCAGGAAGCGAAAGGGCACTCGACGTTCATCTGATTTGTGGGAAACAAAAAAGCCAACATTGTGGGAGCTTTGGTACTCAAAAAAGAAGCTGACGGTAACTTCGTTTTCCCGGATCGAACAAAACGTCTCAACTCAACTCGAACGTGGCGGCGAAGCACCACAAGGAGCTCTTCAAGAAAGCCGGATGTGCCGTGGGTCTCTTATCTCACTCTCTAGGGGCCGGTGGAACGACTTCAGAAGCCACCAAAGGCGTCTCAGTGGAAGGCCTGCGACGTCGAGGACGATGGAAGCCGATGGCCGGCATGGAGCCCTGCATCCACGAATCGATCGGAGCTCAAAGAGGAACGACTTCAATCGAGTAACAAGTATGTCTACGAAGGTAAAAATTCTATTGACTAACTTTGTTTCTGTGTGTTTGTTTTCAAATGTTTATTTGTTGTTGTGGACTGGTGTAGGTCAATACATACCCATTTTCTGCTAACGATAAACCAATCTCTAATAACGAACTGCACGACACTATAGAGTGTACAAAATAAAATGTTTTCAAAAAAACCGAACCTCTCCGAATGTGCTCCCTTTGGAAGAGAGAAGGGATAGCGGCGGCTTTGAGCATCAAAATGTTTTTGTTGTTTTTGTTATTTTATCTCACAGATAGACGCATGCAAATTTTGAGCACTTATGTAAATTTTCAAATGCAAATTGCAGGAAAAGGCACTCGAATTTCACACTATGAAATTCACAGATTAAATCGTAAACTTTTTTCATAAATTTTTAAATGCCATACAGATATAAAATTTCCATAAAACTTTCACTATTTCAGGTTTTTCTTGCTTTTCCATGTGCTTTTCTCTCTTTACCTTTCTCCAAAGATAGACAATGCGTTGTAAAAAGCCGGAAAAAGAGGCCATATAATTTATTGAGTGATAAAAATTTGCTAATTTTCTCGTTGTTTCTCGTTTTTTTTTGTTATTAGTTTCTCAAATTGATCATATAAAATTGATCATATAAAATTATGTCAATAACATTGCAAGTATCGCCGATTGAATCCTATTTTTGGGAGGATTTGCGAACGATTGAGGCTTTTGGATTGGAACCATTTGGATTGTATCGCTTTGAGCTTAAGTTCATTTTCTCCCAAAACTTTTATCTCATCTCAAAGCCTATTCAGTCTTTTTCATCAAACTCGTTTCCGTTCGGTTGCCTATTTCTTTTCGGATGAGAATGGAAAGATCGAATTGGGAAAGGATCCCGTTGTGTTTGGAATGTACAATGGTAAGTGAAAAGAAAGTTCGCAATTGATTGATTGATGAATAAGTGATTTTTTTAGGGATTTTAAATCACTAAGAATCCACTAAATTAAATCAAATCTAGACTGAATATCCTATTCTAGATGGAATACCGTAATCCAGACAGTCTAGGCTAAATACTCTAATCTAGACTGAATACCTTAACCTAGCTATTCTAGACTGAATATCCTATTCTAGATTGAATACCGGAATCCATACAGTCTAGGCTAAATACTCTAATCTAGACGGAATACTCTAATCTAGACTGAATCTAGACATATTCAACCTCTTTGTCTGTCATGTTTTTGTCAAAAGATCTCAGTCAAAAGAGTCAAAAGATTGTAGACACGCCGTTTTATAAAAGGCGCTAAAACTACCGTATCCAGACTTGGAAGCTTTTCTCTTTCTTTCCAAAAAGTTTCATTTGATTTCCCTGGCATGCTACATTTCCATTTACCCAACTTATCATGTCGCCGGCTGAAATCGCATCGGCTGCCACTTGCCAACCTAAAAAATCGAGTTTAAAATAGAAATGGTTGAGAACTTTAGTACTCATTTGACTCAATGAACTCACCCGAAAGATAAATCGCTTTCAATCCAGCTCATCCAAGAATTTAGTGATTTTAGTGATTTTAGTGATTTTAAAATCACTTTTAAGGCATTGATCGAATGGGTCTCTTCACCTCAATTTACACTCATCCAGCCGAGAAACAAACCGCGAAACTTGTCCTTTCGCCATTACCAAACGAATTGAAATATTCTCTCACTTTGCACAAAAGAGAAGAAAGAAAAGTGCTAGCTGAGGTAAAGTTGTATTTCAAATAAATTTACTGTATGCTGAGATGCTACTCACTCTAGTACTTACTGTACTAGAGTGATCATTCATTCATTCAGACAGCAATAATTCGCCGAATTCTTCACGAAAATGTCCAACGAGTGATCCTAAAACACCAAATTTTAGAAGGAACCTTATACATCCCAAAAGTGACAGGTTTTTCAAAGCAAAACCAATTTCCTAATGTTTTTTAGGTAATCAGAAACTTCCTTGTGTTCTCGATTTGTACGGAGTGGCGATGGGCACAAGAGAACATCGGTTAATAATGCAAAAACTTTTGATAAATGATCTTTTAGAGCAGCTATCCTTGCAGCACACGGCTATTGTGTGCTTGCTCTTGCAATTTTTGGGAGTGGAAAATTGAGTAAACGACACGAGGATGTTACTTCGGAATATTTACAAGTTGGTTTTAAAAATGAAGTATCAAAGATTCTCTCGGAAGTTTATTGGAGGTTCGGTTTTTTTTTGGTCTGCTAGCTCAATTTTATCCTTGTAAATAAAAAGCTTTGCAGTATCAAAGATTCTATTAGTAGCTTGAGAATGAGAAAGAATTCAACAACTAAATTTTCTAAACCACCATTCAGTCAGCCGTCGACTATCTCGTCTCTCTTCCATTCACCCAGAATCATTGTGCAATCGTTGGCACATCATTTGGTGGAACTTTAGGCTACCATCTACTATTCAAGAAACCAGAGGTCATTAGATGATTCAAAATACTTACAATTATCGGTACATACCTTAATAAATAACTAGGTTAAACCTATAATACAAGGTGCTCAGATGACTGCTTTTTGATAGATTAGCTCTCGTCAAGTTCGATCCTAATGTGTTAAGTATTATATCAAATGTTAAAGCCCTTAATCTTGGCTACATTTATCTATTAAAAGTTTCCCGATTGGAGATATACAACTAATTTTGCAAGCTCTTGAATGAGTCCTCTCCGGCACGCTGCCATTCTTGGCAATTCAACTTAGTACTGATTCAAGAGCTTGTAAAATGAGTTGTATCTCTCCAATCGGGAAGTTTTTGGTAGATAAATGTAGTCAAGATTAAGGGCTATAATTCTCTATATAACACTTGACACTTCTAAAATAAGTTAGATCTTTGCCAGATAGTTTTTCAAAAAGTTGTCGCTATGCTTTACCGGTCGCTCGCTACCGGATAGTACGCAAATGTCTTTAAAGCCTTTTTATTGGATAATATATCAGATACTTTAAATGTACGTTAGTCGCTGCATTTCTTTTCGAGCATAAACAACACAACAACACCAATTTTTCAGGTTTTTTGTGCTTTGAGTATCAACGGTCAACGCGGTCATTACATGGTCTCTCAAATGAACGAGAATGGAGAGAAATTACCATTTACACCGTAAAATTTCTAATCAGAAAAGATAGATAAACTTCATTTCCAGTGTTCTTCCTCAAAATTTACCCAATATCAAATTCTCGAAAGGTTTCATTTCTTACGGAGAAATGTATGGTTCTTGTGAATTAGACGATGAGCACATGCTTCAATTCGAGAATCTTCGCTCTCATCAAAGATTAGGTTACATTGTGAGTTGAAAAGATCCCAAATCTCTAACTTTATTTCTTTTGATCAATTACATTAATCAGTAATTTGTGAATTAAAAACTTTGTGAATTAAAAACAACTTAGGGTTGGTGAATTAAAAACTGCCGGCTATTGTCATATGTGACAGTTTGATCTAGAGTGAAGTAAGGTCAAACGACCGATCTAGAATCAAATCGATCACTCTAAATCAGATGTCCGATCCAGACTTAGATTTAGAGTGATCGGCTTGATTCTATTGGGTTGGTGAATTGAAAACTGCGGGCTATTGTCATTTGTGATAGTTTGAGCACTTTCTTCAAAAGAAACCCATTTTGGTGTCAATGGAAAAGTTGTAGAGAATCAAAAATCAAGCTTATATCCTAATTTTCAGAACCATTCAAAAACTGGTTTTCAAGAAATGCCAAATTTACGAATTTTCACAAAACTTGCATTTTAAGCGAAACTACTAAGTGTATCTTTTTGGAAATTTGGCTATAAGCCTCATTTTTGATTCTCTACAACTTTTTTATTGACACCAAAATGGGTTTCTTTTGAAGAAAGTGCTCAAACTGGGACATCTCCAGTCCTCGATTTTTGAGTCTCACACTTGTCTCACACACAAACCAAAATCCTACTACGAAAGAGGAATCCGCAAATTGCCTGTAAAATGGGCAGAAGTCGTCAATAATAATGGAAATTATTTCGAATGAATTCATGGTTTTATGTTGAATAAATTTTAGTTCAAAGTCCGGCAGTTTTCAATTCACGTGGAGCGGCACCACAACTGGATGATTCCAAATTACTAGAACTCATTACCAACGACCATCGGGTATCATCGCGTGAATTGGGAGAAGAGTTAGGGGTTGATGGTGCTTGTTTGGGAACTTTTGGCGCATTCCCATACAGTCCGGACCTCGCCCCTTTTGATTACTATTTATTCCGGATCATGAGTAATGAGCTTGCGGGAGAACACTTCGATTCGGAAGAAGCAGTCAAAAATTTCCTTTGAAAGTTTTTCGATTCAAAACCAAAATCAAAATCAAAATAGTTCAAAGTCCCGCAGTTTTCAATTCACCAACCCAATACATTATCCGAAAAAAAAAGCTTAAAATTTACAGGCGGGTGGTCAAGATCGTGCAATTGATGGGCTTGTCCAAGGGAGAGAAATAGAGAAAATTCTACGTGATTCAGGAAAAATCTCCCAATATTCTCTACTAGAATTGCACGATTGTGGGCATATTATTGATCCACCATATCTTCCATTAAATGATTATTTATATCAAGGAGGTTTCGAAGATCTTCAGCTAAGGACAATCACTTTTCAGGTCGTTATATGGCATTTGGTGGAGAGCCGTACTCGCACGGATTAGATCAGAAAATTGCATGGAAATTTTTGCTGAAATTTTTGAGTGAAACGATTGGAATTGGAATAGAAATGAAAAATCTGAATAAATTGTGATTTCAGGCCTCACTTTTTGTTTGTTTTTTTTGTTCTTTTCTTTTCTGAAATTCTTTTTCAATATTTTATAAACAAAGAAAAACAGAAAAACAAAAAAAAACAAACAATTTAAAAGTCAATAATTTGAGAATCACAGAATTGAAATACAATTTGAAAGAAAAAGAAAAAACATTTTCTTTCGGGGGTGGGACAAATGCGACCTTTTTTTTGGGCACCTGGGCATTTACGCACCTTTTTTTTGCTGGAAAAAGCCTTAGGAAAAGTCGTAGAGCTTCAAAAATGTTTTCATAAAAGGGAATCGTATGCGTAGATTCCGAATTTCGACAAATCAGACCTCGCTGACACGTCAAATTTGGGCTAAAAAGGCAAAAACTACGCAACTTGATGCTCTTCCGCAGTTTTTGCCTTTTAGCCCAAATTTGACGTGTCAGCGAGGTCTGATTTGTCGAAATTCGGAATCTACGCATACGATTCCCTCCTATGAAAACATTTTTGAAGCTCTACAACCTTGCCTAAGGCCTTTTCCAGCAAAAAAAAGGTGCGCAAATGTCCAGGTGCGCAAAAAAAAGGTCGCATTTGTCCCATCCCGTTTCTTTCGGTTAAATGTGTTTTTAAATTATTAATCTTTCAATAAACTTCCGAGAGAATTTGCATAAAAATCGGGCACCATATTGAGCTTTCCTTTTGAGAGATTCTCTTGTACATCTTTTAACTAAAAAAAGACTTAAAAAAGACTAAAACGAGAAATTTTGAAAGCTTTTGTTTATATTTTTTTAACTTCTTTTCATTCATTTAAACTAGAGTAGACTGTAAGTTTAAAGAAACTTTAAAGAAACCTTTTTCGGTTTAAATGCTTTCTACATACCTGATGACAACCAGAAAGTACCAAACAAGTCTTCAATCCATGTTTTCTTCCAAAAAGTACATCAGTGTTAGTTCTGTAAGTTTTCTAATCGATATTTAAAAAGAGAAAAGGTTTTGTTTATCTAAACTTTATATATTTTGAAATGTACCTATCACCAATCATCATTGTTCTTGTTTCATCAATACTCCATCTTCTGCAAATGTAGTCAAAAGCTGGTGAATAGGGTTTTCCTAAAAAAGAAATGACTTTATTAGTTTATTACTTTATTACTAATTCGAAGAAATGATGCGCATTGGCTTGCACAATTGTGAACAGCCGGATTTATCTTTCTTTTTCTTCCCCTCTTCCTTATATTTCCTCTTTCTTCTCTTCTCTTTCCTCTTTCTTCTCTTCTCTTTCTTTTCTTCTCTTTCTTCCTCTAAAATGTACCGGATAGCTCAGTGGTTAAAGCATCAACCCGGAAAGGAAAAAGGGTCAAGGGTTCAATCCCCTCTCTCGAAATCTTTCTTTACCATTCCTTGCTTTACTTCTTGTGTTACTATTTTCTACTTACCAACAGTCAAGGGTTTTCTTCCACTTGCACATTGAATAGCAGCAACAATCGGTCCAGCATCGGGAATAAGCACTTCAGGATTTGGTCCAGGACACACTTCATCTTCATTTGTCGCCAAAAATCGCGTTTTTTGATGCTGAAAATGGTTGATGGGATGCAAGTGAAAGAAACTTTTCAAAACCGGTGTTTTTACAACCAGTTTGTAGTTACAAAATGTTATAATTACTACAAATAAGCGACATACGATTAACAAGACCGTAAATACTCTAACAGAACTCTAATAGAACATACTTCTTTTTCGAAAATCAATTTTTCCTCAACTTCTAGATTTTTCGCAAATAAACTTTTGACAAATAAACAAAAAATACTAGATTTCAAGGGCTATCATTTGACACCAAAGCGCAAACTGTAGCTTAAAGCAGCGTGGAGAACGGGACGTTCAAAGTTAGACTACGCGACTGTACGCCCGTCATTATGGGAGATTATGGGAGTGTTAATTTCTTCAAAAACAATTCTTTTTGCAATTTTTGTCATTTTGTTATTTCAAACCTGTAGATAATTAGCAGCTTTCATTAATTTTTGATAATCGAAATGACGCTCATAGCCGACCACCACAGCACCGACTCGTTCTGGCTGAATTCACACATTTCTTTGCACCGAATTTTTTTTTAGAGATTTTCAGGATATATATTCATAAATATTATATATTAAAAACCAGATTTATTATAGATTTTTCTAGTTTTGTATATTAGAATCATATTTATCATACCGTAAATACTGTAATAGTACCCCGCCCCCATAATGACGGTGCGGAGCGTTGCGTAGTCTAGCTTTGAACGAGTTTTTCTCGACACTGGTTTATGCTACAATGCTCGCATAGGTATCAAAAAATAGCCCTGAGTTTGAGCTATTTTTTGATACCAAAGACGTATTTTTTGAAAGTACGAGCGCTTTGAAAAAAATGAAATACTAAAAAACTTTTGCGACTACGCGACTGTACGAGGGGGGTGGGGTACTATTACAGTATTTACGGTATGTTTTTCTAGGTTTAGTTTTCATATTTTTTTTTCTATTTACCTCAACTGGGAGATCGATTTCAAATTGAAAAGCGCTTCCATCCAAATGCGAACTCGACTCCTCGCATCCGTGGCCAAAATATTTGATCTGAAAAGAGTTTTGAGGAAATCTAGGAAAAAGTGAAAAAAACGGCTTGATCCGCATACGCGATTGGCGCAAAAATAAGCTCTATAGAAAAAATAACATAATCTGTTTTCGGTTAGGGATAGCTAATGTGTGTATTTCCTAGGAGAGCGAGTGTATTTCCTCTTGTCTTATTATTTGAGTAGCCGAAAAACCCAATCGCAATTTTGTCACCACAGTCAGGAGCGCGCTTGTCTACGACCCACACGGCCCGGGTTCGATTCCCGGGTGTTTCATCAAACTTTGATTCTTTTGATTTTTTTCATAAATGACATAACTACCATAAATTCTAAGGTTTTGTAAAGAAGTTTTAGCTTTATTGGGCAAAACACGGCCGAGAAAATGCCTGTACAGCACTCCTTATACCGTATTTTCTCTAATAGTCGTGCACCCCGGCGAGCCAAGTTGGTGACTATTTCACGGTTTCCAAGCTTTTACAGAAGCTCAACACTCAAATCCCCCACAAGATCTCATCGTCAGCTACATTTTCCGACCCCACATCGATTGGTTCTGATAAGCGCTTTTCGAGATTCCGAGGAATTTAGGCGACGCTCAGGGTGCACTACTGCTAGAGAAAATACGGTAAACAGAAAACTAGTAAAACTAACATTTCTTTTATCCATTTCTTCTCTCACTCCTTTTGCCCCAATGAGATACACCAATTGTTTGGAGTTCGAAAAACCAGCCCTGTAAACAAGATAAACATAAAAGATTTCATAAAAGATAAACAAGATAACAAAATATTTCAAAATATCTAGTAAATTTTGCACGGAAAGCAAACCTATGCAACTCTTCAGCAACAATAGCCGCTGGATTAACAATTTGCTCGGCGGTGATCTCGAGGGGAAAACCGATTGAGTGCAATTTCGATGCATAACAGAGACGAGATTTTGTGGCGTTATTCGTCAAAACAATCACCCTTTTTCCCTAAAATAAAGAATTAGCGAAAACCGAAAACCACGTACAGATTTCGATATTTTTCTGATTAAAGCTCAGACTTCCTCAATATGTATACGCGATTTTGGACGAAATTTTTTGTTGACAACCCTTTAATGTATAAGGACAATATTGTTTATTGCTAGATTTTGGTGGAAAACCGTTATCTTCTAAAGCATTACAATCTTCTAAAGCATTACACAGTACACTTTATTCGTTATCTTGTTTGAATAATAATTAATTATATGTCGTAGCCGATTATGAATGAATTTTTTTGGCAAACCTTTCTAGTAGAGCAACCCTTTAATGTATGAGGACAATAATTATATCATTTTGTAGAGAATTAAATTCCGCGTCGATTGATACCAAATTTGTGTGTTTAGGTTAAAAATTGCGGGCGCTACAATGTTTCATTCAAAATCGGCGAGAGCCCCGTAGCCGATGATGAATGAGTGAGTCTAGGAGCGTCCAACCATCAAGTATTTAGTATCATTCGACGCAGAATCATTGATAATTACGTTAAATTTTTGAAATTAGAAAGATTGGATAAAAAGAAAAAATTTTATGGAGCTTTTCTCTCGAACAAACAGTTTTTTGCTCTAAATTTTTTTCTTTTTATCTAATCTTTCTAATTTCAAAAATTTCTCATAATTATCGATGATTCTGCGTCGAATGATACCAAACACTTGCTGGGTGGACGCGCCTAGACCCACTCATTCAAAATCCACAACTACAACATCAAAATTGTAGTCAAATTTTGTCAAAATGAGTCTACCTGTTGAAGGATGAAACGGACAAAATCTGCTGATCCGGGAAGAGCTTCATTTCCCAGCCAAAGAACACCTGGAAATTTCCGCACAGTTTTTTTGCCATTTGAACTTTCAAGCAGAAAAACTACAAATTCAAACAAACCATCAGCATCAAAAATGAATGTATCAATCTGATCAAGGATTTTTCCGAGTGAGCGATGATCCAATTTTGAAGGCATTGAATAGGTGACCCTTAATTCAAAAAATTAAAAACTCGGTTACCAGGAATTTTATGTAAATGTTTTTATACTTTTCTGGGGTAGGCTAGTTTCCGCAACTTTTTTTGCGCAACTGGGTCGTTTGCGCAACTCACAATAACTTTCTTTTAAGTCGACCAATCTTTATGATTTTGGTTTCACTTTGTAGATCTCAATAAGCGATGAGAACTTTAACGGAACACGATTTAGAATTTGAGCATGTTGACTGAATATTTTTAAATTTTCCGCTAATAAAAGAACTTTTCCCACTACATATTGGCGGATGGGGCCCTTCAATTAGGGGTAAGACAGTAGCATCATTTTACTACGAACTTTGTTAAAAACCTCAGGGTAGGCTAATTTCCGTCATTTTATTTGCGCAACTTGCCCAAATTGCCCGCAACTGCCATAACTTTATTCTAAGTCGGCCAATCTTTATGCTTTTGGTTTCATTTTGTTGCACTTATTGAGATCTACAAAATGAAACCAAAATCATAAAGATTGGTCGACTTAGAAGAAAGTTATGGCGAGTTGCGCAAATGACCCTGTTGCGCTAAAAAAGTTGCGGAAACTAGCCTACCCCACTTTTCTTGTTTGTTTACCTTTTTCGAATTTCAATGGCATCAGTTGGAAGATGGGCAATATTTCGAGCAAAGATCAAATCCTTCATTGTTGAATGTTAGCGGTGAGTCGAGAAATGTCTGCAAAAGAAAATTTCTTTTATTTTCCTTGGGTTTCGCTCTCGAAGCGAGTATCAGCTGTAATTTCATCAAAAAAAGATGGAGTAGCGTTAAAAGAGCTATGAAAGGGGTTAATTGAATATTTTAAAGCAAAGATATTGTAAACACTGCACCTATATACAAAAAGGATACCCTGAAACAGAACTGATTTTCCAAGAAACTAAAAATTTCCTTGTTCATGGTACCCTATTTATATAATTTTCTACGTCACTCGTCTAAAGATCACCACCAATCTTTGAGAATCATTTTCAAAGATCACCCATTCTCTAACATCTTTTTCACTCTCAATCTCCTATGCACTCTTCACAAGAGATCAATCACCATTGCATCTTTGAAAGTCTAGATAGCCCCAAGGCACATAGAAATAGTGTAGTAATAAGAAAGAAAAAAAGAAAGAAAGACATTGGTAGGTCTGTCTTTCTCTTTCTCTTATCTTTAAAGATTAAAGAAACCCTCGGGGTGACAAACAAATAATTGGTGCTACCAAGCATTCGATGATCTCATGACGTAAAAAGACCAATCTTCAAGACATGATCACCAAGCACCAAGCTACCAAGCATTCATGATCTCAGCCTATGATTCTCTTGTTTTATGATCAATGGAATCCGTTGAACGGATCACAAAACAACGGGACTTTAAATCTGTTAACTATCCTATAAACTATGATACTCTTCTGTTTTGTGATCGGCGGAATAAAAAAACAAATTTCTTGACACAAACTTATCATACTTTTATGAGAACATGAGCTAATTCCGCATTTCAATATTTTGTCTTGTTTCTTGAAAAATTCTTTATTTCATACTCGTAAAAGCTCTAATTGACCCGATGAAAAAGGAACATGGTACAGTCGAACTTCGATATAACCAACCTTAAGGAACCGGCCAAAAAGTTCGTTATATCGAAGGTCATTTTAAGGTAAAACCCTTCGTTGGAACCAAAAATAATGTTCATTATATCGAACGTTTCGTTGTGTCGAAGTTCGACTGTATGTGCAAACTCTTATCAATCACACATAAAATATCTATCAAAAATTAAAAGAAAAATATGAAAATAGACCGATTAATCTTGTATGAAAAACGAACTAATCGAGACAGCGATCTAGATGCGAATTAATTTCCGATCGAGACATATAGAGTTGACAAGCCGGGCATTGAACAAGGATTTCAATTTCATTCTCGCCATTACTGTTGTATGAAGGGGATCTAAGTAGCCCAAGATCAACTAAAAGTAAAATATAATAATTAAAATTGGCGTGACAAAATTGAACCTTCATTGAGCTCATCGAGAGTCCAATCTGGAAAGGCCTGTAATGCTGGCCTAAATGACAGTGTGATCAATGAATGCTACTTCAAGAACTCACTCTTCCTGAGCGGATAACTCATTTCCAAAGTTTGTGATGGCTGTTGACATCTCAAGATTGCCTGAAACATATTTTCAGAAAAGAATAAAATAAATGGACAGTACCTGCAGCACTTTGCGAAGTCGATGCGAATGAACCATATCCCGTAAATGCTTCTAAAAACAAAGTTCTTTAAAACGTTGATACATTTTAAAATGCTGACTACTCACTCACCAATGACATCGTTGATCTGTATTTGTTTTCCTCGTTTAACTAGAGGTTTTGATGAGTTTGCGTCTCCCTCATCAATTCTTTTGCGAGACTAAGTTCATAAAGGTTTATTTAACAATAAAACTAAAATCACCTCAGGTATTTTCACTTCTCCAACCGTATCCTTACATGTGTCTTTCTGTGTTCTAAAGTTGCATCTTGACTTTTAACTTTATGAAAACAAAATACCTCATTGGGTTCGATCTTTCGTTATCGTAAAGGCTGAGGAGTCGAGAACGCCCTCTGGCTTCATTCATATTAGGTTCTTAAGCGCAAATAATAAGACGAGCACATTAACAAGCAAAAACCTTTTCCAGTAAAAATCGATCCATTTGCTTTATTTGTCTTTGGCGTTGATGGATCCCTTTGCGTACTATCAAGTGTTGTTCCTATATTACATATCATGTATTTAAATACCCTACTTAATCTTTTACCTTTCCCGACAAAATTTTTCGGAGCTGGTAATTCTTTTGACGGCGAAAAATATTTATCCAAGGTCTGCATCTTCGGTACTGTTTTTTCCTAACAAAAACGGTTCTATAATAATACTAAATGATTACCTTCTGTTTCTTCTTGTTAGCATAACCATCGGGCTCCTTTACCTTTTCAAACTTTCCTGAACAGAAAGTCTAGTTTACAAAGTTAAAAGACAAAGATATTTAAAACCTCCACAGCTATTCTTGTGTTTATCCCACCACGAATCATTTGGCCCAGGAGCTCTAGAAATAACAAATTTAATGTGACTTTGCATAAAATCAAAACCTGTTAGTTGCGCGTTTCACCCATCCATAAAAAGGGCGATGCTCACGGCACTGTCCTTCACATCTACAAAATAGATTCTAGGCAAAATAAAAAGACTAAAAACCTCCACCAATGTTGTTTAAAACTGGCAACTTCAGCATGAAAAGAATGATAAATCGTGATACGCGTACCTGCTGCCACATTTATTCGACCCATATGCTCCTAGATAAAATTATATATTCTAGAGCTCTGTAAAATTTAGTTAGTTGTAAATTGTCTTGAAAAGTAAATAGATTTGTTACAAAAACAACTGGAAACAAACTTGAAACATTGGACCGTGTCCATCTGCTCCATCTCTAACCGAAAATCGTTGCGTCACAAATAAATATGCATGGATCATTTCGTGCTAAGAAAAAGAGATGAGCCTTAAAAAACTTCCCTCACCAACAGAGTTTCAACAAGATCTTTACGAGGTCGAAGCGTGAGTAATGGTTTGCTGAGTCGAATTGAGCAGAGACCTCCACGACCTTCATAAACACAAATTCCCGCGCAACTAAACGAAATTTAGACATTCGAGAAAAAATGACAACTCTGATAACAATAACAGTAAACCTAAAACGCACCTCGTCATCCTTGGACTCCATTTTACTTCACAGCACGCAAGCTCACTCCAAAAAAATGTTGCATCGAACTGCTTGAAAAGAGCGAAAATGTCGGGGCACGGATCTATCAATTCGTAACTTGGGTCAATTAGACTCATCTTCCAAAAACTAAAAACTCAATTATTATAGTGAAAATGACTTGAAATGTTCTCCGTCAGTATCTCCAAAAGGCAGTAGATCACTGAATTTTTTGCTTTTTATTCTTCAGAAGTCTCTGAATTATTTATTGCTTACATCTACAGCGATTATCATACATATTTTAAACAATAACAAAATGAAAATTAGAGGCTAGAATGATAAAACTATAGAAACGATAAGACGAAGCACATTTTTATTTGCTGTTTCTTTCACGGTAGCTTCTAGGTGGCAGGAAAGTTGCTTCGTAGGCAAACAAATCACTAGCAAGAGCCCACGAGAAGGAAGCGACGAAAAGAACAGATGCCACTGCGAGGTACAAGTTGAACTTGCCATTTAATTCACCGTGCACCTAAAGGAACTTGTGTTATAAGCTTCACAAATCTTGTGTTTACATTTGATCTTTCGAAAAATGTTTGTACTACTACCCCCTAAGCTTCTAAGTCTGTATTAGGAATCTTGATAACGAAAAATGGCTGCCAAAATGTAAAAGCTGACCCCAGTTCTTCCTACATAACTCAAGATTTTTTAATGAGGCACCAAAATGTCTCTAAATTTTCTTAAAAACAACTTATAACTTAAACTGATACCAAAGCTTTCAAATTATTCAAAATAAACTGACCTTCTTGTACGATTGAAAAGGGACAGGGGCGTAGTCAAAAGTAATTGGCGGTCCGGGGTTCACTTCATGTCCATGCCCTCCACCACCATTTCGCTTCTGCACAAAAACGCGGCGCAATGCAACAAGGCGTGATCCAACGCGATTCATTACCTGTAAAAAGAAAAAAGTTAGATTTTGACAAATATTTACTTTAGCCTCATTCAAAAGCAGCATAAACACACTTTAACTTTGAAAAAGCAAACAAACAGGCTATACAATTTTAGGTTTAACTTTTAAGAGTGCTAAGACAGAACCGTTATTTGCCAAAAATTCAAGTAAATCGTTCCAAAAAAGCAATCAAGAATAGGAGGGAGAGAAATGAAACAGGTGCACAAAAGAATGCTATCGACACAGACAAAATAGATGCACTTTAGAAAACGGTAATTTTGTGGAAGTTATTAATCCGACCTATCTTCCTCGCAGAATCATTTTTGTGTGTACCTACTTTCATAAACTAGGTAGTAGACTTGCTTATGGATATGATCGATACAAACGACGAGCTCATGCTTGACCGTTCCGATCTCGGTTTCTAGAACAGCTATCAATCTGCAAATTATTTCATTGGAAAGTCAAGAATGTCAGCTTTTGATTTCTATTTTATACATAGCGACTATTAATGAGTAAGCACTTCACAACCTTATCGGTACTTATCGATATCGAAAGTATCGATAAGCTTTTTAAGGCACTCACCTATGAGAATTTGCTATGTGTGAGATAGCAATCAAAAGCTGACATACTTGGCTTTCCAATGAAACAATTTGCAGATTGATTCTAGAAACCGAGATCTGAATGGTTAAACATAAGCTTGTATCGAATGGTTAAACATAAGCCTGTATCGATAATGTCGATAAGCAAGTCTACTAGGTAGGTATCGATAAAGATTATAAATATTTAGAACAAAGAAGATTCTTTCAGGCTCAGGCTTGGAAAGATAAAGTGGAAAATACATTTTAGAAAAGCATTTTCTGGTAAGTTAACCTAAATAGTTCTTGTTCATGAAATGTAGCCATATAATGTAGGCTCAGCGCACTCCTTGCAACGCACAAAGCGCAAAAACGTCTAAAGTATTTCGTTTGCGTTGAGAGAAAAGGAGACAGACTACGGTCAACAGGGCGATTTTGTGGAACTAGGTGTGGGTTTTCTTTTATCATTTTACTGATTGTTTTAATAGCGGTAGTTTTTGTTTTTCTTTAATCAGATTTTTAGATCAAGATGTTGATCAAACCGGTTTGTACTCGTTTTTTCGCTGCCATAGCTGGGACTTCAAGATATTTCTCAGTTGTGCGATCAATGTCTCAGGTATCTTTTCGTCGATTTTTATGGTTGTGCAAGTAAATCAGATTATGAACTTTTTTTGCTTATCTTTATTTTAGGTTAACTCGGAAATCAGTGGAATAGATAAAACACGTGCCCGGCTATTATATCAAGTAAATTTCTCAAATTTTTCTTTTATTAGTACCTATTTTGTTTTAGAGTAAAAAACGAGGAATTCTAGAAAATGATATCATTCTTGGAGGATTTGCTGAAGAAAACTTAGCCCAAATGAATGAGCAACAATTGAAAAGCTACGATGAGGTAATGTCCTTCTTCGCAAATATTGAAAATTAAGTTAATTCCGAACATGTGAAAAAGCAAAAGATATTCGCCCGCACAAAAAAAAGTATCGGGCGAATTTATCTTTTGCTTTTTCACATGTTTTTCTTGAAACTTTTTTTATTTTTTAGACCCTGGTTATTTTCTACCTACCGTAAATACTGTAATAGTATACCACCCCCCACGTACAGTCGCTTAGTCGCAAAAGCTTTTTAGTATTTCATTTTTTTTCAAAGCGCCCGTACTTTCAAAAAATGCGTCTTTGGTATCAAAAAATAGCCCTGAATTTCAGCTATTTTTTGATACCTGAGCGCGCATTGTAGTATAAACCAGTGTCGAGAAAAACTCGTTCAAAGCTAGACTACGCAACACTCCGCACCGTCATTATGGGGGTGGGGTACTATTACAGTATTTGCGGTAATTCATTCTGCTAATTTATTTCTTTAGTGTCTAAAGTCATTAAAACATAAAAAACATTTAAAAATTAGCTTTTTCATCAGGCAGGAAATACACCAAAATTATTTAACCATCACCCGATACAAGGAAAGTGCCTAAATTAGCATTAGAACTTCATTAATGGGTCTTTTTTGTGTTTTAATTAGGTGCTCAGCTTTAGATTCTCGAGAAAAGTTTAACATCTAAGTTAACAAGTTTCAAACTTCAGTTTGACTTCAAACTTCAAGTTTGAATCTGATTTACCAAACGATTAATTTGTTTTTTTTTAGTTAATCAACGGTGAACACATGGAATGGGATCTTTATTATTATTTATCCGGAAAAAAGACACCGCCGAAAGAAGTATCACAGTGCACGGCTTTTCAGCAGTTGAAACGATACGTAGATGAGAAGCAAAAAATTAAATAGTAGATGAGCTCTCTAAAATTTTCGCAGATTCGCTTAATTCAATAAATGCTTTTGTTACTTACCAAACAACATCACACCATATCAAAACTCGAGTCTTCACTCTCTATCTTGGGTTTAAGATCTCGTTATCAGTTTCTGGAAACGTGGTAGAGCTCACCAATGAAGTGCGAAAGAAATTTGTTTTGCAAAAATTTTAAAACGTAAAGTAATTTTTTTTCGATTTGAAAACCATTCTACATTATTTATATCGTAAAACGTTTAGATTATGGTCGATTTGAACGGAGTTTATGAGTGAGTTTCTCAAAAATACACTGGTCTTCCTGTCTGAGTCATGTGGCAATGTATTTGTATTTTTTAAAAAATTCAGAACGATTGACAAAGAACGAGATGAATGGATCCGAATCTTGAAAGAGGTCTCAGTTACAAAAAAAAAGTAATCTCTTGTTAAGTTTAGTCGGTGGCAATTGAGTCGGTATCGGCCGATCCGGCGCGGCGAGGAGAAGTTAGAAGAATGGTCGAATGGACAATGTGCTTAAGTTTAAAAATTATTTACCTAATTGAATCAATCCTAGGAGTTACCTCCTTCAACAGGGTGCCGAATGTTGGCTTGAAGAGCTTGGACAGCAAACCCTACATGACGGGTGAGATCAGAGGTAGTTTTTGGCTTCTCATGAAAAGCTTTTTTAGGACAAAAGTTCCACTTCCGCCGTGTTTGCTTGGTGAACTTGGCAAAGATAAAAACAAGAAAACTGTGCTTCTGTATGGGCATTTAGGTAAGAATATGACTCTAGCTTTGTGAAGCACTAAAGTATTGTCTCATCTAGATGTTCAACCCGCTCGAAAAGAAGACGGATGGAATACTGAACCGTTTGAAGTAGTCGAAAGCGGTTAGACTTTTAGCAAAAATACATTAATAGCAATTCTTGCAGATGGCAAACTCTGGGGAAGAGGGACTAGTGATGATAAAGGACCTGTTCTTTCTTGGATACACGCAATTAAAGTGTTAAATCAACATAAAATTGAAATCCCGGTTAACATTAAGGTATCTATATTCTAGTGATATTCAATCGTTTTCATAAAATTATAGTTCTGTTTTGAAGCTATGGAAGAAAGTGGCTCCGAAGGACTAAAAGAATTGCTTGAGGTAAAAGAGTCATCTATCAGAAAGAAAGAAAGATTAAATTCAGCGAAAAAAGGCAGACGGATGGTTGGATGATGTCGAATACACTTGTATTTCGGACTCATATTGGCTTGGTACTGAAAAACCATGTCTCTCATACGGATTGAGGTAGATTGAAACGGAAAACAAATTATTAAAGACAGCTGATTCCAGAGGAATTTGCTCATTCCATGTTGAAGTGGGCGGACTGCAACAAGATCTCCATTCTGGAGTTTATGGAGGCAGTGTGTAAGACTTTTACCTACTACCCAATTTAAATCTGTAAAAACAAATTCTATTTGCAGTTACGAACCTCTAAACGATCTTTTCTATTTGATGTCTCAACTTATGGATGTGAATGGGAAAATTTTAATCCCTGGTATAAGAAACTCGTGTATTCAAGGAACTTATTCAAAATCTTAAGGGATAATGGACCAGGTTGCCAATGTTACTGATTTGGAGAAAGATGCGTACCAGAAGATTGACTTTGATGTTAAATGAAAAAAAGTAAATCAAAATATAGGTCGTTTACAGGTGAAAGAATATCGAGAAAGCGTTGGTGCTGCAAAGTTGCCCGAAGAACAAAAGGAGCCATTATTGATGAATCGTTGGAGATATCCAAGGTTAAAAAGGATTACAGTAACGTTAAGTAACGACAACTTTTAGCTTATCAGTTCATGGAGTCGAGGGAGCATTCTCCGATCCGGGTGACAAAACAGTGATCCCAGCGAAAGTTATTGGTATCACACATATATATCATTTCACCAAATGCAATTTTATAGGCAAGTTTTCAATTCGTGTGGTGCCCGATATGCAGCCCGAGAAAATTAACGAATGTGTGGCGAAATACCTAAATGATCTCTGGGCTAAACGCGGTTCTGGAAACACGTTGAAGTAACTTAAAAGCAGAGAAAAATTTAAAAAATTCAATTTCAGGGTTCACGTTCAACAAGGTTCTGTTCCGTGGGTTCATCCGATCGATCATCCACATTTTCAGGCAGCCAGTAGGGCTGTCAAAAGGGGTATACACATGTATATTATGAAAGAACTAACAAGAAATGTTTTTCAGTTTATGGTGTGGATCCCGATTTTATCCGCGAGGGCTGTAGCATTCCAATCACTCTAACGTTCCAGGTTTTAAGATCTGATAATTCGATAAAAATAAGGCTTAAGGAACTAACTGGTCACTCTGTAATTCTACTCCCAACAAATGCCTCCGATGCGATGGCACACTCACAAAACGAGAAGATGAGAACCAACTGCTACATCGATGGCATTAAACTCTTGGCCACTTATTTGATGGAGCTGGGTTATTAATCTTTCACTGGGATAACTGTTTTTCCACCCGGATCTTCGAATAAATGTTATTTTCAACATCATCAATTTACAAAATTTACAAAAACATTTATCAAAAAACATGCTTTATTTTACGTAAAGCAAGCTCTAATCATGGTTATTTACCTTCAACACAATTTGGATCCTAGTTTTTCTTCCCCGTATAGTAATTCGTTTTGAGGAAAGGCATCTTTTGTACTGTCACCTAAACAAAAAACTACAATAAAACATTAAATTCTCCATTAAGCTTACCTTTGCTTGTTTTGCCCCAAAATCAACTTCTAAAACGGTACCATCCTTGGAATAAGGAGTGTCAACATAGCTAAAAAGTATTGATAAAAACATCACATGTAACTGAAACTTACGCCATAGCAACATTTTTTCCTAAGCAAGGGCTTGGGCATCCAGATGTCACAAATCCTATTGTGGCAGACCCAATTGGTGAAGCAACATTAAGAGGAATATGTCCTAAACGACTCATACTGTGATATTACAAAAACAAAAAAACCACTAATAAATTCAGCATCACTGCTCATCCCAGAAAACGCTTTAAAACATAAAAGGCAAATAAATAGCCTTCTATAAAATAACCAACGACTAAAATTACTGCACAACCACGACAATTAGGTTTTGACTTCACCTCTCGGAGCTCGTCCTCCTTCGCTGACTAATCCAACTCGTCTTTTCTTCCAATTTTTCTTTTCGATTTGTTCCACAATAATTTCTGCTCCGGGGAATCCAAGCGTTTGTCGACGTCGTTTAGCTAATTATAATTATCGCTGTCAACTCTAAATTCATACCGATAACGAATGCTAAACCAGCTTCAATGGGAGTCGTATTCTCATCAATGTCGTTTCCGTATAAACAGAGCCCTGCTTCGAGGCGTAGAGCATCTCGAGCTCCAAGACCGGCCAACCGAACCATTCCAGCCTACATCGAAATTTGAAAAAAACCTTTTGAAGTGAACCTTTGAAGCTAGAAGGCGCTCCACCAAAACCGACGCATGTTTAGCATCAACAGAGATCTAGTAAAGTTTGTTTTTAGACCAAAAATGAATTGTACCTCAACACCGTCTTCCCCAGTGTACCCACATCTTGTAACGCGGCAATTGTCCAAACCAAAAACCTGATGGATACATATAGAGGTTCTTAAAAAGTAAACTCACTTTTCCGACTGAAGTTGTCATAAACGTTAGTTCATCCAAATTGATATTAGTTTCGCCCTTTAGGACGGCTGCCATTTCAGGACCTAAAATCTCATTTACAAGATAATTTTTTAAAAAATAAATAAAAAGGCCTTGTTTTTGAGTGTATCTTACCTTGTAGAGCAATTAGTCCACGTCCATCCAAAGTGTTGATTTGAACGTCTTTTCCTTTGGCTCGCCAAGAGGCAGCGTTTTCCTGCAAAATAAATATTTTGTGGTTACTTTTGTTAAATAACCTGTAAATATGGAAGATCTTTGTCAATACAACCAGCATTCGTGACCATGTAAATAAAATCTTGATCCGTCTTTGTCACAATCAAGTCATCCTTGATTCCTCCCTAAAATTTCAGGTCTTATTAATGCATAGAAATACAAGTGCCAAAGCATAAATGCAAAAACAGACTTTCTCATTTGTAAAAACTGACAGGGTTCCACTGTTAGGCTTCAGACCTTCAACATCCGCCGTGGTCAAGGACTCAATGAAAGCAACCCTAAAAAAACAAAGTAACTCGGATCGGTTTCGTTAATTGGCGCCTAACTTTAGCAGTTTCAAACCAACCTATCCTTTCCTGTGATATGAGTTTGCAACATATGCGAAACATCAAAAATTGAAACGTGTTTTCGAGTATGGAGGGTTGAATCCTTGATCGATAAGTCAGTGTATTGAACCTGAACTTACCATTTAGCTCTAATAAAAAGTGTTTTGTAAATTCTTACTTATGAACTAAACCAACTAACTGGCATTTCATATCCAGCGAAGTTGACAAGATTTCCTCCATGTTGTTTGTGGAGCTCGTAGAGGCAGGTCTTTTTGCCTTCGGTTCTAAAGATAAAATTAAATACAGGAGTGTCTCAAATCCGTACATTACCGCAACTTGGGTATAAAAAAAATTGACTTACTTTGAGCTGTATGTGCGGATCGCCGGAAACAAGCGCGGAAGCCGATTCATTCTAAAAAGACAAAAAATCAACCGTTCAACAAATTTTAAAAGATGCATTTGAAAATTAAAATATCATAGTAGTGATATCTATATACCGTATTTATTCTAATAGAAGCAAAAACTATGGATATTCAGCTTAGTAGACTGAATACCCTGTTTTGAAAATTTAAGGGTATATAACGCATTTCCTTGAGAAAAATGGCATTCTTTACCATCTATTTTGCATAGGCAGTGGCAATTCTGATAAGTTTTTCTCGCAATTAAGTAGTCAGCTTATTTGGATCGAATTTATAACTTAGAATTTAGGCACCTAGGCAATTAAATTCCGTCGGGTTTATAATTCATGCCATAAAATTCTCACAACTTTAAACATTTTGACGTTTTATATTTTAGTATCCAATCCTTTAGCAAAGATTCTTTCTTAGATTCTTGCATGAACTGCTTAAAAAACATTGCTAAAGTTTATTATTGTTTATTCTTGGTGAAGACCAGGAAAACAATGACTACGGTGCTTGTGGAGTATCCGTGGGGGCGGGGGGCACAAATTTAGCCTAACTTTAACCCACCTTTTGATTATTCTAAAGTTTAAATAATATTTGGATAGCTTAAAAATGCTCTTTCTAAATATATTTGAGCTTTAAAAATTGATTACAAAAATGAGTCTAAATCATCGGTTGAAGTTAGGCTAAATTCGTCATGGTCAATTTTTAGTCATCAAAAAAATAGAAGTGCAGCCTCCAATAGAAGCAATTTTGTGGAAGCGATTGAAATAGAAGCGATTGAAGAATAGAAGCGCATGCGCTTCTAATAGAATAAATACGGTATGCTTGTCAATACTACGACTTGAACGGCTCATTTCTCGCAGAAAAGAAGAAAATAGCCTGGGTCAATGATAACGAAATAGGCGAAAAGAGATAACAAAGGGGCGAGGGGCTGTTTTTATGGAAAGATTTTAATTGATCGATTAAAAAGATTTCAAAAATTGCAGCATCTTCAACACATTAAACAAAAAAAAACGAAGAATTCACACATCGAATGCCGAAATAAAACCGCGCAAAAACACTTGTACGTATATTCCAACAAAACAACAACAAATTCAAAGGTTTATTTACTAAAAAGACCTTTTATTCTATGATCGATGTTTTGTTGAAAAGTTGCGATAAATTCGACAGTCATTTGCACGGCTTGAATTATCCATCGCAACTAGAAATTTTTTGGTACTTGTGGGGTTAGGGGACTATATTTTTTCAAAACCATCATTTCTGGGGTCGTTTTTTTGCGTAGATTACGAATTTCATAGTGGGAGCTTGGGTAAATGCGTTTTAGACTGACTTTCGGGGACCTGAAGTCACCGCCTCTACACTGTACTTCATTGCAGGCTTGTATAAAGAGAGCACATCAAAAGCCTCGGAGGATTTTTTCAACTTGCAAAAAACACTTTCTTTAGGTTAATCGAGTGTCCAGAACATGAAAATAGCAAAATTTGATCATAAAAAGCAAAAATCAAAATTTCAAAAAAATTTTTTACTCGAATTTGATTAGAATTACATGTAGGAATCTAAATTATCGCAGAAAAAGTGTTTTTTTTGACAGGACAAAGCTCATTAGGCTCCTTTTGTGCCCTGCTTATAAGAAAGTTACAGTGAAGTACACTATAGAGACGGTGACTTCAAGCCTCTAACAGTGGTCCAAAGCGCATTTCCCCAAGCTCCCCCTATGTAATTCGGATTCTACGCAAAAGCCTACCCCAGAGAAAGTGATTTTGGAAAAAATAAGTACCAATTATTTTATTATTAAATAAAGCAAACTCGTACCGCTGCAAAGACAAAACAATAAATAGCGACGGTGGGGGCCAAAAAAAGGAGTACAACGAAGAGAAGATTGGCAAGAAAGAGCTGTCTGCTATCCAGTAACGCCTTAAAAGTATATTAAGTATTTGTTTAAAAAAAGTGATTCTCTAAGAAAAAACTACATAATGTTGTTTTAGCTACCTAAGTATTCACTTCTCACGAAATTAGCACAAAAGTAAAATGTAAAATATTAGGTACATGCATAAGAAATGCGGATTTCAACATTTAAATTTTCATCTAAGTAATTGGGGCCTGTGGGAATTGGGAAAAGGTTTGGTCAAACAAAGGGGGGGTGGGTGTTCCCCGGGGGGCGGGGGGCCCGGGTTTGTGTGTTTTTTTTTTTGGTTTGCCGTGCGCCCGCGTGGCGGACGCTCAGCGCAGCTGGTGGTTTAATTATTGCCGCGTTGAGTGAAGTAAAGTTCAATAATTTGAAACTGAAAGTTTTTTTTTCATAAAATAAGCTAAAAGACTATTTTCACTAACAGTTAGTTTTTTTTAAACGATCACAAATTGTTCACGCACCCATTTCCGTCCAAAAGTGTCGGACACTTGCCCGAAAACGATCGCACCGACCATGTAACTGAAAAATGTGTTCAATGTTTCGAATTGAGATTTTTCCACAAACCCGATCATTTGATACGATGTACTGTCCTTTATTCGTTTACCCTCACTGCACAAATGAGTGAACTGAAAAGGGGAAATTAAATAAATTAAATAAATTAAATAAAATTAAAAGTTAGAAGAAAGATTGTCATTCAGATAAAATTATCTACTTTTAATGGTTTAATTTGAAACACAAAGTTTTTCACTTGAAAACGGGTAAAACTGGCGTTTTCTTGGAAATTTTAACCTAAGCATTGTTTTTTTAAAGCTAAAGATATCATTTTTCAAAAAAATCCATTAATGAGGACAAAGATTCTCTTGAATTATAGTAAAATCTAGGTTTGTATGAATGGATTGAATGGATTGAATGAAGGAATGGATTGAATGAATGAATGCTGTTACTTTAAAAAAAACTGTAAGTGACTGTAAGTGGTAACAAATTCTATTGGTAACAAACTTGGATCTATTGGTAATAAAATGGATCTATTGGTAACAAAATGGATCTATTGATAATTATTGGAAAGCTTAAACCACGTATAATTTGAAACAAAATATTTTGGAGGAATTTGCAAAAAAAACCGAATCCTTTAAAGCCTTATTCCAAAAGCTTATTCCAAAAAAGTCTCATTTTTGAGTCTCAGTCGATCTCATCATCGTCACTCATTATTTTCCCTACTTTACCTCAACGTTAACACTGTGAAATTGATACTCGATGATTGGGATGCATTGCTGTTTTTGATAGAGTTCACACAAATCATGATGATGCAGCCAGGCGGTGTCATTTCGATCCTCGCAACCGATCAGTGTTGGTGGAGCGCCTGGAAGTGATGATAGAAAAAGATTGTTTAAATATTTTAGAAGATTTTTATGAAAAAATTATTGAGAGAGTAATGAAAACATTCAGTTTTTGAATATTTTATTCATTTTACATAGTCAATTAGGCGACTCACCCCCAAAAACCATAAACATCAAGTTGCCGGCTTGGAGCAAGACGATTAACTGAAAAAAATTAGCTTTCTCAAAGAAACTTTAAAGGTTTATTTGAATAATGCATAGAAAAGCATTTCAGAGAATCATTGAATCTTTTTGACAAGGCTTTTTGACAACATTTCAAGATGAAACTTGATACTTTGTACCTTTCAAAAACTTTTCAAAAACATTAAAATCGTTTAGGTTTTAATATTTTTTTTGTAGAATAAACTACAGGGTGACCAAGAATTACCGCAACAACGACGTATTATGTTATGAGCCCCATTTCACTCTTTGCTTACCTGTTTTTCTGGTTTTTGTGTATTTTTCCTATTTTATGGTATGATTACTAACTTTCAATACATTAGTATGGTTGTTTTCAGGAATGGTGGAAGCGTCTCAACATCGACAATCGATTCTTGAGCTCAAGCGGCAGCGTGTTTCAGAGAACCATTGAATTGCTTTTGGACAAGAGTTTTGACAAGACAAGGCAACATTTCAAGATGAAACTTGATAACTTGATGCTTGGTACCTTTCAAAAGCTTTACAAAAACATTAAAATCGTTTAGGTCTTGTTGAATGGTCTTGTTGTTTTTTGTTGAATAAACTATAGTTTCTGTTTTTGTTCTGGATACTAGCCAACCTCACACAGAACACAAATGAGAACCGTGTACCGTCCCATTCGCTGGAAATCATCGATGCATTCGCCCATTTTCTCTCGTTTTTTTTCGCTTGTAGAGATGCAAAATTTATGTTTCAATTGATCTGAAAGTTGTGTTTTTAACTTAAAACAATAAATTATGTAATAAAAAGAAACATTTAACGAAAATTGTCGATAAGACTAGAGTGATAAACCTTAGTAGAGTTTAGACTTAGACTGCCAATGTTGAGAATATTGAAACAAAGCTAATTGACATCAAATGTTACTCTGGTGAATTTGTAAATAGATGAAATAATTTTGGTTTTGGTAATTTTCATCAAAATAAATAGGAAAATGGGGTAGGGGTTTTTAAATTGTTAGGTTTTTAGCAATTGCTGTGTTCAGTATTACAGTGATAAAAAATGGAAAAGATTCGAGAGAAATTGAAACATAATATTTTATTGAGTTGAAACATTGAAAAATGATATTTTTTATAGAAACAAAAAGCTAAAGCTTATACTTTTAAAGAGCTTTGGAAGGATCAACTGAATTGATTGAAAGAATATATTTTGAGAAAAATTCAGAAGCAAAAAAGACTTTCTATTCTCAATTTAGGAGCTTTTGGAAATTTTGTTATGAAAGCGTGCGCATTTTTATTGATAAACGATGTAAAAGATTTAAGAAGAGTAAATTGAAACATGATTCTTTCAAAGAAATGAACTAAGGATGTAAAAACGAACTTCAAAAATATATTTTACAAACAAACATTACAGGCCTGATACTGCTTAAAAGAGTCAATATTTTCAGTGCTAAAGTGTTTTGCCACTTCTAAGAGCGAAGAATCGGGCTTAACACCACTTCTGGCAACTATAGGCCTACTTCTAGCAACCACAAAGCAGCGCGGTTCTATAGCCCATATAGTTTTTAAAGAGGACAGCAAGAAACATTGTTCGTTTCACGATGAACCAATTTCTTAACAACTGAGCTGAGTGAATTTAACAACTGAGACGTAAGATCTGAATGAAATTCAAGTTTAAGCTAAAAAACATTGAAGAGCATTGAATTGAAGAGCTTTTAGATTTCAACAATAACTCAAAATTTTTGATTTGAAATATTAAAATTAAATATTTTGAAATTTAAGAATGTTTTATCAGAAACCAAGCAACAAACCAATTTTAAGAATATGTTATATCGGAAATCAAGGAACTGGTAACGATTGTGCTTGCTGAAAGTGAAAAATTTTGAAACCTGGAGATTGAAATCAAAATTTTGAAACCAAAATGAAACAAATGAACAAAAAAACAATCAAATGAAAAAGTTTCGCAAACGATCGGCCAGTGATCATTTTTATACCTTTTCTGATAATGTTTTGATAAAAATTTCAGTCTAATTTGGGATGATTTGTCAAATATTTGAAATAAATTCTCGAAAAAAGATCTTAAGGGAGCGCTCTCAAAAAGAAAAAAAAATAGGATCGGATCTGGAATTTTGGTGAACGAAAAAAAAAGATCTTGAGGAATTTGCAGAAAAAAAGTGTTTAAAAAACTAGATCAAGAATTTTAGTTTGTCTACAGACACTTTGAAACATTCTTTTTTCAATCCATCAAAGTGATCAACTATGAAAACTGATGTTTTAGAGAAATCTGTTCGAGTTATCCGTCAAAATGATTGATTTAGGATTTATTGATGATTGATTACTGATATTTCATTTATTTTCTATCAAAACAATCAAGATCCGATCCAATTCCAGATCTTTCCCCCATTTTTCAATCAACTTTTCACATTCCTGGCTCGCTCAATTATCGCCAAACTGATGTTGATTGTCTGTCAAAATAAAGTGATCAATCAAAAGGGATTCGATTTTGAATTTTGCAAGAAACTGTTAGAAATTAAATCTTCTAATGGACTTTTCTATTTCTTTTTAAAGAAAAAAAAAAAATTAAATTTTAAAAAAAAAAAAAAAAAAAAAAAAAAAAAAAAAAAAAAAAAAAAAAAAAAAAATTTTTATTTTTTTTTTTTTAAAAAAAAAAAAGGGGGTGGGAAAGTGCTTTCGAAGGATTTATTGAAAGATTTCACACAGTTCAACCATGACCAACTTTAATAACTTTTTGACAGAGTTTAGTACTAATTATAATATAAACTATATCTATGGCTTTAAAGTATTATATTTAAAAATACAATTTTTTATATAGACAACGACGTTTCGACTTGTTTGGCTTGTCGACAGAAGCGCCAAAGGTGAAGCCAGCATGGTAAATGAACGGGAAAACGCACAAATGACACAGATCATTCCTTAAAATCAAATTCCTCTCGATTTATTTCTTTGCTTAACATTTCTTTGCTTTTTCAGCTTTTGCAATTTGTGATAGCCAAATTTCGAGATTGCATTTAATTTGGCAAATTGCAAAACAGAAAATTTCAATTTTCATGTAGTCTACGCTTAGACCATTTCAAAAATCTTTTGGGAATTCAAATAGAAACCATTTTTTTGACGATTAGATCATTTTGAGAGTAATGAAATAGGGTTGTGTATTTTTGAAACTTGAAGATAATTCAGCAAATTTCTTGGCTTTAAAACGATTTTCTTTCTTAGCTACTCAAGTAAAAAACGAGTTATCAGTAAAACAGTGAGCGACAAGGGCAACTGTAAGCCGAAAAATATCGCTATCGCGAGTTGTTGCAAGTCGAAAAATGTTTGAAATGATTCAATTTTCAATCGCTTCATAACTAGTCGTTAAAGTTAAAACCTAGAAAATGCTTCGGCTTATTGAAAAGAAAAACCCGTTTTAGTTGCCAAAAGGTTTCAACTTTTGCAAGGTGTTAAACTTTAGTACAGTTTAGTAAATCATTCAATTTAAAACGATGGTTTTTGAAAGACCAATCAAAATTTCTCCGTTAATTTCTTCGTCACACTGAAATTTTCCGAGAAGCCTCGCTTTTTTTTGCAATTTCAATTACGGGACCGTCTAATTGTTCGCTTTTTTTCAAAAACAAAATCAGTGTAAGTGAAATTATCATAAAGAAAGAAATATGCTTTTAAGCCCTGATTTTTGAAATCCCATACAGAACTTTGCAGGCTTATAACATTTGACAGAGTGCTCCATCACAAAAATAGAAAGCACATCCGGAATGAGCATGAAATGCTGCGTCAAATGACACGAATAACATGTGATTTGGTCGCGAAATCCAGTTGAAATTCCCTTGTGAGTTAAGAACGATAATTGAAAAAGTCAAGAACTCGATTATTCAATGAGCAATCAGGTAAGCCAATTGAAAATCTCGTCTTTTCACTCGAGAACTACGCGAATGCAATTTAGATTAGCAAAAACTAAAGTTTGCTTTTTCATTTAAAGAACAATTTGATGTGAAGTTGAACGTTGTCTCGATTGCAATGTCTTCTTCTCAATTTCACACAAACTTTTGACCAAAAAAAACAAAACTAAAGATTACATCAAAAGAATCAATCCTCTAAAGTACCAAACTAGTCTCTAGAGTAGCAAAATTAAGCACTGATTTAAAACCAAAAGCTTCAATAAAAAAAGTCATTTGAAAAAGGCATTTTTCAAGCTTGGGGGGGGCACTATTTTCATATTTCTCTACCTCAAAATTGTCGTATTCGCTAAATTTTAAAGTTTACCACGTAGGTAGGCTAACTCATTTTTTGTAAATTCCCAATGATTCCTGGTCTTTTTTCTTAAATATCAAAATTTAAGTGAAAGGACAAAGTTCACCTGATACATATTTCTCTGCGGTAAATTCGAGTTTTTCTAGTCTCTAATCAAAAAGAACAGAAAATTGAAACCATCCTTTTTGATAATGGCAAAGTTGTTTTAATTTCTTAGCAAAAATGGAAATCCCAGGTGGATTCAAAGGGGAAAAAAGAGTAAAACAGAAATTTTGAAGAAGTTCGACTAAGAACTCAAGAATTCACACTTTAAAAAAATTAACTTTCAAGTTTGGCGAGTTAAACTAATCTAATGCTATGCGTTTAATCATTGTACAATAGAAGTTATTGTCAATTTTCTCATCCAAGGATACTAGCAGAGTAGAGTACTGTAACCGGTTATACTGTATTCGAAAATGTTCCGGGATACTTGATTTTTTCAATGTTTAAACCTAAATGGCCATGCTTGAAGGTTTTCTTTAACAATTGTCTCTTGCAATTTCAACTTAAATATCTTTTGATTGATTAATTTTCGATGTAATCTAGAGTACAATGAGAATGAGAATTTCAAATTGGCAATTGAAGCTTTTCCTTTTCTTTCTTTTCGATTAATTCAGAATTTTTTGACTCTACCTGAACATTTGCCATTGCAGTTCTCAAATGTCGGTCATTCTTTTCATTTCCTATTGTCTTTACGGTATTCCATCGGCTCTTCTCTATATTCTCGTCATTCACATCATTTGGAAGAAAAGACGGACGATTTTCTCGGGATCTTTTTATCTCGTTTATCTCAATCTTCTCATTGTGGTGAGTGGGGATCAAATGAAAATTTGATTTGAGATTTGTTAAAATGGAAATGAGCACTATTATCGTTTGTAATGTGCATCAAAGAAGACATTTTCTATTTGTAGTTGGTTGAACATTTCTTTGAAACGTGCGTATTCATATCTGTAGTTGCTTTGATCCAAAATCAGAAATTAATACAGTTTATAAGCAATTATTGGTGATGGTTAGAAAAAACGCAATATCTTTTTATCTGGCTGGGAATATGAGGTGAGGAGGTGCTTACTAGCCTAGTAATCCGGTTAGTAATAATGTTACTAAGGTTAGTAAAGGCGTTACTAGCGCTAGTAATCCTTAACAAAAACAATGTATTTTGACTAGTAATTGTATTACATGAATGTCTTTTCTTGAGCGAAATTCTCTCCTTCTATTATGAATTCTTCGATCGTCATTTTTTATCATCAATTTATCCCTCACTTCTAATAAGAATAGCATTTATTGAGAAAAAATAAATCCACCAAAAAAACGTTTCAGTTGACATTCTACTTGTTGACGTGCTAGAAATGACATCTGAGAGAACCTAGATAGCAAAGATTACAAAAGTCAATTAGCATAGAATAAACCTGAATCACTTTAGCTTCAATTTCATCCATTCATTTCAATTTCACACTTTGAACAGTGCATCTGTTGGCGGTATTCTGTTGACCGTATACCCGATTTTTCGAATAGATTTGATCAAATAAAGCTACAATTTGGTAATCTAACTGGTTTAAAACTTAATTTTAAAAATATCGATTGAAAGAAATTAAGATAAAATTAGCAAAAAAAATGCCAAATTATGGTTGAATAACAAGGCAACTGAACTTGAGATCCCGGTAAACATGAGAAACACGCGAATTTTTGTTTAGCTTCAAAAAACATTTGTTTTCCAGGACATTGTCACCTATTTGAACACGTATATCAATTTGAAGTTGCGGGAAATCCCGGGAATCGCCGAATACTTTGTGAACATTGAGTACAAAATCCCGCCCTATCGTTTCTTCATCATGCTCTCCTTTGCATGCTATCATTTACAGGTAACAAAAGTTTTATAAAAGAGCAATTATTCTCAGCTCTCAAATTTATACAACACTAAAAAATGAATTTATAATAATTTCTGAACCATAAGCCTTTTTTTTTAGTCAATCAATTTATAATCATAATCAATTTTTAGTCAAAGATGGCGTCTTTGATTTTTTAAAATTCTAATTTTAAGTGATTTTTCACCCCCAAATTACCCTTTAGGTGAAAATTCATCAAAATAGATGCTCTTTTTCATAGTTAAGGACAGCATTCTGTGACTATCCCTATATAAATTAGCCGCACAAACATCGATTTATAGATAACAGAGAATGTGGAGTTGTAAGTTGTAAGTTGAAAGTTGTAAGTTTCTGATCAGAAAATCAGATAAATTTAAGCATAACTTGACATCTATTATGTCGATTTATGCTTAAATTTATTATATGTAAGTCTTTTGAGCGCAAAAATGCACTAACTCTCGTAGAATAGTGACTTTTAAAAAGGGGCTGTCTCTAATTTTTGGATCGTGGTGAAGGAGGATGACTCGAGCAGAAGCTGTAAAAAGTGACCACATAATTTTGAAACCACAACTTTTTTACTTGCTAGTATTGAAGATAGATGCTAAAAACTGATTTTGAGCTGAAGTAAGTAGGAGGATTAGTAAAAAAAGATGAAAAGGGTAAAAAGAAAAAGAATTCTGAAAAGTTTGAAAGTTTGAAAGCCGAGTTTGAAACCTTCACAATTTTTGCTGTCGCCACAGTCGAGTTCTAACTTAACGCCTACCAAATGACTTGCAAAATTTTACTGAACAATCAATTTTAGCCCCTGATGCTACTGTTAAAGTTTAAAATTTTATGAAAAAGCTATTTTCTTCAAGATGCTTAAAGCGCTAAAAGGTGGTCGACTAACTTTGAAACATCAATACCGTATTTTCTCTAATAGTAGTGCACCCTGAGCGTCGCCTAAATTGCTCGAAATCTCGAGAACCGCTTATTAGAACTTATCGATGTGGGGTCGGAAAACGTAGCTGACGATGAGATCTAGTGGGGAATTAGAGTGTTGGGCTTCTGCAAAAGCTTGGAAACCGTAAATTAGTCACCGACTCGGCTCGCCGAGGTGCACTACTATTAGAGAAAATACGGTATTTGTTTTCCAAGCTTGACTCCTATCAAATACAATTAATAATTATATAATTACTTTAATCAGTCAGTAAACAGTGGTTAAATCTTAGACTTTAAAAACTTAGACTTTTTTGCGCTTCATTGCAATCTTTACCGTATTATTGGCAAAGATTATTGTTTTCGGAATGTTCAACCTAACTATTACCGAATGCTTTGTAAAATGCAATTAGTTTAGCTTTGTTGAATTCTTGTAGGTACGTTAATAGCTATAATATGTATAAAATGTACTGGTATTGGCTGCTACAAGTGGACCAAATGAACTATATTAGCTTGAAGTCTTCAGGTGACTCCAATCGAATGCTTTCTAGAATTTTACGTCCATTTTAACCAGTCATATGTATGGTAAACTTTAAAAATCATAAAATTGTCATTGACTAGAGGACATTAAAACAAAGAACTGAACATAGGGGTTGCCTTATCTTGAAGCAACTGTTTTTTTACTGCACTTCATTGTAATTTTTGAAGTAACGGTCATAAAAATGATCTAAAGTCAGTAAAACCCTATCGTTTTTATTTTAAAGTTCTCTGCGAATAGTTTTCGATTTTTTTACAAAAGCCTTTCATTTTCAGAACACCGCCTCTCTTCTTCTCCATTTCAATCGTTTCACGTGCACCATTTTCCCCATTTACCATCAAGAGGTCGGTTTTGGGTTTATGCAAAAAGCAAAAAAAGTGCAATCTGGATTTATCCGATTCAATTTTGCATGCCTTTTTTGAAAAGATCACTTATTTTTTCTACAATCTTCGCAGTTTAACACTTTTCCTCAAGCTTAAATCAAATTTTTCAACCTGAAAAAGCTGCAAATGTTTCTATTATCGCTAGTTCTTCTCTCTCAAACATTTAATCATGAAAATTTTATAGAAAAGATATGCATCTAGTCATTAAATAGCCTGAGAACCCTAAAACAAGACAATTGGATTTCATTGGATTTCATTGGAATTGAAAAGTTTTCTGTGATAATTCCCAGGTTTCAACCTAAACAAGCTTTCTTTTAATCATGATACATAAAGCAATTATTATTTCCATCTTATTTCTATTCAATGTATTAGGTTGGCAAGTTATAAACGAGAGTTCTCGAGGTAGTTCTTGGGTAGTTCTCGAGAAACCTAATCCCGAACTTGACTAGTCAGAGAAACGGCGGTTAATTATCCATCAACCCAATAGTTAATTAAATAAGATTATAAATAGCAACTGTTTCAAATGAACAATCTCTGAATGGCCAGAAACAACACAGTTTAAAAAAGGAGCATGATTTCGTAAGCAATAAGCATTTTAATTCCATAGTCTCATTTTCAGTTCTTAAAGTTCAGTTCAGTAACATTTTGTCGGATTTGGAGAAATTGCAATCTAACTTTAAGACAGTGCTAAGTGATAACCATTCAGCGGAAAGTTCAAGTTTCAACTTGAGCAATCGTTGCTTTTATTAAAAGGATGCCAGTTCTCCCTAAAGTAATTGGTTTTTTACAGATTAAGCTTAAGAGCAAGGGTAAGAGTAAGATTTTTACAATTTTTTTCCAAATACTCAGTAAATTTCCCATTGTCAATCCCATTTTTTTAGTTCTGGAAGCGTGGTGCTTTCCCTCTGATTTGCCTCCTCACAATCTACAGTTTCGCCGCCGTTTGGCCGGTTCCATTGGTGAATGGATATTACATTGAAGTGAATGGAGTGGTGGCGAGGAGTGCGTCGATGTATACGGTAATTGGAATGGTTTAGAAAGGTTTAGAAAGGGGAATTGAAAAATAAATGAGAAAAAAATGGACAAAAGCAGATATACTTTAAAAAAACCTACAATACAGTTCCGGAAAAAGTTTTAGTTTCAAAGTAAACGACTTCATGGTTCGCTTCTAATCTATGTTTGTAATCTACGCTCATTGTTTTGCATTTCGAAACCTTTTTTGATGACAAATTAAAAAAGATAGAGCTCATTTGATTGCATAAGTCCGTAAATTTTGAAAACGATCCTTGCAGTCATTTTCTTTAAAACTACAATTAAAAATCTTACACAAGAATGCGTTTTTACCGAGTCGAGACGAGCTTTGAGCTTTTCTTTCGCAATTTTTAACGCATCGTAGAAAGATAAATGAATTTTGAGGCTCAAATCAGTTATCTGATGAATTTTAAGCGGGATTTTTTTTTGAAACGAATCATTTCAGCAATTGGCAGGCCTTTATGTCTATATGGATTACGGGGGCAAAATGTACATCGGATTGGCGATTTTCTTCAACGGTGCAACCGCTGCGAAATTGCTTTATTTACGGTTTCGTGGGCAAAAGTTTGTGGTTTTTAAGAAAAATTAGATTTGAATAAGAATAAAATTGTTACGTTGATTTTTTAAATTCTCTTTATGATTACTTTTCTCAATGTTTGATTTTAGTCAAATAACTTGAAACTAGGCTTTGTCAACTCCGGAAAACTTGGCTGCTTCTTAAAAACAGATATATTTAGTGTGTTTCAGCTATTTTTTTTGTTAAATCTGTTCATGTAAATTGTGGTTTTGTAAGTTTTGAATCAAAAATTCCAGACTCTCCAACACCCAGGAAATCGGCCTTTTCGTGATGGCGTTCGCGACGTTTTTCTGCCAAATCTTTTGCCAATACGTCATTGTGAGTTTCGCAAAGGAAAATCAGATAAAAAAAGCGAAGAAAATGATTGATGAAAAAAAGAAAATTAGATATTTCTTACAAGATCTTCCCAAGTTACGAGCTAGCTACGAGCTGGCTTTGGAGATGGCGAAAGGAAAGGCTTTCCGCCGGCAAAAATCAGTCGAAAAAAGCTTTCATTTTTTTAGAAATTCAAATGGCTATAACTTTGTGCGTTTTGACGATTAGCGGCTTTTGAAAACAGTGCATCTTCAAGCCTTTCTTTTGGCACCTACCTCATATTGGAACTCGCGGGTAACTTGGGAAGGTTTCCTTGTTAGAAATTTTCAGTTTACTAATCAAATGAGCAATGTAAAAGTAAAAATAGCTTAAGAGCACAAAATGGAAAACGAGTTTCAAAATAGGGCAAGAATAAGCAGTGTGTTTTTTGATTCAAAATTTTAAAAAAACATGCTAATGGGCATATTTTTGCAAATTTGCCAAGTCTGAATTGTTTTTTGAAGATTGAAAACGCAAAACTGGCTTGAGAATATGAATTCGTTCAGATTTCATGTTTCAAGTTATTCATAATCAGAAAGCTTTGGAGATTTTAATTGTTTTCAAATGTTTCATTTCATTCCAATTTACACCAATTCCCAAAATTTTTCAATGTTTTCTTTCTTACATGAATTTTCAGACAACAAACAACTTTCAGACTCAAATTAGCACCGTCGCTGCCGCATATGTTTCCTATAGCAATATCATTGTGAGTTTCAACGTCAAAACGTTTGTATTTCAAAATTGTTTACTTCTGTGTAATCTAAAATATTTTTAGCAATTTAAGCTTATTTTTTAATCAGAAACCAGAAATTTTGGGACCTAGTGAAAACAGCGCCGTTCAAAATAGCGCCGATACAAATTGAAAGAGACTGCGGTTAGCTTTTTCAACCCCACCTTTTTATACTTCTCATAACAACTTGTAACTCTTGTTATTTGTAAAACATTTTTAAGTACATTGCGCGTGTTTTAACAAACCGACGAATTATTTCAGCATTAGAATCATGTTTTATGGCCCATTTTAGATAAACAATGTAACGCATTTTGTTTTGCATCGTTTTCTCTTGTTTTTCTCTTGTTTTTACAGTTCTTGGTACTTAGTTTTGTGTTTTTTAGGTAAAAGAAGCCTGAAGGAATAGAAGACTCGTTGCACATGATTCGACGTGGTTAGCGACAATTACAGGCGCTTTTCACACAATATCGTTTGCGAAGAAAAAAACAAAAATTAAAACAGGTTATTTTTTGTTTATCTTTGCATCGAATAATTTATAAAACATCTTTGGATACGGAGCTGGCTATTGTCAACGGTTTTTTTGCTATCTTTAGGCAATATATCATCATCCATTTCTGTTGTTATCATTTCTTCAAAGCCATCTTTCGCAAAATTAAGGCTATTAAACTTTCGTTTTTGTAATATTTATCTATTCTTTTAGCAGAGGAAACTGCAAGACATCTATTGTTCAAGAAGATGTTCAAGAAGACTTCGAAAAACGCCTTGATGCGTCACATGAATCTACCTCAAGCGTCACCTCGATCATCGAAGGTTCTTCACGGCCAGCGTGTAAGAAAAGTAGCGGTTCAAAATGGGTCCTTGGGCCAGGCGACGATTTAAAATTTTTATGTCGTTACATTCAGTGTGTTAACTCCGTTGTTTCATTTTTCCATTTTGTTAATTTTGCTAAATGTTAAATTTTGAATAAACAAGTTTCCATCTACTATTCTCCTTGAGAATGCACAAAAAACGAAATCTTCTATCGAAAACTCCAAAAGAGCGTTGCATTAAAATCTGAAATCATGTTTAAACTTGGTGCTGTTTTGAACGGCGCTATTTTGGCGGCGCTATTTTGACTGGGTCCCAAAATTTTCAATAATTATTAATTTGAATCACTGAAGTTTACAAGTTTCATTAAGCTCAAGGTTAGTTATTGGCGTGGTTGAAGTTGATTTAAAAAAACTTAAAAAGAAATCAATTGAACTATTAAAATGATTTCCCATGAAAACAAGCAATTCAACACTGAACAAAAAAAAACAAAAGCTTGCGTTTCAAAAGGCTTCAAATAGTTCACGAAATAGTTCAACTAGTTCAAATAGCTCAGTGAGACTCCATCTTTTCTTTCTTTTTGAATTTTCCACTGAAATAGTTAGAAAGCTTGGAACAATCTATTGTTAGAGAAAAAAAATTGATAAAATACCATGAGAAAGCTCTTAATTCTCATATTTCTTTGAGGATTGGAGTGTAATGTTTGGTAGCTATTGAGCAAAAAGATCGAGTTTCAATTCGCTCGGCTTTAAACGGCTCACTCAAGGTTCATCGCAGCTTTTTTTTTGCTAAAAATCCTAGGTTAATTTATTAATTTATAAAAATTCTTGATTGTGGATTGAAGCTGATAAAAGTATCGATTTTTCTTTCAGTCCTCGGTGAACGCGGATATTTTCTCGCTATCCGAGGTTTATATCGGTTTGATCTTCAATCAATATCTTCGATTGCACGTTATGCAGGTTTGTCGTAATTGTCGTAAAAACAGTAATTATTTTTAATGAAACAAGTGACCGTCAACTATTCTGTGCTTGCACAATTTGAAAGTTTCTTGACCGATTAACTCTAAGTAAAGAGAAGTGCTAAACTGTAAAGAATTACCCGATTTTCAAGCTATTTAGATCCCAAATAGCAAATCCCAATGAAAATTTTTAACAATTTTGTCAGTTTATCGATAGCAATAAAAGACTAAAGTCTCTGATTAGCGTTTGACGATCGTGATTTTTGAACTAAAATTTCTCAAAATTAAAAAAGTCAAAAAGTTTTCGCTACAACCATTTAAAATATTACAAAAAGTAGACTTACTCATTCTGTAAAGGTTCCCAAGAGAATTTACAAAAAAATCAAAAACTGTAACTAATAAGTTTTCTAGAAAATGCTTTGAATTTCATGAAAATGGTGATTAAACTTGGGCACAATTTTTTAAGTGAGAAGATTTTTGAGAAAAAAATAGTTTCACTACAAAAGTGCCCGTGGATTTCAGCAATTTAACTTGAAATTCTTAAAACAAATCTAAAATGGATTTAAATGTAAAACAAGTTTGCAGACAATCACGGGCAAAAAGGGTCCAATCATGGTGGGAACTCTCTCAGCAAAGGTCTCGTCGGTGATCCCATCAAATACGAGTCGACGATGGGAGAAAACTGAAAGAAAAGAATTGTCGAAGATTTAGTTTTTTAGATAAACACCTTGCACAAAAGCTGTAAGATTTCATATTTCACAATTAAATGAGTTACAAATCTCGAAGGAAAACAATGAAATCTTTCGTACTCTCCACAAAAGACTCCAGTTTGAAACTTTAAAGTTGAAAGAGCTAAATAAACTGTAAATCTATGTTTCCCAAGCTCGTTTTTAGACTTTAGTCGATTTTTGTGCAAAATAAATAAATAATCCTTGTAAATAAATAAATAAAAGCCGTGAAATGCAACACTAACAAAACAGAAGACAGACAAAGAAGAGCTGAACAAAAATTGGTGATTCATTAAATCTTTCATTTCCTTCACCTAGCCCTTTTGTTTGAAACTTTCAAGCGAAAATGATGCGATAAGATGTAAATTTATCTTTTCCAATCGTCAGATACATTTTTGTATTTGTTTTGTAAATAAATATCTTTAAAAGCTGTAAAATTAGACTAGAATTACATATTTTAAAAAGATTCGACGCCGAAGGGAGATTAAGTGTCCCGCACTCCCCATAAAGCCACACAGTTTGATACTCTTTATTGGAGCAAGACTTAAATTTGAAAAATTCCACAAACGTACTGAGAATTCATGAAGGTTGCATAGATTGAGTTTAATTTCACAAGAAAAGCTCTTTATTATTAGAAATTGATTGTTCGAATGTTCGAATGCTGAAGAAAATAGTGATAGAGTGCATTAAAAGAGTGAGGCGTGATTGAAAATGAGGAAAAACATTAGCAAATTGAAATGACCTTGAAAAACAAAAAAAAAGAGTTTCAAAATGGACGACACCAATTGGTGATGGATCTGCTCAATAGAGCCTGAAAGAAATGGAATAACACTTGGGAAATCATGTAGAAAAGAGCTGGTTTCAATTTGTTTAGCATCAAGGGGTGCTCGCTCAATTTAATGGTAAGAAGAAAAAGAGTAAGTTGAAAAATATGGAGAAAGAAAATGAATGAATGAATCCAATCAAGAAATGGTTTAAATGCGGGTGAGTGCAAATGAGGATTAGTATTGCAAAATATCGCAAACAATTAACTAAAGAAAACCAGGAGAATGGGGCAAAAGGTGAAAGTTATCCAGGAAATGATCCAAACGGGAAAATCCTTGGTTGTCCCAAAAGATGATCAGCTGGATGGAGATGTCCAGGGGCAAAGGGTTCGTTCGAATGCGATGCCCCAGATACAGTACCCCCGGGAGAGTCGACTGGTGCATGGTGATGGCCTGAAACGGGGGAATTGTTCAACTTATACAGTAGAATACATCTATTCACCCGAATAATATGGTACAAACAATAAACAAGCACAACCTGCAAGCCCTAAATGTAGGGAAGAAAGAAAAAAGAAAGAATCAAGCTCAATAATCTAGCCGGCGCGCCCCGGCTAGATTCTTGAAATGATTTTGAGTTTTTCATACTTTTCCCTTTCTAAAATTTGAGTAATTCTAACAAATTTCTTATAAATTAGAATAATAAAAAAGCTGGAAGTGTCTATTTTTAGAATATTTAAAAAGTAAGCAAATTGGTCAAAGGTAAAAGATTTTATGGCCGTTTTACGCACTTCAGTTTTGGCCTTTTTTGCGTTTTTTGAAAAAGCCCATTTTCTAAAAAACTGTCGATATTCGGATTTAGTAAACTTTTTCCTATCGAATGGTAGGTATAACATTTCATCAGAAAATTGCACTTTCGCGCGGATGCGAATGTGCGGCGGGATTAAACCCTTGCCCTCCCGATTAAGATACAGGGCTCTTAGCCAATCGGCGATGGCAGTGTCAAACCTGAAGCCTTGAACTTGAAACTTTAACTTGAAGCCTTGAGAGTACATGAAAGTTTTGATTTTTTAATCAAGTCCCCTTTCAAAGTGCCATTAGAAATGATTTAAGTGTTTAGATTCATTGTAAACTTGAAACATGATAATTTTCCGATAGTGGACAAATATTGGAAAATTCACATTTTTTTTGCTAAAAATTACTATTATTTTAAAGAATTTAAGATTTGAATTTGGAAAAATCTTGTTTATGAACGATCACGAGCATCAATTGCTTTTGCAACGTTGCACATTTGTTTTCGACTCAATTTGAAACTCTTTTTTTTCCTTTCACCAAGTTTCTAATTTCACCAAGAAACAGTTTCAAGCTCATCGGCTTCTTCGGTAAAAATTACTCATCCAATTGCTGTGGACGCTCGTGTTTTTTCAGTTTTACACCCCATATTTTGTTCTTGCAAGATCTATTTTCCCCTTCAATTTCAACTCATTTTTTCTCAAACCTTCGTGTGTTTCCAGTCCTCCAAACGATATATTATCCTCTTCTTCCTCTTCACTGTGCTGTCCGGATAACAAGTGAGGGGATAAGATCTGAAAAATTTGGAAATAAATGCAAATTTTCAAATATCTTTTATGGAAATCAAATTTTTATAGAAAAGAAATATTGATAACAATTAGATTGACGCTTCTTTTTTCATCTCGTATCGACCAACTTTGAAACTTTTACTTTTCCCTGTATCATTTCTGGTATAAAAACAATAAAAACAATTCATTTTGGTCAAATAATTTTAAAAATAGATTTTGTTTAGGATTTGAAAATGATTTTTGTAACATTTTCTAGCATCACCTCAACCATAAACCTTTCTTCACTGTTCAGCACACGAGGTGAGAGGATTTTTGGGGAAAGCACGGCAATGCCCACCAGTTCGGGAGATCTGCAAAAGATTTCAGTAGAGGAATAAAATCGAAATTCCTAAAAGTTTGCTCATTTTTTTATTGCTTTTCCAACAATCACTAACTAAAACTAAAACTAAAGAAAACTGACCTATTTTAGAAGTTTTTGACTTATAAACTCTTTCATTTTGCTTTGTTTTGATCCGAATCAAAAGTTAGATCAACAAAATTTTCTCTGAACTCACGAAACATGCGGAGAGATGATATTTGGACTCAGAATATCGATGACAAGCGCTTCGGGACTCATCACGCGAGGCTCGAAGAACCTGAATCAGCATTGTACTATTGGGCATTCGATTTCATTTTGATCTCCGAGGTTTTGAAACACAACTTTGTAAACATTGATTTGCCGCTAATAAAGTTTCTTCATAAATTTAGATTTTGCAGGAAAACTTCAATTATTTGATTGAATTTATGAGAAAAACCATTACTTCGGTGTCAACACTTCAACGATCATCGCTTCCGGCGAGAGGACCCATGAATTGAAAGCACGAGGGGCTAATACCTAAAGATTTCAACAATGATGCAAAAAAAATTGCATTTCAGTCTCTAATCAGCTAAAAGTGCGCTTAAAAGGTATTTCTGAGCTGAAATTTTTGGAGATTTATGCACTCACCGACATGTCATTAAGATTTTAGAGACACATGGTTTTTAAGGTTTAGGTTTAAGCTTTTCTTTTACTCAATTCATAGATTTTTGTTTTTTCTATCTTTGAATCTTAAAATTACAACCAATACATGATAATTTTGCGCCTAAAATTAACTTGATTTTGCTGGATTGTCTTTGTTTCAAAATGAGAATGAAATGAAAATTTTGGTGTTTTACTTTACTTTAATTTCAAATAAAGCAGTATAATTTTCAATTTTCAATTTAGTTTAAAAGTTGATTTGTTTCTTGGTCACAAACCTCAGCTCGTAGGGCTGTTGGGCTGAGCGTTCGGGCAACAAAAGCCGCCGGAGAGAGGATTGTCGCGAAGAAAGCTCGAGGAGAGAGTACATCGAACTGGAAATTGGTGAAAATGATCGAAATTTCATTGAAACGCTCTTCAATATACCAGCCTTGACTTCTGCGGACTAGCCGCCATGAGCGATTAGATTAATGTTTAAAATCAAAATATTAATAAAATATCAATTTTTATTTACTCACCACCATGAAAGTCGGATCGAGTAATTCGAGGATGAAAGCTTCCGGGGAAAGGGCAACCACTTCCCAGGTGAAACCTGCAAAAGTACGGTGTTTTTTGGCAAATACCAAGAACTTAAGCTAGCTACAGTTTACAGACAAGCTCTTGATTGATTTCAACTAATTTTATGGTAAAGTTGGTCCATAAATTTATGCAAAGGATAACCCGAACTTCTGCATGTTTCAAAATAAGCAGAGTCTGGGTTATTCGGCGACTCCTAATCTTTATCTAAACTATTTTTTGTGAAGAAATTCATTTAAAATTAAAACGATCCGGTCTCAAAGCCAAGTTTCAAAATTTTTAACATCAATTGTCATTTGTCATTGATAATACAAAGCTTATCTTGGTTAGGTAAGTGAATTTAAAAATTATTAGAAGATACAATTAGAATATTAGATCTGAAAATGTTTCACTTTTACTTGAAATTCTATTTCTTAGAACTTTCATTTACCTCCTCCAACAAAAGCCCGGAAAGCCGTTGGATTGACAATCTCGAATTCTATTTGGTCCTCATCACTTCGACAACTTGGATCACCCGGACAAATCGGATCGGTGGGAGGGAAAGTGGTGGTGATTGGAGGGAATGGAGTTGTTGTTGATAATGTTGTCGTAATTGTAGTAGTAATCGTTGTTGTAGTCGAGAAAGTAGTCGAGAAAGTAGTCATCGGGCTGGTTGTTGTGGTTTGCCCCGAATTATTGTCACTCTGGCGCTTTTTTCGCGGAAAGAGTGCTTCTGAAAGCAAATTTTCAAACGAAAAATGATTCAAAGATCCATTAGCAATCACTTTACCCTTTTAAGTGAATTATTTTGAAACTAGATGTATCATTGTAAGCCTTGAGCATTGAGGTTTGACAATTTTGTCACCAAAATACAATAGACTACAAAATAAAACTTAATCTTTTCCCCAAGAATATTGTAACCTGTCTCCTTTTCGTTCATCATCGCCATCTTCTTAATGTCATTTTCAAGGAGTTTCTCTTTTTCCTCCAATGACATTTGATTGAAAGAATGAAGATTTAAAGATGGAGAACTGGCCCCAATCACTGAAAATATTTATTGCTTTCTTTGCTAGATAATTTATTTCGCTAATTAAATAGCCGCCATTTCTCTAGAAGTTGATCATCTTGAAAAAAAGAGTTCAAAAATTGACGTAAATGATGGAAATTTTAAGCATTATGATAGAGAGCTTCATTTGGTTCTCCGTTTTCTAAAAAGCACCTATTTTTTTAAAAAACTACCGTAATCATACTTCCAGTTCTCATTTAATCAGCCCAATCTCTTCCACAATGATAAAAGAATTGATTGATCAAATGAAAGCTGGCAGTTGGTAATGGTAGTTTTCACCTATATCATGCTCTAAATCCCTCTTTATGACATTGAGATCGTTTTTGCCCATCGAACACACAAAAATATTGAAATTTTGGCTTGGCCAATCTTTCAAAGAATTTTTTAAGTGAATAAACAATCAAATGATATTTCAAAACTCACATCTCGATGGTGACGAAAAAATTCGATCCAGTTGCGGTTTCTCGTAGAAGAAATAGCTTTTTTGACTGGAAAATGAGTAATTTAAGGATTTAGGAACATCTTTTCAATTCCTTTACTTCATTTGTTCCTTTTGTTTTTCATTGATCGTTTTCATCGCTTTCAAAACGGTCAAATCCAAAAGGGACATCTCGCGAATTGCCGGGAATTCCACAGAGTTCATTCGGCTGAAAATTCAAACAAAAAAATCTTTCACTTCACATCATTTTTCAAACAAACCTGTATTTTTAACCATAAAACCTATGTATTTTTTCTCTTTAATAAGAAAATTTTTGATGAATTAACGATTAAATTCACTAAATTACTTTTCCTGCAACATTTTCGAGCTTTAAACCAACTATGATCTGTTTGTTGCTTTGACCATTTACTTGCGACTACCAAAGAATTCGATGAATCCATTTTGTTTACATTGAAACTAAGATATTTCTATCATAAACATGCTGTCTAAAATGTCAAAAAGTAAAATTCATTTGATTTTAAACAGTTCAACTGCTCAAAATGCTTCTTTCTTTCAAGAACTCACTCAATTTGTGGTCGAATCTTTTGCAAAACATTCTGCATCGATGTCGATGCTCCACTCAAATCCATCACCGTATTCAATAAATCCCATTGTTCTTTTCGATTGTTTGTAATTTCCTGGAAAAGAGAAATCAGTAAAAACTTCCTGTTTCTCAATAGAATCTGGTAATAATTTTTGTTGGATAACTGCAAATTTGAGAAAAATACAAAAACATCAAGTTTTACGTATACTATTAACCTTTAGGAATCCATATAAAAATTTCTACCAGAGCTTTTCACTCCATTTTATTATCAAAATTTTGCCTATCATCTCTAGATAAAGTATCTGAAAAGTTATTGTAAAAAGCTTGAATTTGAAGGAAGTTATACATTTTTCGTGCAAAAATGCACTGAACCGAGTGTTTCTGTGAAAGTGTAGGTATTTTTAGATTTAAATATTCAAATTTTTAAAAAAGTAGATAAAAGGGCTAAAATTGAAACTAACCTTGAAACTAATCGAGTCAGAAATACCTAGAAGTCAGAATGCATTAAAACCCAATTTGACCCTACCACTCCGTTTAGCTTTAGACATTTTTTGAGGATTTTTCTATCTTTTAAGCCTAAATTCTCACCTTGAACAAATCCTGCAATGAAAAGAAACCATCCTTGTAAAATGAAAGCATTCGCGGCGACAGAATTTTCCGTTTCCCGTCTTTTTTTGCGGTTTCCGGCAAAATCGGAAGAAGGTCGGGGGAAAGAACCGAGTATTTATCGCGAAATGATGGGAATTTTGATGAGTGGTTCTGAAAATCGATTGAAAATGATGGAAAATGGAGAGGATGAATTGACAAGTGAACAGTTAGAAACTAGAAACTAGAAAAAAAGCGCAATTTTATTCTGCATCGAATGATAGTCGAAATAGTCGAAATAGAAGGGTTGGTCGCTGAGAAAAAGACGAAAAACCTTAGATTGACAAGAATCGACAGATGTTTTCGTTAAAAATCTGATTTAAAGAGATGATAAATCATTTTTCTCACCAAAAACACATTGACCAAATCGACGATTTCCGTGTAGGCAGCTGTGACCGTTTCCAAATTTGGATTCTTCGATTTCAACGGAATATTTAGACGATTGAGAACTCTGGAAAAGAAAATACATTCAAATTTCGAATTTTTTTGTATGCTTATGGAAAAATAGCTTGCTTTTAGGATTTTCGAAATTCACACTTCAAAATTATCGAGGCTAAGTCAGTTTGGCTATTTCCAGTGCTTAATTTCTCAGATTTGTAAGTGCCGATTATTTCATTAAATTAAAATTAGCTTCTTTACTTGTTCTCCAACTCTTCAGCTGACTATTTTTGCCAAGAAAAACATCTCAGTGCACAAATTTCAGTGATTCCAGTGAATCGAAAGTACTAAAGACACCGAAATCGGTTTCAAAATAAACGGCTTGAAGCCAATTTGGTTACCCCTTATTCAAATTTCTCGATTTTCCCACTCACTTTTGATTTTCTTCATTCATTGTCTTCAAATAGTCATTGCATAAATCGACTTTTCGGAAATACGATTGCAACTTTTTCAGTGATGAGATATTTTCGGGGAGTTTTGAGGGCTCTAAAATGGAAAATGATTGAAAATTTATACATTCTATGATCACTCACCAACTATATTAGTGTTTTAATTTCGGCTATGAAGAGGTAAAGTTTGAAACTCGTTTTTCGAAACTCGAAACAACATATCTTTCCCTACCCGAAATACTCCTTTTCGTTCTTTTCTCTTCGCCGACAATCTCCTCTAATTTTCTCTCAAATTTCTCGAAGCTAACAAAATCGAACATTTCGGAATCTTGAAGAAATCGATCTGAAATTATGATCCAATAACCAAAAAACGACAACTCCTGAAGCTTAAAGCTCCTGAAGTTTAAAGCTTTTCGCTTCAAAGTGATGTAGATTTTGAAAAAAATAGTTGTCAAGTGAAGAAAAGGTGTAGGTTTTAGGTTCGATAATTGTTTTTTTTCTTCTCATTTTCTCACCTTCTCGACTTTCCCTCTTTTTTCTTTTTTTCTGTACTTGTATCCGTCGCAGTCTTTTCTGTTTTTTGATCGTCTGGGTACTGTAGCGAGTAGCCGACTTTTTGGGAGACTCTGGAGGAAGCTGGAAATTTTGAAATCGTTTTAAGATTTTGCCAAGAAATTCGGCTTTTCCAAAAACTTGTTCAAAGAATTCATCTTTGACTTGAGCTTTTTAAAATTAATGGTTGAACAAATTTAGGGCAAAAATTGATGCCAGGAATTTGAGCATAGTAACGCCGAGCAAAAGCGGATGTCGGCTCAGTCGCTCACCGCTCCTTTCCCTTTACGGATTCCAAGAGGGGAAGCTCTTATACCAGAACAGTTTGCCAGATGGAGAGCCATGACGCGCACGCACAAAGAACATCGCACTAGTCGCACATTTCTCTTTTGCTTTGTAGATGGCCCCAAAAAGAAGATATTTGGCTGGAAATTTGTACTCGGGGGTTTTCGGGGATGGCGAATCGATTGGAGTTGTTTATTTTATTAAATGGAATATGGTTTTAATTGGTCTAAACTTTTAGAGGAACGCAAAAACTTCGACTATCTTGGAGAGGAGATTCTTAGCTTTCTAAATGATAATATAAATCAATTAAAAAATGCTAATCAAATACTGCATTTATCTATTCTTAGGAAATGTCCATACAGAACGCGAGCTTTTCGAACATGAACGATGAATTTTCCGACTTTTCGAACATGAACCTACGCTTTCTAAAGTACGCTCCATGAGCACATGTCTTTTACGACATGCTTTGTTTCTCATTTGAAATTAAAAATTTTAAAAAAGCCTTTAAGACCTCATTTACCGTTTAGAAACCATTTTTAAGCGTGAAAAATTTCATGTTTCACGTTTCAACTTGACCAGAAAAATTTTGAAGCTAACTAATGGAAAGGAAACCTTTTTAAAAAATTTTTTTCTAATTTTTTTTATTTTAAATAATATGCTTATTCAAATGTAAAATTTGCAAATTTCTTTTCAAAATCCACAAATCCCCTCACCTTTCCCTCATTTTTAAGTCGATCCCTCTCCGTCAACACGTGCATCACACAAGAGGCGAGGGTTTTCACTGGAAAACTCACATTTTAAACTTCTTTTGTACTTTATTTGTTTTAAACTGAGTAATTTTTGGCATTTGGTTTAGTTTTAAGATCAATTTAAGTGAATTGGGCTAACTAGAATTGCTCAGTTTCAAGCTGAACGACGATTCGGCCGTCGTTCTATCGTCAGTCACAGCCCTTTTGTATTTTCTAGGGTTGTCAAAGCCATTAAAAAATCTTACAATCCTTCTATTGTATGTAAAACTATGCATAGATTTCATGATTAATTCTTGTTTATTAATGTATTTTCTTATATAGAAAAGGGTTAAGTTAAAAAAAAAAAAAGAACAAGATCTTTTTCCCATTTCCCCTCACCATTTCTCGCGTCTTTCGCGCATTCCTCAAAGATGATCACTTCCGTTTTGCCAATCATTTTCGCCGTATTTCGACCTTTTGTCTAAAATGATGATCTAGTAAAAAGATTTGGATTTTATTGGATTTTATCGTAAATCTCGAATCCATATTTCAAATTGAATTGCTATTGAATAAGCCTTGAAAAAGTTGTTCAAAATTTAAATGCTCAAAATGAACGACTTTTAGAGGTTTATCGAATTTCCTTTAAATTTCATTTCCAAAAATTGCTTTTTAAAAATGAATAATGAACCAATCGATCTCTGATTTCTTTTATCAGAAACTCCTATTATTTATTGACAAATTGCCCTTTAAGAAATCCTCAAAAGCTCACGTTAGTTAATGTTTTTTTAAAGATTTGAAGTCGAGGAGTCAAAAGCGATGAAACTTAAAGCTTCGATTTGAGCACAAAAACCAATTTTGATGTCAAAAGACAAAAGAAAGAGAATGAGAAGTTCAGCAGATAGGCAAGTTTTCATAAAATTTCACTGAGCCATTTCCATTCTATGTCCATTGTAAAGATTTTCAAAAAAACAAGAACTCCGGTTCGGATTTGCTTCAAAGCTTCAAATTTGCCTAAAAAAGAGCTAAATGAAATGGTTAATCTTTTTATTTAAAGCAAATCAAACGTTTATCGGCTAATTTTTCATTTATAAAAAAAAATTTCAAATTTCCAGTTAAATTACCCTCGAAAGTAATATTACTTATTAATTTTTTTGCACTCACTTTGAGCAATGCCCTCACCCCGGCCACATAATACATGCGATCCATCTCGAAACGGTTTATATCGATGAACTTCTTCCCAATTTCTTTTTCGGAAATGATCGGTTCGATGAGAAGGAAAAGAAGAAGGAAAACTAAAGAAAGAAAATGTGTCAAAGGTGGGTCAATTTTAAAACAATGTTTTTTTTGATTGATTGGAATTTCGAATTGATAAATGTCATAGATAATCTGCTATGGTTCTTGCTAAAAACCTTCAAAGTATCAAGATGTACTTTGTGATCTCCGAAAGTGTCGAAACGCACACTTTCTTACGCAGTGAACTCCTTATTTTGTTGCATCAAAAAAAGGCATTTTTCGACACTTTTTCAACAAATTGATAGCTCTTCAGGTTTACTTTGTGCTCACAAAATGTCGAAACGCATCCTTTTTGACGCACTCCAAAAATTCTTCCTTTAAAACCAAGAAAAACGAAGACTTGCACCATTCTGGTACACCAGAATGGTGCAATTACACTTTTCTAGGGCACAAAGTTCATCAGAAAAATGCTAATTAATGCTATTTGATAATTTCTAATGTTAAGTTTCAGATTTGCTATTGATTTTGCAAATTCTCGACCAACCACTACATCCCAGCATCCATCCAAGCGTTCAAACATTCACGCTTTTAAAAAGAAGATTTTGCCAATGTTGACAAGATCTTCAGGGCTTCAGGGTCAAGCCTAGATTTCAGCAATATTCTTATCACTCGGATATATAACTTTCAAAAAGATAGATAAAGTAAAAGTTTTAAGTAAAATAAAAAGTAAGAGCCACGAGAGGCAAACTGTGCTCTTGTGTTCACACAGTCTGTAAGTAGATCATGTATGTAAATTTGTGTGCTGAACAAAAGTCGTCTTGAAGGCTGAGTTTCCAAATGCTCATGGATTGGCAAAGGAAATCGAAAAGAATGAGATGGTTCGATAATAGAAAGATTCCCGGAAAACACTGAACAATGTCATTGAATGGAAAAGTCATTCTTTTGGAAAATTCATTGACTGCACCAATTTTTGGATTATTCTTTCTTTTTTCTCTATTTCTCTCCTTAAAAGTTGAAACGGTCTTTTTTCTCTTTTTGCTTTCACGATTACAGGTGAATTGAACTGGTCATTTTGACAGAAAACCGGTCAATAACATAGTCAAAAAATAGACTTGTTCGGAACTAGATTTCCGCTTTCCACTGAAGTTTGAACTCAAACAAGGTGAATTTGTACAAAAAAATGGATGAGCTTCGGGGAAATGAAATGAAATTTTCGATCTTTAGTATTAGTGAAATTTGGCGAGTTTCAAATTGATCAGCGTGAATGCCATTTGCCCTCAGCAGTAATTCGGGGAGACTCATTTATGTAAATCACTAATTTTTTCAAGGAAAATCACTAAATTTACATTTGATTTACACTAATTTTACTTGTTTAATCTTAAAGTGATTAAAAGAATCTATGAAAAATTGGCAGTTTCAACTTTTCTCATATTTTGAAATTTTAATTTTAATTTTTCTCATTTTAATTTTTCAGTAAAGAGTTGGCAAAAAAAACCCAAAAGCTGCGTTAAATTTCAAATAAATCTCCGCGCATCAGTGAATTCCGAGCAAAATTTCCGTTTTCTAATTTTCTAGTTCCAAGTTTCAACTTATTCAAGTCAAAATCGTGTAATTTACGCCAGCTACAGTTCATTTGTGATTCTTTTACTTCTATTTCATTACTACAAATGAACCAAAGTGCGACCAAAGCCCCTGAGCGGATGCTCTTCTCAATCACTTGTCTTAAATAGTGTTGCACTTATAAATTAACCAGAAACGTATTCTAAATCAGTTTTTCGCGAGGAATTCGAATTTCTTACTTTTAAAATCGTATCTTTTATCTAAAATTACCAAAAATGCAGAAAATACAAGTACGGGAACACCCTGTATTCAAATGAAAACTTTTTTGGTATCAAATCCTCTTTTAAACGTGATCCATTTTTTATTTTTACTCACGAGTATTATAGATCAAAGTTTCAAAGAAAATCACTGGCATTAGCCCTGAATTTTCTTCAGAATCGAAGAACAGAATCGAAGTTGCAACTTTTTCAACTTTAAAAAGATTTTTAGAACTTTAATATTTAATTTATCAGTTTTCCATTTCAGGAGAAATATTTCAGAAAAAAGTTTTAAATGTTTTCACGAAAATTCAGCTTTAAGAAAGATGTTCTTTTGCTATTTTACACCAAGATTCAGAATTCGAAATTCATAGAAGTTGTCCTTTTCATCTTTACAGAGGCAAAGTTTCAAGTTATTCAACGCAAAATCGAATGTTTTGAGTTTAATTTCGATTGGACTAGCATTTACAACAAACTTTTATTTCAATCAACACTTTTCTTCAGATTTTCGTTTTTATTCTTTTTTCCAATGACAGAATGTGAGGCGATTGTCGGATAATCCACCCAAAAGAAACGAAAAAGACAAAAAGATGTTGAACTGTGGTGTCAAAGAGTGGTTCGATGAGCATCAAAGAAGTTCGAAAAGTTCCAGTTTGATTTGAAATTTGAAAGCTCAAGAAGTATTAGCAAGAGAATTTTTATAAAATGAAGTTTAGCTTGTTTTAAAGTAAATGTTTCATGTTTGGCACGTTAAAGAAGTAGTTTTAATCACAAATCACTTTAATCATAAAACCAATTCTGCGTGGGTTGAAAACACAAAAAACTGCATGTTAAATTTAAGATTTAAGAATTAGGCTTAGGAATTTAAGAAATTCAAGGCGTTCAAATGCTCAACTCATTAAAATCTTCATTAACTTGAGAAGAAGTAAATTTTGAAACACGGTACCTAAATGCTGGCTTGTTGTTGTTTTATTTTGGGAATTCGCAAGAGTTTTGACTACCTAAGTTGGCTTAAAGTAGGTTTAAATTTAGCATTTGATTATCGACAATTTTAAATGTTTTCATTCAATTTCGACTGACGTTTCGATTAAGAGCTCACTCGTGTAGAGGCTCGGCTTTCAATTATTCACGTGAACACGTGCAAAACGTATCCCGATTTTTTTTGAAAATGTTTCCAAGCAATTCAGCACAATTTTTATAACAGAAAATGGTCAGCTTTCATTTAATGCCATCATTTAATCTCTTGATTTCCAATCTTTCGACTTTTTCAACCGCAAGGTTCTCTATCCAATAGTTGAAACAAAGTTTTCTGTTTAATTGACGTCTTGGCAAGGTCAATATTCAAAAATTATTTCAATTATTCAAATTTTGCCCATTTTCTTTCAGTATTTTGTCTTTCTTTTTCAATGTTCAACTTCAACTTCAACTTAACCGACTCAAAAATTGCCTCTTCAAGTTTAATCTCAAAAAATGTAAGTTCAAAATTTATTAAGAACAAAACTCGAAACCCAATCACAATTTCAATTTTAAAAAATTCATTTTTTTGGGAAATCACAAAATTGATCGAAATTCCATTCTATTTTTGGGGCATTTCAACAGATCACAACTTACTTTTTACATTTTGGGAGGCACTTTTTTGGGGGATTTTTAAATCACAAGAGAAACATTAAAGTGAAAAATAGGCGAGGATAACACTTATCGAAAATATGCAAAACTTAAGAAAATCGCATTAGGAAATATTATACCTATACCCGGAAATTGTGAAAAAAGGAGGAAAAGAAGGAAAATGTGAAAAAGACGAGAAAAGTGTTAAGAATCACGTGAAGATTTCATTAAATTGAAGCGTTTTCTAAAAGTTACCGCAGTACTTTTTTTAAGCCAATTTTGCTGGTTTGATAAGCCAATTTGTATCAAACAGTGACATTTAAAGTTCCATCAAAAGATTTTAAAACTTGTGTTTCAATATTCTTCAAATAAAGCAAATAAAACCTGATTATATCAGGCAATTTTGGGTCCGGTTATTATTTTATTTATTATTTTCGGTTATTATTTTTCATTAGGCTATTATTAGAAAAGAAAGATACCGTGATCTAATCTTAAAAATTGATTAGCTTATTAGGATTGTCTAATCCAATCTTAATAAGTTAATCAATTTCTAAAAGACACCCATTTTAGGCAAACCACCGTTTCAAAGTGTTAGTTTTCATTTAATCAGCCTAATTTTCGACAAATTTGATGAGTAATCACAAGGCTCATTTAATGATACAAAATTGGGCTGATCAAATGGGAACTGGTGATGGGGATTACGGTAGTTTGTGTAAAATAGATGCCTTTTATAAAACTCTTCACCTTCAAGGAATAACTCTATTTACAATAAAATCTTTGGATTGATCTTGAATCACATAAAATCGTTACCTTTTTTCGCTTTAAAAGCTTTAAAATACGGGTTTCAACTTAAATGGAATCCAATGGAAAGCTTCAAAGCTAATGCAAGGCAAGTTGGCAAGTAAATTAGTGCACAACTGGATTTGCAACCGTTATTCAGTTGAATGTCTTTAAATTCGTTAATCGTGATTTAAAACCCAACTAAAGATAAAATTGGTGAGTTTTGGAAATGAATTATCCGAGATCTAAATCTTTGAAGCCTTTAGAAAACGCTGATCAAGATAAAACATGTCGTTAAAGTTTTAAAAGAATCAAACAGAAGCTCTGAAATAAACTTTTAAAGAAAAGGTATCTAGGAGGTGTCTAAGTGAAATAGAAAAGAGAGAAAATGAGCAAAAAGAGGCAAAAAAGCACACAACACTAAAGAGATTATATACGTTTTTTTTAAAGTTACTTGGCCTTCAAAATCTAATCGCTAATGATCAATGACAAAACAAAAAAATTGGTTACCTTTTTGAAAGCTAATAAATTTGCAAGTTTTAATTTTTGGTTCTGAAACGCGTATCCGCTTATTTGATGTTTTTTACTGAAAGCTAGGGTTCAAAAGTTTCTCTTTAAAAAGTCGAGTTCCAAGAGAAATCTCATCATTTTTCATCTATTAGGTTGATGCAAAAGTCTTTTTCATTTTTTTCGTACTTCTTTTGAAAAATAACAAAGTCATCAATTAACATATGGTTTGCTCTAAATGAAAAGTGTTTATTGTTCAATTTCCCATCTTTTTAAGTCAATTTGGGTTCACTTTCAAGCAAATTCGAGAGTGAAAACGGGTTTTTCATAAAAATCTATAAAAACCTCTATAAAGAAATTGGCTGAATCAATTTCTCTGAAAATCTGAAAAAATATCTAACTTTTTGTGCTCTATCTTTTATTTATTAACATCAAGATTGGTTTCCTTAGCTAAAGCGTCTAAAATGCATCATCGAGCCGTCGCCTTTTTTGACTACCCGACTTCAGGCTCTCAAAAAAATCTAGACATAAGACATTTTAAACTCGTTTTAATGTCATTTTGCAGAAAAATAATTGGCCTTTCGAATGCAATAAACCGTTGTTCAATTGGTGCATTTGTTACTTTTTAACGGAAGTACGAAAAAAATGAAAAAGACTTTTGCATCAACCTAATAGTTTCAGCTAGTTTCTACTTCTAAATTTGCAAACAAATCGGTGACGGATCCCCAAGATCAGAGCATTTTTTAGTAAACAGTACCCAAAGAAAACCATTTTATAAAAAAAAGCAGTGGATTAAAAAGGTAAAACCCTTTATCCTCAAAATTCCCTTTGATCTTTGCCGCCAACCTTTTGAAATTATCCGCTTTCTTCAAATATAAAATTTTTACAAAATGTTTCTAGTGCCAAAATATAAGCATATTTCCCACAATATTTTCCGAGAAAACGAAGGCAAAATTCTTTTTTAAGTACCCCTAGGTGACCTTTGATCTAGCCGCCAAATTTGGTTTTTTCAACTTTACTCAAAAACTGTCAAATCTGATTTAACACACTAAATCCCAGAAATTGATTATATATTGTCCTAAAAACTCAGAAAGAAAGCTTTGATGGAACTAGACAAACAAACAAGCATACTTTTCTTCTTATAATAAGTAAGATTTTCACGAAAAAAAGCGTTGAGTTGCGATCCTGAAAATTTGGCTTATTTTTCGAGCTCTATAGAATGAACCATTCACTTTTGAAATCGGTTCAGCGCTGAGCTCCAAACAAACAGAGATCTTTCTCTTATGTAGAGATAGCTTTTAAATTGGCAACAATGTCTCCAATCGTAGCCCCTGATTATCACAAAAATGCGGATCGATCAACCAATCCAACAATGGCAGACAGTTGAATTTCCAGCACCACGAGCATGATAATTCGATGTTCGCGAAGAAGATGTAACTAGAAAATAAATAACATTGTTTTTAAGCTTTAAAGTTTAAGTTTCACTTTGACAACTGCGAGTGAGCTTTGGAATTTTTAAAATAGGATTCTGTTTTCTTCATTGTAACGTTTTTCCTTGATTAACGAGTTCTTTTTCAACTTTTTCAGTTAAAAATCGTTTTCGAACAAAAAAGGATTTCATCAGAAAAGAAGTTTCAATGTTTCCTTGCGAATTAGCTTAAATTACGGATTACTGATTAAAAGCAAGTTTCAACTTAAAAAACTTCAACTAAAAAACGACTTTGAAATTTTAGTCACTTAACTTTTGTACTCGCCAAAAATTATGGATGCTTTTTTAAAAATTTCAACCCAGAAACTTGGCTATTGGTTGATTGATTACAATCCAGCTTTCAAATTATTGGACTTTGAGTTCCTGAACAGAATCCCTGGATTCTGGTGTTTCATCGATTTCTCAACAATTTTCCACTTACCCCAACAAGAAAAAAAGTGTCACCAAAATGATTGAGGAGACGGCGACGATTACCTGAAAAAAAAATAAACAAAAATTGATGAGTTTCAAGTTTTGAAGCCATTTTTAGTGAATATCAATGATCTAGTTGACTTTTTTGATTTATCAAAGCTTAAGTTTCACTTTTCACAGCAGCAAATGCTCTTTTCAAGTTTCAATTGTGACTGGTCTACTTTTCACTGAACAACTTTTATTTTTGATTTTTGTTCACTTTTTGATCAAAATTTCGCTTCAGTTGATCAATTATTCGAAAACTAAACCAAAAAAAACAAGGTACTAGTGCTACTCAGTCAAATGGCACTCACAATTCTTCTTCTCCTTTCTCGTCGGTGTTGTTTCGGGTCTTGCTTTTTGTCGACGAAAGACAAATACGGGAAAACGACTAAATTTTGAATAGGAATCGATTTTCGTACTTGATCAGCATCAAGTTTCAACTTTTTTAACTACTAAAAGAGTGCCTTTCTCTCAATGACTCGTCAATTTTAAACAATTTTCCCCACGGAAAATGGAAATTTTCGTGGCTTGGCTCAGAATTCGCTCGACCGTGCCTGCGAGCTTGTTGAATTGAAACTTCACTACCAAATTACTACCAAAATTTGCCGTTTTCTAGCTAATTGCTTTGATTTTTCCCTCTCAAAACACTCAATGCGTTCAACAATTCAAAAATGAATCCGAAAAGATGCGTTTCAAAAATAAATTAAATGGGTTTTTAGTTGAAAAGTAAAAATATTGACTTAAAATGGCTCAAAGTTTGAGGCGAAAACGTGCAAATTTTTTTAGGAATTCGATTTCAAGTTGAGCAATTCAAAAGTAGTCCCAAAGAATTAGTTATCTCTGGCAATTTTCGTAACAAATTACCACCAAAATTTCCCGTTCTCTAGCTGATTGCTTTGCTTTTTCAATCCCCAACTCACTCAATGAGATCAACAATCCAAAAATGAATCCGAAAAGATGCGTCCAATTGTCGATCCACGGGAAAAGACCGATGATGAAAAGGAGAATGATGACGATGAAATGCTCGAGGTACGCTTTGAACGGGAATTTGATGAGGTAGCTGAAAGATCGAATGGAAAAAATAGATTTTGAACTTCTATTTCCAAATGGAAACGTGAAATTAATTGTTTTTTAGTCATTTAAATCAAAGTCATTAAATTTTTAAAAATCATGTTTCAACTTAGTTTGTATTGGTAGGGCTTTACCCACCCTAGTGTTTCCTAGATTCATGGTACTTCTTCCCAAATAATCCATTTTCTGAAAACCTATTTTAGACAAAGTACCGTAATCTACCTCCCTCAGTCCAATTTTTGATTGCGACTTTGTGATTCCTCATTAAATGGTACAAAAATTCGGCTAATTAAACGAAACTAGCAGCTTGCTTACGGTAATTTGCCGAAAATGAGCATTTTTTAGAAAGTGAATGAACAGAGACGCTTCAAATCGTTCTGAAACCATGTGTTTGTGGAAAAAACGCAAAAAAAATGACCCAAGAAAAGCCATTTTTGACAAGCTATAGTATGTTTTCCACAAAAGAAAGGCAGCTTTTTTTACTTTGATTCAAGCGCCTAAAAGTTGAATAAAACTAATATTTTTCAAAGTGTTATAGCACATTTTGTAGAGCTTAATGCGAGCTTTCAGATGCTATATAGTACTTATATCTACGATGTCTACATCTAAATTTATAACCTTTCAAAACAGTACCACTTGTTTGGGTTTAATTTGACCGGTACTGTAAATGAGTACCAGTCAAATAAGTACGCATTCGCAATTGTGTACGTTCAAAAAGTCTCTTTCGCTAGTTTTTCTATTACTATTTCCGTATTTTTTTGGAAACAAACCTATTATAATAAGCATCGACGAGCAGAGCTGCCTGGATGCCGATTAGTGAAGCGGTTGGGCCGACTTGTGGCTGAAATAGGGATTTTTCAATACAGATATAAAAAAGGATTCAAATCGATAAAAATTGACGTAAACAGCGAAGAATTCAGTTAAAGGTAACGCCCTTTTACCTCTTCAACTTGGAACTTTGATAATTTTTGTGCTCCAATTGTTAGAAAAGTTGATTTTTTTGATTCACCCAAATTCTCTCACTTGAAATGGCACAAAAATCGATGAGGCTAGATTCCCGCCGATCCCACTTCCGAGATACAAAATTGCCATCCTTTTCCATCCCAACATGTACTCGAGATCTCTCATCAGCCACAATTGAAGGAAAACCGTCAACGAGCAATGGATGATACTGGAATTTGCAAGCTTTTCATCAAATATAGATTTGATTTTGAAAAATACAAACGGTTTTATTAAATGATTTTAGCATAAAATTTAGTTTAAAAACTAGTTGAATTGCACTTTCGATGGGTTTAAATTCGTGTTTAAAGCCTTTAATCGTCGGTGTTTCTCAGTGTTTTCTTATACGGATAGAGGAAACAAAAGATCCTTTCAATTAGTTTTTGAATGTTTCATCGATAATCGACTCTTATTTTCAAAAAAGCTGACCCCGCGTGGATGAAAAGAGAAACGAAGAGTCGCGAGATCTGATCCGGTTGATCTTTTATCACAAATGGAAGCATTCCACACACATCTTCAAGGCATTTCACCTGAATTTTCTCTTTTTTTGTAGATTTTGTCGAAAAGTATCTCAAATACAGAGTTTTCTTTTTAAAGTCAGCAATGAAAAAATTTTAGGTTTCAAACTCAACGGAGTTCAGCTTAAAATTCTAGTTTTAATGTAGGGTTTCTCGTTTTTTTAGGGTTTTTAGTTTTTAATGCCAACATTATTTACATTATTTTACATTATTTCAATTTTTTTCTAACAGAATTGATTTACTTTCCTTCAATTCCCTAAAATCACTTCTCAAATATCAAGTTTTCGATTTCGCGTTTCAAGAAAAAACAGCATAAATCTTGAAAGTGTTGTTGTTGTGTGAAATGTTTTCGCTCAAAGTTTTTGACTTCAACCAAAACATGACTTCATTTCGAATTTCATCGTAGATTTGGAATTTTTTGTTTTTCTTTTTGATCAAAACCAACTTGTGAGCACAAAGTGGCATTTTCATGGAACGTTCCCTCAACGAAATCGCAGTATTCTTTCGTCGCGATGCGGCATTGACCCTGGAAATTTGGACTGATTGGTGAGGGATCTAAAACTCCAACGAAATTTGTAGAATCCCTTTCGTGGGGCCGAAATTTGAACAAATAGTTTGATCTTTCAATGCAGTGTACTTCAAAACTCAAAAAAAATGTTAAATAGGTAAACTTGAATTTAACAATCGAGGAAATTGCTTAAATTTAAATGTTTTTTTTAAAGGCTACCGATTTGGCTACATTTGATTTCATTCGATAGTCCTGATTAATATCTATCGAATGAAGCCAAATGTAGCCGAATCGGTGAAGTGAGCAGCGAAAAAAAGGCAAGAAAACCTAGTTTGCCTCTGGCAATGGGGGCACTTGTACTTCAAAAGTATTTTTAGCTGCTAAATTTGAGACACGTACTTATTGGTACTCAATAGTTTACTAAAACTGATCGAACAAAAACATTTTCATCTCGAAAATTTAATTTTTTTTTTAATTTCTAAAGCTGTGATTATTTTATTACTGTCACTAAAGCTCTTTCAAAGGCGCAAAATTTGAAACTCACACTTTAAAACTACTGGGTAAAAATTCTTTTTGAACCAGAATCCAATCAATTATGCTTATAAATTATGAAAATTATCTAATTTTTTAATGACAAACCATTTGCATGATACAACACGGTCGTCCCGTCAGCTTGCATTTCATGTGCGGTGGATAGGCGATTCCCGTGTAGACTTCTTCGCAAATCTAGAGAGATAGCAAAAAAATCTTATAAAAAACCTCATAAAATAATCAATTTTCTACGTTATTTAGGCAATATTACAAAGTTTTAAAGCGAAAATATTTCAAAGCTAACAAACCGGCCACTCCGATAGATCGTTCGGCCAAAATGTGGGCTCGATCGACGGGGGAGTCTTGCAGAGGCTGAAAATTAGACAGTTTTTTTTGATGAAAACTCTGTAAGATACTGTAATGGTTTTTATGTTTTATAAGAAAAATTGTATTCAAAAGCTTGATTTGAAACGTTCGTTTCCAATTTACTCTGCAAAATCTCCCAATTAAAATAGTCTGCGCTTCAACTTTTTTAAGGTTTCAGACTATTCCCAATCATTAATGCATCGTTGTCTTGAAGAAAAAGAAATGTAAACGATTTGTGACCATTTTATCTTTATGAAGAAGGATTTACTATAAAAAATGCTGCCAGGCTACAATATGCCGGAATAAGAAGGATTGAACGAATCGTGGAAAAAATCTGCTCATCAATTGGAAATGTTAAGTTTCAATTGAGGTCAACTTTTGAAAGTTTTTGACCTTATAATCATAATCATTGCACAAATCGTTCCTTTCCACATTCCATAGTCATTTCAAAGGTTAAAAGATTGTAACTAAGTGGTTTTTGAAAAATGCGTTTTGCTGCTGACAAATCTTCACCTAATCTTCTAAATCTTTGTGAAAAAAACACTGTTTCAACTTTGATGAAATTGAGCGTTTGTTTTCCAACGTAGTCAATGGGTCCAATGTCTCAATTTAAACCGCAAATAAACCTCAATATTTTTAGTTTCTAGTTTGATTTTTTCGTTTTTATAATTTAGACGAATATTTGAATCTACTTTGGTAGAACAGAATCTACGCATCAATTGGAAATGTTACCGTTTCAACTTAAGCAATTCGTTTACAAGTTTCGAATCTTCATTTGTTTTATCAATAAAGATTTTGACTAGTGTAAATGCTGCCATTTTTGAAAAAAAAACTAGTCTACTTTCCTACCGTTGTCACATTTTAACGTGACATAGTCCGAAAAATTCACTGTTTCAACTTCAACCCGTTAGGCCTCTATTTTCCAATGTCAATTGACCGAGCAAGATCAAATTCCGATTCTCAAAAGAAACCAAAGTATTTTCCAATGTTTTCAATTTCACAGATCATCTCAATTTCTTTGTTACAATTTTCCCGCTTACATCGGATCTTGTCCACAGACGGGTCCCACCGAGAATCGTCCATTGCCCGAGTGAATCGCCTCCATGAAAGGATCCGTTTCCTAAAATTTTCAATTCTGATTTTGAAGTTGAATTGTTTTTCAAAAACCGCATCATTTTCCAGCAATCCAGCCGTTGGCGGTCGTTTTCTTTTCAGCGAAAGATTGTTTTTGTTGTTGATGGTGTTGAGGAATTTCCGGGCCCACGAATGGAATGTGGCTCCGATACTCTTAAATATTGTTTTGGTTTAGGATTCAGGATCAGTTTTATTCAAGATTCCGGTTTTAGTTCGATTAAAGCGTTTATAAAATAAAAGTTTCAATTTGGAGGGGATTTAAAGAAAAAAGAATTTCAGCGGCATCTGCGTAACACTTTGAAATTAAAAGTTAAGTAAAAGTTAAAAGTTAAAAGTAAAAACATTGGACCTTAGTCGATATTTTAATTGCATCACTCATTTCTAATGTTTTTTAACTTTCAAAAGGTATTACTTTCATAGTATTTTACTATGAAACACCAGGAAATAAAATCCCAAATGAGTGCCATTGTTTTGTTTTGTTTTGGACAAGCGAGTGCTATGTTTTGACTATTACAGTTTATAGCAAAATTTGAGAGAAAGAAGCTCGTTATTCTAGTAGTAAAAAGGTTTCAAATGCAAATTTCGTCTTTTTACTACAAAAAGAACTGATTTCCATAAGTTGAGAAAATAAAAATTTCAACTTGAACGGGATTCAAGTACACGCACGAGTTTCAATATTTCCTCGGCTCCGTGGGGAAACTTTAAAGTCCAACTTTAACCTCATATTACCAAAAGGGCATTCTGTATCTTTTCTCCAAAAAATAAATACTAATTTGCATCATCCGTAGTTTCACCGCCTTTGGCACAATAGAAATCTACTAATGGTGAGATTTCACAGCTTTTTTTTCTATTGCTAATCTAAATGTGTCTAGCTATTTATCTAATTACAGTAGATTATTATAAAGCCAGTACTTGTATATTTGTTGGGTTAATAGCGGGGAGAAGATGCGAATGCTTCAAATTAGCATTTATCTTTTGGACCGGCGGGGGAAAGATACGGAAGTGCCACCTTATTATTTAAACTATTTAAAAACTAAAAGATCCGTAGGCATTTAAAAAAAGAGTTTCAATTTTGAGGGAATCCAAGTGTGCGTTAAAGCATCAATATCTTTGACTGGTTCAAAATTGTGAGGTTAAAGACCCATATTTGCTTATTTTTATCAAATCTCACCGGGCAATTCTCCCTCAGCGTTTGAAAGCAATCGTGTCCATCATCGTAGATACAGCAACCCGTTTGGTTCTCGATTCTGAAAAATAGATGTTTCATAGTATTCGATTTTTTTGGTTACTAGATCATTCCAATACCAGAATTCACATTACAAATCCAAAAAAACCACGAACCAATGACTCCATTTTTTTTCAATCCCAATAAACATTTCATGCAAAATAGAGCCAGAAAAAAAAGAAGAAAATAAGGAAATAAATAAACAACCAAAAAATTTAGTGTTACCGAGTTGAGAGTTGAGCGGTTGGGAAGAACTAGAGAATGGATTGGGTTAATCAAAAGGTTTGAAAAGGAAAAGGATGAGTGATAGACTTTTGGGTTTTGACGACTGTGAGCTGGATATCGAAACAGAGTCGATGACTTTAATTGATTAGTTTGAGAAAAGAGTTTTGGAAAAGTTGAGTTTCATTGGCGGCAGCGTATGGAGAACAGAAATTTGATTAATTAATAGTTTACTCGTTTCTTTCCCCTCTAATCCATTTCCTGAGCCGTGTGCCTTTTCTACCGTGATCTTATCTCAAATTTTTAGCAAATCGATCGACTTTGTATCTTTCGATACTTTTGTCACGAAAGTAGATTGATTGAAAAAATCGAGGCAAGATTACGGTAGAAAGGGGCACGCTTTAGGAAAAGGATTAAAGGAGAAATCAGCTAGCTTTTCCACTTTTGCTTGTACTTTTCCAGCGATTGGCAAGAATTTTACAGTATTCTAATTCTAACTATCGAAATTCTAGCTACAAATATGCTATTTTTTATTTTCTAATTTTCTTTTTTCAACCTTTACTTGTTCTAAAAAGAATTGCCGACAAAACTCTATTAAATAACAAGAAGCAACCCAACTTTTGAAAGCTTTCTTTTCATTTCACTCACCGATGATCCTCTTCAATCAATCTCCGAATACTCGGCTCACTTCTCATACACGGCGAATACTTAGCACCCAAGCGTATCAGATTCGCATGACTCGGGCCTAACCAGAAATTCGCCGGCTCGTAGAGGGAAACCATTTTGTAGGTGATTGACGTATGCAAAACTTCGCCTTTTCTGAAAAGTGAGAAAATTAAATTTGTGTGAATCTTTCTAGTGATACTGTGAAACAATAATCGTGAGCTTTCTCTTTAACACATTCGTGACGATAATTGTATGCCGTATTTTCTCTAATAGTAGTGCACGCAGAGCGTCGCCTAAATTGCTCGTAATCTCGCAAACCACTTATCAGAACTTATCGATGTGCGGTCGGAAAATGTAGCTGACGATGAGATCTTGTGGGGGATTAGAGTGTTGAGCTTCTGTGAAAACTTTGAAAGTCGTAAAATAGTCACCAACTCGGCTCGCTGGGGTGCACTACTATTAGAGAAAATACGGGAATCGAAATCGATGAAACATTAGAATTTGGGAACTCTATTTTGAGCGAAATAATTAGAAACCTGGATTTCGATGAGGATCAAAAGTTTAACTTTAAAACTGAACATTTAAAACATTCAAAAGCATTCAAAACCTTTTCCATTTTTGTTTGCAAATCAGTCGGAAAAAGCTTAAACTGTCTTTTGTTGTAGTAGGTGAAAAACCATTGAGATGGAGCGCCCATTAAAATTCGCCCATCTTATTACTAATTGAATAAGTTGAAACCTGGATTTTTATCAATAACTATTAGTCAATATTTAGTTTCTGAGTGGAAATTTAACATTTAACATTTCGCACCGATACGACCCACCGGTGAGGCGTACTTTAATTTAGCACTTTTTTTGAGGCCGATTGGGCTAAAAATTAGCACGAAGGGCCTTGGGGAAATTTGAATTCGAAGGAGTTCGAATCTGCTATTAGTTTTTAAAGAAAGCTGCACTATTTTTGGATATTTCATCCGATTTAATAATACAAGTGCTCTTTTTTTGCTCTTTTTTTTCCAATTTTGTTTAATTACCTAAGTTTTTAGAGTTTTGTAATGATCTTATTGGCTTAAAGCCGACCTTTTCAAAAGTTTTTTTACCGTTGGACGTGGGATTTTATAAGCTCTATCTAATGATGGGAAAAACATTTTTAAAAAGTCGATTTTCATGGGCTTAAGACAATGACTGTACACCTATCGACAAACGGATCGAAAATGTACATGTGTCTGACTCCAAATAGGTATGTTAAGTGCTTTTTCACTCTCACCTTTCAACACGACTCATCCCGAATGGCCCAAATCCGTAAAAAATGATCGACAAAATGAGGATGATCACTTGAACGGTTGTGATCCAATAAGTGAAGAATGGACTGAAAAAATGAAAAAATTTCGGCTTTAAAAATAGAAACTAGTATGTCAGTGAGCTAGAGCAAAAAGAATATGACTAAAATCATTTGTTAGTTTCAATTTGAAAGCTTCAAACCGTTCATCTTTCGCGTTCGCGATTTGTTGTTTCACAAGGGGAGACAATTCACTGCTCCTTTTCATTCGTCGCAAGCAGAATCTCCCGAAAACGCCTGAATTTGGTTTATTTTTAAGGAGACTTCTCTTATTCAAGGGGTATTCTGGAATTCTTCCTTTCAAACCTTCTCCCCTCCGTCGTATCGCTCGAATTTTGTACTGCTTTTTGTCGATGACTTGTCGTTTAACTTTGTTGAGGATTTCATCGGAGATTTTCTGCGGTTCCGGTCGATCGGGCTGTACTTTGTCCTCCAATTTCTAATGTTAAAATGTGAAAGTAACTATTAAAAGCTACAAGAATTGTTTGAAAGAATTCATCTAAAACTGGCAACTTTTCTGATTAAAATCAAGTGAGAAAATAGTAGTTGTTGAATTGAAAAGTGATAAAATCTTCATGTTACAAATTTAAGAGCTTGGCTTTTTTGCTCTTCACTTTTTAAAATCATAATGTTTTTGCTATTAAATATAATTTTTTTAAATTTACAATATAATACTAAAAATTCTGAACTTCTTTCATATTGCTTTGTAAACACTCTCAAATCCTCACCGCTCGATAGAAATCATCAATCTCAGGTTTCCCAAGGATCGTTTTCCCGACTTCCGCAAGATCGGAGTCACCAAGAGCTGAATATCTTGGTATATTTGGAAATTTGGATTATTTTTAAGATTTAATATATTTTTACAAAAAAAAAGTCGTGCAAATGAACACACCCACATGAAAGCTGTTAGAAAGAAAAAGCAAAAGAAAAACAAGGCTGAAATGACTTTGAGAAAATGGTTTGTTTCAAAGTAATCCCCTCGAGAGTCTGCTTTTTTTTAAGTTTAATAAATAATACTTTAAAGTTTACTGTAACAAATTTCTAAATACAATGCAACAAAATGTTCACATTAGCTTACACCTAGCTATAATTTCCCAAATGTTTGTCACTGTTCTTTCTTTCAAGCAAAAATCTCCTCTAATATAGCCTTAACGCATTGAAAAGCAACAAAAATGACTCAAAGAGAAATATCTTGTTTCAAAGTAATCCCTTTGAGTCTTTGTTTTAATTTTAATAAAGAAGTTTCCTTCAATTATTTGGTACTTATATCTATCTATTAGTTATTCCATCATAGACTCTTTTAACATGAAATAACTTCGAGAAAAAAACCCTCGTTTCAAAGTAATCCCCATCAGAGCCTGTTCTGTAACTTTAACACCTCCTCCAAGTCGCCTCTCATTTTATCACTAAAGTTTAGTCGTGGAATTTATTCTCCGAATCCCTCATTTCCCAAAATTTCCCCCACTCACCAAGTCTTTCATGAAATGGCACTCGTGCGACAGCCAAAAAGCGCAATCGCTTCGGTCGTCTCTTTGTCGTTTCCCTTGGCTCTACCTCTTCTTTTTCTTCTTTTCTTTCATCCAATAATGGTTCTTCTTCTTCTAATGTTGACATAGTTTCTATAGAAAAGACATAAAATTGAACAAGGGATAGTGAACTTTTTGAAGATACTGTAAAGTTAGAAAGCTCTAAAAGACAACTACTTTAGAAAACGGGTGGAGTATGGTAGTTTTCTGAAATAGGTGCTTTTATAAAACGCTTTTGCCGAAAGGACCACAAATTCAATTTCGAGATAATCGCAAAACTTTACAGTACCTTCAAGCCACAAAGAGGTTAGCAAAAAGTGCAATGCGAGTCGCATTTGAGAAGAGACAATGGACAGTGGAAGGAAAATTTTCGATAAAATCTACCTTGAGTCACCGATTTTCCTGAAGCAATTGTCGATTTTCTAAAGCTCAATCGTTTTTTGATTCGATTTCTTTCAAACCTCTCAAAAGATTCGGTCGATTTTTCCTCAGGGACTTGATCGAGGCGACGAGGGCCAGCAACTGGAAAAAGTCGAAATGGAATAGCATTTTAAGAATCGATACAAAAAAAGGTATTTTTCAAATATTTTGAATTTCATTAACTTTTTTAAAAGTCAGTTTTTTTATGTTTCACAGTTTCAATCATTTTTCACTCACCTGGAGTTTTTAGTTGCAATTGACTGAAGAAAAGCTCATCATCCAGCGAGCAAACCGATTTATACGATTTGATCGATCCAGGCGTGGCTGCCTGAATGCTTTTATGTCATCAAGATCATCGAAAGGATTACCATTTTAAAATTTTCATTACTTTTTGATTTATTTACCATTTTCTCATTCAAAAAAGCCACAACTCTTCTACAAGACAGCTTTTGAAACTAGAATTTTTATTCACTAAAAAAGAAATAGTACGTCAAATAATCTAAATAACTAAATTTTTAAGACATTCAGGTATTTTAGACCTTTCGTCTAAATAATTTGGAAATTCTTATTTAATTACCAATTTTTGCGATGCCGCATAATCAGAGCCTTGTATCCTTTTCGGGGGACGAGATGGGAATGAGAAAGTTTTCTGAAATTGGTTTGGGTAAATTAAGTATACTTGAAATTCAGCTTTTTATTAAAATTAATTATCTAGAGTGGATTTTTGCTCACCCTTGCAGACGGTTCCAAGGGAACACATTGAGATCCATCGAATAAACCGCCACTTTGGAGATGGGGAGCGCTCTGGAAAGATGTAACTTACTTTGATAACTGATACAGTACTTATAGAGAAACAATTTATGTAAAATCTGATTGATAGTTGTCTAATCCTTTTCATTTATATGTTACGTCCGATTAAGAATTCCGAAAGATTCAATATTGCACCAAGTGAGCTTAAAATTTTGAGAAAAGCACTCTTTGAACATAATAAACATAATATAATAAACGTAAAAACGTGATATGTTGCATGCATTATCTTTTGAGAGCCCGTTTTTTTGACACAGTTGATTCGATAAATCCTTATCGGATGTAACATATAGACCGATATTTCCGACTAACCATTGGTAACTGTTGTGGTCGCTCGATTGTCTCAGATGGTGTTGGGAGGATTTCGATTTGCAGCCGGGATTTTCTATCGACAAACTAAAGCGATTTGGGTATTTCTGATTTATATTTGACTTCTGAGGCTTGACTTAACAAGTACTGAGATCTTTAGGAGATATAAAACATTTGGCAAAGTCTCGCATAAAATACTAATTTGCAATTACCTCGACATTCTCCGAATCAAAACTTTGTCCGGCTGTAAACCGAACCCGATCAAACGAGCCAGCCGGAGGGGTGATCGAGGGAAGATGTTGAGTGCTGGCTCCTAAAAAGTGAATGGGTTGGGTACGGTAGATCAAAACAATTATCCACAATCAACCCACTCGTCGATCGATCCGCATCATGGACAACTTCTCTCGTGATCGTTGAATCGATTTGTTCCGGGTTGAAACTCGATCGATATCTGCCTTGACGACCTTGTAGTAACGAGGAAAGGGAACCTCTGAAAAATTGTCGGGACTGCCTTTGGAGAACTTTGAACGCAACGTTTACAAATTAGAGTTATGACCTTTCTTTCAAAATACATTACTCCGAAACTCACTGTCGATAGAAAGATCTTAACGAGTGCATGACAATCGACATTGCCGAATCCCTTCTCGGTCCCATTTGGTGTTTCCCGATTTTTCTCGTTGTCGCCATCGCGTTCCGCATCGTCGCCTCATCGAGGTCCATTGTACTCTAAAAGAAACCAGTAGAATGCATCAATTAACTAGTTCTCCAAGCGCTGTACCTGGACTGTTACTAGAATTTCATTTTTCACCTGATTATACGATCCCTCGAAATACTCCGGTGTGTTCACCACTGACGGTTCTCCTCCCCTCGTGCACTCTTTGTTCGCCTCTTCGGCTTTGATCCCGTATTTCCGGTATAAGCGCTGGAGTTGTTACTTTTAATTTACAAATAAGAAATTTCGGGCTCAAAATCAAAAAAAATGAGCCTTTAAAATGATAACAAGCTCCTTTCTAGGGCTAGCAAGTGTATTTTTAAGCTATAAGCTGCTTACCTTCAATCGTTTGCTTCTCCAAAATTCCTCATCTTCTTGTGCTTGATCAGTTTTCTTTGATTCATCTGCAGTGGGTCTTTCCGATGTTTCCGGAGCTGTTGGTGGAATTCCGAAAAAGCGTGCACTCGACTCAATGCAATCTCGAATACTGAACAAAACTTTGATCTTTTTTGTTTTTCAAACCTCTGTGATCTCAAAAATGGCGGTTTATGCGATGGACCTGGTTGGGGGTTTTTGGCGAGTTGTTGACTTCCGTTTGCTCCGCCCTGCAAACAAAGGTTTTAAAAGGCTTGGTAAAGTTTTTTAAATTGTATACTGGTGTCCTTATCCATGTCATTTTTCTACCTTTTGTGCGTGCGCGACTTTCTGCAGCCATTGGTTTTTCTCCCGTTCCTCTTCTTCGTTTTTTTCTTCCTGAAAGTTTTGATTTGAGAAAACTAACTCACGTTCTTTATTGAGTTCTATTTCGTTAGTAACTTTTTGGAATTGGAAAAGGAAAAACATTTAATTTTAGAAATACCTAGGTAGCAATGATGGTACAAATCTTTTTCATTTCCCACCTCATCATCATTCTCATTCGGCACATTCCCCTGCCGATGCAGATGTTTTCGTGAAGACATCCAAAAAGATTCTAGTTTTTTAGCTAACAACCACATTTCTTTCAAGTAATGGTGTTCATAACACTATCAACGACAAATATAAAACCGATAATCATTTATTACAGCACAATCAACAAAAACTTGTAACAACGAGATCAAAAAAATAAATTACTCATCATCCCATTTTGTCTTCTTCGTGTCGGGATCATCCAAAAGATCATCTTGAAATGTTGACGGTTCGGGTTCGGCCAAATTCGCGAACATCTGTGCTTCCATTTCTTCCAACGATAACGATGCAAAATCTAAAGAGAAATTTGAACAACCAGGTTGTAAAGAAAAGTACCAAACAACTTACTTTCATCTTTTTTTATTTGTTGCTCATTACTCTTTTTATTTCGATCATTCTGCGTCGAAGATCCGGTTTGTGGTTTTTGTATCCATTCACAGCTGAGTTCACTTCCACCAGCACCTGAAATAATATTAAATGTTTGAAAGTAATTATAGATTATAAATCCACACCAATTTTCTCCCAAATCCAACCTGTCTCCGTTTCTGCTCCCCAAGGATTTCCACCGTTGCTGTATACGATCAAGGCCGTTCTTTTGTTCTTTTTTCCTTTCATCAGAATCACTTCGTCAATCGTTCCGTACTAAACAAAAAGATTACGAAATGTTTCGTGGAAATCAACTTACCGGGTCAAAAAGAATTCTCATGGCCGTTTCATCGTAATCCTCCGCTTCATTTGCAATTTTCCAGGACACTTTGAGTTTAGGAGCAGAATCTAAAAAGAATTTGTTTACTCGAGTTAAATGCTAACACGCTTACCATTTTCTTCGTGATGTACTTGTGCGTGACTTAATCGTTCCTTTTGTGCGCGAATTTCCTCCTCGACTTCAGCTTCCCATTTCTTGCGCAAAGCCTCTGTTTCAGCTCGAGCCTGTTGTTCCTGAAAAAAGATGGCTCTTCTAATAGTAAGAGAACAATTGGTAAGTAATCTTTCTCAAATCGATAAACCCAATTATCATTCAAGTAATAATTCAAATAACTCACATGAACTTTTCGCATTTTTGCTTTATATTTCTCATCGCTTTCTTTGGCGGTAGTCGATGGTGCATAATGGGTTCCTCGCTCGACAAACTCTTTCTCTCGTCGTATCAAATCATCGTACATTCTAAATGTAAATATTACGAAAGTCATAACTAATGTTTTGCTCTCAAGTCCTAAACAACTTACTGTTTTCTTTTTGCATCTCCATGCTCTCGTCGTTCTTGTTGTCTCTTTTCAGAAGTGGCTTTTCGTTGAGCGGCGTTATCGAATTCGGTCCTTTTCTCCTTATCCAAAAGTAGATCGACGGCTTTCTTTGCTTCGATGAACTTCTGATTGGCTAAACATTGAATAATTAACACAGCTGACACAAGCCAATAACTTATACCATTTACTCACTCTCAATCAAAAATAAACCTCCTTGTAGCGTGAAGGACCAAATGTTAAAGGAAAAATGCAAAAATAAAGCGTAAGTCAGGTCTTTTAACTGGTAAAAGGTTTTCAAACTATGCTAAATAACAAACCTAGTTCGACGTTGTCCGGATTTTTATCTGGATGCCATCGTAGACAGAGCACTTTGTAAGCCTTCTGGATGTCCTTCTCGTTGCAGTCTCTCTGCAGGTTTAACACCAAGTACGGGTTAAACGTCATTGTCCTAAAATCAAAATACTGCGTATATGACACTTTCAAGTTTAAAGCAGCAACTTAATATGCAACATTTCCCGGCAACCACTCAATGCTACAATCAAAACACTTTTGGCATAGATCCCATGCAACCGACTTCAAGAACAATGTTGGCTTTTAAACCACAAAGCGAAACAAATTGACTCGCAAATAAAAATATTTATTAGCACATAATAACAAATTAACAAAGACAACAAAGTTATATATCATTATTCTTCCATTACAGCTTTCGAGGCACCATTTTCGCAGGTTCCCTAAAATGAGTTGTTTGAAAGAATAAAAACAAGTTACGTACTTTTAATATATTTTCGATATTATCCGTTAACAATTCGTGCTCCCTCAAGAATTGCAAGAGATCTGGAATGCAACTGCCCGCGTTGTTTTCAGCTTGAATTTCGCTCCATTGAAGGATCAACTCTTGCACACAGAAATCGGGCTAAATTAGAACATACTTTAGTCTGTTTTTAATTCATTACATTCTTTTTGTTGTCCATCAATTTCGTCTGCATCTCATTTGTCAAATCGAGTGCCGTCGCAAGTTCTGTCCACTTTGATGACAATTCATCGCACAATTTCTTGAGTTGTTGCTCATCGAGGAAAGGCGCAGATTCTTGATCACTAAAAAGCATTCAATAAAAGTCTAATCAGCACAAAAGCTACTCTTTTGGCTCTTGCTTTAAGCGACTTTTCATCGATTGCAGCAACCTGTCCCTCTGAATACGCTCACGATTCTCCAATTGCTCATGTAGCTCCTAAAATGCAGAATGATCTCTGAAGAGTATATTTTTGAATTACTGGTATTTCATGAGCCGTCTTCACGATGACATTGTCGAGGAACTTCGGAATCGAGTCGTAGTGCTTCTAAAAACATTTGATTACATGTAACTACTCAAATTCACAACCTGTGTAATACTTGACGATAAATATTCCTTGGCTTGAGATGATAATAGACGAGAGCATCTCCACTGAAAACCCGAATCGTAAATGGACCTGAAATATGACAAAATTAAATTATGCAGTGCAGCTCGTCGTACAGAATATATAATCTAAATATAGAATACAAAGCATACCTTTCCAGTTCAAAGATTCTATATCCAAACCCACTTGTATTGTTCCTCGACTTGCTGGTCAGGGTCCCCTTCGTCCAACGGATCTTGCAAAAAGTTTTTCAACAATGGCGTAAAATCACTGAAAGCTTTGTGATAAAATCGGTTAACATACAAAAATACCGTTGTGGTTGTTGACAAAATTCGAGCAACGACACATCATTTCCCTTCCATAGTTTGTTTAAATCCGCATTGCCGAGATCAAGCGTATCGCTTATTGGTGGCGGCGGTCGCCTGCAAAATCTCTGGTTTAATTTAGAATCAAAACTCTACTTTGCAAATTTTCTCATTGGTGCCAGAATCCGGCGACTCGAGTAATCCTGACATCCATTGTTTTTCCACTTCGACCATTCTTCTTCTCGTTGCAAGATTTTCTGAATAAGTAATCTTGATTAATCTTAACAGGAATATGTAAACCTTCAACGAATCGGAGAAATGTTGTCCATTGGGGTACGTTTCACGCAGCAACCGGTAGCATTTCTCTTGCATTTCCGTCACAAAACGTTGCTGATCTTCTGTCAATATAGCTTCTTTCTTACTAAAGTCTTTTTTAGTTAAAAGCACTAAAAATAAATATTTACGATGCTTTGAATTTAACATCGGCAAGTAAATACTGAAGAATGATGAGTGTTTGGACCAAAAATGAGCGTCTGAATTGAGAATCGGCTATTTGTAGAGCAAACAACTAAATAAAGATAATTAAAAGTAAAAAACAATAATCTCACCTTCGTACTCGTTAAATATTTGGCAAAATAGAGATCCGGTTCATCAAACCAGCCTTGCTCCTTCCTTCTCTAAAAACAATGAGTATAACCACTGGGTTAGCTTTAAAAAGTCCCCACTTACCTTCCGATGTTTGCTTCCCTTTTCTAATTTGTGTGAAGCAAAGTAAATGAGAACTTCATGTAGACACTAAAATACAACTAAAGTTTTGACACAAAATTGATTTAAACTTGTCGAAAGTTGCCCCATTCCAGTTTCTCGAAGCATTTGTGTGGGTTACAAAAGAAACTTTGCATTTTCCAAAAGTTTGTGTAAAAAGCTGGATCCACTGATTCACGAGTGCTAAAGCATGCGATAGATTTTAACAAATTATAATATTTACCTCTCTTTCTCATCACTTTTGCTTCCAGATTGGGCATCGGCGAGGAGATTCTCGAAGAATGTTTCATTCGTCGTGTTGAACTGACCGGTGATGTTTAGGCCGGACTTCTCCGAAAGAGCGAGAAATCTAAAAAAAACTTTAGTTTATCTTAAAGAATCTTTCATTTAAAAATATTACCTGCTCAAAAAGAACAAAATTCTTCCGCAAAACGTTGCATTTGTCGCTCTTGATAGTCGCTTCAGTAGATCATTACAGGTTCGAAGCATTGGCACTGTATCCAACTAAAATTAAAACTATTAAAACTTTTTTTGTTAAAACAAACCTTTTTAAGAGCCTCCTGATTTTCCTCCACAATCGCAAAATACTTTTCGCAGTTCGCAACATTCGAGAAGTCGAATGCATCGGCCATACATTGAAGCGGAGTCGGACGCGTGCAGAAACCTAGAAAAGACAAATCAATCACAAACGATAATGTTTGTCACACAAGCCTTACATTTTGTGTCACTTTTAAAGGGTTAAATAGATACTTACAATAATCAAACAGATAAAGCTGACCTTTGTTCAATGTTTGAAAAGCAAAAGCGATCAACGTCCTCAATTCGTCCACCGATCCGCTTTTGACAATGTCAACGACTCGCTTTCTCAATGCTGCGTCGACCTCGTTTTGTAAAAACTCATTTACCCCACTAAAAGAAATCAAGATTAGATCTGAAAACATTTTGATATTTAAAAACTGTTGTTACGCTCAAATTCACTCACTTCAGTTCTTTTCGCTCGTTAAAGTGCTTCTCAAGGTCATCGATGTTACTTGTGACGACAAATCTCTGGATATCCACATGGCTCATCATTTACCTGAAATAAAAAATAAGTAACACAGTAAGAAATAAGTTAAAGCTCAGAAGTAGATCAAATTTAAAACACAAAACAAAGACATAAAACCGTAAATTTACCATTAACTCGTGATTTTCGATGCAGAACCTTACGAAAGCTCTTATCTTTAAAAAAAGTTGCGGAATGCTGCATTAGCAATTAGTCATATCAGGGTTTTAGCTTCACAAAAAGACCAAGAAACAAACAAATTTCAAAATCTCTCCACGTGGATTTTGAAAAACGCAATTTATGGAAAAGTTTGAAGCAACGAAGTACGCTTTTTATAGGCTGTTCACAAATATTTAGATATTGAATCGTTTAGCTGAATATTCGTAAAGCACTTTGTTTTTAAATATATTGCCTACTGTTGGATTTTGGGTATAAAAGTTGTTTTGCGAGCAAGTCGCAACAACAAGATTTTATGCGGTTTCTATAACCAAAACATGCATTAAAACCTTACTTTAAGGTTAAGTTAGCTAAAAAATGTCGGAAAGATGAAAGATAGCTGGTAAAATAGCACTAAAACAATAAAATTTCGGAATCAGAGTGTTTGTTGATTCTGCTAGAGAACTTGCAAACTTCATCGCAGAAAACGCGACTTTACACGTTCTCTTCGTTCTTTTCCTCTCTTTTTGCTCGTCTTTTCCCGACGTTTTCTTTTTCGAAAGTCTACTCGCGGGTACAATTGACGAATTATCAACTTGAATGCTCTCTTTCTTTGAGAAAATTTTTATGACCGTTTGTTTACTTGCAGATTTCTTCAAGCGATTTGTCTGAAGATGTTGGTCTTCGTCTTTGTCATCGAAGTGATTGCGGCGGCCATCTTCTTGGGATCCCTCTACGTGTGGTATCTCATCCGACATGCGAAATCACCGAAAAACTTCAAACGCAAGAAGGTCAGTTTAGTTTTATGTATTTGCTAAATGTCGAAAGTTTTGTCAGCAATTCTTGAAATTGTCTTTTCTAAACTATGACAAAATGCTTGAACAACGTTTGGTATGTTGGAACTCTTAACACGATTGCTCTGAGTTACGATAATGTACCAATTTCACCATTTCAGCACCCTCATCACTAAGTGTTAAGAAAATTATACCTACATGTTCATTTTATTTTGAATAATAGGAGATATTTTTTATAGATTAACTTTTACTAACGAGTTCAATGTTTTTATTTACAGGTTCGAACACTGGTAGTAATGGGTTCGGGAGGGCACACAACAGAGATGACAGAAGTGCTGAAAACGTTACCTTCACAATTCGAATGCGTCTTTGTTCTCGCCGACACGGATAGAATCAGTCAAGGAAAGGTCAGTGAACGACGGCCGGCGGTGTGTTTTTGTTGATTCCCAAGGGAACTCGAAGTTTGAAGGCTGGCTTTATGTTGCGTTCAACTGTTTAAAGTGCATTTTATCTTTAAAGCAATCTTTATTTGACATAAAGCATAATTTTGTTTTAGGTCGAAGAAATCGTTCGTGAGAGAGCCGATCAAGCATTATCCATCGAAAGAATTCCAAGGAGTCGGGAAGTTGGGCAAAGTTATTTCACCTCAATTCTGACCACACTTGTCGCAACAATGCATGCACTTCGTATAGTATGGAATACAAGGTGAGTTCTTAAACAAACCTAGGGATCAATTATGCCATCAAGCTAAACATTTTAAGTCTAAAAACGGTCGATTAAAAGGTATTAGTAAGGCATTATTAGTGGTTTTTGATAATTTTACGAAAGTGTCGTTGCTAACTTAATTACAAGTTTTCTTTAGACCAGATCTTGTGCTGACGAACGGACCGGGTACGTGCATTCCGATTTGCGTGGCAGCATTTTTCTTCGATCTTTTCCGTCTTCGCGACACTCCAAATCATTTTCATCGAATCAATTTGCCGGGTGAAATCCTTATCGCTTTCGGGTGCAATTCTCTACTTTTCTGGCATCGCCGATGATGTAATCGTTCACTGGCCGGACCTCAAGCTAAAATATCAACGGGTACTTGTGCTTTCTGATATTTCCTTTGATTCACTTTAAAGTTAATACTTGCTTTACTTATTTCTGGATGTGCTTTTAATATTTATTTTGCTTTATCTGTGTGATTGTGCTTTAATGTACCTATCCTATTTATTATCGGGTGATTTCTTACTTATCATGTGCACATAGTCTTGCCAAATAAATTATATATAAGTTTTATTGAAAGAATCAAAGCTTTTAATGCTCGGAATTTGATATTTATGCGATTTTGACTGTTCAGAGATGAAGTTAAAATTTGCAGATCACTTTTGGGTCTTGATGACCAAAAGTAGTCTGAAGTTCTGGAAAGTAGGACTCCCTTTTTTCACGCTTTTGATTGGTAGCGCGTACGGGCTACACTTTTTTCAGGTTAGTGTTATTTAAACGTTAATCCGGGAAAATCAACGCATTTAATTACGGTTATTTTATTTTAGGAAGTTCGCTACGACTTTCGCCGTGTGAAGAAAGAGGACACAAATCTTGAGCAAATTGTAGGCTTTTGAAACATTGCTTTGAAAATGTTAATCGTTGAACAAACTTTAATTATGTGTTCAGAAAACGGATTTGAGCAAGAGCGGCATCAAAGTGAAAGACAAAGTCACTGTCGAGGATATCTACAAGGTCATTGATCGAGTATTTTCACGAAGCCCAATTTTTTTCTAGGAGATAGCAGTCGAGGATACAGAGAATTGGACCAATATTCGTGGACCGCACGAAAACGAGGATAACTCCGAGTACTTTAAAATCCAGTACGTCTTGAGTGGGTCTGTGAGTAGCATTTATACTTTAGAAAAGAACAACGAGAGCAACGTGACCGTGCTCGTAAAGAAAAGAAGACGTTGTTGAATAGCGTCTGAGAGTCCGAATGGCTGAGAGGATTCCTGCCGAAGATAGTATTAATAGGTGAAATTTTATTTGTTTGCTGTAGTTAGCTTGGCCTGGTGGATGAGCCACAAACGCGTTCTCTGACGATAAATTGCGTTTAAAAGCTTAATCGACTCAGAAAAATGTGGAGAATCCGAATATCGACATGACTTTAAAATCCGTCTTGTAGATTTTTCGGAAAAAAGTCTTATCAAAAGTCTTCAGTTTTATCAAAAAGATAGAGCACCTCAAAGTTTTGTCTCTATAGTAAAATGACTCACTTTTTTCTATTCTGAAAAATCTACAAAACGGATTTTAAAATCATGCCGATATTCGGATTCTCCACATTTTTCTGAGTCAATTAAGCTTTTAAACGCAATTTATCGTCAGAGAACGTGGTTTTTACCTTATTTCGCGCGGATGTGTGAGCAAAAAATGCCTGGACAAAATAATCGATACATCCCCACCAAATAGATTGTAAATCGATTCTATATTTTATACCCAATCAATCCGATACAGCCTTTTTTAGCAATCCAACCAACGATCAAGAAAACCCTCCTGAACCCACACTTGGGCTTCCGCGAAACGATTCTTTGTCAGGTATTTAACTTTTCCTGATCGCTCTACTTTATTTATTTAGCTTCAATTCGTGCTGAACGCGGCTCGCCAACCCCCGAAGTCTTCGAAGTTGATTCGCTTTCTCTGCCGGAAATTCCTGCTGAAGGTGAGATTACCACTTATTAAAACACAATGTGCCCTTTTAGATCCAGCACCATCAATCGCTTCAAGTTCTATTCAAGCGAACCAAGGAAGCATTTGCTCGACCAGTCAACTCACTGGCGCACATCCCGTGGATCCACAAGCTGATCAGGTAGTTTCCACTTGCTTGTAAATCTAGTATCTTTTTTTAGGCTAACCCTGCCCTATTGTCCCAATTGATCGAATTGGGATTTGACGATTGGACCTCAAAGCTTGCCCTTCAAAGAACGCGTAACGCTGGTGTCGAGGCAGCTGTGAATTGGATAATTGAAAGGTTTGAATTACACGTTGGCAATACCATTTCACTTTTAGGAGCAACGAGAGCGATTTTGAATCATCACCAAGCTCGGACGAAGAAGAGCCAATAGATCAAGAAATGGGAGGTTTGTTATTTGGGATTTCTTTTTAAGTTTTATTTTGTAGCTGCTCAATCCGGCGAAGGAGCTCCGGCTGGCTTTGATGCTGCTAGTTTGATGAAATCGTTGGCTAAAGGTTTTTTTACTTAATTAACTCGTAATATTTCTTTTAGGTGCTCGCACTCATAAGATGGTTTTTGTCGCTAATATGGGTCTCAAGATGGGCACAGGAAAATTGGCTGCTCAGGTAAATTTTAGATTTTAGATTCTTATGATTATTCACTTGCAATTTTAGGTCGGTCATGCTTGTTTAGGCCTTTACCAAAAAGCCGTTGCGAGCGAAGAAGGAAGACATGGAGTGAATAGTTGGGAAAGAATGGGAGCTGTAGGTGTTTTGTGTTATTCTTCTTATTTTAAGCTTTCAGGTTAAAATTGTTGTCAAAGGAGAAAGCACAGAGCAACTGATGAATTTGTTCAAACAGGCTAAAGAAGCGGTATGTTTATTGAAGAGCTGAAATTATAGAATACAAAAGCAATCACGCGTTTAGCGTTTTGATCAATACAAACTATTTTCAGGGTTGTGTCGCTTATCTCGTGCAAGATGCTGGTTACACGCAAATCCCAGCCGGATCTCGCACCATTCTTGGCGTTTTTGGACCTGTTGAGGCTGTCGATTCAGTAACCGGCTCTCTTAAACTTCTTTAATTTTCTCAATAAAATTTCTTTTGATGTAAGCTTTCTATCTTGGGTAGGCTAAATTTGCTTTGTTGTTTTGTTGTTTTCAAGAATTTTGTCTGATTTAGTTGCGTTTGTAGGCAATAAACAGTTAAATGTTTATGGTAAATGTATTTCGATTTGAAATTAGGCATGGAAGGGAAAGTTTATGATTGAGTTACTACGTAGATCCCATGAATAAGTCCTGGAATATAGAAGAGACAACAGAGAATGAAGTTGAGACAAGCCTTCGAACCCTCGCCGGTCACAAGGGCCACCGCGACTGGCTGAAAGAATTGGTCAAAGTAAATTTGATTTGTCTTACAAGCCTGCTAGTGCTCATTGGCTAGTTAGGCTATATCACTTGTTTGATTGAGCGATCACTCACCGGGCTCAAAATCAACCACAAGATTTCCCAGCCGGTGCTTCGAGCCATCGAATCAGCCTCACTCTTCGAAGATTACTGAAATTTCTTGGCATTCGGATAACGTTTCGATATTAAGTAAAAGAGAGATTGAATTTGGTGAAACTACAGTCTAGTTTAATATAAAAGACACAAAATTATAGCGCTAACGCTTGTAAAAAGACAAGGTTTTGAAGTTGGCTCAAAGTTGAAGGCAATCGAAATGCAAACGTTTCTTTGAAAATGGTCGACTTTATTCGGGGAAAATTTTTCCGTTTTTTCGTTTCTTCTTGTTTGTTTCCGGGAAACCGAAGAGGAAGAGGCGGTTTTTGAGAAATTTTTTTCAACTGTTCTGAATTTTTGAGTGAAAAAAGGGGAAGAAAAAGATAGTGATGATCTTTTACCCAACACTTGGAAAATTTCCATTGTGTGATGATGTGAACTGCCAAGGGCAACCTTTATTCTTCTTCTTCTTCTTGGGTTCGTCGACCTGTTTCGTTTTGTTCGAGCTTTTTTTCGGAGTGAAGATCAGAATAGATTTGAATGGACTGGGAAAACCTTTGAAAGCTTTTTTCTTGGGCATGCTAGAATTGACGAGTTGAGTCACCAAAAAGCTGCACTCTAATAAGACACCCGAAATACCGTACCCTAAACAATGTCGCGTATAAAAGAACGCCTCATTTCTCATTTGGAGAAATGTTTCTCTCATTTGTCTCGCGCAAATTGGTTTCTTTTGTTCGAGATAGTTTCACAAATTTCATTAAAGTGATTCCTGTCTCTGGATCAACACATTGTTTCTTTGAGCTTCGTTGAAACATTTTTTACACGCTTTGCCCCACGTGTATTGAATAAACTTGGTTTTGTTATTCACTCAAGCAAAAGCGCACAGGTCTAGCCACGTCTAGTTTTAGCCAGGTCCTTCAAAAGCGTCCGGTTTTGTTCTTCATTCAAGCATCTAGTGAATTTAAGGGAAAGCACACTAGTAATTCGTAATACAAAGCAAATTAGCTTTGATAATTGTTAAATGGAGCTTTTGTTATCGATAGATGATTGATCAAGTATAAAAAAATGCTTTAAATTTTTATCGTCTTTGCAGATTTGTCTTGGGATTTTTTGTTAGAAGATCAGCTGATTTCTTGTGATTCAAAGTGAAATTGTGATTTCATTGTGCTATTGAAAGCTTTCTTTTATTACCAGTATTGCTTATTGGCAAAAGCCCGATGGCGTAACAACAAAATTTACAAACAAAGTAACAGAAATGATAACAAGAAAAACAAAACAAGGATTTGGTAACATTTCAACACTTTTAGAATAAGAGTTTCAATTTTGATGACTACTTGGGAGAATTCTATCTTTAGTGTCGCATTTAGCGTAATCTTGTCCATTCTTTATCAAAACTATTCATTTTTGACTCTAATTCTGTGAGAAAAAACAAAAGATATGAAAAGTGAATAGATTCGATAAAAATTAGATACAAGATTACGGTAGAATGGGGACACGGTTTAGGGAAGTGGAAAGATGAAATTCTAGAAGACGTGTAATCGTTCTCTTGGAATCGCCGATGTTGAATCGTCGATTGTTGAGATCGAAATAAGTGAGAAAACGGAGGCCAAGGCGGATAGGAAATGCCAGAGATCGTGATAATCGAAGAAATCCAGCATAATGCATTGAGAGTTCAGTTCACGAGATTTCGCCGGGGAGAGCTGAAAGTGTGCTGTCCAATTACAGGATTTTGATTGTTTTTTTCAAAAAATTGATTAATGCATAACTGTCCTTTACACGTTTGAACTCCTATACTTTACTATACTTCCTAAAACTTGGTTTGTTTAAAGTCAAAGAGCTTAAAAATGTTTTTGTACGCGGAACGCCATGTTTCAAAACAAGCACTTTATTGTGTAACCGTCTCCAGTTAGTCGTTCTTTACTTTTTCCTTCAAAAACTTCAGGTTAACAAAAGATAGACCAATAGTAAGCTATCTACTATATAGAAAAGAGCAGTGTCTGTCCCCGTCCGTTTGTACGAGCTTTTTCTTAGCCATTTTTAGACCAAAAAAGCTGTAATTTTTTTTAAAGACTTAAAATATCATATAGTTGTGCCATTTAAAATAAGAAATTAAAAAAAAACAAAATTTACTGGCATTACGGTGGGTCGAACCCGGATCGTGTGGACCGTAGACAAGCGCGCTCCCCACGGCACCACGGCGACAAAAATACGGCCAGAAAAACCCGTGATTAGGCGAGTTTTTCAGCTGGTAAAGTCGATAATTGATGCATGCAGTTTTGGAAAATCTCTGGGAATTCTGGCACTTTTGTGGTCTATCGGAGGAATCAGCATGTTTCATCGTCAACCTTTTGGCATCTAACGTCTCAAGGTTAATCTTTCCATTTGAATTTCCCCATTTAAATGCTATCTACTCAGAAAATGACCCTTTTTCGTTGAAATCCACTTTCGGGCTAACTTTCTAGCTTTTAGATACAACTTTTACTGAAATACAGAAGATTTAGAACTGTTGTCGACTCACTTTTAGCTGAGATTAAGAAAAACTTTGTCGGTGTTGGCTTTAAAAAGTCAAAAACTTCAAGAAAAACTGATTCTGAAGACTTTTGAAATATTTTGAGCAAAATTTCCCAACCGTCCAATCGGATTCCTCTCTCGTGAAGGCGAAAAGCGCGAATGTCCAGCAAATCACGGCCATTAACAGAGAGATTTTCGTGATTTTCGAGAGTTTCTCCTTAGAGTGACGCTGAAATTTCAAGAGTTTCCCTCCTTTTTTTGAAAACTTTAACTTTATTGAAAACTTTACTTTACTTTTAACTTTTAACTTTATTTCTCTTTAAAAACCTTATTGAGCAGATAGTATCCCAAATAGAAAAACAAGTTCAGGACGACGAAAAAGACGACCAATTTGTTCGCGTGGAGATAAGTGTGAAAGAAGAAGTAGATCACTGGAAATTGGGGGATTGTTTGAACGAAAAGCTGAGCTAGCTTTGAAAAACTTATACTTGAGTGGATTTCAGTTTGTTTACTGAAAATTTTTGACTGTTAAAATGCTTTTAACTATTTTTACCGGCCAACAAAACGTTGATCGAAGCGACGAACAGGAGAATTCTCCCTTGGTAATTGATAGTGAGACGACGGAAGAAATCCGGACGTATCGGTCCTGAAAAATTTCATTTTTTAAAATTTAATAGTTAAAATATGAAATTTTAAGTTTAGATTTCAGAGAACATTTTTAGAGTTCACAACAGAATAATAAAACCTGTTTTTCGCTTGAGTTCACCAAAATTTGAAACGCATATGCTTGTAGGGATTGTAAGGCCTTTCAATTTTGAAAGTCAATCTAGAAAATTCATCCGGCTCATCCGGTTCATCCAGAAGCAAGCTTTTCAACATTTCGCAATAAGTTTAAGAATCTAATTCCTTGATTTACTTTCCAAAAAGTGTTTCCCCGTATACACTTTGAAGAGGCCAAAGAGGAGGGAAATGACGAGAACGATCGCTTGGAATGGCCATGTCCATTGGTGTTCGGCGAGTTGCTGCAAATTGAATTTAATAACTTGGAGATATCCTGCCTTTGGTCCTTTGATATTTTAGTTCAATTTATTGTAATAAGATAGGTACAGGATCCTTAAATCATTCCCGAAATTCCCTCACCGAGACACAAAAGTCGACGAAGAGAGCGATGGCGACAAAGAGATGAGCTTTCGTGTTTGATGGAGTCCCGTGTCTCGATCCATATAATTTCACCCATCCCAACACGCAAACGATCACGATGAATGGAGTATCTGATATAAAGTTGTATAAAAGATGTCATTAGTTTTTTAAAGAAGATTAAAGTTATAACTTTAACCTCTCTAACTAGGAATTTATTCAGTAATTTGAAGCTGAATTCTTTGAAACATACAAAATACAAGAGTTGGAAACAAAAAAACCATTTTTTTTTGTTCAAATAAATGCTACTACCTTGATTTATTTTTACTCACCAAATTTATACGTGCTCTTTGATGGACACAAATGATAGACCCCACTCGCGATCGCCTCACAAATCAACGCCAAACCCATCGACCATTCCAGGTGGACATTTTGGAAAACGCCCATTGGTGACTAGAATAAATGGAAATGAGTGGGAATATTGTTGGGTTTAAGGTTATTCCAAAACCATTTTCCTAGCCCTAGTCCAGGTACAGAACTGTTTCAGAAAAGTATCTGATTGTGAGTTTTGTGCCCAGAGCTAAGGCCTGGATCTAAGTTGAAGGTCCAGAACAGGACGTGTAAAGCTAAAGTCCAACTAGAAGCGAGGAGTGAAATCTTGGCCTAGCTGCTGACTTGGCTTACTGCAGGCCTGCCAACAAAAAGCAGCCGCCAGAAGCCAACCTGGATCTGATTTCCCTGGTTTAAGGCCTGGGACCCTGGAAGATCCTTGGTCGTTTCAGAATTTACCTGGGAATCCTGTCCTTGTCGCCATTTTGAGTGGATCTTGACGAATGACAGGTAGAAGAAGCCGGCGAATGCTGAAAATAGCAGCTCATATCTAGGATTTTATAAAATTTTCCCTTTTGTCCCTAAGCTTCAATGCTTCAAAATATTTATCTATTCACAAAGGAATGTCAACCGAGTGTGGTGGCCAAATGACAAGTCCCATGGGTCATTCGACGCAGAATTCTATGCTGGTTCGGAATTCGTTTTCCATTTCTGCTCTGGAGCACTCTTTCAAAATTTATAAGCGTGTTTTGTATGGGATTTCAAAAATCATCCCTAATCGCATAAAATTTCATTTAGCTTACTTACTTTTTCATTTCTGAATTCTAAATTTCTAAATTTTAAATCAGTTCAATCTAAACTCAATTTTCAGTTCAATGTTTCTTTTCTAACCAATTCTGCTTATACTCACCGTAAGGTGCATTCGAAATGACATGATTGAAGCTCTCGATATTCCCCCATTTCTTTGCGCACCCGAAATTGTGAAAGCAGTGATCAAGAGAGGGGGTTGGTTGCTGAAAAATGGGCAATTATCTAGATTGACTGGATTGATGAGGCGATATAGCTGTTTTGGTGATTTTGTAGAGAATAATCCTGATCAAATTGCTTTTTTTTGGTCTGTTTTAAGCTTTAATCATTCAACTTCTTCTTTACATAAATTCTCCTGTACCTGAAAGTACGAGATAGCTATTTGGACGATGATCGGCATCAAAAAGAAAGCGAATTGGAAATTCTCGAGTGGGATTCGATTCGATGATCGGTTACCGTCCTGAATTTGGTTTTAATTTTAAAGATTTTAATTTCATTCATTTTCTCGGAAGTAAAGCGTAGCCGATTTGTTTGAAAGTTTTTGGTATAAAAGGTATAAATTGCTTGTTAAAATCTCAAATCTTTCTAATTCAAAGAACGAAACGGTGAGTTTCAAAGTGATCGGCTAGGGAAAGGAGTAAATATTGTTAATACCTTGTTGTTTAGAAGATTTTAGGTAAAAAAAGATTGTTTAAATCTTTTAACCGACAAGGCATTAACAATATTTACTCCTTTCCCTAGCCGATCACTTTGAAACTCACCGTTCGATTCGTGGAATTTGAAAGTGAAAGAAATTTGAATGATTTGAGATTTTATTAAGCAACTTATACCTTTTGTACCTAAAATCTCGTTGTTTAGTACCGAAGCTGATGTTGAACTTTATCCTAAATTTCTTGAATCTTTGAAGTTGATCCGCATCTTGATACAAAATTAATATATATAAATGTACTTTGTGCTCTGATTATTTTGAAACACGCTTTTTTCTATCCATTTTTCAAACTTCTAATCATAAGTATCACTAGTAGAAGACTTAGAAGTTTTAAGAAATTTCGAATTTTAAAAATTACTTAAATAAACAGCTGAAAATATACAGCTCAAATATACAGCTGAATAAAGAAACAATTCTAAACCACTAAGGAATTGACGTTACTCATTCGTTTTCTTAACGCCTCATTTTGAAACTCACTGTCTCATCACGAATGAGTGCATATTCTGGTTCCTCGTTGAGCCCAATTTGATCTGCTGAATTGAGTTCTAAAAAATGAATTTGAACCAATGACAAGTTGGTGAATGAAAAAGAAAAAGCTTGTGTTTCAAGTTTGTCGAATCAAAGCCCATATTTGTCAAGTTAATAGCGTTACCATTCTTCCAGCATGGGTTTTCTGTACTTAGAAAAATTGATTTCTCAAAGATTTTCTCAATATTTTTAATATTTTTAATTAGTACCCAAAAGCTGAAGATTCGCATTGTCATCGTTGTTCCTTTGTATAATTCTCCATTCAATCAACGCGTCGTCTGCGTCGATCGATTCCATGGGGATCGCTTCTTCACGGTTTATCTGGTTATCATGAATCAATGTTACTCTATTTGATTCATATCAAATCTGCCAATTTCTAGCAAGAATTGAATCTGATTTCGTAAACAATTCAAAAGCAAATATTTGAAAAAAGAAGCAGACGGTGGCTTTCTAATTGATTTCCCTAAACCGTGTCCCCTTTCTACCGTAATCTTGTCAGATTTTTATCGAATCTATCCACTTTTTGTATCTTTCGATATCCTTTGTAAAGCCAGAATTGAAACAAGATTAAACTGAAATTTCTCACCATTTCTTGTGGTTCCCTCGTTTTCGTCAAATAGCGCACGAGCTGTTGCCTGAAAAAAACGATTATTTTCAAAATAAACGAATTTTGGAATTTTTAAACGAATTAGCCTTTGCTCTACATGATTTTCAAATCTTATAGGCCTATCAAGATATTTTTAGAGTAATTATATTAGCTTTCAGTACTATAAATGAAATTTTTTTCGGCTTTATTTAAGTTTTATTGTCATCATTGCTCTACAGGTTTCTTGGTTAGGGCCAAAAATTGAAACTTGTAGAATTTTTCAAGTAAAATCCATTGATAAATTTGTGAAATAGCACTTTCTGAGCAATTTTAAACGCACCCAGCCACCGGTAAAATCGGCAGAATCATCAGAAAAATTGAGAAGCCGAAAAGTGCGGCGATCGGTCGAGAAAACGGTGTTTCGTCGATCAACTGATACGAGATTTCGATCTTTTTCGAGCGTTTTTTCGGGCTATCTCAAATGAAACGTAGAACAATTGTAAAAAAATAAATAGGTATTATGGCTGAATATTTCAAATTTATTGTACAGCGTTATGCCGACGGAAATATGCGCCCCGGATTACCTTTCCTGATGAAGTCTTGAAGTAATTTTCTTTGAAACTCGATTTTTTCTCAACGATTTTCCTCGAGTTTTCTTTCAAAAAGCTTTGGATTTCTGTTTTTTTTGAATTTCAAAACCCAGCTCTATTATGTGGCAAAGAAACAAGTTTTATTGAATTTTATATAATTGGGAAAGAGTTTACATATTACAATCGCAATTACAATTTACAATTTACAATTGCATATTACAACTGTAAACTTCATTGTAACCTTTTTTGAAGCAATTTTTTAGAAACATTTAAGCTAGTTATTTTTCTAATAGAATTTTAAAAGATAAATTTTGGGTAGCCTTTAAAACCGACCCCATTTTGTGGCACAATGCTCATCGTTTTCATCAACCAGATATCGAAGGATCAACGGCTCGTCGTTTTTCGGCTGAATTTCGTGAATTTTGGTGAATATTGATTTGCAGAAGTTGGCGGAGAATTGCATTTGCTATTGTGTTTTTTGAAGAAATTTGGAGAAAGAGATTCAACAACGCGTCAACAACAGCTTCCAGCATTACTTCTTTATCATCAATATTGAAACTTGCTAGGGAACTGTTTCAACTTATTACCGATTTACGAAACCGGATTTAGCTACAAAAAACGCCCGTCGAATTCTAAGAAACATATATTTTTGATTTTTTCCCAGTAGAGGCTAGTTCTTGAGAAAGTTTCGGCTAATTTTGGCAAACGCGTCTATAAGGGGTCTATAAGGGGGAAGGGAGAAAGAGCCACGGTAGCTTAGGGGATTTTCCGCTACAAACCATGCCATTTTTCCTCGCGAGTTCAATTCCGCTCCCAGTGAAACTTTTGAAAAAGATTTTTGAGGTTCCCAAAGTGTCTTAACTTACATCTAATAGCTAAAAAACGTCTAAACTAGCTTTTGAAGGGGATATTTGTTCAACATATGTATTCATTTTTCATTTGAAAGCGTGTTCTCATTGACTTAATTTACAGGACAAGAGTTAATTTAAAGCTGCTCTTTGTTTTGTTTGCTTTGGTTTTTAAATGTTAGATGTTTTGAATGCTTTAAATGTTATTTACATGACAAACTAAATTAAACCAATTGCTATTTTCATTGAAGTTGATTGTTTGAACCTTCGAAAAAATCACCTTGTAATCCAATGAGAATTTCTTAGTAAACGATCCGATTTGTTGATCGTGTTTCGCCAGCAAAGAGTTGTGCATTAAAGCAGTCTGAAACAATCTCATTTTTAGAGCGGATTGTAACTGGTAGAGAGATATTATTGCTATGTAAAGTCGTCGTAAAACAGCTTACAAGTAGCATTGAAGATTTTGAGGTAAAGTTTAATTTGATTGGTTTGCAACAAGCTTTTAAGATTGCTAATATAATCGACTAAAAAAGTGAGATTAGTTTTAAAAAAAGCTTGAAAACCTTTGATTATCTTTAAACCTATCAAAATCTAGCTTATCTTTCACTGTTTTTTCAAATGGACAATTTTTGAGTCATATTTTGGAGGCCATAAACGGCCATTTTGAACGTAAAAACATAAGCCTTAAGAAATCAATTCGCCCGGATATAAAGCATAGCTGAATTCTTTGAAATTCGATTTTTTTTGCTTTTTACTATTCAATACCCAGCTTTATTTCAAATAGGCAAAGAATTAACGATATTTACTTCTTTTTCTAATTGAATGCTTTAAAATGTCTCAGTTCTTAAAAATTCATCAAAAATTGTTTAAAACTGTAAAAAAACTGAAGTTTTTCTAATTTATAGTGAATAAAAGCTCAAATGGAAAAAAGCTTAACAATGTTTACTCTTTTTTTCAGAACTTTACTTTTTTATATCGGTTCACTTTGAAATTCGCTGTATTATTGTGAATATGATGACTCTAGCAATGAATTTGGAAGAAAAATGGAAAATGGAAAAGATAGATGTGAAATGGGTTTAAAAATTGTAACTAGGTAGCTAAGTTGACAAAATTTCTGGCAAAAACCTAGCCTTGATCGTGTCGGGTTGGGAAAATTGACTGCACTCACCGACTCCTCGAGAAGCATGACTCTCATGCAAACTTCATCACTCGAATTGACGAGGATTCGGATAAGAGAGGTTGGCTCTGAAAAAATAAACGATTTTAATTTTAATCGATTTAATTTAAAGTCTGATTTTCTATTTTCTAGCTAGAGTGCAGCTTTATTCTTGATCGGATTCGAAACTTAAAGATGTAGACTTGAAAAAAACTCGTTTTAACTCCAAAAATCGGATCTTTCCGGTGAGGTTCTCATCTCAACCGATCTCAACCGGTTCTTTTATTCAATGTTTGGCAGGTAACCGTGTTCTTATGCTTTTCTATGCTTTTTATTCTAGGGGAGTTGATGATTTTATTAAATTTCAAGTAGCGTCCCTACCCTACGATGAGTTGAGTCGAAAAGAAAGGAAGCTTATTCTTAGTTCTGAAAAATGACTTTACCATTGGAATACAATATTTACTCAAGCAATAAAATTTTTGTTGGCTTTTGGGCTAATTTATATTCGGTTAATGATAATAAACTATCATTAACCGAATATAAGTTGGTCTTTCCAATTTCTTCACTTCTTTAATTGTTTGATGATCAATCAGCAAAAGTTACAATAGAAAGTAGGAAAGGTCGGCTGAATCTCTTAGTTTCCTTTGAGAATCCCCAATCCCCTTGTACTTTTCCCCCCAAGAATCGTTACTAAAACATTTTCTAAGCATCAGAACCCTTGTGCACTATGTTTACGAGTTAAAATTAAAAGTTTGCTTTGAAAGATGAGAAAGAAAGTTGAAATGAAAAGCAAAAACAGTCTTTTTTGAATACCTTGCATTCCAGTGAAGATTTACAGTATTTTTTTCTTCAAAGATTCTGTATTTTCTATACTAAAGTTTATGGTAGCGCTAGCTTTTCTGGTTCCCCTCAAGATGACAGCGTCACTAACATAAAATTTTTTCACTTTACCTTAGATTCTTTGAAACAAACTTTTCTCAACGACAACAACTCGATGTTCCATGTAATTCGACGGAGTGAGAGCTTTGAATGACCATTGTAGGCTGAGTGGGGACTTGTTGGAGAGTCTAGAAATTGGGAAATGAGTGAGAAGATTGAAAATGGGAAAAGCGGTCAAATTGACCCAAGCTAGGCCTTGGTAACGAGGAAACTCACAACGAAATTTTTCGTTCTTCGTTCTTCACAACGAAATTTTTGAAAACTTGCAAAAGCCCATTGATAAAATATTCAATAAAACAATGAAATAGGTTGAATAAATGAGAAATTTTCAGAATCACCCACTCAATATTGTACTGAGGTCGGGCAATTCGGTGCACGTCGAGGTGAAATTTCGTGGAGAAGCCGGGACGAGCCTGGGAAGGATTTAAATAAATCATTTTCTGGGATTCAAGTTTGAAACTAGATTTTCTAGATATAAATTACATAATCTAATCATTTTACCATTAAAATAATCGAGATATTCGGTGCTTTTTCCGCATTGAAATCTTCATCCAACAGTGGTTGCAGCACTCGACCGTCGATCAAATTTCTGAAAGGAATTTCTTAAAAAATTTCTTTATAGTTAAAGGAAAGATTTTGTAATCTCTAAAGAAGAATTAACTTTAAAATTCAACTCCAAATGTGCAAATGTTTGTTTCAATTTAAAAGACCTTCTTTGAATGCGCTTGTGATCAATTTTGCTTCCTCGTAAAATTTTTCAATCACCTTTAAATTCAAAAATTTTCAATTGCGATAAGGTTTTTTCAGTCAGGATTTTTTAAATTTATGGTTAACATATATTTTACTTGAAAAAGTATCCAATCGATTGAAACTATCAAAAAAAGTACCATAATTGCTATCAATTTTTAATTTCCGACTTAAAAATCCCACTCAGTGTACTTGTAGTACGAACAAAATAGCGCTAAAAGCAAACTGTGAGTAGACCAGTTAGGTCAGCAATTCTTTAATGCCTAACGGTTCGAATTCTTCGGCTCAAATGTGCAACTATGAAAAGATTACTGTAATTGCGACCAAATGTTAATTTCTTCCAAAAATCCTCACGCATTCCCATCGGGTAAAGCGAAGACTTGTGTGTCTCTTCCATTCGATGCAATCACTTGAAGATTTCCCTTTTCTTCACTCACTTTTACCTCGATCTTCACCAACTAAAAGAACATATAAAATTTAGAAGTGACGATTGGTTGGCTTTCAATCATTAAATTGAAACTTGTTTCGAAATTGATTTTTTGAAAGAAGCTTTTCAAAATCATAGTTCCTATATTTTCTTTAGCATAAGTGTTTAACGTAATCTATAGAATTTCTTGAAAATTGTTGATTTTCTTGGTTTTATCTTGCAAAAAGCTGACTGATACTTAGGGACCGCCGTCAGTCATTCTGAATACACAATTAACCAAAAATCGACAAAAAATTGACTGATTTGACCAATTTTTGACCAACTGATTTGACCACCAATTCAAGAACATTTTGTTCTATTATTTACAAGTCGACTCCAAGATGGGATGACGGCTTCTACTTATACAATTTTATAGTCGTTAAAAGCATTTTATAAAATTTGCATCAACCACAAATTTTTCCTATTTTAAGTACTTCATTTTAGGTTTTGAATGGGACCCATTGCCTATCCATTAACCCATTAAAAACTTGTCTAAAAGCTGGTCACTCAAAAAGTGATCAAGTCACTTCAGCTCAAGAAATCTCTTATTTTTTGACTTGAAGCCCACTCTGATTTTTTTGTCAAAAACTTTTTGAAATATGGTCAAGTTTATCAAAAAATCTGGGAAGAATTCATGGCTTGTTCTTTGAGAAATCACCGTGCAAACTTTTTCCGAGAACTTTCTCTCCAACCTAATAGTAACAAATTTATAAATAGGTCGTTTGGTTTGGAATTTAAAGTTTGCGGGAATTTAAAGTATAAAAATATCTTCTTCTAAAAACTTCCAAAAGAAATTCTACCTATTAATAAGTGATGGGCTATTTGTAGATGCATTCAGTTGAAACTTGGTTTTTTCGCTTAGTTTCTTTCAATTCAAATAGATTTACAGCTGATCTTCTGTCAAACTGTTATTGAGCAGAGTTAATGAACTTGCCAGATTTAATGATGTTTTGTTTAGTTTAATCTTTATCTTTTTTATCCATTTCCCTCACTTCTAGCGATTCCCTTGCCGATCCGACAAAAATCACCGGTTGATTTAGCATCTCTCCTTGACATTTGAAGCCATTTTCTGAAAATTGCAAACGATTTTCATTGATTTTAAATTTCAAAAAAGCTTGTTTTATATTCCGATGTTCATAATCTACAGTTCTACAATCTAAAGATTTTCAATAATCAGTCGAAAAACACTTTCTTTTCAATGCTGGCGGCTATGAGATTGGGAGTTTTCGATACAATTATCCGCAGTGCTTGTCGTTTCTTTAAAATATTTCAGCAATTTAAATTTGAACAATGATTTCCCCACTACATTTATTTTGTTATATTAATACATTTATTTCATCAAGCTATCAAGTTTGAGATCTTATTTTAATTCTAAAGTCTCAAGTTTCAAACTTGAAAAGCTTAAAATACAACCTGAGCTTATCACTTAAAAATCAGTTAAAATCACTTAAAAAGTACCTTAAGAAAACGAAGATATTGGGCTGGTAATTCACCAATTGTTTTTCGTTTTTTGCAAAACTCTTACTTTGTATCGTGAACGGGATCACCCAGGCCGTATCGTTCAGTTTCGCATTTTCATAACAATTTGGTAGTTGGGCAAAAATCGGGTAAATCCAGAGAAATGAAAGCAGCAAAAGCATTTTAAATCAGCGATCTTGGTGTCATTCTAAATTTTGTTAAATGGCAATAAAGTATTTTGGGTACTCAAATTTGATTAAACAAATATTTCGAATATTTTTTTAAGAGCTCTCAAAAGTCTGACAAGGCAATGCTTCGAAATTGCTGGGATATTTTTGTGACTATCGTCCATTTCATTGTTATGACGTAACTATCGTCCATCTCACTATTATATGGTGTTTATAAATACTTTAAAAGTTTTAAAAATGCTTCCCGGTTATATTTCAAAAAAAGCAAAGAATTTGTCGTTATCGGGACTCGAATTCACCGGAAAATGGGATTAGCGTTTTTATAGACGAGAACATTAACCGTTAGGACGCCGCTGCTCTTTGGCTTTTTTTCTTTGGCTAGGGACCAAGCTTTTCCCGAATATAGCCAAAACTTTAAGCACGTTTTTCTTGAACTCTTTTGAATTTTGGGCAAAAACTAAAAGCGTTATTGAATTCCCAATGTTTTAGGCGTTTAAACATGAGAATTGAAAATCAAGATTGAAAAATTGAATTGAAATTTGAAAGCCATGGGAAAATTATGAAGCTCTACAAAGTTTGGACAAGAAAACTCATCAAAAAGTTGAGGATACGCCTCAGAAATTCAATTCGAATGGGTTCAACGCGATGAATTCAATTGAAATAAGAATAATTTTGCAAAATTTCAACAAAATGAAACTAGAAAGTGCATCTTCAGCTCAAGAAACAATCACCAATCAAAGGATTGAAAGGAGTGAAATGTCGTGAGCTCATTCAAAAATCTCAGGCAGATGCGGACCATTCCCTTGTGAGAGGGTTCGTGTTTCAAAGTTTTCAGGATTATTCGGCAAAGGATTATTCAATGAGCGCCCGTATTGCCATACAAAAAAAATCGAATAAAAGTTTGAATTTAAAAAATTTTTGAGCTTGCAAAGATATCAGAATTTGTAAACATCTTAAAACTGAGCTTTTACCGGAAACAGGAGACAAAATCAGTTTTCATGACTCATTTTGAGTCTTATCAAAGAAAGAAAATTTTTTTTCACGTTTTTGTTCAGAAATGCGAACAAAATATGGCAGGATTTGACCAAGAATTAAAGAAATTTTTCCTTTTGTCGACACTTGTATTCAATAAAGGAAACCAAAGAGGAAAAAGAAAACAGATTCCAGAATCATTTGTTTTCCTATGACTCACACCATGGGACAAAGAAAGGGGGGAAAAAAAAAGTACAGTTCGTTTGGACCAAATGGTCTTTCGATTATCCCTTTTTTTTCCATGAAAACAAAAAAAGAAATGGAGTTTCAATTTGATCAGAATGGAAACGGTTTTAAAAATCTAATTAATTATTTAACGATAGCTTATTTCTGTAATTTGAATCATTGATGGAACGAAGGATTGGCGCTAAAAAAATGGAAAATGTTTGCTTGTTAAAAAAAAAGAAATTGGGGTTGGTATGCCTTTTGGTAGGTTTAGTCAATACCTATGACTAAAATAGTATTGACTAAAACCTTTGATACCTATGCCTAAAATAGTCAATTGACATACCAAATTCCCACAAAAAACGCGAAAAACTATCCCTATTAAAAAAAATCACAATGAAACATTTGTTTTTAGGCAAACAATTTCGACCAATGTATGCCAAAGGCGTACCCGTTTCACTTAGAAATTGCTCGTTCTAACGAGGGGAAGGCAAGACTCAAAGGTGGGATTTCTCTAGTCAAAAACGAGATTAAAATAACAACAATCAACAAGGTGAGAAACAACTATCACTTTTCTGTTCACTTTCCTGTTCAATCAAGTCTAATCAATCGCCGAGGATTACTACAATTTCATTTTTTGTTTTCCTTTTCTCATTTATTTTATCTAACCAAACTTTAAGAACTTATATTGATGAGAATGAAATCAGCGCTCACATATCTTTCAAAAAGCAAAAACATTGCAAGCCTGAGTTTCATAAAAGCAAGTATTTAGGCTTTAGGTAATTGTAATTTGTCTTTTTTTTGATAATAAATTACTATTAAAAATTAAAAAATTCCTACGTTAAACAAAATAAATGAAATTTTTAAGGTGTGAAACATTCAAAAAGTCTCGGAAAACGGAAAAGAGCCGAACATTTCAATTTGAAAGTAATAAAACTCAAAATTTATCATTTAACATTCAAAAAAAACAAACAAGAAAGCAAAGCAATTTTAGGAAGCAAACAAAAATGGGAATTGTATAAGTTTCAATCTTCAAACCAATAACTCTGTACCAGATCCAGCAATTTTGCTTAACTAAACAAGCGGATAGATAAAAAAGGCTCTACATTTTTTGTGTTAAATGTTTAGAAATGTTTAATGCTTGTCATGAAATTGGTATTAATAAGCTTTTTATCATAAGCTATCATATCATCGCTTAAGGTTATCATAAGCTTTTTATCAACAAGACAATTGATACAAAAAAAATCGTGTTTCAAAATTGCATAAAGTTAAACTTTTTTGTGTGATCACTAATAAAAAAATAAAAAATTTTTTTATAAAAATGACAACGAAAAACATGCTTTTAATGAATGTCACCAAAAAATTTCGGTTTTCTTTTCAAATTTTTCAAGTTTCAATGTTTCAGAGCAGTCTGGCAACTGCAGGGAAAACTATGTTCACAACTTTTTCAACTTAAAAACCAGCGAATTAACCAAGAACTCCAGATTCACGTGGATGCTTCATAAAAAGCTTAGTTTCTACATAAAAATTAGTCGAAATAGGATTTTTCTTTAAAAAGGAAGAGTTTCTTTCAAAATCAATCAAATTGTACCCTTCGCTTCAGTCACAAATAAAAGAGTATTCGTTTGGGCACGAATAAAAAATAAATCTTTACAAATTTTAACGAAGCATGCTTTTAAAAAAGAAATTGAAAAACAAACAAACAAACAAACAAACAAACAAACAAACAAACAACCAAACAGAAAACAAACAAACAAATTAGGCTAAGAATATAAAAACAAACTAGGCTACGAATTTAAAATGAAAAATTTTCACTGAAATTCTGTTGAAATTGTTGAATTTGAATTCTGTTGAATTTCAAGGTAATTTTTTTTGGTGGCAGATTTATTTTGTTTTATGAAAGCGCAAAAGCATAAAAAGCTTTTTCTCCAAAATTTGATCAAATCAAACTAATAATTCTTTGTGCAATATAATTTCCAAAAATTCCATAGTAACGGTGGAATACAAAAAAAAGAAAGAAGTGAACAAATTTGCGTATGTGTAGCAAAAAAAGTGTACAAAACGGAAAGGGAAAAAGAGAGGGAAGAGAAAAACGAGGGTTTTCCCCTCGAAAAACGATCAATTCTGCGGATGATGCGAGGAATATATGATCATTTTGTTGTTGCTTAAAAGTTATTTTATCATAGAAAAGCTATAGAGTTCGTTTTCGAAGTTTCAAAATAAAGCGGCTTGTTTTGTATTTTTTCAACTTTCTACTTTTTCACCTAATGAATTTTATGGTTCATTGTTTTTAAATCAAAACTCGGAAAGCTCTGTACTTTGAAAGATGACATGTCCAATTCCTAAACTGTGTCTCCTTTTTCCCTTTCTACCGTAATCTGTCTTTAATTTTATCGAATCAAGACTCACTTTTCGTTTCTTTCGATATCCTTTGTGCACTCTCACAGAATCAGAGCCAAAAATGAATAGTTTTAATGAAAATGTGACAAGTTTATGATAAATGCAAGAAATGAGATACTAAAGATATAATTCTCTCAAGTAGAGTCGCTAAAGTTGAAACTATTTACCTCAAAAAACAATTAGAATGAATCTTTGAAACTTTTATTCTCAAACTCTAGCACAACATAGAGAAAAAAAAGTCAAAAAACAACAAACGCTAGGGAAAGATTTAGGAATCGATTGGGGATTTTTGGCTAAACAGAAAAATCACAAAAAACGAATTCTCTGGGCTCACAAAAGTAAACTCGTAAAGAATGAACTAGTATTAGATTTTAAACAAAAAAATCTCTAATCTAAGAAAAAGAAAAAGATTCTATAACGACTAACGGTTTCGGGAATCGCTTGGACAAATCACAGCTTCAAAGAAAAATTTAAAGAAAATGAAAAAAGCAAAAAAAATATTAACTAAAGGCAAATCTTTACAAGCTTGATTGAAAAAAACTAAAAAATAGGTTTTACAACAAAAAATAGGCTTCTTTTTCTTAATTAGATCGTTTTCTAAAGTGTGTCTTTTGAGAGAAGTTACCGTACTGTAATAATTACGGTATTTTGCTTATTCACATTCCTTAGACTCAAATCTTGAGTTGTTTTCACCAAAAAAAACTACGATAACTCAATTCTCAGGGCACCTTTTAGAAAACACTGCAATTTGGAGTCTTTTGAAAATTCTCTCTTACAATTTTTACAAACACAAATGAAACTTTTAACTCAAATTTGAACTCTTTTTACTTTAATTTGCAAGGAAATTTTTTGATCAAAAGCCAAAAGTAAAGATCGAAAGCTTTAAATTACTTTGTGATTAGTTTTTTGTTTTGAAGACGAGCATTTTAAAACAATCTTTTAGCTGAGAAATTTAGCATTTATAAACAACTTTACAATTTTACAATCAGCTCGGGAATTTTACCTCAGACAATAACTGTAAATTACTTCGGGTGTCGTTCCTTTTATTGAAACAATTTGAAACATTCTTTCCCCATTCCCCCTCATTCCATCATCATCTCAACAGCTTGTTGCCGGGGACTCGAGTCGTGTTTGTAAGAAAATTGTGTGAAATTCTGTTGGATCAACTCCTCTTCTTCGGCCACCTGAAATAAATGAACATACTTGTGTATATTGCTTGTACCAAATTGACACCAAGAATTTGGTACAAGCAATACCCAAGCAAAACCCGTAAACTCTAAATGTAAAGAAAACTCTTTTAGATGAAAAAAATGAATAACCTAGCCGGCAGGATTGAACCCTTGACCTCTTGACTAAGATACAGGGCTCTTAGCCAGTCAGCCATGACGGTCATGATTTGTTGAGATTGAGATAATTGAGACATAATAGAGAAATTTTCTGAATAACAGCTACCTGTCTCTTCTAATTAGAAAAAATAAATGCCATAAAAGTAAATCTAAAAAGTAAAACATAAATCTGAAGTACGAAGAACAAGTCTTATAAACAACTAAGACTTTTGGGACTGCGAAGTCGCGGGGAAATAACTGCAAGTATCGAATATTGGAAATGTTTAGCTGTGCATTTCGGAAAAGAAATGTTTCACGTTGTTTAGTTTCACTTTGTTTACCATTTTGCCTAATTTCTAAATACTTTTACAATTCTTCAAATTTGATTTGAATTTTGTTTTATTTTTCATAAAATTTACCGTATCCAGCGGTCCATTTCTCACAGGCGGTGGCGTCAATTGGACGGGCTCGGAGGTGAAGGTCTAAATTTTGAAATGAAGCTTTGGTTCAAAAATTTCTCATCAAAAGAAATCTAGCCATTACACAGCTTACGGCAAAGCAATAGAGCTTTGCAAAACAGTAAAGTAAAAGTTTCAAAGTTTACATGAAGCACGTGTGGCTGACTGGTTAAGTGTCTTTTATCTTAATCGGAAGGTCGAGGGTTCGAACCCCACATGCGACATGGTCACCCCCTTCGGATTTCCTTTCCCTTCGGGTTGAGAGGTTTTCTGGAGGGCAGTCTGGTGGTTGTGGCCCCAGTTCTTTAAAGTGACAAGCCACTCCTTCATCGTCATCTTCCCTTCACCACCAAAAAAGCTATTTAGTTCCCCATTGAGCTTAGGGTTAGGGAGCCGTCTGTCATGACGTGGGTTAAGTTAAGATATAGCCTAGTATTGTGTGTGTCGTTGTATTGTGATTGATATATTTCGTGTATGCGATAAATTCACCACTGGTAGCCCCAGTCGGTATTTTTTTTTTTTACATCATCAACTGGATTACCACTGCCACTGACTTTAAACGGCTTTCACTAAAAAGGGAGTTCATTCAAAAAAATGCTTGATTATTTGGCACGGAGGTGAATTTAGAGAATGTCTAAAACAAAGTGCTTTTTACAAAAAAGTTCAATATAAATCGGGGATTCAAAGATTTTAACGGGATTTCGAGAAATATTTTGAAAACTTGAAACTGGGCCTCGTGAACTAGCTGTGCAAGCTGAAATTTTGCATTCACTACTTTGAAACATGAAAAAAATCAACTCCTTTTTTAGATTTAGAAATAAAATCGTTAAGTCGTTAAAAATAAACGAAAGGCAGACTACAGTACTCCGGGGTTTCCTTGTCAGTTTTTGCTTGTCAACTGGATAATTAATCAAACAATAGTTAGAGTGCTGACTTAAAAACGGAAACCACAGTATTTGATCGGGCTTTTACAGCGTGTTTCATTTCAAAAAATTCTAATTTTAGACTGAAAATTTTGAAATGAAAAATCGAGAGAAAAACCTTTTATTTCAGCTCAAAGTTGCTTTTAAAAACAAGGTTTCTCTTTTATGAAGAGGGTTAAAGTGTGCAGTAAAGTAAAGTATTTTCTCTAATAGTAGTGCACCCTGAGCATCGCCTAATCTCGAGAACCGCTTATCAGAACCTATCGATGTGGGGTCGGAAAATGTAGCTGACGATGAGATCTAGTGGGGGATTCGAGTGTTGAGCTTCTGCAAAAGCTTGGAAACCGTACTTCGTAGTCACCAACTCGGCTCACCGGGGTGCACTACTATTAGAGAAAATACGGTAACCTAATGCTAATCCGTTCTCGATTCTAAAGCAGCTCTACCGTATTTCCTAGCCGCTAATATTATTTTTTCTTGCTTATTTATCATTTTAAACCAACTGTATCAAAATATGAAGTATCGGTGTCTGATGTGACAAGTGGTTTGAATGGTGGATCGATCTCTTTATTGTACAATCGTTGCCAATCGATTGACGCGAAAAATGGATGATGGGTGATCTCGATTGCATCATCTGGACCACCACCCAATCTAGAATTGATAAAAGATGAAAAAAAAGTGAAGGTTAAGCTCTTAATGTATTAGGTTTAAGATTTAGATAATGAGAACTCGATTAACTAATAGATAACTCGTTCATTTAGATAATGAAATGAAGGATGCAAGACTTTAAACTCAATCTAATATTATACAAGGTTAGCTGAGGAATTTGACTAATGAACTTGCTTTAAATGAAAAGCTAGTTAGATATTTTACCCTGATTTTACCCTGTCTAGCTCAGTTTGTAAATCAATGTAAAAAGAATTTCAAGTTTCACGTTTCAGCCTATAGCATAATCGTTAGCCTCATTAATCATTTGACGATTTCCTTGTTCTTGTCATTTTTACTCCACTTCTCTTGCCTATTTCAACAATCTTTACCTTTGCAACGGATCTTTCACCAACAATCCCGACAATAAACTCTTCGCTTCATTGCTTAAACGAGACGGGAAACGCAACTCTCCCCGAATGATCAATTCGAACATTTGCTCGTGTTCCTGAAAAGAGAATTTTTGATGGAAATAATCTAATGAACAATTTTGAATACAAAAAATACAAAAAAATACAAAAACAACACAAAAAGCAATTTTAAAGTTCATGTTTCAACTTAAACAACTCGTTTTATTTACTCAAAAATGTTGATTTTTATTGATTTCTTCTCCAATTTGTGCTAGTATTCTTTTATTAAATTATTAGAATTTCTAATTGCAAGTTTGTTACAAACCTGTGCATAGAAAGGCAATCTTCCGCACATCATTTCATACATCACAACTCCAACCCCCCACCAATCGACTTGTCGGCCGTAATCGTTGTCTTCAAGAACCTGAAGAAAAATGATTCATTCAAACGTTTCAAATCACCAAAATTGAGCATGTTTTTCGGCTGGATTACCGTAAATACTCTAATAGAACGCCAATAATAGGCGTACAGTCGCGTAGTCTAACTTTGAACGTTCGGTTCTCCGTGCTGCTTTAAGCTACAGTGTGCTTTATGGTGTCAAATGATAGCCCTTGAAATCTAGTATTTTTTGGTATCAAAAGTGTTGGGAAAAAAGCTAGGAGTTGAGAAAAATGAGTTTCTAAAAAGAAGTTAGACTACACGATTGTACGAGGTGGCGTTCTATTAGAGTATTTCTGGTGTGTTTAATAGCTTCAGAGCCACCAATCAACTTTGAAAGCATTCAATTTGAAACAGTTATTTCTTTTCGAGATCTTTCAGAAATTTAAAGCAAAAACTGGGCTAGATTTGTAATTTTACGAATTTAAAAACTTAAATTGATTGCTTTGATTACCGGGTAATCTCAATGTTTTAATTGATTAGTTTTTTTGTTTAGAATTGGGTCATTTTAAACATTTAGTCAAATTGTTAAAAGCTACTAGCCAACTTTGAGGTGGCTCAATTTGAAATTTAAAGCAAACTCTGGGCATACATTGACAGATTGGGTTTTTGTAAATAAATTGATTGCCCAGGACATTATTTTTGTCATATTAACTTGAAACTAACAATTTCTGAATCCAAGTGACTCTCAAAGAAGTTAATGTTTCAACATAAACAACTCCAAAGCTAGTTTGAATTCTCTAATTGTGTTTTATTTTTATGAAGCATGCTGGAAAAGTTAGCTTGCTTATAAAGATAACGATCAAGATATAGTGAAAATATTGAATGACTTTTTTTGCGTTCAGCTTGAATGATCCTTTTTAAAGGCCAAGGACTATCAACCAGCTTTTATCCTTCATTTGGAAACAGGTTTTTTAGAAATCTGAAGCAAATTCTGGGCCTACATTTGTTTATCAGCTTTTGAAACAATTTGCAAAGCAAGGAAATGAATTTTAAAGTTTATAGAAACATTTTTTGGGCCCTCATGGTGTATTGGTTAAGTTCTCACTTCCAAACTGAGGGTGTGGGGTCGGCCCCCTAGGGTTCCCTTCCCAGCCCGGCGCCCAGACTAGAGGTGCTTCTCTAGAGCTGACTAGAGACCCCTCCTAGCGGAGTTCACTCTTCCACTGGGTTGGCCCATTCATGGCCTGAGGTTATTAAAGCAAGAAGCCTATCTTCTATCTATCTTCTTTTCTCCCCGCCTCCACATCGCCGAGTAAAATATCTCATCTTTCTCTATGTATTTATGTGTAGATTTGTGTATTGTCTGACTGATTACGCTTTATTTCATGTCCTGAATAAAGTATCAATATTTTGAAGCGACTCATGATTACAAAGAAATTCAGAGCCGGAACACTCCGCTTTCTCAATGATTAATTAACGTTCGTAACCTAAACGATGACTAGGTTGAAACTTGGTAAATTGAAGATTTTAGAATCGGGTTTTATGCCGCAAAAACGTTTGATAAGAGAAAATCGATTAGTAAAGAAGTATTTTTGCAACTTAATGAGTGCTATTGAACGCTATAGTAAGTAATTGTGCACAATATCAACAGGTAAGTGAACCCAAAACGATGATGTTTCAAGTTGAGCAGCTTTTTGCAATGAGTTTAGTGTTTAGTTTGGTAAATTTCAAGTGTCTAACGTAAGAATTTGGTTTGTAAAGCGTTTGACCTTCATTTACAAATGCCTTTTAGCATTTTCAAACTTGAAACAAGCAATTTTTGATGCTTAATGTACTTTTCAGTCTAGTTAAAACTAGTCTAGTTAAAACTAGTCTAGTTAAATCTAGTCTAGTTAAATGTTTTACTAAAATAGAGTCGATGTTTCAAAAGGATAATGGCCTTTGAAGTGAGTTTTATATTTAATAATATGGTTTTTGTAAATATTTTTATTTAATAAGACTTTCCCCTCACCTCAGGCGCTAAATACTCGGGCGTCCCACAGAAAGTGCTTGTCTTATCTCCAAATGAAATATCTTCTTTGCACAGTCCGAAATCCGCAATCTTTATATGACCATCTTTATCCAAAAGGAGGTTTTCGAGCTGAAAAAAAACGTGGGTTTAGATTTTTCGATAAATTGAGTAATCCGAAACCCTCCGCCACTATTCTATCTCAAAATATTTCCAATTTGCATTTATTGAAACCTAGTTTTTTTAAATCTTCCAAGAGCATTTGTAAAAAGCGATAATTGAAAACGAAAGCCCGATTTAACCCTACATTAATTTGTTAATTTAAAAATTACCCCTTTTAACTTAAAACTTCAACTGTTTAAAGGTAATTGTCATTTCATTTGAATGTCATCTTGTCATTTTATTGATTGTCTTGTCTGATTGCTATTTTATTTGAATGTCAAACCTTCATATCGCGATAGACGATGCACAAATGGTGTAAATATCCGAGTGCCAACACGATTTCCGCTCCATAAAAACGCGTCCTTTCCTCGGGGAAAACCCGGCATTTTTGGAGATGAGTGAACAATTCACCGCCATTCGCGAATTCCATCACAAAACACAAATGGAATGGAGTTTGGAAAGAATAGGTGAGTTGCTGAAAATCGGATGTGTAAAGATGGGGAAAAAACACTTTTCGTTACAACAAACACGTTACAAAAATGGGGAGTTGAATAGGTTGAAATTGGGGTTGAATAGGTTGAAACTTTGATTTTCTTTTTTAGTCAGACGACTATTAGAGGCTTTTTAAAGGGTTTTAAACCATTGATAGGGATTTATATCTAAAAGAAATTTATATCTAAAAAGAAAAGAAAAGGGAATAAAAATGTTTTAAAAAGATAAGATTCGTTTTTTTACAAACTAACCGTCAAAAACGGATGTCGACACCGTTGGAGGACTCGATTTTCGGCCAGAGTGTGGGCAACTTCTTCCTGAAATTTATTCCTTTAAAATTTATGAGATTTATTCAGATTTTAAGAAAGAAATTGAATAGGAAATGAATTGAATAGCGACAGTATACTAGTTAAAACAATTTTTTCTTATTATTGTAAAAGTTTGAGTTTCAATTTATTGTTAATAAAATGCCAAATATTTGTGTTTTAATAAGATTTTAAAATAAATTTATCATTTTAACCCTCAAGTATTCTAACTCTAAATGAATTTAGCAATGGACTCAATTCATTTTCTAATCTTATAAAAGTCGATTTATTTCTAGAAATCGATTTTGTTTTTTTTAAACTCACTCTCGCGATGATCACTTCCTTTTTGAGTACTTTAATCGCATACAATCTGGATGTTCTCTTTTCTCTGCAAAGAATCACTTTTCCGAATGTCCCCTTGCCAAGAACTTTCAGAAATTCGAAATCGTCCATTGTCTGAAATTTTAAATAATATGCTTTAAAAATTCATGAAAGTTTAAAAAAACTGTCGAATCGCTCAATTTCGTTCCGTCAATTTTGAAACTTTATTCTTGAAAGGCAAGGTTTTGAATTATTTGAAGAAAAAAACATTTAGAAACAAGTTTTCATTTAATTTTAAACCGTTATACTCACAATTTTGTCTCTTTTCGCTGCATCAGAAGCATCAGCCAATGCTTCTAAATGAAGTGACGGTTGAGGGAAAGGACCTTGGCCTGGAGCCACTTCGGATACCATTGAAACGCCTGAAGCTGAGATATCATCGCCGGAGATCTAAAGAATTGAGAGAATGTATCAAATAAATATAGAAAGCTGTTGAAATCGCTTATTTGTTTGTAAAGATGTTAATGTTTCAAAATGATCACATTTCAAGGCACTTCAAAGCAGCAATACTGCTCCTTTTTTTCCTTTAATCCAATTACCGTATGCCAAATTTCAAGAGCTTAAAAAGCATTTTGAACAGATTTTATCCGGTTTCAATGTTCATAAGCTTTCTAGCTTACAAGTGATTGTTTCAAAATGTTTGACACCAGTCCTCCAAAACTGCGATTGATTTTATCATTGGTTTCAAGACGATTGAGATTGTATTGTGGATTATAGATTACTCATTTGATAGATGTATTTATGAATTAGAAATCTTCTAAGATGATACCTGTGAAACGACCTCCATCGCTTCATCAATTTGTTGTCCATCTTCCATCATTGCTTTGTAGCGAGTCGCGATTTTCTCGATTGCCTCCACCCATTTTTGGCGAGTCTACAAAAAAGATTTTTTTGTAGTCAATCGTCTCGAAAATTGGTGGGGCTTTTCTTTTTGAAAATGAAAATATTAAGGGAAATGATTTTGAATTGTTACAAATATTTTGGTAAGCGTTGATCGAGCCTTGGATTGGTTGAAGCAGCTGCAACCAATCCAAGGTTGAGCTGCAAAGAATTATTCTGATCTCAACTAAATTGAAACTTGGATTTTTATTATATGCTGATTTTTGAGCTTCGATTCAATTCAAAGTTTAACTGCAAGCACATCCCATTTTGCACGATAAAAACGAAAAAAAAGTAAAATGAGTGGGCCAGAAAGGGTGTGTTTGCATTTAGAGCAAAGGTGGGCGAATCCGGATCTCTACGCAAGAATATAAAGAACGTTAGGGCTACGCGCCCTCCAATAGCCAGTTCAGTACTGTTATGTAGGCGCTTAGTTGTGTCGCGTAGCCGACCTAACGTTCTTTGTATTCTTGCGTAGAGTAATGTTACTACTTTCCTGTACTACTAAAATGGTTGTCCCACTCACTAAATCGTGGTTTTTCAAATTCCCCTCCTACAACTTGAAACTTTAAATTCTCCACCATTCTCCTAATCCTTTTTTAGTAAACTCAGCAAAGCGTATGATTTGGGATCATTTTTGACTGACCTGTGGTGAATCAGCATAGAAAGTTCTCTCAATAATTGTTGTCCATTGAAGGCATCGAATCATAAACATATTAGCACGAGGTTTCTCCATTGTACACACCTGGGAGTGGTTTGTTTTTCAAAAACATTTCATCAAACCACTGTTGTCCATTTTCTTGAGTTAAACCACGACCAATACAAAACACGGTCGGCGTCGGGCGAGCGCTCTACCAATGAGCTACGCCGACAACTGCCCAAGTTTTAGGGTAGGGTTCAGGGTAGGGTTTTATGCCTTATTGTGGTTTTTGGGGATGTACAAATCTTTAGAAATGCGCATAAAATTTGCGCAATCTAAACCAAACAGGTTAAATCTTAGTATTGCACCATTTTTTAAAGTGAGATTAAGCTATAAAAGTGTTTTGGAATAATTTGAAACTTCTATTTTCATCTGAATCATAAAATTGTCCCCAATTTCACCTACCAAATTTAGCTTATCACCTTTTCATAAAATCGAATCGGATCGATTTTTGATTTAGATTAGCAATTATCCTGGACCCACTAGGCAATGCAATCCTAGGTCGATCTGTAATAAATTGAAACTCAAGTTTTCACCTATAGTGAAACATTGCTTTTCTAATTCCCATCTAATTACAGTACCCTTTTCAAATTACAGTACTCACTTGAGCATCTTTTATCATGAAATCGTTGAGTGGTTCGGGGAATGGCTGATTTTGTTCCGGTTTTGACTTGAATCCAACGAGGGCACCGTCACGGAAGAGAACGAAATAACTGAAAAAATAGTAAATGAAATTTAGAAAGAATTTAAAAATGAGAAATTTAAGCTGTGCAACTTTAAGAACTTTTCCAAGGAAAGAAAATGTTTTTGTGAAACATTAAATGAAGTACATTTCAAAAAGAACAGCTTTTAAATGATCGATACTAATTGGGGAGCAGGAACCAACAGGGATTTTCAGAAACTGCTAGATTTGAATGAATATAAATGGCTCAATGTGTCTACTCTTGACTCTAAGAAGCTAAAATTCTCGACTGCAATGTTATGGGACTGAAAGTTTCAAAATAAATCTTTTGCTTAGATGCTTTTCATCTGTAATAGTTTCTTATCGATGACAAATATTTGTGAAAAAACGTGAAAATTTTAATACGTAGAATTCTCGACTCACCGTGGCCTCCAATTCTTGATATGTTCTCCTCTTTTGTGTAACCATCCATCAACCATCACATCTTCCCATCTGCGAAAACGACAGGATAATGAAGCAACGGACATGATTGTTTATGTACAAATTGTGATGTTGATTGAAGGATCTGGAAATGCTATCTTTTGTAGTAAGAGTTACTGTGAAAAATAGGAAAATAAACATAATGTTTCAAGTTTGAAGACGTTGATAATCGTTTAATCGTTGATAATCGTTTAATGGGCTACTTGCGTTCTGGTTTCAAATCTTTGTACAAAGAAAGCATGCAAAGACTTGGTTTGCTATCTATAGGCTTTACTTTGAAAAGTTTCATGAATTATATCTATATAATATATAGATACTGTATTCAGGACCTGAAATAAAGTGCGCTAGATTTAAGATTAATACACATAACACAAAAATGGTCGATAAAAAGCAACACGATATTAATGTATGCAATGGGCAGCACAGATAAGAACGTCAAGAATCCACTAGAGCCTCAAGATCAAGATCATCAACAGATAATTGAAAGGTTTCGAGACTATTGGACTCTCTCAAAACTCTGGGGAGTCGATTCGAAATTCCAAATTCTGATAGTTCTTATTGGAAAAGAGTTATACAAAAATTTATTGAATGTGAGTGGAATTTCTAAAACGAAAGAACCTCTCTTTAATGACATGGATTGACATGTTTTTATTATAGCTTTGATTTGAAAGAAAGAGGCATTGATTGATTTCTTTTCAAAAAAACATTTTTCAATCTTAAACTTTTCAAATTTGTTTCTTTGTTTGTTTAAAAAATACAGTTGTTTCATCGAAATCTATTAGGTTGATGCAAAAGTCTTTTTCATTTTTTTCGTACTTCTTTTGAAAAATAACAAAGTCATCAATTAACATATGGTTTGCTCTAAATGAAAAGTGTTTATTGTTCAATTTCCCATCTCTTTAAGTCAATTTGGGTTCACTTTCAAGCAAATTCGAGAGTGAAAACGGGTTTTTCATAAAAATCTATAAAAACCTCTATAAAGAAATTGGCTGAATCAATTTCTCTGAAAATCTGAAAAAATATCTAACTTTTTGTGCTCTATCTTTTATTTATTAACATCAAGATTGGTTTCCTTAGCTAAAGCGTCTAAAATGCATCATCGAGCCGTCGCCTTTTTTGACTACCCGACTTCAGGCTCTCAAAAAAATCTAGACATAAGACATTTTAAACTCGTTTTAATGTCATTTTGCAGAAAAATAATTGGCCTTTCGAATGCAATAAACCGTTGTTCAATTGGTGCATTTGTTACTTTTTAACGGAAGTACGAAAAAAATGAAAAAGACTTTTGCATCAACCTAATATTCGAAACGAAATCAATCAAAAAATCAGATCAGATTTGCCATCGAATCTAAAAAAGATTGAAGAAAAAGGAAAAAAGAAAAAGGAAAAAAAGAAATTGATTTAACAACTTTTAGTTATCAATTTCCCAATTAATTTCTACTGTGCTTAAAAGAAAGCTTAAATGTTCAGTACTACTTAAAGAATTTTTTTTGCAAATTTTTCAATTTATATTTGTTTCTTCATTGGTCAGCTTTTTTTCAAATAATAATGATCCAAATTGAAACATTCTTTTTCAAAAACTCAAAAGCAAACCTTATTCCCGTTATCCAATAGGAAATCCCTAAAAAAAGCGATTTACAATTCACAAAACGCCCGAAAACGTTCTGAAAATATAAATTAAAGAAAATTTTAGTAAACTTTCAGAACAAAGCTGGTAAACGATTGTAAAATAATTGAAAATTGGGGCTAAGAATAGCTAAAAATAGGGAAAGAGGGGAAAAAGGGGGAAGATGAGGGAAGAGAGGGAAAAGTTGCCAAAATATTAGGGAAAAGGGGGAAATTTGGAGAAAAAAAATGGGAAAACGGAGGGATATTGATTTGTTTTTCCCTTTTTCCTCTCTCCATTTTGTGCCTTTTCCGATTTTCTTTTCCTTTTTCCCCTTTTTTTCCCCAGACACAGACACTTCATTTTTGCGATTTGGAAAGAAAAAAAAGAAGAAATAAAATGTGACCAATTCGAAAACAAATAGATAGTGATAGGGGAATATATATATATATATATATGCTTTATTCAGTTGAATAGCGACAAAACAAGACCACCATAATCACCCAGGATACCACTCAAAACCTACCGAAAAAATAAAAAGATACCTCAAGAAAGAATCACAGAGCAGTCAAATCAATTGCCGAAATCAGATCTAGCCAAGGTGGGAATATCGCGAACATGAGGGAGTAAAAGGTTCCACAATTTAATAACTCGTTTAAAAAAGAAACTGTTGGAGCTTTTAGAGGAAACGAAAGGTTGGCGTATGAGAAAAGGTTCCCTTCTGGAGCCGTAGAGAGTAGATCTTAGAGAGTGCCCGTAGAGAGCCGAATTCAAAGTGACCACAAAAAAAAGTGGATCGAGATGAATGCCTTTAACAATTTTAAAGCATTCCACGAAATCGATGATAAGGCGGCGTTGGTGTAACGTTTTAAGGCCAAAGAGTTGTAATCTATTAGAATAACGGAAAACTGAAAGGAATTTCCGCTAGATTTCTTTAAAAAATCTGGACTAATTACAGTAAGAAGATTGGAAAATTGTAAATAAAAAATTATTTTTAATCGTTTAATATAGAAATTTTTACACAGTAAAAGCAAAAGTTTAAATTTAAATTGTAAATTGTAATCTTTAATTATAAATTCGCATGTTTCAAATTTTCACAAATTAAAGTTGGATAACTGAATTTATTTGAAATAGCAAAAAAAAAAGACTGGTACAGGTTTTCAGGGGTTACAAAAATCTCGTTTTTCGACGTCTCTTTTCAACATCTCACTTAAAAAGCTTTTCTCGCGCGAGCCCAATCTCGGCTGATTGTCTAGCGGATAAGGTGCCTGTATGCAAAGCGTCAATTCACTCTTTGCTCAGGTTCGACGCCTCACATTTGTTTTTGCTTTTTTAGATTTTAATAAAACTAATACAAATATGTTTTTTTTTCATTTTTCCTTCTATATTTCAATAAATAAAGAAAATTAACAAAAATAAGAATCGGAAATAAGATTTTAGAACAACAAACGTAACAACGATTCATTAAAAAATGAATCGAAAAAGTTGGTTGTTTTTTTAAATGTAAAGATTTTGTTTTATTTGCTATAATTAAATCAACCAGCTGGAATGAATAAATTGGTCAATTCTGGTTTGTGTTTGTTTTAATTGCTTTAATTACTTTGGATGATCAGTTTACCGGAAAATTTGTGACTCGTCAAACTTGAAACATTGTTTTTCATTCAGCTTCGATGCTTTTATGGGGTTTTTCTTCAAAATTTGGTGTATTCCAAGGACTTTAATGCATAGGAATCAGTAAAGCGAATGATTAGAATGAATAGAAAACTTAAATACTAAAAATTGAAAATTTGGCAATTGAATTCTCGGAGGAAAAAAAATCGAGTTTCAACTTTTATTAAAGTCTGACAGTTTTGATCGATGCTAATCGTATCTTGCGTTTTTTTCAGTCTAATACTTGTAAACAAGAGTTGTATGGTGTATTTTTGTGCTCCAAAAATGTAAACCACCCGCTTTCTAGTGCACTGATAATTGATAATGAGTAGCACTTTTCTTAAACATAATTTTTGACATTTTTCCCGCAAAAGAGGAAGAATTGAGTGAACAGAAAGAGAAAAATGAAGTGGAAAATCGAATTTGAATCGAATTTGAAAGGCGGTTTTCATTTGCAAGTGAAAAGTAAACAAAAAAAAATCGTGTTGTTATCAAAAATTCAAACAAATCGAAGAGTTTGTTGCAAAAGTTTACCAAAAACAATGGTGATTCGTTGAAAAACAAAAAAAAGCAAGAGATAACGCTAAAGAGAGGAGTTATTGCCCAAAAATAGAGAAAATCGAAAAAATTTTTGGAGTAAACAAGTGCGGAAAATATTTATTGAGAGAAAAAGGGCACAAAATAGGGAAAAATTTGAGATTTAAAGGAAAAATCGAGGGATTTGAATGCGGAAAACAAAGAGATTTCAGGTGAATTTGAGAGAGGAAATGCGGAAAAGTTTGTGCAAAAGATATTCAGTGGAGAGAAAGAGAAAGCAAGAGGAGAAGCTCATTCATTGCTTTGCAGCAGAGAAAATAGCGATGATTTTTGAGACTTCAATCGGGCAAATCGACGAAGAAAGATCTTTCTAGGCACTTTTCCAGATGGATTTCATTGTGTTTTGAGATTGGTTGGGGGAGAAGTTTGAAAAGGAATCAATTCTCACTGGGAAATGATTATCTTTGGTTATCTATATTATCTTGATTCTCACTGGGAAAGGATTGTCTTTGGTTTAAAACGATCCAAAATTTACGCCTTTTTTTGCCAAAAAGCTTATGGTAAAAAGTTTCAGGATATCACAAAAATATTGCAACAAAATTTTGAGGTAACAATTTTGTACATGAAAATTAAGTAAATCAATCAATTTGTTACCCAAAAATATCAAGCAATTTGTTCATAAGTGATCTGATATTTGATTTCAGTCCATTTTCCATCCTTGACAACCTAACTTTAAACTCAACTTTAACTTTAATCTTGCTGAGTTGTCCGATTGAAATAGTTTTGGTATCATTAGACTTTCCATGTCTTCATTTGTCGATTAATACTAATCAATTAATAAAAAATTATTTTAATCGGGGCAACGAGAGAGAGAGAGAGAAATAAAAAGCAATAATAGTTGTTGCAATAATTTATGGACATTCTGTAAAATTCCTCTCCTCAAATCGATTGCCCGTTCTTTTCCTCTGATTTCCCCTCAAAAATCTCCACTCTTTTCAGTTTTTTTTACATGTTTGTGGTTTGGGGAAAACTGAAAACAGACGAAAAAGAGAATGAAAAGAGATTTCAATGTTTTTCCGATGAGAAAAAGTGGCATTTTTGGATGGGAAAAGAAAAAAAAGCGGTAATTTATGCAGAAAAAGAAATTATTGATTAATCTTGATCTTGATAACCTTTTCTTATTTTGAAACACAAGTTTTCAGGTCACAGAAAATGGGTGGATTTTGGTCGATTTCTAGATTATTTCAGTTGAAA